ACTGCAGTAACAAATTAAACTATGGTTTGATAAATTCTTACTATATAAATTCCTAAGTCTAACCCTTTGGAAAAAGTAGAAAAACCCTCTATAATTACAAAGACAGTTGTACAAATTACAGCAAACTACTATATACTAGGTGTATAGAAGTTAGTTAAGGAAACAATTAGAGGATGTCATGTTTGCAACCAGGATAAGAAAAGTAGACATAAGTCATATAGGAACTTGAGGAATCTAGAAGTACTACATTAGTCATGGGAATTAGTTACAATGGACTTCATTATGGATTTACTAGAATCAATAGACCTAGTTATAGGACAAAAGTACAATACATTACTTGTAATTGTAGAATGACTTACAAAATATATATATTTCATTCTAATAACAAAAGAGGCTATAGTAGAATAAACAGCATATTTGGTACTACAAATGGTAATAGTGAATCATTAGTTACCAAAGAAATTTATTACTGACAAAGACAAGCTATTTACATCAAGATTCTGGAGAACAATAATAGTAAACTTGGGAGTGGAATACAAGATGTCAACCACAGCTCATCTACAAACAGATAAACAAACTAAATAAATTAACTAGATTATTAAACAGTATCTACAACACTATATTAGCTACCAACAAGAGAATTAAGTACCATTGTTACCAGTTGCTTAGTATGTATACAATAGTACAAAACAGGATACTATTAGAATGTTATCATTTCAGGCAAATTACAGATATAATCCAGTAGTTTAAAGAACAGAAATTAAAAATAACATTACAACAACAAGAGATCAAGTTTAGAAACTAGAAAATATAAGAGTATATCAATTAGGGAAGATTAAACAGACCAATCTTTAAGGAGGGAGGTAAAGTTTACCTACTCTATAGAAACTTGAAATCCAAAAGACTAAACAAGAAGTTAGACTACATCAAGGCAGGACCTTTTAAAATTAAGAAACAAGTCAATGAAGTAATATATTAATTACAACTACCTAAAGGAACAAGAATACATCTAACATTCCATGTCTTACTATTGGAACCAGTACTAAGAAATATACTACTTACAAAGGAACTAGACATTTCATCTAAGGACAAAGAATATGACATCAAAGAAATTCTAGATGCAAAGAAAAAAGGTTAGCAATGGAAATACTATGTCAAATGGCTCAACTACAGGGAAGAATCAAATTCATGAGAACCATGAACCAATTTGAATTGCCCTAAGAAGATTGCTAAATTCTACTAACAAAGGAAGAGGAAAGATCTAGAGGATTCAAGAAAGCAGACTAATCAAAATTAGAAGAAATTAGAGGAGAAAAAACAGTAGAAGCAGTAGCTTTAGACTCTTGTTCCAGACACTCTAATTCCTTGATAGATTCAAGTTCTTACTAAAACATCTCCTTACCATGATTATAGTTTTGAAGAAGCTGTTTGTAAAGGCATGAGTGATGGGTAGAGAGCTGAGAAGCCTCTTTGACTAGGTAGGAAAACTTAGATTCTGTTTCCTCTAGAGAAGTCTCAATATAGTAGCAATTAGAATCAAGACATTGCTAGTCAGCCTCAGATACTACTAGATCACACTTTCAACCATGGAAAATGTACTCAACACAACAGCCAGACTCAAGAGAAACTTTACAGACCTAACCAGAAGAATAGCAGGTGGAACAAGAAGTTAGCATGTTACAGGAAAGTTGAGAAGTACAGTTGGCAAGACAATGACAACAAATAGAACTAGAAATCTTTGGCATGATGGAACAAAAGGTTAGAAGAATGAAGAAATAACAGGAAGGAGGGAAGCCTTACCTTTTATAAGAAGACCAGGCAGTTATAGAATTAGCCTTTTGAGTCAAAAGGATGAAAAGGGAGGACCTAATGTAACAATGGTTACAAGGGTTGGTAGCAGATGGTGCAGAGCCTACTTATAAAGTGCAGAGGCATGGTATACTAAATGATATCACAAGATAGGAGGTCACATGATGATAAGATAAGAAGGTAGAAAGCAGTAGCAGAAATAGTAATTGCAGTGATTACAAGTAATTACAAGGTGATCAAGGTAATCAGGTGTAATCAGCATGGAACAGATTGTCTATATAAGGAGGATGGTTTTCCTATGTAGCTAGAATTGTTCTGTATAGTTCTTGAAGTTACTGTATTGACATTATTGTTTTAAGCATTACTGCTTTACAGTATTTAGTTATCAGTATCTAGATAATAGTACAATGGCAATCTTATTGTTTACTTTATCTACCAGACCTGAATCACTTCATTCATCTCATATCACTCCTATCACTAAATAATATTGCAGGATGCTATATTACTAGGTAAGAACCCTTGATGTACTGACAGGAAACTATCTAGGAAGATACAACCTGACACCTATCTATAGGTGTCACCATAACACTATCTAGGAAGATACAACCCAATGCCTATCCATAGGTGTCATCATAACATAGTCTATATTAAGATATCTTGACAGCTCTTATTACTAAATAATATTATAAAATACTATATTACTAGGTAAGAACTCTTGAGATATTAACAGAAAACTATCTAGGAAGATACTACTTGATGCCTATCTATAGGTGTTACCATAACACTAATTGACATTATATCTTGGTATAAGAGTAGAAAAAAAAAGTACACTAAGCAATACCAAGGTGGGCAAAGTTATCCAGAAACTTTTCACTAAGAGGAACTTCCTCCTCCATCCGGTTGTAGCATTGCCTGTAAAAGTTGCACTGGCCTAACCGGCCCACATAGTGCAGCTTTCGTGGAGGTGTTCGTTCGCGTCCAGTCACCTGGAGCTTACTGGAAACGTCACAAAAGCATGGAGGGTTGCGAAGAGAATTCCCGCCACGATCGTCAAAGCACAAGAACTTTCCACAAGGGGAGCACTTGTAATACGGACGTCCTGCATTGCCATTGCGGTTGGAAGACCGGGTGACAAATCGGTGGCTGGGACGGTGGCATAGGATACACAGTGGTGGTTTGCAAGGTGGATCGGCAAGTTCCACACTGCCATCGGGCAGCAAATCGAACGATATACAGTCGATAACGGGGGTTACTTTGTGAATAGTCTATGCTAGGACGTAAGCCGAGATTTTTTGGATGTCCCATGGAGGTGTTGGAGGGGCAGGGGGCAGGTATAGAAAACAACCTTTAACATACCCGCATCTTAAAGGTAATGGCTTCCAAAGAGCAGTCCGAGGATCTTCAGCGTCAGGAAAGACAGGAGGCCTCAGACAAATACCAACCAACGGAGAGCTTGCCCCCTTTTTATGTATGCCGCCCAACCATCCATCTCTGCTTCAAGTTGATTTTGGACGTTTGCAGCGAAATGGGATGGTAGTAAATATTAGAGGACATACTCAGCCAGTCATCAAGGGTGGAAGGGAAATGATCCGTTGCCTTTGAGGGTGGTGTATTTGTTGGTTGTGGTCATACGCTTGTTGGCAACATGAACACTCATTGGTGGTTAGTATTTACTAGATTTACCAGGGATAGTAACGTTGAAAGAATACCTGATCGGCTGACTTCTTGGCATAGTACTTTAGCTATTTGATTAACTATGTTATACTAGGGTGTGCTGGTCCTGGTCGGGTTAATCTTGACTCCTCTTTTCTTAACCTGGCTTAGGAGTAGTCCAGGTTGGTTTCTAGCCTCTATCGTTAACCTCTAGACTAATTAACCTTAATAAACTTTATAATATTTTGTTTATAAACTCAATTATCTAAATTAACCTAACTATTTCAATTGTTCTAAAATTTTCTATAGATATCTCTATACTCCGTAAACAAAATGATTTAGGGACAATGGCCTCAGGAGAGTCAACTAGTTCTTCCTCGCATAATCTCCTCCCTATTTCTTTTCTCGCTATTTGTTTTTTTTTAGTCGCCTGCTATAATGGGTCTCGTGGCTGCTCTCCTTGTCATAGCAACTATGGCTGCTGCTGACACTATCGCCAACCGCGAGCGGCTTGGGGCGATATCTAAGGCCGCCGAGGCCACAACAACGCCGCAGAACTGGACCTCCAACGTGAGGGGTACTGCTTTTGACCGCTTCTACCAAATCTGGCTGGAGAATGCTGTATGTATAATATTACGCTTGTGTGCAAGCACAAAGTTCATTACACAAACTGCTCACGATATAACAGGATTACAGCGGGGCTGCGAGTGACACCAATCAGCAGTGGCTAGCTAGCCAGGGTATCACCCTCACCAATTTCTTCGCAGTCGGCCACACCTCCGAGCCCAATTACTGCGCTGCGGCCAGTGGCGACAATTATGGCATGAACAACGATAATTTCCACCAGATTCCGACCAATGTGTCGACTATAGCAGATTTGCTGAATACCAAGGGAATCTCGTGGGCTGAGTACCAGCAGGACCTACCCTACCCGGGCTTCCAGGGCAACGACTATCCCAACCAGCAGACCCATGCCAACGACTACGTCCGCAAGCACAACCCTCTGGTGCTCTTCAACAGCATCTCTAACAATGACACAGCGCTGCGCCTGATCAAAAATTTTACTAATTTCTACGACGACTTGCGCAACAAGCAGCTGCCGCAATGGGCCTTCTTTACTCCCAACATGACAAATGATGCGCACGATACTAACATCACCTTTGGCTCCCAGTGGCTGCGCGACTTTGTATCCGAGCTCATGAACAACACCTATTTCTGGGACAACACCTTACTGCTGCTAACATTTGACGAATCCGAAAACTACGCCAACAACAATCGCATCTTCAGCATCTTGTTAGGTGGCGCTGTCCCGAAGAAACTGGCGGGCACGAAGGATCACACCTTCTACACCCACTATTCGGGCATTGCGTCCGTCTCGGCCAACTGGGGCCTGCCATCCCTCGGCCGCTGGGACTGCGGTGCTAATATCTTCCAGCTAGTCGCCGAGAAGGCCGGCTACACCAACTGGAATGTCGATACCACCAACCTGTCCCTCAATCAGTCCCTGCCCGGCCCGCTGGCGCTCGGGGCCCGCTCCAGGTACCGTTCGACCTGGCCGGTGCCCTCCACCAACGACTCGTGCTCCGCCGGCCATGGTATCCTCCAGGGTGTCGTTGACACCTACACGGGCCGTGCTCCAACATATAACTACACTGCGCCCTTCCCGTACGATGCCTCCCACGGTCTTGACGTTGGTGTGGCTTATTTCCGCAACGGCTCTACCTACTTGTCGGGTGTCAACAGTACCGGCCTAAGTACCGCCGAACGGTCTTCCAGTATCTCGAGCTCTGGCTCCAGCTCGGCCTCAGCCTCTTCCAGCAAGAGTGCTGCCGCGAACGTCACCGTCCCCGCTGTCAATGGCTTCCTGGCTGTCGTGCTCTGGCTGGCCTGCTGGGTCTGGTGTACATACTTGCTGGATGTATAACAGCAACTCACTCTGGTTGGACCAATCAGGTGTCATGTCATCTTTGAAAAGTAATAAGGATCTCATGTCTCTTTTTGCACGTAGGTTCGCTGACAATTTCTGTTCTTGTATAAGTGAATGTTATGTATCAGGTTATTGGCTTAGCGCGGCGTGAGAAAATAAGTATGATACTTTAAGTAGTTATGTTTGAGTAAATCAACAGAAGTTTCCCTGCCTGTAACCCGTTAATTTTAATAAGACAAAGGACTGTTCCTGTTTTAAGGATTAGAATTTCACAGTTACACCTTGTTTGTAATTTATTGCAATTTGAGCTTGCCAAATCATTTTGACCGTTCACTACTGATTCAAATCATCATCCTTTGTACCCAGCTAAAATTCCAGGTCAACTCCACCAGCTGCGATGCTTTCTCCAATCTCGCTGTGTTGCGTCCCTCAAATCATCCACATTAATTACATCCACGCCTTCACGCACAAGTATATGCCACACATGGTTTCTTAACCCACGCGGCCAGCTTGGTGTGCCCCAATATCGTACTTTAAGACCGCGCTCGTGTGCAGCGTTGATTTGGCACCGGAGCTTGGAGAGCTGGCTCTGAGAGAATCGGTTAAAGTTCAGATGTCCAATTGCCTTGTAAAAATTGACAGAGGCGTAATAACTATTAGAAGGGGTGTACGGAAGCTTGTCTGCCGATCGTTGCGAACAATGAGCCGAGATATCGTCGAGGGGAGTGTCGAAGAAGATATCGCGATACGTGATTTGCCCAAAGAGACGATGGAAAGGCGCATCTCCTGAGACAACAACCGTAATCGGTCGCTGAATGACGGACGAACCGTTGAAATGTGTGAGGTACCCCGCTTCACGGAGCGGCTTTAGATTTTCGACGAGACGAGGCCAAAGATGCTCACCGTCGGCTTTGAAGTCGACAAGCAACACTAAACTCTGGGACGGATCATTTGCAAACACACCGGCGACATCGTTCCTGTCTGCATTATCATCCAAGGATAAATTGACCGATCGGGGGTTGTGGTCTTCAAGCATCTTCAGAAGTGGATCGAGATACAGGCTGCGCAAGCTCTGATCTTGTGTTAACGTAAGGGGTAGATGTCCCACTAGGAGTTCGTTGCCCGAGAGCCAGACATCAGCCTCTATGCTGGTGCAACCAGCAGCGAGGGCAGAATGCAAGGGAACGCGACGCCAGTAATCGTTATGTGAGTGGCAAGCGACGGGAATGACACCGTACGTTGCCCAGTGAGAGAAGATCGACGGGCGACCACCGGGTAAAACCCATGCATCGAGTGCAGAGTCAAGATCATCCGGGAAGAGATACACAAGGCCCTGCCAGGTCAGGGAAAGGAGCTTGAGGAGTCCACTAGATTGATTGAATGAGGTCAGCCTTGCAGGATCGTCATCATCGGAAAGGAAGTAACGAAATGTAAACCCAGGAGAACCTACAGAAGAATGATGAGACCCCAAAAGGGACGCCGCACCAATCGACAGAACAGAGCCTGTTTTGACAAAGGTCGGGTATTGCACCATACATGTGAGCATCTCCACACCGACAGGCAGGATTTGGTAACAGAGATTGGATTGTACTTGGCCCAGGTAGCCCGCTTGGATTTCGACAAGACTGAAGTCGACAGACCCTCCTCCGATGATATCTCAAAAGGACTGAACTCAGACCTATAGTATGGCGTAGCCATGATGGTTTGTATAATTACGAGACTACCAAGAGACTGCGAAGAGGTACTACAAAGCTTGATTATTATAACGAGGGTGCCCTGGTGCCTAACCCCTCAACTACGATACCTTAGGGACTCACGTTACCTTACCTACGCTGTTTGTAGTAAACATACTCCGATAGCTGCAAACTAGGTAGGTAGCTACCCTGCTCCCTAGCCAAAGGCATCCATCTCGAGAAGACGCTGGTAGGTACCTGAGATACATGTTGAAGACTTCACTGATACCTGGCAGCCCTCGTAGCTTACCGAGAGCTGCCGTTAGCGGTTTGGTTTAGCTGGGGCCTTAGCCGATAAGCAGCCACTCGTTGCCGTCTTCTCCTGATACCGCCACTGTCCCCATCATGGTTGCCTAGATAAGATATTGAGAGATTTTCCGACCCCCGATTAATTTTGTGTTTTGGTGTATATAGCATAGCGATCGGAACTCATTCATGTCACCCCGACAGTAGATGGTCGGACTGGGCACCCACCAGGCTACCCGTACCCATTCTGCAGCTGCTATCATCTATTGTTTATTGAAAGACTATTATAAAAGTTAAAACGTATCATAGGCGATGGTGGTTAGACAATGAATCGTAATTTGTTTATTTTTGCTTCCAGAGCAATTTGATCGATCAATGAAAACTTTTAAAAAGGTATACTATTCTGTTTCAAACAGTCTATACCTCCTGAGCCCCCGGTTTGCTTTTCTAATTTTACTACCTCTTGTTTAAATTTCCTTACTTGAAGTTTGAGATACTCACTATCCGCTTCATTCCCTGACGACCGATTTGCCCTCTGGTCAAAGCTTTCGACAATGGACTTTACATCTCTCAAGTGGTGTCGGATAAGAAGGCACTTGATACTAGTTGCAAGCTGACAGGAGGGTTGATAGTTTCCAAGTCGGATGTCAAGTTGCGAGATGGGTTCCTGACAGGGAGCAGACGAGGTAATATATAGCTCAAACAGCTTCGAGAGAAGCATCGAGGTTAAAAAGAAACCTTGGGTATTGGAACAACAGAAGCTGCAGTGGAGGAAGCGCGATATCGAAGGGAGTACCTGCTGCGAGAGAATTAGGACAGTATCGAGTCTAACGACACGATCAAGACCAGAAATGGTTTGTAGATGACAAAGATGGTCGGAGAGACGGTGAAAGCAATTGCATGATGCAACTGCCGCTTCATTTTGTTGATAGAAAAGTGGTTGAGGCGATATTAGCTCCCTGCCCAAACTTTTTCCGCGCTGGGGTTGTCGATCCATTGGGAGTTGATAATTGCTGACAGATGGTGATAGCCATGGCGAGGAATCCTGAGACGTGTGTAGCTGTCCCTGCTCGTCTTCGCCATCCTCATGGCATGATTGTGTGCTTTCTATATCAAAATTAAGGTATTGAGTATCGAGTCCTGTATTTAATTTAGTTAGACAATGATTTTATATGGGTGCGCCATTACTAACCAGCTCCTGTCAATTCCGGAATTTCCGAATGGTCCTGTAGAATTCAGGTTACCACAAGTCATGATAGCTAAAGCAATTCCGTGTGAATGAATCTTACCTGCTGATGGTTGAGAAATTCAAAATCATCTGCCGTGGATCCCCCAAAGTCTAAGAGCGGATCGAGAGGCATCTGATAGGGCGGTGTGTCTAGTGGAAATATAGAAGGTTTATCGGAATCCGTTCTCTCCACCGGCTGAAGTGAAGACAGATCTGCTGCAGGCGGCGAGATCGTGGAGGAAATTGTGGTGATAGGTTGAGTTGAAGACGGAGAGCAATTTCTGCCCTGAATTGCGCAATCGCTAGCGGTCTGGGGTGTCGGCACTTGTATCGACTGTGCCTCAGACGATCCTTGTTCTTCTCTCATTCTTTTTAACCTTTCCAGAGTCTTCTTATTGACGCTCCCCTTTGGCTTCCCCAGCTTTGCTCGATAACTGTAGCGGCACTCCATACCACTGGCGTGGAGACGTTCAACGGTCAGCTCAAACCCCTGCCCAGATCTGTAGATAGAACTTACTCCCTCGCGCATCTTGAGCATGGCATACCGCCACTACATCGGACCTTTGCACCATGGCATGCGTTACATGCAGAGCGAAGCTTTCTCGTCTCTTCCGATGCTCGCCTTGCATTTGTGTTTCCTTCGGAAGCTTGAGGTGACGGAAGAGTCATGTTCGGCAACTTTCCTTGTATGATCTTGTAGACCAAAGACTTGAAATTACTGTCTAGATCTCTTAGTACCCTGTATGACAGTGAAAAGTCAGGTATTTCAGATTGGCTGAAGATTAGAGAAACCGCGGCTTTCAGGCATCTATATTTTATTCGTTCAAACACTGTCACATTTGCGGTTGGTTCCTTTACATAACCTCCCTATCTGCCTTCAAGATACCCGGAGGGAAGCCATCAAAATTGCCCAACGGGTCCTGCAAATCTAATAAACTAACAGCAAGGGCTGGGATGCCATATGGTGTATCCCCACACGGGAGAGTCAGACCAAGAGTAAGCCGCAGACATGCTAATGCAGATCTTGTATTTCATGCCAATGAACAACAATGGTGGTAAAAACCTAGCCGTCAAAGACTATATTAGTGTACCATGGATGGACGGAGTAGTCAGGTACATGTTAAAGCTACTGGCAAGGCTTTTCTTTCAGGCAATCTGGTAGCGAATTCCTTTGGCAATCGCTCCTAGCTAAACTGAAACTGAAATGCAATCAATATCGGCGGAACTGATCAGAACAACAATGTAGTCCATCTCGATAGATGATTGATCACTCCGTAGAAGAAATAACTGTAGGATGCAGGTACTGAAAATTAAAGGATTAAAAAGAGAACGAGACAGAAGCATGGATTGGGCTGTAGGCTGATACACGTGGCGTCCATTGTGCTCGGCTAATGAGCCACAAGGGTAGTTCTCTGTCGACTGTCAGTAAACCACCAAGGGACCCTGAATGTTATGTCATTCATCCCTTTCCAACCCCAACAGCATCACCATTTAACCGACATGAGGAGAACCAAGTTATATGTATGGGCAAATATCAATAACGACTTGGTTTCATCACTTAACTATTGTACAGGCCCCACTCTAATATGAGGGCGGTCTGAAATTTTTCTCAGCGGTAACTGTCACGGAAGATTTTTCGGAGACTTATTACGCTGCTGCAAATGTGGATAACGCCGAGCTGGACATAATGGCAGGGTTTGGAGACGGCTCGTGGACGGAATTTATCCATTGATATGGTAGATATCACTACAAAATTGAATCCGATCTAATACCATAGCGAGTCAAAGTTTTCCTCACACCACAATTACCGGTAGAATGATAATACTTAATTTATGGAACTACAGAACCTCACCAAACATATAGAGAGCGTTCAGCAAGTTCTGGTAGTTCGGATTACGTGTCTCGGGGATGCAAGCCACCGCAATGAAGCCCAATGAAACCGATGCATCTTGGTACTTTGCGTACGGCTCCAACATGGTGTCTGATGTCTTCGTCACCAGGCGGAAAATCAGCCCGGTGAGGAGCGAAGTAGCGTGTATCAAAAGCCATACACTATGTTTCAACATAATGGGTATCCCGTATTCGGATCCTGCAATGGCAGGTATTCGCGCAATTGAGGATGAAAAGGAAGATAAAGCTGTGTACGGTGTTGCTTACTTGTTGAGCCAAGAAGATCTCCACCGAGTGGTACTCACTGAAGGGTAACGTTGTCAAATCCCAAGGCAGAATCTCATTGCTCGTAACATGGACAGTCCTCTCACTGAACATCCATCCCAGTGGCGGAATTGCATACGATACGGCAGTCCTAGATGGCAGTCTTGAAAGAGATGGTTCTCCCATAAGAGTAACAACTCTGATTGGAAGACACGCCATCGAGCTCTCCTACGAGCGATTGCCTTCTGAGAGATACTTGGTAAGTCCACTTTCGACTGCGCACCAATATGTGCGGCCTAGGTCTCATGTCACTAATAATTATCTTTCTTTCGTGACAGGGTCTGCTGGTCCGTGGTGCTCGCGACCATTCGCTTCCTGAGCCTTATCAAAACAGACTGGCTGCGCATGCAACCTTTCATCCATTGCAAACCCGGAGATATCAGATTGGTAAATGGTTATTCAGCAGCTTCTGGCAGCGGGTTGCATATTGGATTGAAAGAGGTGTTCACAGGTTCAAGGGTCCCGATGGTTGCGTTCCAAAATGGTTCCTAATAATATTTGATTGCCTGCTATGGACTATGTGGATATACCACGACTATGTTCATTGCCACCTTTGGGGACGGGGCGACGGTCGTTGAGCAATGTTTGCAATAACTGCTTTTCATACTCGATTGTCTCTCTCTGCGTTTGGGTACACCTGCCTTACAAACGCTCGCAAATTGTCATTCCAGAGTTGCTTTACCTCATCTTCCAACACCGGCAGCTTGTTCTTGTGCGCCCTTGACACGTTTTCAACGTCTGTCAGTACCCGAATAATATTGAAACCCAAGACCTTCTTTATATCCTCTCGTGCAATCCCTCTAGCCAGCATCGAGGCTACCAAGGCTGGGTATTTCGACACATCCTCGAGACCTTTGACCGCGCAAACCATCCCGTCATAATCTGAGCCTAGACCAATGTGAGAATATCCAATTTGGTTGGCGACATGACATATATGGTCCACGACATGGTTTATCGTCGCGGCTTTCGAGTCGGAGTGGGTTAGGGAGGGAATAAAAGAGATCATGATCACGCCGTTGTTGTCTTTTAGTTTGGCAAGCACGGCATCTGTTACGTTGCGATTGCTTGGTACGAGTGCAGAACTACAAGACAATTTATTAATGTAAGTTGCATAGATTAAAATGCGTGACTTGACCAACCTCGATGAATGAGAGAATATGACGGGCGCTTTGGATTTCTCCAAAACCGCATGCATCACATCGTCGCTTGTATGAGATAGATCAATTATCCTATGTGCCAGTAAAACCAAGTTAGAAAATACAATATAGTATGTAAAAAAGGGCCTTACATTCCGATACGATTCATTTCTTGAATCATTGCCACACCTTGTGACGACAGGCCGTTATGAGCTGGAGTATTTGATGTCTTTGAATTTGGGGGTAAGCAAAAGTCCCTTAATCGGCGCATACAGAAAGAGACAATACCGCGCTGTCTGCATAAAGATTGTTTTTGTTGTGTGCCAGAGTAACGTAACGGACGCCGAGCTTGTGATAGAGGCGTAAAACACTGGCGCTGTTTGCGATTTGATGCAGACCCTCTACACCAATCAAACTTGCAAATTTCTGTTCTTTAAAAAGCTCTAGGACATCCTCTGCCTTATACACTATCCCCATTCTCTCGGGATACAAGTCATGGACTCGGTGAACTAGATCGATTTGCTGCATCGTATCGCGTACGGCTTCGAAGTGTATAGAGTCATCTTTGAAATTGTCCTCGTTGGGACTGCGTACATTCACTATCAGTGTCTCCCTTGTAAACCATTAATCACGATGCAACTGGGAGAACACCAACCAGTCGACATAAACACTCCAGAAAGCTCCGCCGGATTTTCCTTCAACCAGCCTTTTAAGGTCTACATGGCCTCCAAGATCCTTGTGAGACTGGAATCGCTCGTCCAGTTTATTGTCATAAAATCCGCGAATCAAATGTGGCCAGTCATTATGTCCGTCTGCAAAGAATTAGCTTGCTACATTAAATTTTGTACTGGTTTTTGATATGCCACGAACCAATTAAAGGAACTTCAGAAAGAATATCAAGTGCTTCTTCCCTCCAAAACTCAATGTCGTCTTCCATGGCAGGTAGTCCTAAATACGGGGTTGGCAACAAACGGTCACTGTAAAGAGATTTACGTTCTAACTGAGCGGCCGATATATATAGTTATATAGATTTTTGGATGTGGATTAATTCGATTTCGGTGATTATTATCCTATCCTTCAATACCACAGCTAAATAAATCGGCCTGGAATAGGTCTACATAGGTATGGAATACCCAGAGTATATATCAGTCTCTTATTCACAATCTCCTCTTGAGAATGACTGGAAAATGGATTGATTTAACAATTTATATTTTGTCTATTTAATGTTCTCTAATTCCTGCGTCGAATCGCTCTTCGAGCAGCCTGCAAGGTTGCCCGTAATATGTTGATCGTCAGGTATTGATTATCTTTTGCCGAATTGGGATATCCAGCGTCGGACAGATTTCATGTCGCTACAGAAAAGTCTCCGAATAGTCTCCGCATCAACCAAATATTGTTTCATCCAATATCCCAACGGGCCAGTAATTAATTTTTCTTTTCTTTAGGGTTCTATCGCAATTCTCTTTTATTAGCTACGTCGCCAGCATGAAAGATAGCTTGGAAAAGCTTTCGAGGAAAGAGTTCTTTGACCGTCCCCATTTCACCTCCAACTTTCCGACTTGACGACTCGCCCTGAATCCGATAGCCATGAGCTCTACGTTCAAGGCATTTATGCCGCCCTATCAACTCGGGGCACGGCTTGGTCATAAAACCAATTTGGGCGTCATTCTTGTCACTTCCACCTTGGTTAATTTCCTCGACCTTTTCCAGCTCTCGTCAATTCTCTTTGGATTGCCTGAAATCGAAAAAGCTCTCGATTTTGGTGTAGATGAGATAAATTGGGTGCTCGTGGCTTACAATATTACGTTCGCTTCATTTTTGCTCATTGCGGGACAGCTTGGTCAGCGACTCGGCTTGGAGAAGATTTTCATGACAGGGACCGCAATATTGACTATATCAAATATTATAAACACTGCTGCACCTAACAAATCGGCGTTGATTGTTGGCCGGGCCATTTCAGGAATCGGTGCTGCTCTGACTGTAGGTGGAAATTGTCAATACTCTTCCCTGATTGCAGTCCATTGACCTCGCTATACAGGCTCCAAATGGACTCGCGATAATTAGCAGAACATTTGCCGACGGCAAGGGGCGTAGCCAAGCCTTAGCACTATATACTGCTTGTGCACCACTTGGATCAGTCATTGGAACTGTTGTTGGAGCCCTCCTTGCCGGTAACTATATCCAGTATAACCCAGACAAAAGTTCCGATAGAAACGACTAACGCACAAGCAACGTAGCATCCTCGGCCGGCTGGCGTTCCGTGTTTTGGGTCTGCTTGATCCTCTCGGCTCTGGCGCTCATTGTAGCGGCACTCTTTCTCCCGGCCTTCTCATGTGAGAACGAGCTCTCTGTCGACTATATCGGCGTTGGAATCTTCACGGCTGGGATTGCATTACTAGTGTACGGTCTCAATGACAGTTCTCGAAGCGGATGGCGATCTGCACAGGTCATTGTTGGACTTGTCTTGGGCGGATGCCTCCTTTTGCTCTTTTTATGGATCGAGACACGCGTAGCAAATCCGACAGTGCCGCGTTATCTTTGGAAATCTGGCTCGTTTTTCCTCATGCTTTTGGTCATTTTTGCATTTGGCGGTAGCTTTAGCGCCTGGTTCTTCATCTCTACGCAGTTGTGTGTAAACCTGCTGCGTTACACTTCCATTTTGACTGCCGTATATTTCTTGGTAAGTGATTCCCTTGCATCCCACCCCCTTCGACTCCGAGTTATACTAATATGGGCTACCGTCTGAAATAGCCCGGGGCATTCTCAGCCATAATGACCGGTGGATCATCGGAACCTCTCGTGAGACTTATCGGCGAGAAGCTCACCATGATGGTGGGATTGGCCATAACGGGTGCAGGCGCGGTGGCTTGGGTATATGCCACGCCTGAGCGAGCCGCCGGCACGGGTCATCATGGAGGATACTGGTACGCGATTGTGGCAGCCATTATTTTTGTCTGTGCCAGCCCCGTGTCGATGGTGCCCGCCCAAAGTGTCATGCTGCGCCCTGTTCGAGAGGGAGATTATGCTGTGGCCAGTGCTTTATTCAACGCTGCATACCAAGTTGGTGCCAGTGTTCTGTTGGCGGGCGCAAATACTATCATGGGCAGCGAAACAACCCAAGTCAAAGGTCCGAACGGCATGCCGATCGAAATGATCGATATGGACGGCTACCAGGGCGCTTTTTGGCTACTTGCCGGAGTCTTGTTTGCTGCGACGGCCATTGTCGGTGTTTCGTATTGGCCAAAGTCTGAGAAGAAGAGTGAGCAAGAATCATTGGAGGAGGCAATTCCAGAGACAATCCAGCCAGACGAAAAAGGATCCGTGCCGCCGAACCATCAGTCCGAGCGCGACGTAGCTATTCCATGAAAGGGATAGCCAGCTGGTATGCGGGAATAGGCATGCCTTCAAAAAAGTCATTGTGATATTGCCAGAAGGGCAGAATATTTAGGATTTAGAAGCATTATTTGAAAATTGTCTCCCAGGCATGTCCTTGTGGAAAGTCGACGTTATTGATCGCGGAAATGTCTGCTATGTTATTTTATTTTGGATTTTCCCAGTATAGTCTTTTTAAAGGGTATAAACTTCTACGTTTCTAACAGGTGGAACATTCATCCTGACAAAATTGAACGATTCTATTTCTGCGAGACCTTGCGACCAAAGGCCAGACGGTAGTGGTAAACATTGCCCACTGTATTCATCTCTTTCTCCAGGTCGACCTTTAATTGGTCAAACTCCTCCGCCGAAGGGTGCCCAGGCTTGTCTGTTTAATATCGTTAGTTAATCTCCGCAAAATTTCATGCATGTATCAATCGTTCGGAGAATGGAACGGGTCAGCTAAAATGTACTTGGGAATACTCACCGGCCAGCATCTTCTTCATCGCATCCGAGAGAAACAAGAGCATGTCGACCGCCCGTTGGCCCTGCTCTCTGTCCTCCGACGCAGCGCCCACCTTGATGGTCTGCACGTGTTCTTGGACATCCACAGCACCTGCCTTCTGTAGCCATTCAACAAGGTGCTCGGCCGGCCGCGGTCTATTTCCAATGGCGCCCCACGCGCGAACCATGACATCTCGGAAGCGCGTGAACGCTGCATGCTCTGGGCCCTCTCGGATGGACTGCATGTCACCCTCGTGCAACTCGATCCAGCCGCCTGGCTTGACGCACGCGAAGAGCTTCTTCACCGCGTCAACGCCGGCGTCGTCATTGGGACAGACTGACAGGACGAACCGCTGATGAGCCACGTCAAAGTACTCTTGCAAGTGGGCCGGCCAAGTGTCAAAGATGGAGTGGAGACTTAGTTCGACATTGGCCGGTCGGTCCGCCGGCGGGAGGAAATGCTGGGCAGAAATGTCCGTGCCAATTAGTGTTGCGCTGGAAGGGACCGTCGTTGCGAGGTCAACCAGCCAGGTACCCTCGGCTGTGGCAGAATCCAAGACCCGCAAGTCGGGCCGTGACAGGTCGGCGGGGCAGAGGAGGAGTTTTCCTCCCATTTCCGCCTTGACCAGTTCGTGTTGAGCCCGTAGTCGATCATATTCGACTTTGTGTCGTGGTCCGCCGTATGTGTCTTTGACTTTTTGCTCGCTCATTTTTTATCCTGGGAATTTTCAATCGTTGATAGGAATTTCGTAAATTCTTCGAGAAGAGAAAAAAAAACAGGAGAAAAAATGTGGGGAAATATTATATGGATATTTTTTTTGAATAAAAAAATAAATAAATATATAAATATAAAAAGGGAAGGAGATAAAATGATTTTGAGACTGAGAGAGGTTCTATGCTGGTAGCAAGTCCGGAAGACTACAATATTAGAAAAGGATTTGCTTTAATAACTCTCCGTATTAACCACCTCTCATTTCCCTCTCGGTAGTGATAATGGCCGAGTTTCTCAGCGGAGTTTTCGTGATGCTGCATTCGATATCCAGCACGGTCAGTAATTTTGGGACAAAAATGCGATTCCCCTCATTACGTGCTTGGAACAATGAATTTAATGCCGACGTAGAAGTTATTTCGCTAGCAAGAATATTGACTATTGTATAAACATAGCTGCATCTTGACCATGAGCTAGCTGCATTTCTTCACCCTTCTTCTGAAGAAGTAGCTCCCTTTTTATTGTCCGAAAGCATTTTATAAAAGATACAAGGGCATCTATCGCACAAAATCAACGATAGCATAAAGTTTATAACATATTGGCCGATCCATCTCCCGAGAACAGGACATTTGTCATTTGCTCCACAAACAAGGACGAAAAAATGAGCTCAGAAACCACAGAGGACTTGTCTCAACACCCGCCCATTGCGGCGGACAAGTTGGTCTTGTACGTCAAGAAAGGTATGTTTCCTCGTTCTTGTGCTTGAGCGGACTCTGTCTGCTTGTTGGCCCTTTTTCCTGCCTCGAAGTATAAGCAGATAGTAGAAAATGATACTTACTTCTGAAATAGCTAGCCCGACATCGACAGCGAATTCAGTAAAACCGCTTATGCTTCTAGAAGCACTTTCGATTCCTCATGACATCCATATCATCAACTCTACGAGCAACGAAACATGGTTTCATGCTGTGAATCCATACAAAATGGTCCCTGCCATCGAGGACGTCGAAGTGTACCAGAGTAGCGCAGGCCATGAGCAACGACTGAATGTCTTTGATAGTTCGGCATGTTTGACGTACTTGGTAGACAAATACGACAAGGACGGGCTGTATGGAGGCAAAGATCTCATTGAACGGACGATCGTCATGAATTGGCTCATGTCATACACGGCTGGTCTTGGCGCTACTGGGAAATGGTGGCTCCTCATGAAACCCCGTGCGGAGACGGTTGGCGAGGCCATTCAGGTCTTGGTCAGGTCGATCAAGTCCGAGTACAGCTTTCTCGAAAAGCGCCTGAACGAGCCCGGCCAGAAATATGTTGCCTTGCCGGACAGGCCCACAATTACTGACTTTGCCATCTTCCCATTGGCAAATGAACAAGTCGCTGCCACGGCAGAGATCGATTTCTCAGAATGGCCAAAACTGAAGGAATGGAGCGAGAACATGAGCAAATTCCCACCCGTCGCAAGAGCTCTTCATCGCATCTGCCGATTTGGACTGTCAGAGGAGGAGCTGACTGCTCAAGGATTGTAAACATTTTTTGTTATTTCTAATAAAGTTTGTAAATAGTGCTTATGTTTAAAAATATTTCAAATGAAGAGCGATTTGCACGATTGGTAGAATAGATACACATAAGAGGTTTTTATAACAGTATTTGGGCCGACTTGCCCGGAAGCAACTATTCGATCAATGAAAGTACACGCACAGGGCTTTTCTCTTCTATTTTTGTATCTGTGGTAACACATATTATTGACAAAGTTACTCTATTCAATCCTTTGTAGATCTATCTTGACATCGGAAATCGGAGTCCAGCTAGTCTTCGAGTCATCTGCAACCTTCTCGGCTAGGGCGGATGATGACTGAGAAATCTTGTACTGGCTGACAAGATGGAATAAAAAGGCTTTCATCATGGAATCTGCAAAATGCTGGCCAAGACACTTTCTTGTCCCAAAGCCAAAGGTAAAAAGATTATATCGCAGCTAAGATCTCGTAAGCCTCCAACTTGTTCTGTTCCCCCATCGTAAAACCTATTCTCAAGACTCACCTCTGCGGGCTTGACGTGTTGGAGCCTGCTTGGATTGAACATGTGGCTGTCTTTACCCCAAAATGCTTCATTGTGATTTATCTTCAGGGTGTCGACGACGACAGAAGTCTGACAGTGACGATGTTAGCAAGTAAACCGCCAAAAAGGTGCAACCATCTCATACGTTTGGAGGTATCACGTATCCGCCCAATACTTTCTCCGTGGGAGAACTTTCGGGAATTGTAAAAACTGAGCGCAGATTCAGCATATCTTTGTTTTATTTTCACCAGCAGCAATATTTCTTGAAACAAACCTGTAAACGGACGAAGACGAAGGGATTCTAGGAAACAGAGGTGTAATAGCGTATCTTTACGGCGGTAGTAAGCATCCGGATCATCGACATTCTTGCGGATTTCTTCACGCAGCTGCTCTTGGACGGAGCTACTCTCCGCCACCAGCGCAACCAGCCAGCTGAGAACATGCGTGGAAACGTCCAGATTGGCGAAGAGCATTTCGCTCAATGTCTGTAGAGTCTATGAAAGGTGTTAACTAATCTTCCAGCATGACTGAGGGACAAAGGTCTCGTGTCAAAAATACCTCACTCATTGGGATCTCTCCGTTGAGGACCTGATTCCAGGCTTGAACGATTGGCGGTGGTGACGAAACGGTCTTTTTCGCCTGATATATCTGATCATTAAATGTCATCCACTCGTGGCGGAAGTTGATGAGCTCTTGAGTTGCTTTTCCTTCCAGCGGACGACCAAGCTCGTAGCGAAAAGCTCCCCCATTGAGCACATGTACCATCAGTCCCAGACTTTTCTGGCCAATAGACCATAGCTTTTCTTTTTCAGCATCAGTTAAAGGACCATAGATGTATTCGGCGGTGCACATGAATGGAAATCGAGAGATTGCATGTGCGCTGTGTACATCGAAAGACGTAGCTCCTGCGGTTTCCGTAGCTACCATAGATTTAACGTAGCCGCGCGCATCTGATTCAATAGATGAGCTATAGCTCCGCACCCCATGATGAGCGAAGAACGGTTCCCATTCGCCGCGTAATTTCTTCCATCTTGTACCATTGATCAGCCCCATACAATCGCCGAGAAGTTCATGAAACATCCATCCGGCGTTGCTTGATCTGGCTTTATTATGGTGAGGAGAGTCCGAATGAAACACTCGCACATCCTCGGGTTTGGTTATAACTCTAGTGATAGGTTAATAATGATATGCTCACGGGATGTGGTCCCAATGACAAGAATCACTGACACCTCTGGAATGGTCCCTGCCCAGACCCTGTAAACGGCGCCGTATCGGCTCCATACTCTGCTGCACTCTCTTCCATCTAGAAATTTTTCTATGCACTGACCATTTGGCCATTTCCACCTGGGGCCAGCGATTGATTCTCCACGAGCATTGCGAATGGGATATATAAACGACAAGATATCCTAATTTCGTGTTAGAGAATATTCGCTTGCTTGGTAGGTTATTTCAAGTATCGTGACATACCGAGACAATGGAAGTAACCACAGGTTCACCGTTTAACCGAGCGATGAACCATCCAATACCAACAAATAGTGTTCCCACTATTGTCAATAGAGAAAGTAGAGTGAACATAATTGTAAGTGAAGTGGGGGATAGCTATGCTTGCATTGGAACTGGCACGAGCGCAGGAAATAAAGTACAAACAGCTCTTACATCCCAAAGGCTTGAAAAAAGCCCGGACATTATTCGGACCTTAGAAATATACTCCGATTTCAGACTTCACTCGGAGGCAAAATGAAGTGGATTGCCAAGGTAAGAGAGACAAAAGTATATGTATTTCATATTGGATAAGGCGTCAAACATCATTTCCTCAATCTTGTAATCTAACTAGAATCAATAGGTATAACGCAATCAGGCTTTCACATTTCCACGTGGCCGAGACGAATGATATGTCTCTGGGTTCAAGTAAGATGTAACGGCCAGAGAATCACCATCAACTGCACAAGTAACATAAGTATGGAACCCCAAACCGTCGCCCAGGTTTCGGTGTTTACTGTATAGCAATGAAATAAACAGTTAGTGGGGATAATCTAGGATTGAATGAGGTAAAGAAGATAGACACGGGCCGTACGTACCAGAGCCGAGAGACCCCTTCATAGTAGGATCCGTTACTCAATCCTTTGCCTCGCTTTTCAAGAAAGGCCGATAAACCTCGTGCCACCTGCTCGTCATCCTGAGCATAGTGTCTCACTGGCAAGTACACCTTCGTCTTCGGACTAGGACAGCTGGCTTTGATTTCCAGATAGTAAAGCAAGCCCGAAGTGCGATGGCCTTTTTCTGGAAGGGAGTTCGAGGCGTCGAAGCTTTGGTCATCAATTCCAAATATATTGCACCATAACTCTTTCAGCGACGCAATGTCGGAGATGGGATCGAGTTTTCCCTTCATGGTCAACATATCCACAGCACTATCAAACGAGGTCCGTGGTGATCTTATATAGATCTTTATCCGCGATTGTACTGGATCCACACAATCGATGGCGAGAATTTCGACCTGGAGCTGCTCTTTTTCATCAAACGAACGCAAGAAGTCGGTGACTAAATTAAGGGAATTGCCAAAATGGATTCCAACTGAGTCTAGACTCTGTATCGCATTTTCGACAGTTTCGAGGTTCGATTTCCCCGTTCGTGATGATCTCCAACTGGGCATAAAATAGTATTTCGTCACGACCTTATCCTCCAAAAGATCAAATGCTATGAATGTTTGAGACTGAGGATGTTGAACCCCGTTCTCGACTTCCGAAGGCTTGATTTGCTGAGGACTGAGCAGCTTGTTGGAAAAATGTCGATACAGCTGGAGATCCAGATCTGGAGAAACCGGGAGAGCATTCCCGAGCATCTGCACACCTGCAAATAAATTGAAAGGATCGGATACTGATCCCGCTGATTGTCCAATTGGCTCAACTGAATAGCGTACGGCTGGGATCTTGCGCTTGGAGCACCAGCACCAGCTAAGTTCGGCAGGTGTATGATCATCTGTCATGAAACTCTGCCACGACTTCGGCGGACCACTCGCGCGAGGATGAGGCCCGAGAGATCGTGCTACACGATCTGTGAAGAAAGTTCGGTGAAAGTCCTGAGACTGCTTCGAATAGCCGGCAATTTCCATCATATCCGACAACATGTGCCCAAGTTCATGGTCCCATAATGTCTTGTCTTCATTTTCGACACTCGGTCTGTCTGAACTTCTGCCCTGCAACAATTCTTCGTCTGAGCTTACTTTTTCCGTGACAACGGTTCGCTATTTGGTTATATCAGCTGAGACTCTCTCATATGTTCTGCTTTATTGTTTGCCTTACTGCAGACTTCACCGCAGGAAAGCTCGGTGTTGTCCAATATTCGCTACTATAAAACCTCTATCAGATGAATTTTCAATAGGACGCTTTGCAATGAAGAACTCACAGTGTCTGTATTTGAGGAGACATTGTTTTTGGAATAGTCGGATACGGATGATCTCCAAATGATCAACCAACAGACCTTGAAATACTGTAGATCCACGGTCCTCAAAAACACTGCCCTCCAGGAATCGCATTCAATTCAGACAAGGCAAAAATTCAGGCCGGCGGCACATAACTTAATCGCCGATTACCTTCGTTTCGGGCCAAAAACATTTAGTCCACCCAATTTCGCCGATCGGGCTTTATGGCAACACAGACATTTTCTCTAATTAGAGAACTACTAGTGAGGAATCGTGCCCCTGCGTATCCCTCACTTCAGTTCAGAGTAGCCATGTTGTCCCGCCAAAGCAAAGAGAGAAGCAAAACGCTGATTCCGTACTTACTGAGCCAGCATGACGCAGTACTCTCTGGCAATCAAGAAACCGTCGACCTAAGCACTGCAGAGAATTGGCTGATAAAGGATAAAATACTGGAAGGCCTACCAAAGGCGTTGGAGAGTTTTGACAATTCTGTACGCTCTATAAGCCACTTTCTTCGCCACAGAAAGCAACCGATATTGACACATTGCGTAGGATTTATCATACGCTCAAGGTATCGGCGGGTGCTCGAAAACAAGAGAGCGCCTGTCTGCATTCATTAATGAGCATTTCAACCCATTCTCCAAGGTTGATTCATCGGAAATTGTTCTGGCGGCGGGTGGCAGTTTTGCTCTGACGGCGCTTGCGCAGCAAATATGTGACCCTGGGGATGGAATACTCATCGCGGCTCCATACTGGGCCGGACTAGATATCTCCCTAAGCGTACATCATGATGCAAAGGTCGTTCCTGTTCATATACCGTTGGATGAATTTTTCGATGTGACAGGCGTAAAATATTACGAGGCTGCACTGAAGAGCAGCCCTGTTCCCGTCAAAGCTGTGCTGGTTTGTAATCCGCACAATCCATTGGGCAGATGCTACCCAAGGGAAACGCTGCAGGCAATGGTAGACTTCTGCTCTCGCAACAGCCTGCATTACATTTCCGATGAGGTCTATGCCCTGTCCTTGCATAGACCTGTGGAACATGACTATGTCCCGTTTACATCGGCTCTGTCACTCGACGGTGGAAAGGGCTTGGTTCATGTGATATACAGTCTTAGCAAGGATTTTGGATGTAGCGGACTCCGTCTGGTAAGTTGTTTCGCCCTAGATTGCAAAAATATATGCTCAATCTTCCAGGGCGCATTTATCACACAAGGCAATGAAACCGTTCGTCTGAGTGGTGCACTGAACACTCATAGTCAGACATCAACCATGGCGACGTCAATGGCTTTGCGGCATTTCCTGAGGGATGATATCGTGACACACATTCAAACCGAGGGAGCAGAGAAACTTACCACTGCTTACCATAAGATACGCGACTTTCTAGCTGCACGGCGCATTCCGTTCTCTCAAGCACCCTATGGCCTGTTTGTCTTCGCGAGACTTTGCCTCAGTGACAGTGTCGAAAGCGAGAAATTACTGAATCAGTGTATCAAAAAAGCTGGCGTAGCAGTCTCTACTGGCACAAGCTACCATTTTAACCAGGCTGGTTGGTTCCGTATCTGCTATGCTGTTCCGCCGGAGCAACTGGAAGAAGGCTTGCGAAGGATTGATAAAGGCATGACGATGTTTCATGACCTGATTTCTCAGGCCGATAGTACTTTATCCGCGTAGGAAGATATATATAGTAGCCTGAATTGAAACAACTTGACACAAAATAGACTTTTTTTTACAAAGAGCATCGACTCTCACTCAACCTCTTCTTTTATTTGGCAGCGGATTCCATTTAAATTAATATGAGCGTACGTGAAAACCATAGACTACAAGTTTACGTCAGGCATTTCAAGGAACTTCATCTATGATTCTAGAATTCCCTTCTCTAAATCACATAAGAAATCAAAAATCTATACGAAAATCTGGAAAGCGTAACAGTTCAAAAGTTTAAATTCAAAGCCTTCGAACACCCGTCAACCGCCTAGAATGTTACTTTGAATATCCAAAGCATGTCACTATAATGGGAAGCGCAACCTCTATCGGTTTCGCCCTATAAATTGGCCCACCACCCTTTGAATATTTTCTTGAATCCGAGCAGTAACTGGAGTACTCACTATGTTCTCCATATATTCGAATTCGCATACAGTTCCTTCCGTGGTTTCAGTGAATTCAACCAGGAGGGGAAACTTAGCCCCCGTTGGTCTTAGCTGAATCTCCTCCTCCGTCTTGGCATTTGGGAGGCTGAATTGACTCGAGAGCGAATCTTCCCGCCTATTGTAAACCACAATGATGTCAAACAGCGCGCCCTCGCAAGCCGCATTAAGAATGTTTTTGTAGGGCAATGCATGAGCGATAGCTCCTTGGATTGAGGAGCGCACTGAAGAAGTTGCCGGTTCAATAGCTTCCGTCCAACCTTCATCGACCTTGATGCGCAGCGGGAGTCGGTCCAGGAATAAGCCTAATAGTTCACCAGTTCCTGGTTCTGTTCGATCGATATACGGTATGGCGATGACTGTGTCTTTGATGCCCGCTGCAGAGCACAGTGCAATAGAAACAGCGGATACATATAGCTCTAAAGAGCCAGAAAAGTGAGGGTCGTCTGTGATGGTGAATGAAGTAGATGACCCTTGGCTATCAGAAAGTGAAGCGCCGTTTGACGTGAATGGCGTCGTTCGAATGTTTCCAAGATGATTCGTCCAGTATCTAAGATTTTCCATATCAGGAGATTTCGAAACAAAGTTTGCCTTCCAATAAGCCCATGCAGCATAACTCGGCTCAGATGCAATGGCTCGCGGAGGAGGCAGGCTTCCCTGCAAGAGCTGCGTGTAGTATTTCTGAGTAATTTTGAAGAAATTATTGATAGAAACTTTATCGGTAATGATATGGTGCTGAACCAAAGTGACTGTAGTGCATCCGTCTTCCTCGACCAGTAAGATTCGGATTAGTGGGCCAGTAGACAGGTCAAAAGGCGTATTTACTAATTCCCCAATTAGGCCCGGCTGAGAATTTTTGCTCCTGATGACCTGCGGAGAAGTATTGCATTTTGTTCGGCGCAAAAGGCCGTCTTCAGTACGATATGAGGAACCAAAAATAGCCTGTTCCAAGAAGACCTGCTTCATAGCTTCCTCGAGGTAATCAAGTTTGATGTCTCCGCTCATAGAGACCGTATAAGCAACGTTGAAAGTTTCCGGGTTGCTCGAACTTGAAGAAAGCTGGAACATTTCCTGTTCCAGATGTGAAGCCTTATCCCATGACTGAGGAAGAGTTCGCCATGCTGAGAGAAACGAGGGAGCTCCGGTAGGGGCCTCTTGCTTCGTTGCAAGATACTCGTCCAATACCCTCGCGAGGTCAGATAACACTGTTTTCTCCAGTATTAATCGCATTGGTATTTTGATTTCGAAAATTGCGGACAGTCTCCGAGCAATTTTAATTTGACGCAAAGAATTTCCACCGAGGTCCAAATAATCAGCGGTAGCATCAATCTCGACATCTGAAGCGAGATTCAATGTTTCCCGCCACACATCTCCCACTAATCTTTCTGTACTGTTAAGCGGTGCCCGGGACCCACAAGGGGTTAATTGAATAAATTGCTTCAGTGATTTTCTGTCTAGTTTCTGGTTGGCTGTGGTAGGAAATCGTGGCAGAGCAATAATAGTAGACGGGCAAGCATACGCGGGCAGCTTCGAACGTATTGCATCTTGGACGTCCGCTATGACCACATCATCAGGTGTCACGAAAGCGACGAGATTTCCGTCATGGACAATAGTTGCTGCTTGACGGACGGTGGCGCATGCTGAGCGAAGGGTGTTTTCAATTTCTTCCAGTTCGACACGGTATCCTCGCACTTTCACCTGATTATCGACTCGTCCAAGGAATCTTAGCTCCATCGATTCGGTCCAGACACCTTGATCACCAGTCCGATACATTTTAGATCCTGGAACAAATGGGTCCGGTACAAACCGGCTTCTGCTGATGGAAGCCATTTCGGATCCAAGGTAACCATCAGTCACTTGTATGCCGGACAGGCAGATTTCTCCGGTCACCCCAATTGGGACTGGTTGATCCTGAGCATTAAGTAGGTACACTCCCACACGTGGGATTGGGTATCCCAGCGTAACCCTCTTTCTCGGTCGAAGCAGTAGAAACAAACAGCCGATAGTGCATTCGCAAGGCCCGTATGAGTTATAGACGGTTCTATTACCAGACCAGCGTTCAGACAGACTTTGAGGAACCGCTTCACCTGCGAAGAGAATGGTGTCCAAATACGGAAAGTCTTCTGGCGAACAAACTGAGAGAAAAGAAGGAGTGACCATTGTTGCATTGACGCGACCCACATGTGCAAAAGGGTCATTGGGATCCACAAGGACTAGAGTAGCCCCGTAACAAAGAGTGCCGAATATTTCTGCAATGTTTACATCAAAGCCCGGGGAGAACATTTGAGCGTGCCGTCTTCCGGGGCGCGCATGCATCCTTGCCGGCTCGTAGGACAGATATGAGAGTACCGAACCATGGGTCACCCGAACGCCTTTTGGCTTGCCGGTGGAGCCGGATGTAAAGATGATATAAGCAGAATCATCTTTTGTCGTGCATGTTGTGAAACGAGGGACTGGTAACAGCTTTGAATGTCCTAGAACCTCATGAAGGAGAAGCTTTTGGGACGATGATATTGTGGAATAGAGATTGTGACAGGACTCATCCGGAAAAATGCACAACTTAGCATCAGACGTCTGGACTATGATTCCCATCCTGTCTAGTGGAAGTTTTGTATCCAAAGGAACGTATGTCGCTCCGGCTTTGATAACAGACAAAACGGCAATTAGCCAGTTCAAGCTGCGGTTGCTGACAATAACGACAGAATCCCCTAGGGAGGCATGACGAGAAATCTTCGTAGCAACATAGTTGGTGACTGCATCTAACTCTGAGTAGGTGATGGACTGTGTGAGAGACTCGATCGCTGTTGCGTCCGGCCATTGGTCAACACCATTCTCAAAAAGATCTTTCAATGAAGAAGGACCTGAGTAGGGATCCCAAAATGTGGGAGAGTTTCTCACAAGCGTGAGATACTCCGAAGGTTCCAGCATACGCTCTCGGATATCGCAAAGCTCTTGCACCCTTGGATCTATAAGAGCAAGAAAGAGGTTTCTATAATGTTTCAGTAATCTATCAATTAGTGGCGCTTCAAAGAGAGACTCATCAAAGAGCCCTTTGAAGCGCAGGTATCCATCGTTATTTTGAATGGAAATGACCAATCCAAATTCGGGCTTATCCCTGCGGTTGAATCTACGCAAGGTAATACCATTTTCTTGCCAATCTATTGCAAATCCTGGCAAGTCATATTCCAAGAATAACACTGTCTCAAATATACTCGAATGACTTGTGGATGCAATCTGTTCTAGAGCCTCAGCGGCGGACCACTGATTATCTCCAATCTTCAATAGCAAGGACTGAATATGCTTTAAAAGCTCGTCTCTCGTTTTGAGATTTCTCATATTGACAGGGAAAGGACAAGTATTGATCAGAGGCCCGACAATATTTTCTATTTCGGGTATGGGAGAGTTGCGTCCAGCAAAGACAGTGCCAAAAACAGCTTGATCTTGGGAAGTGTAACAGCCTAGTAGGAGCGTCCATGCAGCGTACGTTATTACGGCTGAAGACACTCCGAAATCACGAGCGCTTCGTTGAATGTGTGGCAGGGAAATACCAACATCTAAGGATGCTTCCCCGAACTGATATTTCTGGCCAGGAACTTCTGGAGTTGGGAGGTGTAATGGAGTCCCATCTTGAAAACCATCCATCGCCTCGCTCCAGAATTGCTTTCCTCTCTCGTTCTGCTTTCCTATTTCATTCTGGAGATCGATCGCAAAAGTCGAAAATTGAGGAGGATCTGGCAAAACAGCTCCTCTGAGAATAGATCGAAGTTCCTGAACAATTAATCCCATTGACCAGCCGTCAATCCTACTGTGATGGACAATCCAAAGAAGGATTGAGCGGCGACCCGCAGCTGTAATTAGTCGGAAGGCGTTGGCGGGGCGGAAAATGTCTCTCTGGTTTTGCTCTTTTGTCAGGGCAAACAAGTTCGCGGACTCTTCTTGAACCGCGTCATCCAGAGCACTCGGCTCAACAATCCGCTCCATCCAATCGTGCTCGTAAGTTCCGTTGATTTTTTGCTCTCCGCTCACAATGTCGAAAGAGGTCCGGAACACCGCATGCCTTGCCAGAAGTCTCTGCCAGGCTGATCTTAATTCAGCAGCGGCATCCTGGTTGCTTATATCGTCAAACTCAAGCGAAATAAGCATATATCCTGCTGTCGGTTCTTTTATGCTGGATCTGACCATCCCTGCCTGAGCAGCCGTCATCGGCACCGAGCATTGTGGCTTTGCCGTACAGGCATCTGCAGCCCCCGTCGGAGGTATATTTGTAAGTGTAGTCTCAATTCTTTGCAGTCTCTCAGACACCTCAACCAAACTCGGAAGAGCGAAAAGCTCAGAAAGCTGAATAGAGAACTCATTTTTCCTCAGGTAAGACAGCAAAGTGATAGCAGAGAGAGAATTGCCACCCAGAGCCCAAAAGGAGGATTCCGTTTGTATGGAGGGTTCTGGCAAACCTAATGCATCAGATACTGCAGCTCTCAGAATGTCTATTTTCGTGGTGTGTTGTTGCTTCCTTCTTGGTGCATCTGATCGCTCATCTAGTCGGTGTTTCAGAGCTTGAGTATCGAGCTTCCCGTTCGATGTTTGAGGAAGTTCATCGTAAGCGAAAATTAGATCCGGAACAAGAAACTCTTCGTGCTTTTCTGAAAGTTGGACACGGATATTATTGACATCCAATTTGGAAGGACTAACAAAGGCCACGAGTTTCGTTTTATGCATAAGTGCCACAGCTTGTCGTACGCCGTCAAATCCGAGTAGCGCGGGGACGACTTCTAAATCGAGATTTATTAAGAAACCTCGGTTTTTCACCAAGCTACCTTCCCGGCCTAGGAATTGAATGCCACCTGCCGTTCGCTTTCCAATGTCAGAGGTTCGGTATATACGTTGATCTTTCCATTGGATGAATTTCTCTGCGGTCAATTCCTTGTTCTTAAAGTACCCAATAGCAAGGCCCACGCCACTGATACATATCTCCCCCTGATCGGATTCCTCTAGACTTTCATTGAGTAGAAACATCTGAGATCCGCCGATAGGATATCCAAGGGTTATAGGAATTTCAGGACGAAGTTCTGCGATGCTCGTCGAAATTGTCGTTTCAGTTGGGCCGTATGCATTATATATCTTGCGATGTGGTAGCCACCATCTTCGAACCAACTCTGAGCTCGGTGACTCTCCGCCCAGAAAGATACAACGAATATTCTCATATCGACGAGGTTCGTGAAGAGTGTGCAGTAGTGTGGGCGTTGTGGGTAATATAGTGCAAGTCTCTGCGTCTTGCAGAAACCCAGCCGATTCTGAGAGAAGCAGATGACCACCGTTGCACAGGGTGCTAAACAGTACTCCGTAACATGCTGCGCTCGTGTTGGTTATATACCGAACTGTCTACAATGAGAGCTTCACTTACCATCAAATGCAATGGAGAAAAGAAGCATGACGCGGTCAGTCACCGTCACTCCTAAATTAAATGGTATTCTCTGAACATAGTTGAATACACTCCGTTGAGAAATGACAACTCCTTTGGGTTTTCCAGTCGTCCCAGAAGTGAATATAGTGTAGATGGGTTCTTCCAGATCCTCGGTCGTATGAGAATGTTGGGCTGAAAATTCGCCCGGCTGAGTTCTATTGAATTCCGCCTCAATTTCTTCGGCAGTAATGGCGTACTTGAGATCAAAATTGCATTTCCTGGTGACCAAGGAAATTTTGGGCTTTACTGTTTCCAGCACTGCATCGATTCTGCCCTGACTCCAACTTTCGGCATCCATTGGCACAAAACACGCGCCGATTCTGATAATCGCCAAGATTGACGCAACTGTCTCCAGATTTCGACATCCCAAAACTGGGACTACGTCTCTTGCAGCGACACCGCGGCGTAATAAAAGAGACTGAATCTGCAATACCTTGGAATCCAGACTAGCGTAGGATAGGCGTTGATCGCCTTGAGAGACGGCAATAGAATCGGGTTGATCTTGGACATACTTGTGTATCATACCCCATATTGATCCTAGATTGGTGAAATTGGGCGAGTAAATGGGAACTGGGGACATGATGTCTGAGTATACCTTGGTATGTGCGAGTCCAAAACGAACCAGACACGGAATTGAAATAGATTTTATTCTCTTTGAACAGACATATATTTTCTACGTGTTAGTCTGTAATTCTTCCCTCAAGAATACCTTTACGTTTTTCGGAGATTGTCAGTGATGCATCTAATGCCCGGAGCTTAAGCGTCGGTGTCAAAATGTTGGTTAAAACAATTCGCCGCCACCGGCAACAAAAGGACAAAATTTCTAGTAACACTTCTAGCTCATGTTAGCCCTAGAATGACCATGGTTTTCTGAATAGTTAGATAAGCAATAATTGATTCAATGGATTGTTTGTAATTTCGCAGAATTGCTTATACCTATATAGACATGCGTGGCACAGTGTTTGAGAAAATCCGTTTTAAACCAAGTTGACAAACTAATCCAAAATTCTGGTCATCATACTTCACGGCTGTCTTGTAATTAAAAGCATAAAAAATCTTCAGCATGATGTACCATCATTGTTCACTGTGCTTCGTGTGACACATCACTACAGATCATCCAAAATGGTCAAGTTGTAAACACTTTTGAAAGATTAATATGGCATATTTCTGAGCCTCCTCGGGTCCTAAAATAATCAGGAACGAGATACATATATTCGGTTCTAGCATCATTGATAAAATAAAATATCGGAGAAGATATGTATGATGGTGATCATTGAGACGAGTCATAGTGTAAAATCAACTTCGCAAATATTGCTTTGGGTTGTCCGAGCAGTAGGATATTAAAAAAGGGCCTTCTGGCCAAGAGCCTCTGCCAAGATCTGAGAAGATGCGCCCATGGCCGCCAAAGAACCAGAAAAGATCGCATTCGGCACGTTCTTCATCATACTGCAGTTGTCTCCTGCAGCAAAGACGCCCTTCACGCTGGTTTCGTAGAAAGGTGGACCTGCTTTAAGATCGCCACTGGGAGTCTTTTCCAGTCCAAGGTTCTCGCAAAATGGACCTTTAGGCTTGGATCGCGGATGGTGGGCTAAGAATCCTTCCACAGCATGGGTGCCGTCTTCAAACTCAATAGTCACTTCCGCGGGGCTACCGGTCCCCTTGTTAAATCTCTTGATCCGACGAGAATCGACTCTCATCTGCTTGGCTGATCCAAAAGCCGACTGAAGATTGGTTGACAGTTCTTCGGAACCGTTGGTGTAGAGGGTTACGTTCGAGCTGAGGGCAGCAACCTGGCGCGCTACATGGAGAGCAAAAGGTACATTGGCCAGCCCTTCGGTTGCAAGGAGACCCGCTGAGGGACATCCACGTTGTTCGTAGCCTTTGCAGAAGAGACAGTGAAAGCTGCCAAACGTCAGCGAGGGCTTGGTTAACCCGCACTCGGATTTCCCACAAACTTACATTCCTTTGCCCCAGAAATCGGCGTACCCTTCAAGATCTGGGAATATATCCTCAACTCCACTAGCGAGAATCACTTTCTTCCCAGTCCAGGTCTTGTCGTTTGCATCGACAAGCTCAAAACGCCCAGTACCGTCGGTTTTCCGAATCTGCTTCACCCCAATATTCTGAATAGAGACTTGATCATAACGCGAAGTAATGTTTTCTCGGGCTTTCGAGCGGAATTCCGCTGGCGCTGCATGGTCAAAACCAGGAAGTAGGTGCATGTGGTCTGTCGCATCATTGCGATAAGAGCCTGCGTCAAAGACAACTGATGTATGTTGCTGGCGGGCCAAAGTAAGGGCGGCGGTCAACCCAGCAGGACCACCGCCAATTATGAGTGCATCGTATGTTGAGCTCATTGTATATCGTGCGATGAATCTGAACGAGATATTGAAGACTTGTCCGTGGCAGTATGTTGGTCGAGAATATCGAAACAATTATCACTGTATTTTCCTAGGTTGCAGAGATATTTCCCCATGATGAAGGATTCTAATCTGAAATTGTAACCTCCGGAAACAAAGAACAAGAATGACATCGAATTCCCCAGCTTAAGTTTCCGAATAGTGTCCGAGTTGGAGTCGTCGGAGACTAACGATGCTGGTTGACCTGCAGGGTCCTCACGTCGGGTGCTGCCGACACAATAATGTCCCGGGATCACCACAACTCTGGGGAAAAACGAAGCCAGTCGAACTATAATGAAAAGCATGCCAATGCAACTGAATGTGATTACTTATAAGATGGAGAGCGCCCCATTTCAAAATTTGATCAAAAATTATATTCGACTTGGACACTTATCACCATGTCTTCCAGCACCACGACGCCTTCCGCGAATGAAAATGTTGAAGAGGTTGGAAAGAGATATTTCCTTCCGCGGAGCTACGATGAGGGTAGGCGCATGCAAAATCAGCATGAGTGGATTAAGGGATGCGCTGGTGGCCTGATTAAGGCCCCAATTGACCGAACACGCTCGAACCTTCATGTGCTGGACGCTGCCACAGCGGATGGTAAGTTCAGTAAACAATCTAATGAGAAAACCGTGTACTGAACCTCTATAGGCTATTGGATACATGACGTCGCCAGGGAATTTCCAAAAGATGCCGAGTTCGTCGGTTTTGACAGCGCGTAAGTTGAATTCGCTCGATACCTATTGCCCGCGTCCTGGTTGTTTCAGGAACAAATGATTTACTGTGGTCCTTTGATGTTAGCCCTGAGGAGTTTCCGCCCATCGAGAACCCCTCTACCAAATTTCATGTTGCCAAACAAAATTTGATCGAGACATTCCCGGCGGAGTGGGCGAACAAATTCGATCTGGTTCATCAACGCTTCGTCATCCCCCTGTTCAAAGAAGCGGAGGTTCCAAACGTCCTAAAGAATTTAACCGGCTGTGTCAAGCCTGGAGGATGGATTCAATTGGTGGAGATGGATTTCAGCGCCTATGTCCAAGCCGAGAAAACTACTGCGATCAACATGCTTCATACATTGACGAACTCAATTGTCTCGGACCCCAAGGCTGCTACAAAGCTTGGACGTCGCCTTGAAGAGCAGGGTTTTGTCAATGTACACTCTGAGGGAATTAATCTGGTTGCCGGAAACGCACCTGAAAGTTCTGAGCTGGGTGAACGGGGTTCTCGAAACATGCTGGCTGTCCTGCAGTACTTTATGTCAGTAGCAAAGTAAGTATCCTTATTGGATTCGAAAGCAGAAAATATACTAATGACCTAGGCCGGAAATGTTTGGCATGACCCAAGAGGAGTGGGCAAGCTTGCCTGAGAAATTTACGCAGGATATGAAGGAGCATAAGATGGTACTGAGAGTGTATTACGTTTGGGCGCAGAAGCCGGAACAGTGATTTATTTTTGATGAAATACATTGTAATTATTTCTTTTTTTTAAAAAATAAAATAAAGAATTTCTAGAGCTATACTGTGAAAAATGTTCTCGACTAATCTCTCGGCATGATACTTGAATCAGAGTTTAACAGGGAGATATATCCAGATTTGGGAGTATCAGTGGTTGGATAGCCACAATTCATTGTTCGTGGTGAGAATTTCTAGCCAGGTATATCACAATGAATCTCTTCACATCAACTTCCTTCACCCCTTTACATTCCCATTTATAGGGTATCCGTTAGTCTAGTCTGGGTCAGTCTTTGCCCAAAATTTCCACACCAAGCTAGTCTTTGGTCTAGGTTAGTCTTTAAGGTAAAGACCAACCTCCAGACCAGACGTGGGCGGTTTTTTTAACTAAACCCATCTATGCATAAATCTGGTATAAATGTGCATATTTTAGACAAATCACCAGCATTCTCAGCATAATTTTACTAACTGATTGTTAATATATTTCCTATAAAGGTAATATTGGTAGTAATCACAGACCAGTAGAAGCACATTCAAAAGACCAACCCAAGGTGGTCTAGTCCTACTCTCAAATTTCCCAACTTCGAGTTAACTGCGTAGAAGACCAAAGACCACCGGTTTCCACCAGCCCCAACGGACACCCTACCCATTTGGTATTAATTTGCTCTATCCATTTACTTAAATACTGTTCAAATTCTTTTTTAATTTCATTAATGCTACAACGATTCTGCCTGGCATGCAGCAAGTGCATGCTTGTTTGTATTGTTCATTTCCTCGATGGAGACGACGACGAAATTTCTTTCTGTATACAGAGCGGGTCAGTCGCATGGGAAGAGCTAGAAGAATGGGAGAACAGCTATTTCCTATTCCATCCTCTTCCTTTTTAGAGAATAGTCTGTTTTAGATCCAACCATGTTATCATGCTATCCTATCACCAGAAGGTTTCTCAATTCTTCCCGACATGTCTCCTTCATACTGACTTGCTCCTAGGTTCTCCTATTGGGCTTGACATAGAACCCGGATATGCGATCAACCCAGACGTTAGTTCACAGTCGTTTTCTTCTTTTTTCTTCTTTAAGAGCATTGCTGCTAAATCACGTTTCATCCTTGTCAGAAAAGCTACAAAATAACCTACTCTGTTGAGACGGATCCAAATACTGGCGATGGGCAAGCAATTTATCGCAACTCCGAATACGCTGAAACGTATCAGCCAAATCGGGCCCTTCTTAAGCGACACTACCGGATGGCTGTGCTGTGCAATATGACGGGCCGGGGGCCAGCCTACGACTAGGATGAGGACATCCCTCCAGGCATGGACCAGGCCCACGAAATCTCCAGCTCAGAAGAAGGAAAGTTGCGTTTCGAACTGGAATTGGCAGCGGCAACTAGAGCAAGCACTGCTCAGCTCTAAAAGCAGAATGCCCAGAGAGGCGGCCAACTTGTAGAATAGCAGCAAAAACTGTCTCGACTGAAGGTGAAGATTTCTGATTTTGAAGAGAAAGATACCATGTATGTCTAGCAAATTCGAATACAGAGGCTGTCAAGAAGATTCGCAAAAGCGGGACTCACAGAGTCACAGCCATGCAACAGTTCCACTCGCAAACTACGCCAGCAAGCTCACGAAGAAAGAATTGAAAAATGCCGGGCTAAAGGCGGAGTGCCTGCCCCTGCTGCAAAGTTTCGAGAAAATAAGTTGAACGGTCTGGATGCCTGAGTCCAGTTACTCGTAAGCCTTCCCATGATTTGGCGCTTCGATCAAGTTGATAACGAGAGCTTAGATAAGGACCCCTTGCTGCACTGGCCCCTTTACCCGTTTTGGAGTTAGAGCAATACGACTAGTTCCAGTATAATCCTGGTTATATCGTTACCCAGAGTTGTTGCTTTGTCCGGGCCTGATAACGATTCGCCGATATCAGCAAGTTGCTTTTGGCCCCGGATCTTTCTTGTTAGATGATGATCGATCAGTCAAAATGAATACTTGCTCACTTGCCCTGCATCTCAATTCTGCAATGACCGACGTGAACTCGTTTAAAGGCCTTCAAGCATGTCAAAAGTCGAAACTGAATCTCCCATTCGTACCGCTCCAGTTGCGAAACGGCTTCGGGTCGGAGACAGGACATTAGTTGCTTGCCTGGGCTGCAAGCAAAGGAAACAGAAGGTTTCCCATTCTCAGAACCACATTTTGTTTTCTGCGCCTTGCTAATTGCTCCAAAAAAATAGTGCGACGGCCAATCACCGACATGCAGAAACTGTCGTCGCGCTGGACGAGGTTTGCGACGTAAAGTCCTGACTGTTTCCAACTGCTGACCAGCTGGCAGAATGCCTCGTCGAGGACCCGACCACTAAGCGGCACCAGCCGCGAGGATATCTACAATCGTTGGAAGAGCGTGTGGCTTTCTTAGAAGGAATGCTTCAAAGCGTCAACCCGGATGTTGCTCGCGATCATCTGGGGCAAAAGGTTGCCGCGGAAAGGGCTTTCAGTACGGAGCAACCTCAAGCCACAGCTTCGGACACCATCAGTAGCACATCTAAAGACGCTTTAGAAGATGAAAAAGTCGACGACCTTTCTTCAGAAGTTGGTCTACTATGTTTACATGCGGCGGGGCGCGAGCCTCACTATTTCGGCTCCTCATCTGGCTTCGCTTTCACAAAGGTCCTGAATTCGTCGCTGAAAAATTTCCGGAGCCAAGGTCCAGGCATTTCTCTTGGGTGCGTGAACGACTCTTCGCTGAATACGAGGTCGATTGTGCCACCTTGCCCTCTCCCTAGCAAGCCTGTCGCGAGTATGTTGACGCAGGCGTACTTCGAAAACATACACACCCAATACCCGTTCCTCCATCGACCAACGTTTGAGAAGTGGGAGGCGGATGTTATGGCTGCAAGGGATGGAGAGCCGAGACATGTAGATTCGATCATGTTGTTTTTCTTATACATGGTAGGCGCTTGTTTTACTGTCGTACGGCATTTGGGTTGCTAAACTGCTTTTACCCAGGTATACGCTGTCGCTTCAATGATTGTTCCATTCAATCCAGAGGGGTCAGCCGAGGTAAGTTCATGCTACCGAGTCACAGAGATAGAGATGACTGAGGGGCGTAGGGATACAATGCTGCAGCTCAGCAACATATGGATTATGTGATCCAACTAGATACCGTCGAATCAATTCAGGCAATCCTGTGCTGTGCCATGTATTCTTTGAGATCTCCTGTTGGTGTATCAATATGGTACGCTATCGTGTATATCTTCTAAAATTCCTTTGGCTTGATCGCTGACCTTTTTTAGGACACTTTCTGGTTTTGCATTACGACAATGTATGGAGCTAGGACTTCATAGAAATACTCGCAAGTACTATCGCAAACAAGATCCTCTACGCTTTGAAATTGGAAAACGAGTATTTTGGTGCTCTTATGGCTTGGACCGGGCTGCTGCAATCACGCTTGGAAGACCGTTTGGTATCATGGACAAGGACATTGATGTAGAGGTAAGCATTTTTCCCGTCTCTGGCACTGGTCTAAATTGACAAACTTCCACTCAGTATCCTCTGGATATAGACGATGCTTTCATCGATGCCTCTGGGTTTCACTCAGCTCCGAGGTCTAATCCGGCTGATCCACCAACGAGCATATCAAGTGCAATTCACACCTTTCGGCTCCGACGAATCTGGTCGAGGATCAACGAATCTCTGTATCCGAGCGTAATCTCAGCTGACGCCGATATTCTGGCGTCTCCGGCAGTGGTTCAGCAGCTGCGAGAGGAGTTGGATGGATGGCATGCCTCGACGCCGCCTCAACTCCCTCCGATTTCTGCCGCACTCTCCACTTTTACATCTCAAGAATGGTTCCAGCTGGCCTACGATCATAGCGTTTTGATGCTGTATCGGAAGCATCTCACGACAGAGTACGCCTCCAGAGATGCAAATGCCGGAGCTATATTCCTTGAATGCACGGCATGCGCTCGAGAAATATGTCATCTTTATCGCCGCCTGTACATCCACCATCCGGTCAGCTACACATGGGGCTCTGTGCATATCCTCTTCCTTGCAGGTCTGACATATCTGCATTGTCTGTGGACATCACCGGTGCAGGACCAAAACTTTCAGCGAAACGAGGTATATGGCACTTGCACAGCCTGCACGATGGTATTGGTGGTAATGGCCGAGCGGTGGAGCGCAGCGGCAAGCTATCGCGACATATTCGAGACGTTGGCCGGCAAAACAATGAGCATGGTCTGCGATAGGGAGAATGGAGTCTGGCTGGCGCCAAATGAACCTATCATGAGCTTTGAACAAGATCCGGACATGTCTCTGATGAACGAGTGGATCATGAATGCCGTTGACGTTGGCATGTGTGGAGGAGTAGAGAAGTTGTTGAGCGATCTCGTGGGAGATCCGTTTTCGAGTTTGTGATAACCATATATATATCCACAGGGCAACGGGTCTAGATGGAGTCACGGTGATGCTTGCTTTGTATAAATTTCACACAATGAATTCTCGGCGCATAGGAGAGCTAGATCCCAAGGCTCGAAGATCTAAATATTCCATCGACTTCGTCCTGAGACTTTCAAGATACTGCTACTATCGCAAAAATCTATACATTCCACACTCTACCAAATGACAGGTATTCGCTATCTGCACTCTACACCAAAACGCCAATGCTGGTCTCTAACTCTGGCAATTCGTAACTACCTCTAAGGTCTTTGCAAGTCATCTGAGAAAATCATTACAAGTCCTTCCAAAACTGCTATAAAATAATAAAATAACTATCAATAGTCAATTGAAGCCAACTGGATAATAATAACAACATCAATAACAACAAAAAACTAGTAAAGCCATCTCCAGCTCGGATCCTTTGGACCCCGGGCAAGCACGTCCGTCGGAACATCCTTTTGCTTGAGCTTGACTCCCTGCGCGGCATCGCGTTTCTTGTTATCCCATCTCAGATACATTCCAAAAGCAAAACTCAAGAGGATGCCTATGGCCTGGAACACCGCCGTGACGATCAGGGCAGGGAGATACTTGGGGGCGGTATTGGACTTGAAGGCGATCGAGCTGACGATTCCACCAGAGTTACTCGCGCCGACGAGGACGCCAGTGATGGCGGCGCGTCCGTTCTCGGAGGGCTGGTTGTTGTTGTGCCAGCTGTGGAAGAGACAGCTGGGTGCAAAAGCGCCAGATGTCAAGAGGAAACACGCAAAGTATGCGAGGCCCTTGTGGTGCAGGGTGTCGACTTTGATCAGGATAATGTATCCGATCATGGTCAGACACATGGAGAAGCACAGATGGAGGGAGCGTTCTCGGAAGAGATCGGACGAGCGGGTGATGGCGAGGAGAACGACGCATCCGACGCAGTATGCTGTTTGATTGGGTCAGTAGATGGAAATGCTGGACTAAGGATTAAAAAAAAAAGAGGGGGGAAGGGACGAGGGGAGGATATGGGAACTTACGAGCAACGGTATACAGGTTTGTCTTGACGATAGTAAATCCCAGACGCTGAACCATTTGGGGCAGAAAGTTGGCTACGGACGCAGTAGCTACACCGTACGAAAAGCCAATGCTGGCCCAGATCATGATTCTGATATCTAGAATGCGCTTCAGAGCGGTCTTGAGGTCAAACTTTTCGTCCGTCTCGACGCTACAATCTTGAAGGAGACGCTGCTCGCCGACAATCTTTTCTTCTTCTGTGAACCAGCTGCATTGACTCATGCTTTTGGGAAGAATCCACAGCGCACAAGAGGCAAGAATGACGGTAGCGCCGCCTTCGATGATCATGAGCCACTTCCACCCGGGAACATGGGGGTCTTTGATCTGGAAGACGCCAAAGGCGAGTAGGCCGCTGAATGCGCCAGCGATGGTGGCTGATCCGTAGAATATGGCCATACGGAAAGCGAGTTCGTTTCGTGTGTAAAAGAGGGTGAGGTAGAAGGTCACGCCGGCGAAGAAACCGGCTTCAAAGGCGCCCATGATGAGACGAAGAACAATAAGGCCTGCCCAGTTGTGAGCGGCACATTGGAGCATGGTCATTGAGCCCCTGTGTTTACGAGTCTTGAGTCAGTACTGTGTGAAATACCAAAGGTTTTGAGAGGTGTTTAGGTTTGATTTGCGCTTACCATCCGATCATGAGGGTAGGAAGCATGATTTTTCCGCTGAATCTCTTCAGCAGCAAGTTCATGGGCAGGTCTAGTAGACAGAATGTAATGTAAAAGAGAACCAATGTGATCGAGTATTGGTTTCCGTGCATATGCAGGTCTCCCTCGAGACCATCGGTTTTGGCGTTTCCCAAGTTTGACCGGTCAACGCTGTTGAATAGATACATCAAACTAAGAAGAGGTAGAAGTCTTTTTTTCACGAGTCAGCGGGATATATCAAACATGGTGTTTTCATTGTATTGGAACACGGACCTTGTATCAAGCTTCCATACGACCCGCTTCTGAACCACGGGGTCAATGGCTGAGAAGACCTCGCCATATCCCATGTCGCCGTTCTTGCTTCCCTCCACGTCGCTCTCGACGGTTGGGGTCTTGATGTTCTTGCCATCGTCCGTTTCCATTGGAGAAATTGCGTTTGCAAGAAACCAGATATGTGTGGTTTTTTTTTTTTTTTTGCTAGAAATGTCTGGATCTAGATGATCCTTCAATATTATGGTGTAGAGGTCCAACTGAATTGCTAATTCAAAAATGTGTCAATGGACAAGTCAAGAAAACATCAAAAGATCAACAGTGAAATATATCTTCCGTTTATATCCACCGAGCTAATCATGCCAAGGCCAACAATAAATGCATGATTGATGAAGACACACCCAAGGAGGGTCAACAAGCACATGGGAAGCATGGAAGCTTGTTCAAAGATAGGAAACTACCACTAGGGCGGTATGCGGGTAAATGCGATAAGCCTGTTGCATGTCTAGAGATGGTGGCCTGCGCGGTCTTTGGCCTGAGAAGCCGTTGTTGTCTTGGCTGTAGTCGCACGACTGCATCCTTGGTTCCTGGCGGGGAAAACAATGCCCCAGAGATAGTAGACGAGGAACGTCCCGACGAACCTCCGCTAGTCCGGGTACAATTCGTGTCATAGTTTCAGGCAATATACGCTCCGTACGGGTATCAGAGACCAATATTCAGCAAAGACACTATTAGCCTCCCGCCCTGAAGGACCGATAAATTGCGGGGACCTATTGGAGAGCCAGGCATGATCCAAGTTCAGGAGAGATGTCGGAACATTCCTCCAATAACAGTTGAAGCAGCGCCGGTTCAATGATAGCCGTTGGGGACGGTCGGGGTTGGGCCGATCTAGTGGCCGACGGTTCAAGATCGTATTCTTCCGACGTCTACAAAGAAGGTTAGTATTTGGCCATCCATTCGAATTGACACCTATTATGTACTCTACCTGAGATGTACGAAAATGATAAACGAATTACTGCATTATTATTGAACGATGATCATGTCAAGTAGATTGTTCTCCTCACAGGCATCTTAAGAGCTCATTCGGTCATATCTATCCCCGAAATGCGTAGTCTGGCTGGGACTAGTTGAGACCGCGGCAAACCTCCCGCTCGAACCGATCAGGATAACCGTCAGGCCGTCAGACCGCTATCTTCCGATCCAGGGTCGCTGGGATCTCCTCCATCAACACTTTGTTGTCTTGACTAATCTAGTGTGTATGCTATATATTATAGCAATGACGTGCTCCAATTGCGTGTTTGTTTCGCAACGCCGCGTTCTTGCCGTTGCTCTCCGCGGTCTGCTGCAACGACTGTACGATATACATTGAACAAGAATGGCTTCAAGACCTCTGCCCCCGTCCAAAGACGCGCCTATCGTGATCATCGGGGCGGGCATCTTTGGTCTCAGCACATCAATTCAACTTGCGCAAAGGGGATATACGAATGTCACTGTCATTGACCATCAACCGTATGATGTTTCGCAATATTCTTATGATGCGGGCTGTGATGCTGCTTCGGCAGGTATGTGCACCACGGCATTCAGATAACCACAAGCATGCCCCGCATCGATTTAATATCTAGCCTTAAATGTTGACTCTTGTTGGAATTCAGACATCAACAAAATCTTCAGAAGTGCATATGGTTCGCAAACCGTGTACCAAGACATGTCACTAGAGGCAACGAATGACTGGAACGCATGGAACGCCGAGCTGGCATCCATGGCTCGGCCCCCACCGGGACTCACAAACCACGACGAGCTCTTTGTGAAAAACGGAAACGTTTCGATTACAGACCAATCCTCTCTACCTGATTTCGAGCTGCAGTCATATAATAACATAAGCGCTGCGGGATTGCGAAACAACCAGGTGATACTAACAAACGACGAAGACGTCCAGCGAGCGAAACTCAGCGGATACGGCTATGCCGTGGATCCATTTGGTCGCAAAGCTCGCGGCCACTCGTTTGTAGGGTTATTAGATATGGGCGGAGGGTTTATGCGCGCTGCCAAAGCCTGCCGCTTTGCGCTTCACAAAGCCAGACAGTCGGGCGTCAACTTCATCTTGTCGCCCAAGGGAGGGCGATTCGAGTCATATGTCTATGCTGCGACGGACCCGACTCAGGTCACTGGCGTGCGTACCGCCGACGGAAACGTACATAACTCTGCGCTTACCATTGTAGCTGCTGGTGGATGGACTCCGACCTTGGTGCCGGAGCTTGACGGCCTTTGCGAAACAACCGCGGGCACGGTTGTTATGGTTCAGCTTCCCGTGGACTCGCCACTTTATGCTCGATATGCGCCGGAAAACTTTCCATCGTGGTCGTACAAGATGCGGGATGGTGCAGCTGGAGGCCTGTACGGCTTTCCCAGGGACGAGAATGGTGTTGTAAAGATTGGATATCGTGGAACTAAGTTTACGAACCCGCAAATCCAACCAGATGGCAAAATACGCAGTACCCCTGTCACGCGGTGGACAGCGGAGGAGAAAATCACCACCGTGCCCAAGACTGGACTCGACGTGATCCGCAAGTTCATTCAGGATTTCATGCCCGATATACTGGATGCAAATCTCTCAATCACAAAATCGCGGATCTGTTGGTACAATGACAGTTATGACAATCACTTCGTCGTAGATCACGTGCCTGGGAAGAAAGGGCTGATGGTCGCGACGGGTGGCAGCGGCCATGCGTTCAAATTTTTGCCAAATATTGGGAAATATATTGTGGATGTGGTCGAAGGAAAGGGCCTGGACCGGGCGCTCATTAAGCATTGGAAATGGAGGGCGCTGGCGCCCAACCAGCCTTTTGTGAACAAATTGATGGAGGGTTATGCTGGCGCTCGCGTTCTAAGCAAGCAAGAGCTTCTCGAAGCGGAGAAGCAGAAGCTTGCAAATAACCCCAGGGCCAGGATATAAGTGATATAATCCTCTATGATTATAGTGTATTTAGAATTGAGCATAGCCGACGCTAGAGGTCAAAATAAAGATGAGAAACATGACAACAAACAAGTAAATGAACCAGGGTATCGCCCACGAATTTCCACCATTATAAAAACGAAAAGTAATAAAGAAAGCCGGGCTCCTTCACGGCAAGGGATTAGTGGTGACAGACCCTTTGTCCTTTGTTGGAGAACCATGCTCAACGTGGGATTTCCCGCCGCGCTCAATATCGAATCCAATTGCCTTTGCGTCATCAGAGCCGCGCCGCGGTTTTATCCGCGGGTCATCTCGATTCTCATCATTGTAGTTATGAGATGGATTATAAATGGCTTCCTGGCTGACTGAAGTGATGCCGGAAATTGACGTTAATGATCGGCACCGTTGGCCACGCTTGAAAGGGTTCAACACCCCAGCTCGACGTCGATTGCCATCAAAACTAGCTAGATGCGATGCCTCCATTTTGCTTCCAGAGGCACTGGTGTGGCGTCCCGAAAACGACCGTAGACCAAAGAGCATGCGCAGTAGCGGCCACCAGCACATGAGATTTGAAACGTATATGGATGTTGACGATTCGCGAATGTGCCAGACCATGTAAACCGGGATCGTGGGGAACGAGAAATTATAGTATTTGTTTAGAATTGCAGCTACTATGACGAAGATGCCGAGAGAAAAGACAGCCAGCAGGATTCCTTTTCTGATTTGTCAAAGCGTCAGTATAAAGCACGATTCGTATCTGTTATGAAAGATTATACCGACTTCAATGGAGGAAGCTGAGTCTTCACGATCAGAGGGATTGGGATAGCCAGCATTAAAGCGTCTGATGAGATGTTGAATACTGTCTGGGTAACGCAATATTTGAAGTAATTGGCGCATTGGTAATCTCTTGGCGGGACTGCCCAATAATCGGAAAAAGGGCGACAGTAGACAAAGAAGAATGTGATTTCGATAAAGACGAATCCAAATGCGACATATCCTGCAAGGATTTTGACGAAGAGATTCTGCCTAAGACCGATCCTGTGATTGGAGATTTGCGGGTGAATTTAGACTCCGCGCAGTCCGGATATGTCCAGTGATAACTTACGTTAATTTGTGACTGGCATATTGTTAGTTCAAGCTACTATCACACTTGATCAGCTGCTGACTTACTAAAGAGCAAGAATGGAAGCCTTGACACCCCATAACGTCACGAGCATACACTGTTCGACGCCAATGTCGATTTTACTGCCAAAAATTCGATCGGCGACATCCTTGGGATTTGCCAGCACCTTTGGAATGTCTGCGGGATCGATCAAATTGGTAGCATATCTCGCAGCGATTTGTAGGAGGACTAGAAGCGCCGTATAAAAGCACTGTTCAATATGCAGTCATTAGTAAACTACTCCTGTCCCCAATCTTCCCATTTCGAGTATTAATTTTGTCTCAACATACAAAAGTCACAATCATGACATAGTCGTCAATTTTGAGGCGTTTTATCGAGCCGGTGCTTATGATTCTAGACCAACTAATGTATATCTCAGCATTGACTGCCTTTTGGGGGATACAAAGCGCTCAAAACGAACATTCGTCCCCCAAATATAATCACCGCTATGCTATAGAAGATGATCGACTCCTTTAGCAATTGTGCAGGCGTAGGTGCTGAAACCATAATGATCACAGATGGGGCCTTCTATGACCTTTAACTAGATCCCTCGTTTGGGGTTTGAAACGGCAATGGTTGTCAGAGCCAAGGTTGGAGAAATTTAGAGAGCTGTCAGATTCAAGCATGCGACATGCGCGCGCGTGCTTGGGGTTAAGAGTCTCCCCGGATCCCATATCGCATCTGCTGAGCTACTCAACGGGGATATCACAACGGCATGAAAGCTGGGCCCGCTATCAACGTGGGAGAATCCCCCAGCTAACCCGATGCTCTGGAGCCGACCGTAGATTTGCCAAGGGTCAGTGCACTCCATTACCGTGGGAGTCGCTGATAAGCCGGCGATAATTGCACAAAAAGGGTACAATGGTGACAGGGCTTGCAGCTTCCACCTGCCGCGTTGGGTTCGATCGGAACGGCTCGCGAATGAGAGGACTTGTAAAAAGCGTCATCAATTACCGTAACACGGGATTGCTGAGGCACAGCTCCTCAGTCAATTTCCGCGTCCTCATAAAAGATAAGGATTCTTCTCGCCACATCGGATGACTTTTAATCCTCGTCTGTCAAAAGGCCGCCCTCTTGGGGAGGTTGACTTGTCGTAGTCAGTGGTCACTAGTCTTCTCTTTGGATGTCTTGGATCGCTCTCTTACCCAAAGGACTCTAAGGCCTCAATTAACGGAGCCAAAGCATGTCATACCGTCGTCAGGGTCCGTTGGTGCAAATCGTTAAGCCCTAAAAGGCAATCATGTAATCTGAAACTTGTGGGCAAAATCGCGAGGGTTTGGACGATCTATTGCACCGTTCAGGGTCCATTGAACCGATCGGGCATATCCGAAGCCATGCCATCCAGAACTCCGTGAGAGACTCCCAAGTCCGAAGTGCATTATTGTTATCAAGGAAACCCGTCAATAACTGTTAAGGTTCATGATTGGTCTTTTTCTCGGCCAGCAGCCTCTTTCTGCTTTTCGCTTTTGATGTTCAAGATGCCCCGGCAACTTCCACCCTACTGGCTGCCCGTTTGTAGAATCCCTTGATTAATGGCTCATATCGCTCGACTCCCTGCGTGTCGATTATTATCGCACGGAATACTCCGGTCCACGCGCATCCCGCGCATCCTCGTTGGCTTGGATGTTGTGGTCATCCTGGCTAAACCTCTGCCTTTTAATAAAAAAAATAGAAAAAAAAGGATAAGACGAAATAATAATAATAATATTATATTAAAGATGAATAAGAATAAAACAAATAGAGACTAATATTAGATAATAAAAAGAAATGCACCTTGTGAAGTAAAATGTATAAATGTATAGAAATTAAAATTCATCGTCTATCCAATATCTACACAAGCGTTAGTTAACGGGTTGATAACAAAAACAAGGACGTAAACAATCGACGCCAGTATCCATGCTCTCAAAGTGACACAACTGTGTGTTCTATATACATACGACATCAGCCATGCAGGGTAAAGCCTTAGACTTCGTTTTCGTTCACTGGCGAAATAGCCTTTCCAGTTTCCAAGAAAGACCTTATGTTTTCCAAACATTCCAGCTCCGCTCTTTGCCATGACGCATTCGTGAGACCTCCAAGATGGGGTTGGAGGGTGCAGCGGTCGCTATCAATGAAGTATTGCTTGATCTCCGGTTCCTCTTCAAAGACATCCAAGCCTGCACGTCGGACCTTTCCAGTCTCCATTGCTTCAATGAGTGCATCTTCGTCAACGATGGGTCCACGAGCAGTGTTGACGAAAAAGACACCATCCTTCATCTTCGCAAATTGCTCGTGAGAGATCATCTTAGTGGTCGCGTCATTAAGAGGACAATTGACCGAGATGACGTCGGAGGTTGAAAGCAGCTCATTCAGTCTCGCGCAATACGCCGCACCATAGCGAGACTCCTCCTTTGCAGAAAGTTGGTTCCTATTGTAATATTGAACCTTCATATTGAACACAGCAGCTTTATGCGCCAAATGCTAGAAATTGTTAGCGGAATCCTCATGATTGTATCTTGACATGCTTTCGTACCTTGCCAATGCTTCCCATCCCAATAATACCCAAGGTCAACCCGCTTGGGTCGACAGTTGGAGAATGGTCGTGTCTCCATTTCCCTGTCCGTGCAGAGTTCTCCGCCCGTGTAGCATCCTTCAAAACGGCCAGCATCAAAAAGATTGCCATGTCTGCTGTAGCCTCCGAGACAGCATTTCGAGTATTACAGAAGATCACCCCGTTCTTAGTCATCCAGTCCACGTCGAATTCATTGTAACCCGCCGAACCAGAAACCATAATCTTGCAACCCGGAAGCAGACCTTGAAGCAGTTCGGCATCGAAAGGCTCGTAAGGCTTTGTGCCCATACGGATCAGAAGAGCGTCGTACGGACCGGAAGAAGCGACCTTTTCGGGCACTTTGCGGATGACCTCTTCTCGTGTAGTTGCTTCCAATACCTGTACAAAATTAGCTCATGCCGGAATGGTCAAAGATATATATTCCTACATCGAATTGGAATTTGGCCTTAAATTCCTTCATGTATTCTTCACCAGCACATTCAGGGTAGGTAAACGCAAGCACCTTGGGCTTGTCCGAGATTGCTGATGGTGCCATTCTTGCCGCACTTCTCCTGTATGATTCAACAACGGATCGAAAATAAAAGAGAGAGTATTCTTTGTATTGTTCCTAAGTATGAAAGGACAGCGACGGCGGCTTCTATATACTATCCCGCCTCGAGAAATCTGGAGATGAGCGGTAGTGCGCTACTCAATCACTCAGAGGTGTCAGAAACCGGGGCAAACCGCCTCGGCTCCATCATGGGAATTCCATCGATCATGGCTGACCAGAGCGGTGTCAAGGTCATCAACAGGGAGATTCCGACCAAGATGCGCTGTTGAATTGAGAGGGTGTCGAAGCATTTGGCGGGGTTATCTGCCCCACTCGGAAGGATACGATCAAGGGCGAAATGTACCAGAGCTAAAGAAACGGAAAGGCGGGGAGGAATTGCGTGTTCGCCTTGAAACCGCTGATAAACCCTTCTAAGACTTGGGCCGATGGAAATGATTCGCTCGTTCAGTGGGAAGGCTACAATCCGCCAAGGGAGGTTCAATTAGCGTTGATTGGAAGCTTTCGCTAGGTTAGGGGCTGTCATCCAGGATTACTCATAAAGAAGCGCATTGTTCTATCTGAATACTATGCCCAAAATAAATACACTTCAAAGTCCGATATAAGTCAACCTTTGATTCAATTGCGATGCAGCGAACAGTCGTGATTATCACGGGACTCTACTTCTTCGCCGATCTATATTGGATATGTCCTTACTCCTCCTGCTTGAAACCCAATCTCGCAAAAACGTCTCCGTGTATCTGTTTGATTATCCCTACCCTTTTGGCTTATAGTTCCCTCTTCCGTCTCCACTGTGGCTGCGATTGCTGTCTGCATGTAATCTTGCCAGTCCCCAAATTTACTGCCAACTTGGCTTTGCGCACCTCGTTCATATCCAATGTTGCAATGTGCCTCCTCGGTGTTGATATGAGACCAACCCTCCCAAAGATCTTCTTCGTCGCTACTCTGCTGACAATGCGAATGAAAATTTTGATTTGGCTGGCTCGAATTCGCGGAATTCGAAATGACTGTTCTTTGTCGCGTTGCCTTCACCATTTTTGCATTCTGACTTCTCCGTTTTCTATTCGCAGCTTTTCCCTCCTTCCTTACCACATGAAGTAGATGACCTTGTTCATCGCTCCATTTCAACATTGCGTGCTCATCTGCTGCATCTTTTGCAGCATTTTTAATCCACGCTTCGACCCACCGCAATAGACGAGGCTCCTCCCACCAATATCTGACGCGTGAGAGCAGCGAAGCACGGAGGGCAAGCAGGGTAGAAACGTCGCTGCCTACACGGGCGAGTATGCATGCCTCGCACCTATTTTCCTGGTAGCACCATTGCCAATATGGAACTCTCAGATCTCCATGTTCTTGCGTTGATGGAATGGATCCTTGATAACGGGCTTTTGAGTACGAGCGCGAAGGCGAGTACTTACTGGTTTGACGCTCCCAGAGCATTTGTATATATGCATCTGGTGCGATCCACATTCTGCAAAGAGCTCGTAACTGTTGGATAACCAATAGTGTAACGTGGACATGTTCCTCGGTGGTAGAACTTCGGCCCGTTGCGTCCCGCTGCGACGATTTTCTTCGGTATCCCTGACCCTGTTCAACGTAAGTAATAGGTTCGTCGTCAAGTGCTTCTGTATGATGGAAGTTGCTGCTTCTATGGTGCCTTTCCCTATTACTGTCAAACACGGTAAAGTATACCGTATCAGTATTGTGGGCATACCTGAAACTATCGTCTTGGCATAGATTTTTCCGGGTTCCCGACTGCATTGGGAGGGGAAAAACTCTCACCAGTTCAACCGTTTCTCCTCGGCCTTGTGTCATTGTCCTTTTCTCGCTGCTTTTGTCTTTTTTAATGGCGTTGTTTCTTTCCGAATGTCTCTTACAATGTTCATGATTTTCACCTCGATTGGCTTCATCTTTCACATTTCCATCGGGTTTCAAATCCAAGAAGTCCACAAATGTCTCCAACCGGAGGCCTACTTCAGCTACAATAGCAGCAAATAGTAGTCGGATAACGACAGAATTAAGGCCGCGGTGAATGTCGCATAAGGTTGCGCACAGCCCGAGGCGATTATCTGTACCGGCCGTCTTATTCAACGAAAGGGACGAAGTAGAAGATGAGGGAGAAAGATGGTTTCTCGAGGACGTTCTGTGGGGCCATTCTGCGCCCCCAAACCATGCAACAAGACGCTGCTGGATGCATCCGGGTACGGGGCTGCGTAGGTGTACGGGCAAAGAACGGATCTGGGCTCTGGTGATTTTCTCGTACTGTAAGTCGAGGAAAGACTTGGTCCGATGATGTTCCCGATAGTGACTAAGTAGCAAAGTCAAGTCATGAATATCTGAAGATGAGAAGGAATTCAGTGTCAACGTTGAGTTTGAAGAGCCTTGTTTTTGTACACAGCGCTCTCCTCGTCTTCCGTTTTGCAATTGTCTTATCTGGGCTGGTATGCATTCCTTCTCCCACCTTTTGCGGATGTGTCTTTCTGCTGGAGCATGAGGTTGAGGCGGTAAGTCTTGAGCTGGAGAATTACGATTAAAATGCGGAGCTTGCTGAAAAGCCTGTCTTTTTGATCTGCCATTCTCGGTATCTAAGCTAGCGTCTTGTGATCGCGAAGGAGCAGAGCGATAACAGAAACATGATCTAGAATCACCACTGCTCTCTGTTTGCTCCCGCGACAAATTCGATCCGGTTTGCACAGACGGATCGAATTCTGGTTGATCCTTCGTAGGAGCTGTTCTTGTAAGCTCGGAGCAAGGGCAGCAATGGCACTGCGATGGAATCTGCGGTGACGGTGGTGGTGTGGGAAGAGTGACCTTTTGAGCCGGCTTTGTTTCCAATTTGGGGTGATCTCCAATATTCATGCTATTGTGGAATATGAGATCTGCACTCAATCCTGGGAAATAACCATCATTTTTAATTATACCAGCAAATAGTGGGGCTGGCGCCGCAGATATGCAATTGCAGCTGCATTTTGAAGTTGCGCCTGAAGAATCAGTCTCGGCCGTCTGAGGCATTGAGTTTGGAAGGAAGCGTTCGTCTTCTCTTAAGGAATTACAACGAAATGTCGAGCTGGATGCTGAATAGACACTGCTTTTGGTTAGCGACTGGGGCCTCTGTGTAGTTGAACTCTGTTCTGCTGATCCGGCTCGTCTGTGTGTTGTTTCATTAGCATTATTCACACTTTTAGGTGTTAATGGCCGTTCCATTCTGTCTGCTTCAGCTCCATTTGTATCTGAAGATAGTAATACTTGATAGACCTTGTTAAAGTCCGATGGTAGTTGTGGTTGCATTCCAACGCGCATTATAGATGCAGAGAATATCGCTACGGATGTTAGCAAAATCTTCTTTTTAGTCTTTTGGCGCGGCAAAATTTAGAGCGGAACGAGCTTTATATGGCGCTGAATGTGACTGGCGCATTCTAGTCTGGGCACAAAAAATGTCATTGTCTTAGTTTAGTATAGACTTTGGAAAGATTTCGAAATATCAAAAGACTAGAATCATCCATCGTATAAAACATTGTGTTTCATATTTGTTAGCGTTCTGAAAGCGAAAGAAGAAAAGGTGTGTCATGACACAAAGAAAACTAAAAGTTTTTAATTCTCCAGGACAAAAGGCTTGGAAGGCAGACCTGAACAAAGTGAATTAAAACGCGCTTTGCAATGGGTGAAACTGCCGAGTAGCCTTTTCTTTGTCAAACAATAAAGACAAGCGTTGAAATATCAAGATGTGCCAGTCTGATCAGCAAGTAGCCGAATGCGGGATATCAGAGGCAGAGCAGGCAGTATAATATCTCCCGGATGTACGAGAAATCTAGCGAGAAAAAGCACCCCGCCGTTGCTTCGCCGTGTGGCGCAGGAGAAGGGCGATTCACTTTTCAAATGGATAAAATGACAAATCGTTGTGAGAAACCAAAAACGCCATTGCATTACAGATGATATCTACCCATTACAAATATCAAGGTATAAAAACTAAGAGGAGCTTATAACATCATCTCGTTAAATTATATCGAGCCCGTCCCTTGGAACGTACCATCTTTAGCATAGAATCAGAAGTATACCAAGGCATACCAACTCAAGCCCGGCAAACAAAGAAATCTTTTAGTGATTATCATCCTGAAGGCTGATACCTCCCTCGCGAATGCGCCTCTGCGCTGCCGCAAGCTCATTCTTCCCCAAATCTCCAAAACCGTACCTGTATTCAAGTTTAGCCTATGCACAGAAACAAAGTCATTACTAGCATCTGAACATGGAATACTTACCATGTGATCGCAGCCAGTCCCAAAAATGCACTGATACAGCTGAAAACCAGAGCAACAATTCCTCTAGCGGTAAATCTGAGAGCCGGTTAGCAAATGTATGGAGCATAGAGTTTTCGCATGATCACATACCCAGCAGGAAGCGGCTTCACAGAGATATTTTCGCCGGAAAGATCCAAAAAGTTCTTGGTGTTGCCCGCAGCATTTCCAGCAGTCGGGATATTTTTGGCCTTGCAGGTATCGTAATGTTCCGGGGGAATACTAATCGTTTTCTGGATATCAAGCGGCGCCTCAATCATTGTAGCGATAAGACCCGAAGCAACGTGCCATTCAATGTGGCAGTGGAATAACCAAACTCGTAAAGACAAGATTAATGTCAGTTGATTGGCTGAGAGATCAGTGAAGAAGGTGACTTATCTGGGTTATCGGCGCGGAATCGAATGACAAAAAATCCCTCCGGCTCGACCACAAGAGTGTCTCTCCGCATGGGAGTCTGAATCAGTGGCACGCTTCCATTATAGTTGCCCACATTTTCAGTGGACCGATAAGCAACTTGGAATGCATGACCGTGCAAGTGGAAGGGATGCTTTCCAGTATCATCATTGTTAAGAACAATTTCAACAACTTGTCCCTTTTCAAGGACAAAGGCATGAGAGTTTCGACCGTAAATTGCCGGATTGGTGGCATTAGGGCCAGTTGTAAGGACAGAATACAAGGTGGGAACCTTGGGTGGGACATAGGTGATTCCGTTAAAAAAGGCGCTGGATTGGTTCGTAAGAAACATTTTGGGAAGAAAATATAAAGCGCTCATGGTTAGTTTAACTTACTAATTTGCACCATCGCCAAGATTATCCATAGTTAAGTCGAGGTTGAAGGAATAGTCCACATGATCGAAGATCTTTTCGTGATCGTGAGGCACAAGGAGACTGTCGTCCAAGGGAGCAAAATCATCAAGCAAGGCTGCCTGTGGCATGTCCTTCTTCGAATCATACACCAACCAGCCCGTCGCGTTAGGGTTCAAAGTGTCAGGAACAGTGTCAAAGAGTGTCTAGACTAATGTCAATGACCAACGTAATACGGGGTACTGTTGAGAGGATCACAATACCTCATCCATGCTCATCACGAACGGGAAGTTGGCATCCGTAGAGTTTTTCATTGAGATGAGAACACCATAACGCTGAGCTGCGCCCATGTAGATCATATCAGTTTCGTAAGGCTCCGTATAGATGCCGTCAACTTCGATGACCTTCATAGTATGGCCTTCAAACCAGATATACTGGCCAGCAAAAGCGCCAATATTGATCATTCGGAAGAAGTAAGTCTTTCCAGGTTCAACAGAAACGGTGAGGTTTTGGGTGTCATTAACCAGTGCGGCATCCGGCACCGGCTCCGCACCCGTTGGGTTGGCGTAGCTGATAAACCACTTGAGCAGAGGCGGCATTTGGTCATGATACCAGTCAGAGAAGGTCAGAACAACCTCTTCATCATAATCATCCTTGAAAGGCGATTTAGGGTCATTGACGATCAAAGGACCGCGGAGACCATCGGGATATTGGCCTCGCTCGTGGGAGTGATACCAGTATGTTCCCGGCTGGTCAACCTATTGCACAGATATCAATAAATATCACATAACCTTCTCGCGATTTGTAGAGCATACCGTGAAATTATACAAGAAACTCTGGCCTGGAGCAATACTGCATTGAGTTACGCCGACGACGCCATCCATTTCAGTGGTGCCATTCATGTAAAGTCCGTGAAAATGTAAGCTCGTGCTCTGGTTTCCCAGTTGATTGTTGACATTCACAAGAACTCTGTCGCCGACATCTGCGGTGATAGGCGGAATTGGCCATTGGTTGTTGATACCAATTGTTGGGCGCTCCTTGGCACCGTCCGGGTTTGCAGTCACCCAAGTGATATTGAAATCATAGTTTCTCGTTGCAGCCCGCGCAAGCCCACCTAAGCTGGGGAGCAACGCGGCTGCAAAGAGGAAATTGGAAAGAGAGAGGGCCATGTCTGGCACAAATGAAGAAGAAACCAAGCAAAAGGGAGCGGACAGGGTGTGCGATCAATGAAGTCTTTTGTAGAGAAACAGGAATTGCCACTCAAATCTTCAAACCCTTTGATGCGCGCGCTGTGTCGCTCTGTCAAGGCGTCACAAAGCTTCAGCTTGTTGACAATGAGGTTGTTCGGAGGTCGAGCGGAGGGGGAAAGAGCATCAGATAAGATTTTCGCAGCGTTCAAAGGGTTCGGACAGCGTCGGAGAAGATATCTGATGGCGTGGTTTTTAGTCGTAGAAAACAGCCTTTTGAGGCCCCACGTTAATCGTGGAGTGGATCAAGAATCAAACAAATTAAATGGCAAGAGCGGACGGGAAAGTGAACGCCAAGGAAGCACAGTCGCCTGGCCTGGCCCACCTTCCAAAAAGCTTTCTTCTGAGTTCAGTGCGTATTGGCCCTCCTGCCCATCCACCCAAATCGAGGACAGCTCAATAGCGATTGGTCCAGAATGGACCGAAAAAAAAAAAAAAAAACCACCGAAGCAAATCGAATCGACGGCGCCACCCTTGCCCGCCCAGGTCTTGGTAAAATGCTTATTCGCCTGCCGATCCTGGTCTGAGTTTGGAGTCCGCGAGGCAAAGAGCGAGGCGTCGGTTGGGTGTGAAGAAAGCCCTAATGGGGGAGACTCATCCGGACTCCTTCAGTTTCGTTAGTCATCGGATCAGGTCAAGTCCAGCAAGATCTGATGCAGGTTACCAGGCATGCGGGCAACGTGACCAATAAAATGATTAACGTGGCTAAAGAGTGGAGATATATTAGCTTCGGGCATGAGCGAGCAACTCTATGCGGCATTAACTTATCAGATGGTTAGACAAGGATCCGCTCTGCACCCTTGAGGCACCCAATATGTGTCGATCCGAGAAGCGATACCGTTACAGGATATTGCGCGAATGGGATCGCGGTGGCCTTGGCAGAACTGGGAGCAGCCTAAAAACTTTTTCTAGCAGTTACGGCAGTATTGGTGCCACAAAAAGGTGGGTGTTTAATCTGGCGAACATTCTCGCTGCCGATGAACGGTCATTTGAATCCTGGCGAGGGCAAGCTCCACGGTCGAGTCTAACGAGGATAGCTTCGTGGGTTGAGTAACATGATTTGACGAAGAGAGCGAAGCGGGAACGTCCTGGGAATCAGGCGAAGGCGAAGCTGCGGCCAAAGACACATGGAATTATCTTCGGCAAAGAAGCCCCACACCAGCGGATCCATCGAGCTCCCAATCTACCGATTTTTTCTGCACCCATTCCAATTGAATTCAACCGCCTAAAATTCGAACTCGTAATACGACCCTCGATTGAATTTTGTTCTTTCCCTCTCTTTTCTCGTCTCGGTTTCCGGCAAACAAGGATCGGCTAGTGGGCTGATCGAGGGTTTCCGATATCGGGTGAGATTTCCAAGTTGAGTGGGAACACGGCTGAAGGAACTTTTTAGCGAGGATCAAAAGCTCGGATCCCCACCCTCCCACAAAAAGGTCACCTTATCTGATCATCAATTCCCCTTCCTAATCCCACTCGTCCCCCCTCCACATCTTTTTGACCTGGAGATTTTTATCAGATCCGTCGCCCACGCGCTTCTTCTCTCCTTCCTCTTCTTTAGAATCATCCTGGCGAACGAGCTGCTGGCTTCGGCTTCAAAAGCGAAAGGTCCTGAAGCTGAAACTTCGTCCCGCAGCTAAAACAAATTGAAAAATAAAACTCAGTAAACAAGCTCAAGTGGTCAACAGACCGCTGCAGTTGCAAAAATGGTCAACGTTTTCGCCGTACCCAGTAAGGTCCCTGGCCAAATATGACCTGTTTTGACAGAAAAGAACATGAAAGAGCTGACATGAATAAAATCTCATAGTCTTTTTCATCTGCTTTAGAGAGTGTCTGGAGACGAGTATTATTGTCTCAGTGCTCCTGGCCTTCTTGAAGCAGACTTTGGGACCTGAGCAGGACAAAACAACATATAAAAGATTGGTGAAACAGGTTAGTGCTTTGCTATGAACTCTCTCATCAACTACTTCTCGCCTGCTAACAAAATGAAATGCAAAAGGTATGGTGGGGCACAGCGCTCGGTCTGATCATTTGTCTTTGCATTGGCGCCGGAATGATTGGTGCCTTTTACGGCTTCGGCAAGGACCATTTTGCCAACACCGAGGACATCTGGGAGGGCACTTTCGGAATCATTGCCTCCCTGATCATCTCGGCCATGGGTGCCGCTTTGTTGCGAGTGTCCAAGTTGCAAGATAAGTGGCGTGTCAAGCTTGCAAAGGCGCTCGAGTCCAAGGAGGTCAAGAAAGCTGGTTCTGGTCACCGTATCAAGAGATGGGCTGCTCTTAAGAGATGGGCCGAAAAGTATGCCATGTTTATGTTGCCATTCGTGACTGTGTTGCGTGAGGGGCTCGAAGCTATTGTTTTCATTGGTGGTGTTGGCTTGGGCCTTCCTGCTACGGCTTTCCCCATTCCCGTGATCACTGGTCTCATGGCGGGCGCCGCCGTCGGTTACCTCATCTATAAGTAAGTCGAAATTAATCAATCGTCTCTGAGGCACAGTCTAATCATTTTCTCCCAGAGGCGGAAACTTTGCTTCTATCCAGGTCTTCTTGATTGTGTCCACGTGCTTCTTGTATCTGGTCGCTGCCGGTCTTTTCTCAAAGGCCATCTGGTATTTCCAAAACAATAACGTAAGCTTATTAGAACTATTGCTTTTCAAATTTTGCACGATCAAGATGCTGATAAGATCATTAGTGGAACAAGATCGTTGGCGGTGACGCCGCCGAAGTCGGCAATGGTCCTGGTTCTTATGATATTCGCCAGAGTGTCTGGCATGTCAATGTTCGTGTCTCTATTGCCTTGACTTTTTGATTCTTCCGACTAATCATCTTCTAGTGCTGTGGTCCTGAGATCAACGGTGGTGGTGGCTGGGGTGTCTTCAATGCTCTTTTTGGCTGGCAGAACTCGGCCACTTACGGCTCCGTCATCTCATACAACATCTACTGGATAGTCATTATCGTGTGTTTCTTGGCCATGAGATATAACGAGAAGAAGGGCCACTGGCCTTTCTTGAAGCCCAAGAAGAACCTTGATGTTGAAGAGTGTGACGATGCCGCAAGTGGCTCGAGAGCCGAAACCGTTGAAGTTGATGTCGAGAAGAAAGACCATGCGGCAGATCGGGCAACTTCAACCAATGTCAGGACCATTGAGGGATAGTAGGGCGCTCAACATGAACACATATTGAGAGCTTATCCCTTATCCTCTTGAGCTTCGACAGATGAGGTGACAGGTCCGTTGAGCGGCGCGTTTCCGGACAGCGCAGGGTAAACAGAGAGGAAGAAGACATGATCCAGAGAGTGACAGCACATACCGAGAATGGCGAATGGGCGTTTCAATTTAACTTGTTTTACGATACCTGAGTGTAAATATTATAAGCAAAGATCGGATTAATGAGATGGAAAGATGCTGGGAGGGAGAAATTATGGAAATTTATACACGGCTCGTGGCGCACAATGATATGGTGAAGATGGTGTCAGCCGAAATGGAAGCAATGTGATTGGACGGCACCAGATCTCCTGCGTGTCAAGGTCTCGCTCTCTCTAGGCAGCCCTGAGAGACAACTGATGCAAGGAGAAATAAAGGCGGATAAATTGGTGCCATTTTGCAGAAGTTTCTACGAAATATTTTGAAGATTTATGTTTCATCTCGAATCGTACAATTTATATTTAATTTTCTTTCATGCTGACAATTAATGATGCTTGAACGCTGTGAAAGTCTCTGATGTTTTTATGCGACTTGTCTGGTCGGTTAATTTGTCACACCTCGCACGAGCTTTATCCAAGCGACGTCATGAGTACCTGTGCTGAGGTTCCGTTGTTAGAAAGCTGCAGTTCTCTTTGCTTCGTCTTGTCCAGAGTGTCTTTTGTTGAATGAGAGCAATGGCGTGGCCATACCCCTGAAATCCAACTCCTCCATTGTGTTCCGGTGATTGAACACTTCACTTCCTTTAAATCGGCGATTTTATGGCCGCTGACCGCGGCATTCGAACTCGAAAAGTTTTTAGGGCGCCGACCGTGCTGCCTACCGCCTCACAAGCAATTGGCTTTACGCACATGATCATATTATACAATTCAGACTTTGGCCATGCCTGCTGAGCCGCCCGAGATATCCAATTTGCAACTCGAGGATGAGCCGACAAGGGTCATCTACTGCAATGGACATGCCGTACTTCTAACTCCTGTATCGAAAGACGGCGATATTGTTATAGAAGTCCGAGATCCATCCACACTTCAATTCTCTTTCTTTCAAGTCGACTCTCAATGTCTTTCTCGAGTTTCACCGTATTTCGAAACTCTCTTCCATCCCACCAAGTTCCACGAAGGCGCGACGCTCAGCGAAGCAAGGCTACACCTGCACGAGAGCCATAAGAATTCGGAAAGGGCGGCAGTCGAAAGTCTGCCCAGGGTGACCCTTGAGGAGCTTGGACATCTCACATCCACGAGGCCATCCGATCGCGTGGTGGCTGATTTTCTTCGATTACTCCATGGCTACGACCTCCCCGATCTTCCGAAAGAAATCTCGGCTCTCAAATACGCTGCCACCCTCCTGATCTTGGCGGATCGGTTCCAAACGATTTCTACGGTAGCTCCGCATGTCCAGCATGGGAAGCTCGCTCAAGCTCTTGATCGGAAGCTAAAGGCATCCAAAACGCTACAGTTCAATGAAGAGCGAGAGCGACAAAAACTCTTGATTGGCCTGATGATTGGTCATTTCCCATTGGTTCAACGATCAAGCAAGGCATTAATCATTAACGGATCAACCATGTGGGACCCTGAGGAGGAAGAAGAACAAGATGGGGAAGAGGATGTGGACATGTGGTGGGACCTCCCGAATGGACTAGAGAGTATGTCCCCGCTTGATCGTCCTTGCTTGTTTTCACCTTCTTTTGGATACAATTCTGACAAATATTCAGCGGAATTACGCTATCGCCGCGAGTGTATCTTGCGAACGTTGAATTCTATACAGACATACTTTCTGAAGCAGTTCACATCCAAACAGCGACAATGCCGACTAGGCTATGACTCTTCGGCGCAATGCGATTCTTTTCAGCTTGGCGAAATGGTTCGATTCTTTGTCCGAATTGGAACTCTCCGCCTGCAAGGCAACATTTATGACCATGGCGAAGGAGCCGATGCGCACCCTGGAAATCTTGATCGGCTCTTGGAATCGTTGCGCCAATGTCCGTCTTATCAGATTGATCGAAACCATTCGCATTGTGGCCTCCGCACATTGATCTTACCTATTTTAAGCTATCTTGAACTGTGGATCTCACTGGAGGCTCAAATATGCGCTCGATGCTGGAAGGATGATCGAGCAAATTACTCATGGTTGAGTGCTCCGCCGAGCAGAACCTATAAATTCCAGGTATCTGCACCACGAGGCTCTCGAAAGAATAAGAGTGCCACTTCCCGTACTCCTTGTGGCACTGATCATGGTGTTGCAAAACACATTTTCACCGCCGAGACTCATGAGTGGAAACCCGATGCATAGTTGCAGCTAGCACTCCGGCCTAGACTAGGCAATTTTCAAAGCGGCGGCAGTGCGTACAGCCGAATACAGTCATATGCTATGATATTTTGCCATATATCTTCTGGCGAGCCCCCGATATTAGCATCTTGGTAGCATTTGCAACAACAGCGCATGTTGGAAATCGATTGCGTCTACAATGAAGGCCCATTGCCCTTATTTTGAAAACTTTGATTGGTTTTTTTCGTCCGGAATGTCGGCCTTAAAATTTCCTATCAAGCGTTCACTCTCTAATGTTCATCACTGTAGTGGGGGGGTTTGCCGCAAGGCTGGGGCCATGCGGGAGCAGCGGATAGCTTAGACGAGCCGAGGCGCAGGCGACAACTCGACTTTTGATTAGCCCGTTAGTCTCAGAGGCTCAGTCTGTTAACCACGAGACAGCTGCATAGTACATTGGCGGTCTGCATAAACTAAAGACTTGGCTACCGAATACTTTGCTCAGCCCCGATCCAGCGCTACATGACCCCTGTCCATAACATGGATTCCCCACTGAAAACTGTTCCATCTGGCGCTCAACCTCACTCACTAAGATCTGTAGCTCGTGGCTGTGTGAGGCATATACCGCACCGGTCATACTTTTGACATACCTGTTGTTTTTCTGTTTACTAGACTATAACCTCGTGATTCATGAATGCGGAATACTACATTGAGGCTATTCAATATAGCTTCGCTGCTCCGCCTACAAGCACAAAACATCTCTAGTCATGACGTTTCTAACCTTGTTTCATGATCGCGTTCATGTCCAAGCCTTGACAGGGCAATTGCATAAAGCCCAGTGTTTCTGCCATAAAGCATATAGCATCATCGCAACATTAACATTTAATCGCTACACTCTTCACATACTGAATTCATTCTTGTCTCCACACCAGCCTTCTAGTATTCTCTATCTACAATAATATCGTTTGAAGAGTTTGAACATCTGGCACATCATCAATCTTTCGGAAAACACTCGTCCGATTGAATACACTGCATATGCTCCTATCCGTCAGCTACCCAGCTCACGGTGTCACACTTCACTATCCGGAGGTCATTTCGCAATACGCCTAGATTGCTTGAACTGGCGGTCTGAGTTGGTAAAAGCCTCAGCAAACAGTGCGAGTCGCAGCAGCTCCACTTTCGGGCCTTTCATCCGTCGGGAGACACGACAAACATTGAATTGCGGGGTGGCGCTCTTTAGAAGTCTGGGCCCGACAGATCGAATCGTGAATACAAAAGAAGTAGTAACGACTGGGGAAATTAAATATGGCAGCTACATTAGACTGCCGCTATCCTTCTTTTTGCGAAGCATACCTTTCTTCATCAGACTACCCTGCACAACTTTCGTCAACGCCCTTGGATTACCATCGCCGAAGCTTTAATTCTTCCCGTCGAGACAGTTTTTACACGCGCCATCCCAGCCAGGAGGGTCGCAAAATGTCAGGATTTCTAGGGTCTCTCAAGAAGAGACTTTCTTCGGCATCCTCGCGAAAAGAGGATTCTGCGAGACAAAGTAGAAGCTTCCCTATGCATTATCAGGACGTCTGGGATCCCACTCCACAAGGTAAATTCCCATGCTTCCCTTTTTCGAAAGCTGGCTTGGTCCAAGAGTTAACATTTAATTTCTTACTGTAGAATACCACTCCAACTCCAATTATAAACCTACCCTGACTTCGGACTCTCAAGGTTTCACGAGCATGGCCGACGCTCCTCCTCCGTCCTACACTGACAGCACTTCTGCGATAAGGTCATTCGAAGATCCATACAGCGCGTATAGTCCCGAGTCGGTGGGCTACACGGCTCCTGCTACCCAGGCTGCTGTAGAAACAGCAGCTGGCGACGATTCTTATGCATTCCTCTCTCAATTCGATACCATCTTTTTAATTGACGACAGTGGCAGCATGGCCGGTCGATCGTGGAGAGAGACCGCGGCTGCGATCCGCAGCATTGCACCCATATGCACTGCGCGCGACAAGGACGGAATTGATATCCATTTTCTCAATGCCCCAGATTGTAGCGAGTACTGGGGTGTCAAGACTCCTGGTCAAGTCGAAGCTATATTCTCATCGGTGAGACCGTATGGTGGTACGCCGACTGGCACGCGCCTGCACCAGATTCTAAAGCCATATTTACAAAATTACGAGGCTCGACCAAACTCGATGCAGCCGCTAAATATTATTGTCATCACCGACGGTGTGCCCAGCGATGATGTAGAGAGTGTCTTGGTCAATGTAGCGAAAAAGCTGGACCGGCTGGATGCTCCTGCTTGGCAGGTGGGAGTACAGTTTTTCCAAGTCGGCCAAGAACCTGGCGCTGCGGAGGCACTTAGAGAACTTGATGATGGACTGGCAGAGTTGGGCGGCGTCAGAGATATGGTTGATACAGTGCCCTGGGCCGGCGTTTCTAGTGGAAATTATAGCGACTTAAACGCAGATGCGATCTTGAAGGTCGTGCTTGGTGCGGTGAATCGGAGATTAGATCGTAAAGTCTTGAGATCCGGGAGGTTGCAAAGATAACAAGAAGTAATAATACACTTTATAAATATATCAAGTTCATAATGTGCCCTGACTTTCGTAACATCCTTGGTCACTCGTTCTAACGTCGGGTGTCAAAGTTGTAAATTAGATAGGACCTAACTATGAGCCAGCCAAGGATGATTATATAGCTCTTCAGCCGTTGCTCGCTCTTCGGGAAGCCAGCATAGCAGTTTTGACGCAAATTCTAGGAATTGCTGCTTCTCTGCTCCTTCAAAAAACGGTGTGCGATTTGCAAAAGTATATTCTGTAGACGGAACGAGATCCTGGTATATAAAGCAGCCTGAGAAAGCTCTTAGCAACCAATATTAATGAGTCAATTGCATTGTAGGACCGCGCGTACCATCTTCAGAATATAATTTAGAGTAAATGTCTTTGTCCGCCCGGTCTAATAGTGACTGAGGAGGCGGCCCTAGCAAGGCAATCATCTGAGTAAAATGAGTCACCTGCGAGTACTCTGAGTTATTTGAGTCGAGCCCATCAAGGAGTGAGGTTTCGTTCAATAATTCCCAGAGCTAAGCAAGCATAGAAATATGTTAGCAGAGCGGACAAGGAAGATATACTACGTATATATGAACCTTACCACCATGCCCAAGTTCCAGATGTCGGCGCTATATGTCCATCCGGCCTTGAGCAAAACTTCAGGAGCACAAAATTGCTCGGGCTGGATATCATGATAGTAAAGAGAGGAAGTGTCTCCAAAGACAGCAGCTCCAAAATCGGATATCTTAAGAGCCCCGAAGGCTTTCCTTAATCTGCCGAAATCTGTTCGAGATTGATAGATTGGATGTCCGTCAACTTCCTTGAACACCGGCGGATTGATACTCAGGTCCTTGATGTAGTCTTCAATGACTGATTTATCTTCGAACGGGACGAGGAAATTATCCCCTTTGAGATCTGTGAAATGTACCGGCGGTGAGTATAACTTCTATTTGGTGTCGTGTAATAGGAACTGACCTGTGTGTATCACATGACACTCCGTGTGAAGGAAATCAAGACCTTGTAGAACAAGCCTTAGGAGAGATTTGAGAACTCGGGGCGGTAGGCCGATAGAGTTGAGATGGCGGCCGACCATCCAAAGAGGCTCTCGCAACGGCTCATACACTAGTATGAGATGTTCTCCAAACGGCCCGGTGATAGTGAAGGAGTCTTCAATCGACCGAACATAGTTGCGGCCCCGATGTTTTGATGAAGCTGCTATCTGGGAAATATGCTGAGATATTCTGAATTCAACAAATGCCGATTTGCGATCTCTTTCAAAGCAATTGGTAATCTTAAGAGCTTCATATTCATTTGATTGCCATGGCCATCTAGGAAACGTCAGTATACGTGGATTAGCAAAGACGAATAACCTACCAATTTGTGTATTGAGCAAGCCAGACAGTGGAGCCAGTTCCCCAGCCAAGTTTCGAATTAAGTCGATAATTCCGAATTACTTCTCCAGCACGTGCAGGATAGAATCGCCTGGGGTCGTAATCCGGGTTTCGCTCCTCTTCAAGGAGTGGCTCGTTTGGGAGCGAGCGAGCTGCCTGATTCATTGGTCCAACGCGAGAGCTGGACCATCGTATGGCTGATGTGCGAAATCGCCGCATGGAGGCTCTGCAAATGGCGTATATCGAAGAGTCTCTATTTCCGCATTCGTACTGGCAAAGGTTGATTATTATTCAGGCCGAGATGTCTACTGTGATTTTCCAATGTCCATGTGGCTTCTTCGCCTATATATATCCACAGGTCCGCAGCGAACGATAAAGTGTCTCATATATTTATTTGGAAGACAACCACCTATCATCCATCAACTACTGTCTTCTCGTGATCAAAACAAGGTCAATGCGCTCCTCCAGCAGTACTGAATAGGCGAAGACCTTGCACAGAGAAATTCCAGAGCAAGAATCGATCTCTAGCCCGTTTGCCAAATGAAGGAAGAGGACGGGATTCCTTACAACGAGCTACCCGACGAGAGCGCCAGTCCCGAAGAGGTCAGAGAGGCTCTTCTCGAGCTATTCATTGGTGGGGGTTTGGATTAAAGACTGCGAGAGACTGGGCGATGCAATGGAAGACCGGGTCCGGAGCTCTACTAAGAGCAGCAGATAGAGAGTCGATAGAGGCACAGTTTGAAGATAGCTTGGCCGCAACAGCCACGTTGATCTCTATTGAAATATCTCTAAGAATGGAAAAGAAACTTGAAGCCATCCGAAGGCGAGAGGAGACAACTGCTCATTTCATTCAAGTAAGTTTTACGGAATTTTAAAACAAGTATCTTGATTTAACTTCCAGCTAGTTCTGTAAAAATATCCCTTATTCGATTTTTACGTGGCAAAGGCGTTCTTGGATTTCCTTGCCCTCACATGCAGCATCGTTAAGCTCGAGTGAAGCGGAAATCTCGTCGGCATCTCTGTCAAGCTCTGGCATTTCACGGTCTACAGCAGATGAAACCAAGGACAGATCCTGTTTGATGAGAAATCGAAAGTCAAAGACCCAGCCGGAAGGTAATATATCTATCTGCCTTTTCAAATATGGAGAATTGCTAATCCATACAATGAAGCAGAAAGCCCGTAGTAAACACACTTACCTCCATAATGTCAGAGAGCTTGACTATCCATTTTATCTAACAAAGGAAAATTTCAAAGAGAGAGTAATCACATATTGTATTTTGCAATCTTTCGTGAAGGTGATGATTCAATATAAGATGTCTGCTAAATGATTTTGGTATTATTTCGAACATGAATTTAACGTTGTGTGATTACCTGACAGCATTACCTTTTACATAGTATACAGACATTTTCTGGAGTTAATTGTACCTCTTATAGAATTTATTGTCCATAGTTATTCACATTATAGAGGATTTCTATATAGTCGACCACGATTGCCTGCTTTAGAGCCTGCTCTACAGGGAATGTAGCTAGCCGGACCAGACCAACACACTTTTATTTCTGCTTATAAGCAGCACAGAAGGGACATTGATTTTCCAACCGGATAAGAATTGCTGCTAAATCCATCCGCAATTCAATTTAACTTTGGTTCCTACAGTCCTACTTCATCCATATGTATTGTAAGAATGAATCTGAAACGTGTGTTACACTTTTCGCCTTCGCATGGCTAAACCAAGATTTATTTTAAAATATGATTGTCGTCTGGCATCATGCCCAACCCTCCTGGATGGGACCGCTATCAAACGGTCGAGAAGCGGATTTCAAACCCCTTGAAGAACAGGAACTTCATTGAAAAGGCGGACCTCTTGTCTGAATCTGCAAACTTTCGAATGAGACATTTCAACATTCTAGCTGAAAGGTCAATATTAAACATCACATAAAACGCATGCTCGAGACCGACAATAACAATCACCAGTCCGCGGTCGCAGCTCAGCCTTAAGATTCAAAGAAACTGGAAAGATATACGTCACCTCTTTTGTGCTAGTTGCATAGACTACTTGTTATCAAGTCTGTACCTGAAATTAACAAGCTCAACTGTTCCCAACCATGGTTGAGAACAACCAAATTGATGACAGGTACTCTTGGCCTTCAAATAGATTTCTCAACTGTGGTTGGAATACTAAACAGCATACTTTCTACGCATTGTTTGACGCGAGCAGATCCTACACAGGCTCGTCTATAATACACTCTAGGTGTCACTATTCAGAAACTGGTCAGAAAAAAGCGGACGAGTACCATGTCAACATCGTCAGGCCATGTCCTTGATGGGACATGGCCTGGTTCTGGGAGAACTTGTCTCTGATGAGGCGGCCCCCAAATGCAACCATGAACATCTTTATGCAAATGACTAGTTAGTATCGGGAAACCATATGGCAGAAGCATGTATACTGACGCATCAGCCACAGAAGTTCTCAACTTCAATGGCATTGGAACCTGCCACGCAAATGACATTCTACACCTTGCCTGCTGGGTGCCATTCACCAATACTTCCAGCCAGCACGAGACCCGTCATCAGAATACCACATACTTCCGATCATCATCTACGCTCTGCCGCGGTCGCCGCATCGACAAGATCACGATGATCCACGCCCGAGCCAAACGAGGGGACTATGATGAGAAGCCAGTCAACGCAACCTTCGAAAACTGTCTCTCGGAGGGGTTAACGCACTTACAACGTGCCAATGAGGAGGTCGAAGACACAGAGGTTGACGACGATGATTTTTACGTTCTCACTGACGAGGACTCCTCCTCTGAGGAATCGGTGGATGCAATTGTGAAATGTGTCCCAGCTTGCACGAGTGAGGGGAGTGCCTTGACAGTCAGCCGTTATATTCGCGGCAGTTTCACCAAGGTCTACCAAATGGCTGCTCAATGCGTGCTGATGAAGAATGAGGTAATCAAGGACATGGTGAATCGCGGCCTGATTGATCCTTCAAAAAAACATAGGTTCAAGACATGTATACTGTCACACAAATTATAGAAGATTTGAACTTCGATGGTATTGGTACCAGCCATGCCGATGATCTCCATATTTCCCCAGAGTCCAATCGCGTGTGGCCGTGCTCGTCCTACTGATGCAGCGACAGGTACTGATCCAACCACCCCCTAGTGCATAGAAGGGCAAGTTGCCGGGAAAGTCGGATTGGAGGCATCTGGTTGCGATGTTAGAAAATCATCTCGATGAAGTTGAAGAGGCGAATCAGCCGCGCCATAATAAACGCGGGGCAGTGACGCTCAAAATATCAATAAAACCAGTCGGTCAAGAACTGTGCAGACACGGAGGACCTGATATCCTCTGTGGTTTTCGACACAACCACAAGTGCGGTTCGACTATTCTCTGTCACAATTGTCATCGTCATGCATTCTTGCAGCCAGCTTCAACTGGTGCACACAACAGGGTCGGTTGTTCAGCTAGCTCTGTCGGAGTCTGGAACACAACACAACCAGATGGCATCTATCCTTGAGTTTGTCGTGGTTTGGGAATTGTTGAGGGCTTGATTGGATGAGTATAAGATAGTGAAGATCCGCTTTTACAAGAATTAATAAAGAGAGTGTAGGAGTTCGTACCTTTTCAATAAACTTGTCAGTGGCTTTCGTTGAAGATGTCTCTTGTCAATCAGTGGGCAAAAAAACGATAATGATAAAGAGTGTAAGAGGTGCAAGGTCTTGTATTGGGCCAGTGAATTTTTATACGTTGTTTACATGTATTGGTAAACGGATATAATAGTACAAAATAGACTACATTTTCTGTCAAATATTTTCCCCACTTTGCCCGTACCCGATATAAGATACAGCTAAAGGCTAGCGGTGATTCTCTAAGAATATTACCTACAAGTAGCTCTCGTAGGGGACTCCTGGTTAACGGGTGGACCGCACAGGGTTAAGGATCAGCAACTTTACTCTTCCGGCTTAGTTAACCGGAAAGATATCAAGTGTCCACTACCATTTATCCGATTTCAGATTCTCCAGACTCCTTCACCATTGCAAACGAATTGCAGCATTCTCCACTTCCGATACATATAAGAATCGTTTTGCTATCCCACTCAAATCTGGAATCTATTGAATAATAATGTCGGCCCAAGCTCAGTCTGCCAGTGCCAACAGCACTTTGCGTCCCACAATCTTATTGCTTTCCCTTGAAAAAGAGAGTTTCTGGGAAGAGCAATACTCAGACCTCGTCAAACTGATTGGGACGGATGCAAACATTGTTCGACTCACAAAGGCTGATGGCGCCCTTGACTATCTCACGAACAATACACCATCTGCGATTCTCGTCACTGACCCGGCCATGGTCAAACGTAAGCCTTCTTTTTCAGTCGTCAGCCAGAAGGTTGTCGAGTACGTCCGTAACGGTGGTACAGCCGTCTTGGCCACCCACTTTAGCAGTTTTGTCCGACCGAATGACTTGGGCCAGTGGTTCCAGAGAAGCTGGGGCTTGCCATGGATCGCCGGGGACTATCACCGCACGACCGTGCAATTGAATCACGACTGCTCATCCCCCCGCCTAGAGCAAGCTGAAATGCTCAAAGAATATAGCCAAAAGGCTGTCTTTCTTAAGAACGTCCCAAAGGATGCAGCGCTCTATCTGCCGTCCTCTGATTCCAGGACCGAGAGCTTCGGTTTTCCTGCTTCCCCTGTCGACACTTCCCAAGTGCCTGTCGTATTTGCCAAAGTCGGCAATGGCCGACTGGGTTACGTTGGAGACGTTAACAATGAGTGGGGATCTGTAGCAGTTGTCTTGTATATGATTGGCCTGAATCCCGAACCTTGAAGCAACCATACCTCATGGCACATTCAAAATGGTGAGCGGATAGATTCAAAAGCACAATCCCAACACATACTAACGAGGTTACCTGAAGACCATTGTTTTCGATACAAGGGCAGAACGCAGCACATACTATTTCAGCTGGACAGCTCGATGCTAATAAACCAACTGTCAATTTTTTTATTTTCTTGCTATCGCTTTACCTTGTGATCCGCATATCGTTTTTGTAGAGAAGCATAGCTTATTGAATTTCGGGCAAAATCTTATTCTTCATGCATTGATTGCTCATTGCTTTTCATTTTTCTCAGCTTCTTTTGATGATATTAGTGCTTCAGTGAAAGACAGAGCTATTGAAAAAAAGCTTAGTCAAGCTATTGCCCGTGGAGAAATAGAAGAGCGCGTAAAGACAGAGCCAAGGAAAACATCAAATTAAACAATTGAATAGGAAGTTCGTGAATCCCATTGAAATCAGCGCTCTTTAGTCCTTCTCACAGACCAGGCCACCACTACGGACCGATAATTTGAACCCTTCTCCAATGGTCCCCAGTCACCGCCATCGATCTGTGAAGGGAATGGCTAAACGACTTGATAGAGGCGAATCTCAAAATCTAGATACGTTTATTGCAGGTAAAAAGTGTCTACACAAGCTTAAAATGATGATTTGCATAGGTCAAACAAATGGTATATTCTGTATTCATTTACATTGTAACGCCCAGAATTCCCTTTTCAGACGCGAAAAAATTTATCCAAAAGACTTTGGGACGCTCTTAATATATACAAACGCTACTAAACAAAAATAGGTATTGAAAAATACGAGATATATACAACCCCAATCTACAAACGATCATGAGACGACGCAGCCTGGTGCCTGCCGCTGCGGCCACCACGAGGTTGGGACGTTATGTGAGGACTCAGTATCTGCGCCGGCATTTCCAGCCGAAGGTACAATTACCGGGCTCTCGCCGTCCTCTGTGGGCGGATGCTGTGAGGTAGGTGGGGGAGGGGCTTTGGTTTGGATGGGACTTTGCTCATCTCGCGATTGCCAGGCTTCTGGCACGAAACCGTGTGCAGGGCCACTCGTTTTTACTGGTTCGAGCCTCGGAGTTTCCGGGTGAGGATGGCGACGGATATCTGATACTGAGGATGACAATGACTGGGGCTCCGATTGTGAAACTGAAGATGGGACCGAGTCTTCTGGCGTCTCAAGTATTTGGGTCGCAGACTTCATTAGCTTGCCTGCTACCGAGACGCATCCGCCGTATGAGTATCTGATGAGGGAGTCTCCGGTAAGGCTTCCAATAATAAAGGTGTTCGGTGCGATTTCGAGGCTTTTCTCGGCGCCCGCTCTGAAGGTGTCCCCAGAGATCGGGGCTTGATAGTTGGCAGCTGAATCATGCGAAAATAGCTGCTTCTCGTTCCCATGATGGCTAATGGCTTTCGCAAAAAGTTCATCGAAAAGTGGTTTAGAAAGATAGTCTAGGGTTCCGCGTCGCCCAACGGCATATTGCAGCCCCAAAACACGCCGCTCAATGACAGCTTCGCTTGGCAATTTGATCGTCACTATCGCTGCTCTGTTGTCTTCGCCGTCTACATCCACGTTGATGATTTCTCCATTAGGAATCCCCTCGTAGGTTGTTTTCCAGTCGCGGCCTCCCAGCATTGCGATGGATTTTCGCCTGTTGGACATAGTTGAGTTGCGACGGGTTTGCGCGTTGATGCTGGTCCTCGATGAGATTGAGGCAAGCTTCATATGTCGATAAATACCGGCATACTCTGGGTAAGCCTGATGATGGCATGCCTTGAGTGGTGATGGACGGGCTTCAGGGTTCCATTTGAACATGTGGATGATTTTCTGTGTAGGAGGTGCTGAAAGGATCACATCTGCCGCGCCGAATCCGGATCCGATGACGAGCAGTGCCTCCTCAGGCGACGGGTTTGGTGCATCACTTGCAACCGGTGTTTTATTCAACATTGTAAGTGGTTGTAATCTCGGAGGCGGAAGGATTTTGTTTGTGAATATACCAGTCGCCAAGACCAAATTTTTGCACGATATTCCGTGAGAGCCAATGTAGAAACTTTCTGAGGTCCTACGAATGTCTGAAACATGAATGGAACTCAACACAGCGTCGTCGATTGCGACGGCGGCAGGATAAGCAGCAAAGTATTCCGCTACCTCGCGCCGCGTGGGGCGTATGAGCTCCGGCATCTTCTCTCCATATACCTGCAGATGATGATCCTCAATGCTGTAGTCTGGTAGCGAGAGCATCTCTGCATAACTCAGAGTACCAATATTCATGTCCAGCGTGCCAGGGTCCTCTTCCCACTGACCTCCTGGGCAGGAAGCATCGCCGACTACCAGGTGCGAAACTGCAAGCTCTGGCCGATAAGCCCATCGCACGCAAGTGCGGGTTCCTAGTGAAGTATCCGCATCCGGTCGGATCAAGGTATCGAGCAGCACATTGATGGGCAACGCCTGCGTGCTATAACGCATTGATGAGGGGAAATGTGCGGCATATTCAGGTTTCGCATTGAGAAGATTCGGACATGCTGCGAGTTTGGAATCTAATATACGATCGTCATGATTACCGGCGTAGAAAGGGACGTGACCGTGGAGGATATAAGACAAGATCAACGCCGAAGGGCCGTTCCCTAGGTTCCGAGTGAGCAAGAACTTCGCCAGAACAGATTCGGCAGGGATTAAAAGCGATTGGCAGCATTTCTCCTTTTGAGAGTATTGGCTTGGCGTTGTGGAACAATATATGAGTAGCCAAGAGGATCAACTTACCAACTATGACGGTATCGACGTTAATAGGCCCCATGTTTCCGCCATTGGGCGAACTGGAATTCATAGGGCCTTCAAGGGCAGAGACGCATAGATTTGGGCATGCAGCATGGGTACAATTGCAAGCAGTAACCCGGAATCATGAAAGGATTAAAAACGAGAAAAAAAAAAGAAGCTTTTGGAGTAACAATATGAAAAGGTAATGGATTCGTAAGGCGCCCGGTTCAGGGACCCAAGTGGCCGAGCGATAGCGGGGTTGTCGGGTTGTATCTCCGTCAAAGCTTATACTTGATAGGGGAACACTTTCCTTACGATCTTAACTCATTTCGTCAATCATAGCCATTAACGTCTCTGCCACCTTGAAAGTAAACATCCCATGTCTGAGACTTCAAAATTTTGCTTTCCACAATGTATCACGTCATTTGTTAGTGGTGATTGAGTGATCACTCCCTGGATGCAAGGATACTGGCCTGATAACACCTAACCAAGAACGATAACTAACCGCGGAAAAACAACAAAGCTCTCCATATCCTACGCCTTCTTCATAGCATCGTAAGGCAATTAACGTTTTCATATTTCTACAGCAAATAATTCATATGACATTTAGATCGAGTTGAACCGTCTGATCCTTTTTGTGCTGTCTAGACTATGCAAAAATGATGCTGCAAGCTTTCTCTGCACCTGATAAAATCCCTGTGCCTGATATGGGCCAATACCCGATCAATATGTTGCTTCAAATTGCTCTGCCTCTTTTCCCGCATTCAACTCGCTCAATGGCAAATGTCAAGATCAAGAACAACTCAAATTGCGACGACGCAACATGACAAGTGAGAAATTGGACAATAGCGGCAACGGTAGCCTAAAAGTGCCTGGCTTCAACAACATTCCCATTTACCACGAGCTAGAGCTCCAAAAGCGATTCACCAACGGCATTTGTGAATGGGAACAAAAGTCCCGCTTGACGGCGCGAGAAATCGCCATGCTACGACTTATGGAGAACATCACGGAGAGTGAGCATTGGCAGACGTCTCTTTTCGATGACACAATCTTAGACAACTGGCGCCCTGAGGCATTGTCTTCCGGTTTCCTCATGAGTCCCATGGCATGGGAATGGTGCGTTTCCGAACTTCGCGACAAAGCCAAGCTTTTCCACCAAACTGGCCGAATAATTGTTCTCAATGCCGGATCTGCAGTTTGCAAGTCAGATTCTGTCTTGGAGCCCGGACTGCAGAAGGAGCTGCAGCAATCAATGTCTGCGTCATATTTGCTGTCGACGGACTCGGACCCAGTGAAGGCACAGGTGCGGCACCGAATCGACCCGTCTTTATACGCTCTGGTCTATGGTCGGTCGCACGTTCTCACGGACGGCGGACGAGTGGAAATGGAAAATCTATGGGAGTCGTGGCCCAAATGTCGCGTGGCTCCAGCTCCTATCTATCCCTCCGTGAGAAACAGAAACCGAGAGATCCCTCATGGAGGGGCATACTGGAGGGTACAATGCTGGTCTAATCGGTTTCAATGGCTCCCTTGTGAAGTTGAATTTTGCAAAAGTACGGGCACAGATGTGCGGATCACATCTTATATAAACAATCTGCACCCTCAGAACGTCTCTGCGTACGCCGCGGTTGAAAAGCTCATATCAGCAGCAATTGGTGCTTGGAACGACATTCTTGTTGTGGGCGGGCAAGGCAGATGGCCAATGCGGCTCAGAACTTTTGATTTCGAGGAAGAGAACGATGAGCAACCCGACTGGCACAAGGAAATTCATGCCTATACGGGACGTTTTCCGACGAAGGAAAAACAGCAAGAATTATGCGCAAAAGCCAAGGAGTATCTGGCTCTTCCGGAATATGACCCCGAATGTTGTGTCTGGTTAGATGAAACCGGGAACCAATCGGATTTACTAGCAGAGATGACTCCTGAAAAATGGGAGGATACCCTCGCCTTAGCAGATGTCCTGCTGAATAAGTACGGTCGACTCAATTATTTCCATTACCCCGATCCCGGGATCTCTTTTTCCTACGAGGACTGGAAAACAGGAAACAACACCGGTAAAGCCGTCATGGATAAGGTCAACCTCTTCGATCCAGAATACCCACTACCTCCGGATCCAGATCATCAGTACTATGCAGTGGCGCTTGAGGATCAGTTTCGCAAAGCGGGATTGCAGGTCATTGTCAGAGAATCAAGCATAGAACTCACACCCGAACATCCAGATTACGCTGGAGATGACGATTATCGCATTGAGGGGACACTCAACGAGCATATCGTCGCAGCGACCAGTTTCTATTATGACGTTGAGAATGTAACCGAAGCACGAATCAGTTTCCAACAAGAAGCTCCCATGGAGGAACTCGAGTATAACTTTGACAAATACGTAATCATCGAGAAGGTCTGGGATTTCCCAGGTATGCGATTATTTGACAAGGACAAATCGCCCGCAGCTCTTCAGGTCATGGGATCCGTCACCACGGCACAAGGACGGCTCCTTTCTTGGCCAAACACGTTACAATACAGGAGAGAACCATTTTCAATCCGAGATCGCTCCCGTCATGGACACCAACGAGCCATTACCATTCTACTCGTGGACCCTAATTACCGTATTTGCTCGACCAGGAATGTTCCCTCGCAGCAACTCGAATGGTGGGCTGAAGCCGCTGTTCAGAGCGCATGCCTGTATCAAAAATTACCAGCTGAGCTTGTTAGGATGGTGAAAGACGAACTTGAAGGATGGCCGATGAGTCAAGATGAGGCCGAGACGTACAAGAGGGAATCCAATGCTGAAAGAAGTTCGGTCATGGAAAATGTGTATAATGGAATAGAATCCTATAAATTCATCGAAAGGTCACATGAATTAGCGGATTATAATGAGTAAAGGTGAGGCTCAGGTACACAGGCAGACATCCAAGGCTGAAAAAGGTGCGCTCATGAAACATGCTCGGCGAAGTACGAACCTACACATTTATCGACACGTCACATGGGTTGTCAAAATAACAACCAACTTTCAGCTTTTAATTTATCTTGTGTTATCACATTCGTCCACGGTCTAGTTTCATTTAATCGACAATTGAGATTTCAATTTCTGAATGTACTTGTCCAAGCTACCTCGTTTCTTATTTAACCTAACCTTATGCATTCCTATATTCCGCAATCTTCTTGCTTATGTGATTGCCTTCTCTCTGCATCCGTCATTAATGTTCCATTTCCTTTTGCTATCAAGGCAACTGAATCATCCTTAACTTAGACCTCCGATGTTGTGCCTTGGATCTGGGTAGACGAAACAGAACGGTGTATATAGCTATCTTCAGCGTCAGATCCAAAGGCCCGATTCCTCTTACTCCGTTGCCTGGTCTTCTGCTTTGTTCGAGAAAGTACCCTGACAATGACCAGTGTCAGCCAGTCTTTCCATAAGGATCTTCAGGCAAAAATTTATGAAACACTGCATTCAATCCATGTATCTCTCGAGTCCACGAGCTTTACTTCAGCAAGTAAATTAGGAATTTATTCCCGTAATTGGAGCATGGTCACCCGTGAGTACCTTTAGGCCTGTGAGGATGATCGACTCCGTTCACATGACCTCTCAAACCAAGATCCCATATAACTTGGCATTATTTATCCTGATAGTACTGTACTGTGCTGTGCTGTACAAAAGTAAAGCATGAGCCGAAACATGCTCAATGATAATTGGATATCCTGCGCCGCCAGTCAGCACAAGAAAGTCGTGATATCCTTAATAATGTAGGCAGAAAACATGACCCGATTGTCACGTAGCCGTAGCTATGTAGGCAAACCACGCAGCCACGCTTGTCTTTCTTTCTTTCTTTCTCCTCCCCCCGCAGCAAAAAATAAAACAAAATTAAAACAAATTCAAGTTACCAAATGGCAATAATCCCAAAAAAGCAGCGAAAACAAGATTTACTATTCCATAGAACCCAATTTATCATTGTCTTTTCTTTGTTCACTTCTCTTTCTATCTTTTTATTGGAAGAGAAGCAGGGACAATACAACAAATACAACAGTCCAACAACACAACAACACATCAATCCAACAGCACAACAATCAAGAAACGCAAAACTCACTCTACAAGATTCCCATCCGGATCCCGCACATAAAAACTCCTAATTCTCCCTCTCGCTCCCGTGCGATCCACCACTTTTCCGCCTTCCAGTACTTCCAGCCCCGCGCGCTTGACCTCCTCCAGCGCATCCGCCACGGGGGTTTCAGTCAAAAAACAAAGATCCGCGGAGCCAGGGAGAGGATATTGGGCTTTCGGTTCGAATTCCTTGCCGGCTTCGTGCAGGTTGATTTTGTGCGGGCCGAAGAGGAGGGCATGGCGTTTGGTGTGCGGGGCGGAAGGGGGCGAGAAGGTCTCGGCTTTCATGCCGAGATGGCGCGTGTAGAAGTCGATGGTGGCGGGGATGGAACGCACAGTGAGGACGAGGTGGTCGAGGGAGGAGATGGTGAGTGGAGGCATTGGTAGGCAAAGAATCAAGATGAATTTTATACAGATTTTCCTGGGGTTTATTTTTGGAAGTTTGGAGGGGGGAAAAGGGTCTGGGAGAGATTGGTGTGAATCATGCGGGGTGTACAAAGTACAGAGGTACGTTGTATTGTTGATGATTTGAGGGTTTATAACGAATTTGGAGAAGGTGGGCTGTCACGTGTGGGGATGAGGGTACTCCGTGTGAGATCTCTGTTTTTGCTTATATTGGAGAGGAGCTATAAAGAGGTTTAAGATTGGTTTGATGATCTACTGGATATTGCTTGGGGGGGATTGCGTGCAATCATGAAGTCATTACGAGATGGAGCGGAGTACCGGTGCATTTGAGCATCGATACATCGATAATCGTCACACGAATTCTCAGGAAATGCAATTATTCACATATAATAAGCACTATCAGAAGAAATCTTTTAAATTTGCTATCCTATAGCGAAGAGTAGATATTGCACACAATGGTTGGGTTGGAAAGCAAAACTTCGATGCGGCGGAAGAACACCCTATGTAGCTTGGTAGAAAGAAGGGCAAACGACATGACAAATCTCGACCTACAAACTGGTTCTAAAAGACAAAATATGGCATCACGGTTAGCTTTTTCTTCTTCAGATGGCTTTTGTGCGGCTGAAAAGCGAGCTGTAGACGGCGTCAACAACGGGCGTGGCGGTGATCTGCCTGCCGCCAAAAAATCTGCCGTTGAGGCCCATAATGGCGTTCTCGCCTCCCTGGACACGGTCAAATTTCAAATAGATATCGCCTTGAGAATTGGGGTCCAAGGAGATGTGAACGACATGTCCGTACTTCTCCTCGCATTCGGCCCGAACATCGTCTTCAAGTTCTTTGATCCAAATCTCGCCCTCCTCTCTGAAAAGAAAAGAATTAGCACCAATTCGAAAATAAATGACAAAGTATGTGCTGAATAAACTTACTCGGACGGATCGAACATGTTGCGTAGCACAACGCATCGGCTGGCCATGCTGACATTGACTGGTAAAGGCTTGGTCTCCGTCTTGGGTTTGATGATCTTTGTTCTCTCATCAGCAGCATTCGTATCAGCAGGCTCATCGGTACGAGCAAGCTTCCTCATAAGAGCATCTCTGCTGAAGTTGTTGAAGTTCACACCGGCAACGTCAGTATCGTCTAATGCACTAGCGCCACTGGCACCTTTCTCTTCACGGCCGCCTGCACGGTCAAAGTTTCCACCAGAACCGCCAGCATGCGCACCCCGTCCGCCAGAGCCAGAGAACGAAGAGCCCTGGCCTTGAAATCGTTGAAGGAGGTTTGCCGTAGACTCGGGAGTGAATTTGTCGTTGCCAAGCCCAACACGGATCGGACGACCTGCAAGGTCAAAGCCATTCATTTTTTCTAGGGCCTCACGAGCTTGACCAGGGTCACGGAATCTATATCATCAGAATTAGCAAAGTCCCACATAGCCTTCGCTTAAGGTAGCTGGTAGAAACTTACTGCACAAAACCATAGCCTCTGCTCCGCCCGGTTTCATCCTTTTGTAGTTGGACAAACTCGAGCTCGCCAAAGGGCTCAAAAACATTCTGTAGATCGCTTTCAGTGATACTGAAATGAATATTGCCGACATACAACCTGTGAAACGGAATAGAGTTGGGATGATGAGAGTTGCCTTCGGTATTGCGGGCTTGACGGTTCTTCTCGGCTTCGGTAAGCTGTGCAATGATGGGAATGCCTAAAAGCTTTTGACCAGTGAGCTGGATGGCAAGCGGCACGGATTCCTCTGCTTTAAACTCCACATATCCAACACTGATATAATGATTAGCTACCTTCTTGTAATTGTCAAAAGGGAAAAAACGTGAAACTGTGCTTACCCCTTGGATCTGCCACTGACTCTGTCCTTGACAATCTGCGCTTCTTTGACAGGGCCGACTTTTTCGAAAAAGGCAATCAATTCCTTCGTTCTTAAACGGGCAGCCAGTTGCTGTACGAAGACGGTCCTGCGATCACGCTCATCTTCAGTAAGTTGGGGAGAGGTAGTCCTAGTTCGACCTCCCCGGGGGCTTGGCGAACGACGTCGGCCTCGACCCCGGCCTCCACGATAGCGGTCATCGCGATCCTCACGTTCGCGTCTACTCCGTCCACCAGGTCGGTAGTATCTGTCTCCATCAGGAGACCGAGATCGGGTCCGGTGTCGACCTCCACCACGATAGTAGTCGCCTCCAGAGCGGTATGAATCCTCGGGATCTGCGGAGTCGCGATGACGATCGCGGCGCGAAGCACGTCGGTCGCTGTCCCGACTTCGGCTTCTTCTCTTTCCCCTAAGGCTGCCATTAGCGCTACCGCGGTCGCTCCTTGGGCTCCTAACATCATCCATCAAATCGGCATCTCGATCTCTCTTTGATCGATCCCGACTGCGATCCCGTCGACGGCGCTCACGCTCACGGCTGTCATCACGATATCGATCGCGGTCTCGTCGGTCTGACTTATCGTTCTTATTACGGTCATCGCGCTCATCTCGTTCATCCCGGTCGAGGCTCTTGGGAGTTTCGGACGCTTCAGTGGCTATGCCGTTGGCAGTAGAATCGAGCAGGGCTTCCACATCGAGACCTGACATTTTGGCTATCGGTTGGACACGTGCTGAGGCAGAATCTAGGATGGGAGGAAACTTTTCACTTTGCGTTTGTCAGAATTGATAACGCAGCGACGGTGATCACAGCGAACCCTTTTCTATTTCAATTCGAGGCTGAGCAGTTGGATAGTACGTTGACGACTGAGATATGTGGGTGGCTTGCGAATTTGAAAAACGGAATTGGGGTGAATCGTACGAGGGTAGAGATGATGAAGTTGTAATGAGTTGAGGCAAAACGTGGGTCGGAATAGGTCGGTCACGTGTTGGTAAAAAGTATGTGTCGCTTAGTCAGTCGAGATGGCGATCTCGTGACGGAGTTTTATTTCGCAAAGGTCCAAAAACGGTAATGGACAATCGCGGGAATGGCTGCATGAAATTTGAGCAGACAATGTTATAGATGCCAGTACATGGGTATCTGCACTGCAATTAATATTAATGAATAGTAGCTTAAGTTAGCATACATGTCACATCTTGCTTCCCTAATTAAATGTCAACCAGTTGACAGCCATGACGCGTTGGTAACGGAAAAAAGCAAAACCAGAAAAGGAAAAAATAAAAATTTGAGATGAATGCTGGTTTTTCTCAATTGAGTACACAATTCTATGCTCCAACTGTCCGGGGGAGCATCGTTCCAATAAACGCCATTTTCAAAAGCCACCTTGAACCTCTACCAGCCAGCTGGTATAAAATTATTGACTTTTCATGGTCTTTGTGCCTCCAACGGACAGCTCCGTGCCAAAGATCCTGTCCCAAAATTTGCTAGTTACGCCGAACCCAAGCTGATAGTCAGCAAAGTGGTGAGCAAGGTGATACTTCTTCAACTCGCGATAGTAAGCCGGGAGTCTGCCTTCAATTAGCGCGCAAGTTTCATCGGAAGGTATCAAAGCAAAGATCCCAAGTGACTTACGTCCGGTGGTGAAGGAAATAGTGGGTAAGGTCGTAACAAATGTATCCGAAAATACCGCCACAGTACACTGCAGTAGCGGCATACCAGTTGTAGAAGAAAACAGCGTGGGCTAGCTTCCAGAAAGGAGTTGCAAGTGCGAGGAACAATGTCGGTGGCATCACCAGGCGATACCTGTCCATGGGAAGATAGTGATGAATACCGTGGAGGGTAAAATGCAGTGTTATAAAAAACCTGTTGTCCGGTAGATGGCTACTTCTGTTAGAGGAAGGTCCGCAGAGAAGAATGATGTAACTTACTCGTCCAAATGAAAGAGAAATCTATGCATGAGATATTCGACCAACGTCCACAAACAGAGACCAGAGGTCCAGTAAAGGGCAGCCTCCAAGGGACTGGAAAGGTTTGCAGCCGAAAGGAGGGTACCGTAAATGACCGGAGGTACCCAGACCAAGGGCACTACCCACCAAGGGGTTTTGCTAAGCGGCTCAAGAAAGTTACCAAACAGCGGCGCAGATGCTCCACCCTTGTAGTGTCGAGGCCTGTGAACTTGCTCCAGGTAGAACGCCTTGCTGAATCCGCCGAAAAAGACTTGCTTCATCAGGGGTTGATTGAGATCCAGGAACTTGTGCTGGCGAAAGTCATTCTCATAGTCGGTGTCTTTCGACAAGTCCTCAGCCGTAGACATCCCCGTAGCAGCATACAAAGGTTCCCGTGCAGTGCTAAGCCCATCTGCTGCTCCATTGCTCTTCAATTCTTGCATGCCGGCTTTGGATGGCGGAAGGGGTACGATTTCGTCGGGCCGAGTACTCTTGGCAGCTGAGTCTAGAACGGGTTCCGTAGGCATGAAACCGACCAGGCAGTCATCCAAGATTTCATAAGCAGCCTCTGAATGCGTGTGAGAGATTTCGTCCGCCATAATGTCCGTGACGTCTTTCCCAGCGAACTCCAATATCAGATCTCCACCTCCGGGATGGTCGTTTAAGAATGAAGTTACATCATAGACTTTAGTCCCGCAGGTAACGTAGCATGACTGAGCGGTGTTATGCGACTCGACGTCCTGTCGCAGGATTGTAGGGAGCGTTCTCGCAGGCATTTTGACGCCTAATATCGCTTTTTGTCGCGGATACAATGGCAGGAATAGAGAAAATATTAAAAAGCCTCGAAGGCCGCAATAGATGCGCGAGCGATGAGGGAGACAGATAATGAGACAAAAAGACGAAAATAAAACGACTCAAATCTGACCGCGCAATGGTCAGTAAAGGAGGAAATATAATTGAAGAATTCGCTGGAGATTATTAAAATGAGATCGACTGATGGGTCAGGAGAGACTGATCCGCCATCTAAGTTAAACTGCCGCGGAGCAGCCCTTGACAACTAATTTAGGCGATCGGATCTTGTAAGTCCCGAGCGAGAAGGCAACCGACCAACTCGTTGCCCGCTCTTTCCTTTTCGGGCTGTTTCAACCTCATCTAAACAAATGCTTCATGGCGCGCACAATGGAAATCTTGTGCCTTACGTGTTTATCAACGATGAATTTTTCTCACAAGTCCTGCATGTGTTATTTGAAGACTGATGAATAATCAGTAATATCTTTTTCCAAGTGCAATTTGTTTTCTAGCGCTTCTGAAAGACCTGCGTGCTTTATGAGCTTCTCTTCATTCTGCCCTTTGTTGCTGAAGAATTAGTTGTTGCGAATTGACTCTTTGACTTTATCCAAATCTCCGCATGGTTTTCTGATATATCTTTGGTTTTTAATCCTGTGCGTCTTATTTGCCTGATTTCTGCGTTGCAAGCTGGCATCATCAACGACTGGCAGCACCAAGTTTCGATCGTCCTGGTGATTCGTCTTGCTCGTTGAGCTTATATCAAAAAGAAATGAGGTTCCGCAAAATCATTTGAGGTTAAGAGATATGCCCGAAGGAGATGGGTTTGTATGCACCACCATGGACAAAGAATGTCATTGAATATCTGCTTTACATTGCGAATAATTTTGACGTGCTGCTCTCTTCTAAGCCAGGGAAATCTGAGTCATGTCGAAAATATCTCCTACCAAAATGTCTACTTCTTTTCTCTTTCCGGCGGGTTTGAGAATCGCCATGCCCTTCCCACGTTTTTACAGATATTGGATAGGATAAACATGAGACCGGATCAATCTATGGTAGATTGAATCCCAAAGTTGAGATTTGAGCATTTCACCTCACCTCTGAAGCAGATTCAGCGCAAATTTCCAAAGGGTCTTACAGAGCAGGCTTCATTTATTTCATTTTGTTGCCGAGGTGCAGGACTCATTGAGGGGCTACAATTGCACTGCGTGTGGAGTGGTAAGGTCAGAGGCTCTTCCATTCACCTTTTCCTTGCCTGTCCAATGTTTGTTTCTGTTGTTTCCTGTGAACAGTGAATGATTTTTCGCCTCTTTTGTGGGATTTCCCAGCCATCAGTTATTTAAACCTGACTCACCTTTCTAAACTCCTTGATCATTCGTTACACTCTGTTTTTTACACCCACAATCATCGCTGCTAGCAACCACTTTTCATCTCAAACTCCCATCACCCCTTCACATTCGTTAACATCTCTCATTCATACTTCCCAAGCACTCTTTGAAGTTGATTCTCCAAGCTGAACAACATGTCTGTGAGCGAAGTCAACGCTGACTTGCGGGACCCAGGAGGAGAGAGTGGTCATCGTGGGGTTCAGCATCGAACGCTCACGCCTGGCAGTCAGGAAACTCACGCTGTTGCATCGCAAGCAGAGGAGACCCTTCATCATGGCGGCAATCTCTCGGCGTTTTTGCCGCTTGATTCACCCCCAAATAACCAGATTGAAGGCGTCTCGCCGCTTAACGGGTCCAACTCGAGCGAGCTCCTTCCCTCTTCCTTCCAACCTCTTCGACCCCCTCAGACACGTGATCCCTCCTTTGGCAATACTCCAATTTCCAGACAACCTGAAGAAGAAACAACTCACACTGACAACCCTGGCATAGCTACATCTTCTCAGAGGAACAATAGGAGTGAAAGCACCAATCGACAACTGTCATCGTCTTCCGTCCTTGAGCCGTCGTCTGAGACTCATCAGCCCGAGCAGGATACTCAGGCGCGTGACCGTATCAGCCCCCATCCTCAGAGACCGGATGAGACTTTGACCGGTCCACCCACTGCCGGTTCTAACCAAGGCGAGGAGCTTGATCAGAGTGAATCTTCAGACGAAGAATATTACAATCCTTTTGATTACGGCACAATTGAGCTCGTTCTGCCGATTGAACCTTACAGAATTCTTACTGAAGATTGGGGCACATTGTCACCTGGCGGGCAACACGTTATCATTGACGACATTCAATTTCAAGTAAATCAATCACAGTTGACTGAACAGCCAGCTCGTGCCACTCCTACTGCCACTCCCGCACCACAGTCACCTGGCCGAATTCGACGGCTGCTGTCCAGGTACGTGACACAGATGAAAATCAATTGATTTGCAGAAACTGAGAGACTAGTAGAACCACTCGTTCAATCCGCTCTATTTTGCGTCCTCGTCGTTTCTCCCTACGAAGGCTCTTCCAAGGCCGGCGTCCCACGCAAAGTTTCTCGCCGCGTCTGCCTCGACCGCGTCCACAGGGCTCTCGCACAGCCAGAGGAACTCCTTTCGAAGGTCCTCCTGGAAGATCAGCTTTTGATCAATCAAGAGCCGGACATACCCAATTCAATTTACCGTTTGAACCCCTTCCACTGCCCGCCATCCCTGTTGAGGAAGGTACACTGTTCCCATCTTTCGATCTTCATTCAGACAATACCGCGGATAGAGCGCAAGCTCATCCCCCTGAAGATCGTCAGTAGACAATTCTCATCCCTCAAAATGACGTCGACGACAGGAAGCAGAAACGCAATCTCACGTGTTCAGCCTCTACGTTTCGGGAACAGGAGTGCCGCATTTGTTCGTCGCTTGGGAGAGTTCGAAGCAGTTCGGAAAATTGATGTTGATAGAAAAGCTACTGAAGAAGATAATTGGTACAACTATGCAAGGGCACAGGTGGATAGAACAATAGAACAATCGAAACAGTACAAACAAGATTTAATTGCAAGGCGGGTGAGGGAGGAGGTCTCCAGAAAACTTGCAAGTAAGTTGAATCAGTGCTCCAGACTTGTTTGAGCATCACGATCCATGGCTTCACATGTGGCCAAAAACATCAAACCAGCATGCTAAATTTCTTTTGCAGATGGGAACGTGTTGATCTTACAACGCCTGGCACCGTCTTCCTTCAAGGTGCGCAATCCAACGTGCAGTCACCCGTTCTGCCCGGCGCGCAGCAAAACCAGATCGTCAATCATTTATGGTTTTTCGCTGGAAAAGTACACTGCCCTCGCGGCGGAGCGGGTGCCTTCCTGCATCTTTGAAGGAAGGCGGCGGAGACCGGCAAGCGGCAGCGATAACAGCCGGTGGTGGGGGCAGCCGTCGATTGACGACTACTCCTACGCCTGGTTCTGTGTCGGGTGCCTCGAGTCACTGTGGCGCGGAGACGAGATGCTGCAAGGTGCGATCGACCCAGCCGATGCAGTCTCCGCTCCCCCAGTGGCTAGGGTGCACCCAAACTTGCCACATCTCCCCGTGCTGGCAGATATCTGCCAGTTCATCTTCCCTGAACTACGGTCCCAGGTGTCGGGATTTTTTACGCTGTTGCCGCCGCAGGCTCGCGCCTTGCTGAAATGGAAAAATGCCATCAGCCGCCAAGAAATCCTCGAGAATCAAACCAACAGAGGTTTCTTGGCCCGGATCGGCCTCCTATCAGACTATGATGAGGAGGATCCGGACGCGTTCGAGGTCAAGTTTGCGGACAGGCCGCGGCCCCAGGGTGTTCTCCAGCCCAGTGGGGCCGTCATCGAAATGACGGCGGCCGAAGTCAAGGGGAAGCTGTTGAGCGAGGTCATGACGGCGGTGGAGGCCAAAATCCGCGCCGAGTGGCAGCGGGTTGGCTATAGTGAGCAGCCTGCTACTCGGCCTGCCAGAAATCCACCCAACGCCGCCGCAACTACCGCTTCGACGACTGTCTCTCTGCCACCAAATACTGCCACTGCGCCAGCGACGTCGAATCCTTTTATTCCCGCAGCTGCCTCTTTTGCTTCTCAATCAACCTCCGCTTCTTCCGCTCCTGGATCTCTCTCTTCTCCTGCTCCCGCTCGGTCCTTCGCGTCTACCCCAGCTGTCACTCCGACCTTGAATACTTCGTTACCCGCTTCTTTAACTCCTTCATTTTCTCCCGACACCGCTTCTACGCCGAGGTTGAACCATTCTCTTCCCTCGCGGCCTGCGCGTTCATTCTCATTTGATTACACTTTACTTGATCCCGCTTTACCCGGCGTACCTGCTCTTCTTCTTCAAGCTGCCTCCACTCCCACTCCGACTCCGGCTGAGAATACGTCTGAAACGATGGACATGGACATGGACATTGATATTCCTGACGTCAATGACTCCACCGAGAACGCGGAAGACCAATCACATGGAGCTCAAGACGTGCCTGCATCTGCAGACGAAGACAGCGATATCGATCTCGCTGACCCGTTCCTCAATCCTCGAAAAAATGATAGATTTTACGGTCCTCCGCGCAGCATTTGATGAGTCTTACGATACGGCTGACGAACAACTGATGAGATTTATGATACGAAAATACCGATACGATGGATGATGCATAATGCATATTAGAACGAAGTATGACGAGTTACGAAGTACGATGAAATCTTGCCTGTACCATTTCTCTCCTATTGCTTCTCTGTATTCTCGTTTTTCTCTCTGGACTTTGCTACGTTTGGCTTTCATTTATTTCTCATTTGTTTTTCATTTGTTTTTCATTTATCTTTTATTTTTCATTCAACATTTATTTCTCATGTCATGCTGGCGTTGGTGGGATACTTGATACTTGAGCGTTATGAGCGAGCATATCTACTTGTTCACCGCATTCGGAATGTGTTCTCTGACTGTCTTCCTCGGCAAGGCAAATCACAAGGTTCTCTAGCTTCTTATCGCTTTGAATTGACATTGCATTCTGTTACTTCAAATATGTGACGGGTGCTATTTTCAACTAACTGACATCTTAAAACTGAAATCGTGATTCTAAGGCAAGGAAACACGCGCTTGGGAAAGAAAAAAAAAGGCCAGTTCCGTAGATAACCTAAGCGTACCATAAAAGGGAGTCATTTACACTCTCGGGGACCAAGTTTACATACTCATACAGGGTACTTCCCGCGAGTAATGAAACGCTGAAGCGCAAGACGTATCAGAGAGACATATACCGAAAGGGAGCAAAGATGAATAAATGGAATATAGAAGGGCATGCGTCGTTCTAAATAATGGTTGACTCTCGTTCAAGCACCTTGGATAAATCCATGCAGGCTGACTGATAAAGATCGTCCACGACATGACGCATGAACCATGGGTTCGGGCTCTTGTCCCAAGCATGCTGCACGCCTTGGACAGTAGCGAACTTGACTCTCTTTCCGACGCCGTTCTGCAGACGATCGCTAAAGACCTGCGCTTCCTCCAGCAGCATGTCCCATTCGCAAGCGTAAATGGCAATATCGTTGGGGAGTTGGGCCAAAATCTCGTCAGGGGCGACGCCAGGAGAAAGACATGGATCGCCTCGCTGTTCCTCAGGCGGAAGATATGCTTCGTCAAACAGATTGGTAAGGAAGGTCGGAATGTGTTTGTCTGGACGAGGGTTCCGCGAACGGCGGAATGCACGAGATCTGGTGGCATCGGTAGCAGGATACCAAGCGACAATGGCTCTGATGTTGTAATTTGGCTGTTCGACAAAGGTCTTGCTTCCGTCAGACGATTGCTGTGCCACGATTTGCACTTGTTCAGCGAGCTTAAGCGGCACGGTAAAAGACAGGTTGCCACCGGCGGAGAAGCCAGTCATAGCCATCTTCTGCGCATCAAGGCCCAATTCTTCTGCATGTTCGGCCAGCCAAAGCACGGCGTCTGCTCCGTCTTCTACTGCCGTGGGAAATGGATACCCGGGGCCCAAGCGGTAGTCGACGCTCACAAAGACTGCGTCAATGTGTTTAATAACCACATCGGCCCAGCGTGCATCGTCTGTGGCTGATCCCAGAGTGAATCCGCCGCCATGGAAATTAACAATTACCGGATACTTTTTGCCGGGAGGTCGCTGAACGTAATTTTCCGGAGTGTAGAAAAAGAGCGTGATCTTGCCAGGCCAGGAAGATATTGTTGTTTCTATTCGCTTTGAGAATGCCGGTTTGGGTGGCTTTGGAGGTGCGACCCGATGCAGGTACATGCCCCATGTCATGAGCATTCTCCACCATATTGCCTGAAGGTGGAGAAACCAGCGCGACGAAGGCATTTTCTTGGTGTTCGCTGTCTGCTTTTCTTTTGGTGACAACCGGAGAAATCGATGGCGTTGTATGAGGCGGAGGAATATCAAGCAAATGCTTGATGGGATCAGTACTAAAAAGAATAAGAATGATGGGGTATCTAATGACTGCCACGATACAAGCATCGAATCATGAATGCATCAGGCTGATGCAGAGCAAGGGTGTGTGAAATAAAGCATAGAGTATGATCCCCTATGAGAAATGGGGTCAAGTGGGGAGGAGACGTGGAGAAAAGTTGGAGGTGATGGTAGGTGTTGTCAATTTAGGTGGTTGAGGAGAATGGTCAGGGGGTAAAGAAAAGTTCGACACTCGTATCAGTTGTCAAGGACAGAGAGTGGAGGAATGGTGATCATCACATCATGGTCTGCTTCCTGGCTGATAACCCATTAAGCGTACGTGGGCGTGATCGTCCCCGGACTGGAACTATGTCATTGGCGATGGGGCGTTTGCCTGTGGAATCGATTACCCCCACAATTCGAACCGAGGTACGTACCCCTAAATACCGCATTCGGCCATAGCTCGCTCGCTTGTTGTCGGGTCTTTCTCGGTAGTAGACTCCGATCGAGGTATGACTAATCTCGGACGGTCACATGTACGCATTTCACCTGTATTTCTCAGCACACCCCTTTTTTTATGAAATTTCATTTCACTATTGAAATGACGAGTGCTGATTGGCTCTGTAGACGAATAATTATCGCGGACACTGCAACAACACACCAACACACTACGGCTATGACTGACGCCACAAGATGCCTAAAAGGAACAAGCCCAAATGTCATTTCCCCGACGGTGCGAGGCTATGGCTGGCTGTACTAATTCCACTGTTCCTGGATAGGATGCCATCCGATAAATGACAAGAGTCTGCGGCTGCACGTACCGAAATGAAGCTCATGCTCCACGGCGACCCGCATCGTGCTCGTTCCCGCTCAATGAAATTTGGCCCGAGTCGGCCCCTTAGCTGGGGGCCTTGCCGGGTGCAACATGATATGAATACTCCGATACATGGCGGTAACCATGACAAATGGCCCTAATGAACACCGGCTTCATGAGCTATTTCGCTAAAGCCTGGTTTTTGTCACCCACAGTCCATCTAGGCTCCTCTCAAGACTCGCGACCCAGGGAGCGGGGCCAAGTTTGATACACATGGCCAGAGCCCAATTCGTGCCCTAGCAACTTTAGCTGCGGTTAGCCGGAGATTTGCAATGTGCCACTCGGCATCAAGCGCGTCAATTGTGTCCAGAACGTCCCGAAATGGGTCAATTGAGCATTGACAGCCAAGCCTCAGGGGTATCAATGGGCCCTGTTGTTATTGGACCCTCAATTTAACCTCCTCGCGTGGTTCTCCTTACTGAACATAATTAAAGATGCATCTCCTGTCACCGTCAATCTTCTTCGTCTTCATCGTTCCCTAACAGCGTGCGCTTTGCTGCCAACTTTGTCTCTCTTTTTGAGTCTTCGGACCATCTACACTCATTGATCCATTCATTTGAAGCTTTTCAGTCACTCTCTATCAATCTTTGCTTTTCGTTACTTTTTATTCGTCCACACTCTTTGAAATCTTCTTGTCCAGCCTTTTGTGCCACCATAATTGCATCTTCTATACCGGTCTCTCTTTTATTGCTCGTCAAACCTTCCCTCGCAAGACTTAATACTATAATACTACCGCACGTTAATATTATTATCTTCCATCTGAAAACTCCAAAGCTTTCCGACAATATGCGCTCTTACGGCTTTTTCTTCGCCCTCCTGGCCGCCATCATGGCGTGCATCGGCTTCTCTCAGGCGAAAATGCAACCTAGCGACGTTGAGAATACTTGCAACGCATTGGCCTCCCAGACTTTTACACTCAAAAATCTGGTCAACACAATTCACTCTCAAAACAACCCCGGACCCCTTGAGGTGCGTCACGTTAGCTCTTTAGCTCTATGATACGCTAGTAGGGGGGAAATGCTGACGAAGAACCAGGATGTTTATGAGGAGTTTGACGGTCTCTTTGACACCATCTTGGCGGATATTGAACTCTTGGGCAATACCCCCATTATCCAGGACCCGAACTCGGAGCAGACGGTCTACGAGGCATACTCGAACGTACGTATCTGATAAATATGACTGTATTTTTAACTCTGGAATTGCTAATCACTGGCATGTATAGTTTATCCAAGCCGTCTTTGAGCTTACGGATGATTTGAGCTCGGCCGCTTCAGTTTTTATCCAGCTGGATCCTCACAACGAGTACAAAATCCCCTATGCTATTCGCATATTCAGTGGTGTTGTTGATGTGAGTGTTCTCCTCTCCGCGGTGGATTGCAAAACCAGACGACATCTGGTTAACATGAATGGGTCCACTCAGGCGTATCTCTTTAACATGATCTCACTCTTTCCCAGAGGCTCAGCATACGATGCTCAGGCCAACAACCAGAAGGGTCAGGTTGACAGTCACTTTGATTCTGCAGTGAGCTCTTACCACCTTGTCACCGCGACTACCGCTTCGCCTTACTCCAACTCCACCGCTTCGTAGAAAAGGATGGATCAGATGCGTGGCATCCTTATTGGCGAGTATCCTATCGTGACAAGCATCTCCTCGACGATGTTGAATATACAGCCTTTGGAAGCCCGCGTCTTGGAAACATGCTGTGTATATCTTTCTCCAGGGGCTCTGCGTTGTGTCTTATAATACAAGATATTCCTCCAGCGAATAATTTATAGAGTACTTAGCACAGTGTCAGATCAACCCCTCTATGCTGACGAGATCAGCTTTAAAGTACATCCCAGAGAAGCTTAAACTGAAGATCAATGTCATAAATGGACTAGCCTCAATTGGTCGGCCTTGGCTCCGTAGAGGCAATCCGCGTTTGCACATGACCCTTTGCGGGACGGCACGCTGAGTCAGCCAAGTTATAATCTCACCCCCTGAACTAACAATGCCAAATGCGGAAAGTTGATTGGGCGGGTCGACCAAGCTCGGTCGCACCGGCAATAGGAATCCGTCATGACGCACATGCCTGTGACGTAACGTCAAAGCACATGCTCATTTCCCTCTGAATCCTGTCAGGTGCGTAAATCTTCCGATGCCACAAATCCATCTGTGTGCAGATGGGTACCCCAGTAAAGGGCACAGAATAGAACGATATGGAGTGCCGTGCTCTCATCGCATGAAACGGCGACGTTGAGCCCTCCTCTCTAGGACATGTCACAATCAAAGCAGCCATGAAGAAGAAGAAAAAATTTCTAACAAAAAACCTGCACCGCCTTTAGGGTTCTCGGCTGCGGATCTTGGTTCCTCCCGGATGGCGCACCATGAGTGAAAAGCTTGTTTTGCCTGTTCGAGAGGGTCAAAAAAGGTTGAATAGGTTGAATAGATTGAATAGGAAATGGACCGCTTAAAGCCTAAAAGTCTAATTTGGCTTAGAAAGGGGAAATGATCAGATTTTGTCAGCTCGCTTTCGCACTCGGTCGAGGTGGCCAGGCGAAAGCAGGATTATCGGCGTATACTTTGTAGTGGCCGTAGCATTCTTTTAGGCTCGTCATGCTTACATTATGTTGCAGAGCGGGATGGAGTGTAAGACAATGGGCAAAAAAATGGTCAAAGCTGCGGCTATGAATGGTGTGCGACCGAGGAGCGCAGAGACTGGATTGGATTGGATTACTGATTACTGTAGCGACGGAGCGAAAAGAGGGTGTCGAGCAATTTGCGGATGGCTTCGGAATCGGATTTTACAGCCGTCCATCATGTACCCGCATTCAAAAGGAATCACTCGCATGTACGAAGTAACAAGGTAACTGACACTCTGGACGATTCCAATACCGGATGGGTTGCACATCCTCTTGCTTTCGTATAAGTGTCTTCTTCCTCTCCTTTTTCGACTGGAAATTTTCCCATTCTCGCTTGATAGATTATCCCACGGCGAGTCGCCCCAGTTTATCATCCCACCAGATGACGCTATACGGTTGAAACTAGTCGGGTAGTCGAAAATTCTGATTCATTTCATTCCCGACTTATCGACGGGCATCTACGGAGACAATAATTGATGGGCAGTATTTGCTAGAATCCGGTAGGTACTTTTCGTCCCGCCTGCCATTTTCCCGTTCTGCTTTTCCAAGTTTCCCCCCTTTGCGGTGACGGATTTTGTGGTAATCGCGTACCTGCGCCCTCCGTCGGCTCTGACGTCGTTGCTAAGTCCCAAGTCAGCCACACAGGCACCAACAAATCCTCTTGTTGGTCCCCTCTTTTTAATTTTCTCCTGCCCATCCCCTCCTGCAACTCCCCTCTTGTTACAACATCCTCAACATCATTTAAATTTCCAGAGCGACATTTTTCGCTCCATCACTTTTTTTTGCATCTTTGTTTTCCCCCGTTAGCCTACTAACGGTCATTCCGTCGCAGTCTCGACGAAATATTACTTCCGCTCAATAGACGATACTGCCGGCAGAAGAAACTCACCAACTCTTCCTTAGTCTTCGGACGTGACTGACAACATCCTATCATCATGCCGTCCCTCAAGGACGCCGTGGTCAAAGTTCGGCACGCGTCGATTGACTGGAAACATCGAACGCTCCTGGCAAGTATTAATGGGAGTGTCAAATCATCGAGTGCCTCGGAGTCCTCCAGCGAGGGTCCTCTTAATGAGCTGGGCGAGCCCATGAGCAAGCACCAGCGTCGCAAAAACTCCAGAAAAGAAGACCAAGACACTCGCAGGCGTCTAAACGAAAAACGCAACCAGGAGCTGGAGGAGAAGAAGAGACTGGAGGATGAGCTGGCCGCAAGAGAGGAGCCACCAGAGCTGCATGCACGTTATGGCGCGCTCACCATTAACCAGTCCCAGTCCTGGAACCACGAGCAGCGTTTTCATCTCTCCGAGTTGACAGAAGCGCATCTGGGGCAGGAGATCACCTTCCGCGCCCGAATTCATGCTGTTCGTCGGATGAGCTCCCGCCTGGTCTTTCTAGTCTTCCGTCAGCAAATCCATACCATTCAGGGTGTTTTACACCATGAATTGGGCGTGGTAACAACACATATGGTGCACTGGGCAGAGCACCTTCCGGCTGAGGCCGTCGTGCTGGTTACTGGAAAGGTCCAGAAGCCCAAGGAAGAGGTCACTGGTACCTCTCTTCATACGCTTGAGCTCGCCGTCCGCGATCTTCACTTGATTTCGAACATTTCCGAGGCGCCGCCATTTGACGTTTATGAAGTTGACATCTCGCAAAAGTTTGCGCGCCACGGCGACACCAGCAAGAGCCATCTCTCGGACCGGACTCGTCTCTCCCATCGAATCGTCGATCTTCGTACCGCTGTTTCACAATCCATTTTCCGCGTTCAATCCGGCATCTGCAATCTATTCCGCTCGTACCTTGATACTCAGGACTTTATTGAGATCCACACCCCCAAACTCCAGGGCGGTGCCACCGAATCTGGCGCCAGTGTCTTCAAAGTGGAATATTTTGGCCGACCCGCTTTTCTCGCTCAAAGCCCCCAACTGGCCAAACAAATGTGTGTTGCTGCCGATTTCGAGCGCGTCTATGAGATTGGTGCAGTATTCCGCGCCGAAAACAGCAATACGCACCGTCACATGACCGAATACACCGGTCTGGACTTGGAAATGGCCATTGAAGAGCACTATCACGAAGCCTTGACCGTCATCGACGCCACCTTTAAGCACATCTTCAAGGGATTGTACGAGCGGTATCGAAAGGAACTGGATCAAATCAAGGAGCACTACCCGCACGAGGACCTTGTGTGGTTGGAGAAGACGCCCATCATTCAATTCAAGGAAGGAATCAAGATGCTGAATGAATCCGGATGGAAGAATGAAGAAGGCCAGCCTCTTCCCGAGGACGAGGATTTGGGAACGCGGGACGAGATCCGTCTCGGTCAGCTCGTCAAGGAGAAGTATCTCACCGACTTTTACGTTCTGGACAAGTTCCCCGCTTCCGCCCGCCCGTTCTACACCATGCCCGATCCCAACGACGAGCGTTACACCAACTCGTTTGATATCTTTATCCGCGGCCAGGAGGTCCTCTCCGGTGGGCAGCGTATTCACGACTCCAAGATGCTCGAGGAGCGCATGGCCAAGCAGGGCCTTCGGCCGAATGCCATGGAGGACTATTTGTCTGGTTTCCGATGGGGTGCACCTCCTCACGCTGGTGGTGGCATTGGTCTTGAGCGAGTGGTGATGCTGATCCTTGGACTCGGCGACATTCGACACGCATCGCTCTATCCACGAGATCCGCGAAGCTTCCCGGTTACCGCCTTGGCGCCCGAACTGCGCCATCCCGAGGCGAGCACCATTCACCCGCCGTGGGAGGGTCGGCACCATCGCGGCGTTGATGGCGAGCTGCAGCCGTTGGAAAAGCTCATCGCCAACTATGGTGACTCGTCCAACACCTCCTGGCTCGACGACCGATATCAAGTCTGGCGGCATGACCTCACCGGTGCGGCCGTCGGATTTGTACCTTCCGAGGGCTATGGCATCATTGTCGGTGACCCCTTGTGTGACAAGTCTCAGTATGGCATGGTGATTCCGGCGTTTTTGAAGTGGCTCAAGACGGAGCAGCACCTCAAGCCGATATGGATTTTGGCGGGCGATCATACCGAAACCACGCTCGGAACGAAGCTGAACTGGCGCACGTTTACATGCGTGGGCGAGCAGCGAGCCGACCCGAGCAAGGACATGTCCCACCATGACTCGGCCGTGGCGCGTAAAGTACGGCACGCCGAGAAAGAGGGCGTCAAGGTTATCAGTTCCGGGTCGTCTGTACCTGACGACATCCGACAGCAGTGTGAGCTGCGGATGAAGGACTGGCAAGCCAACCGACACGGCACGCAGGTCCATCTCACTGCACTCCACCCCTGGCGCGACTCGGAACACCGTCTCTACTTTTACGCGCAGGATAAGGAGGGCACCGTGTGCGCGCTTGTTGTCCTCGCTCAGCTCTCGCCCGAGCACGGCTACCAGATCAAGTATGCTCTCGATTTCCCAGGCTCCCCGAGCGGCACCATTGAGTACATTACTCTGCGCGCTCTCAAGGCGGCCGGTGAGGCGGGTGCCAAGAGCGTCACGTTTGGCGGAGGTGCCAGCTCACAATTGACCCCGGGCCACCACCTCAGTGGTCTTCGGATCAAGGTGCTCTCGCGATCATACCACTCGATTGCCACCCAGCTCAAGTTGACCCAAAAGAGCGAATTCCGCGAGAAGCTTGGAGCCAAGGATGAGCCGGTGTATGTGTGTTACCCTGAGCACGGCCTCGGACCCAAGGCGGTCCAGGCTCTGATGAATTTTTTTGAGGCCGACGAGAGTTAGATGGGGACCGTCGGGTGCGAAGTAGATTCTAAAAAGCAGCCTTCAGGACACTCTCAACGTGTCATGGTCACGCGCATTTTGTGAAGCTCGGCGTGGCCGCCACTACCTGCTGCCATCGGGGAGGTGCATATCCATACTACCCTTTTCCCGAGTGACGGTTGGTGGCGGCGACAAGTGTCCCGTTTTAATTCGAAAAAGTCGCGTCATGGCATCTCCCCCATTTTTTTTTTTTTTTTTTTTTTTTTTCTTTTCTACAATACCTTTTTTTTTTTTTTTCCGTCTTAAACTTCTTATCGCAGTTATTGCTGCACTTAATGTGGAGGATAACATAGAGGACGTCTGTTACGACGATACGCAGCATGTTAGAAACGGCTCTTGCTGATAGTTGTTTATTTGATTTTACATGCATCCCCCCCCCCCTTCTTCTCTTTCCCAACCCCCGCCACCCTTGTTTCTGTTTTTTTCCCTCTCATGGTCTTTGTTGGTTCCACACTGTGCTGCATCTCCGTTGCTACTTTTCCTTATACCCGTTGAGTTTCTCTGGTAGCGGTATCGGCATTGGCATTGCTATTACATGAGAATAGATAAGAATGAATACATTGTACAATAATAATGTTTTGTTGGATGTGTTTCCTACATGAAATCTGTGCTGTATTTATTTCGTTTGTTTTTAAGAAAATCTTTTATTGTATTTGTTTTATTTTTTTGTGTTATTATTCATGTCATGTTCAATCTCAAATGATTTGTTTTATTTTATTTTCTCAATAAATGGCTCCTTAATATCCTTGGCTTACTCTGATGCTTATCCGGTATGCAACATATCAGAGATGACTTTGGTATTTATTCCACACAGTGTCAAATAGTTACGGAGTAAACAGTTGGTCAGTTCGCGCACCGCGAGTGGCGTGCACTTCTTCTCCACCTGATTACCTGACATCCTGATATGAAAAACAAGTGCCCGTTACGGCCAATGTGGCTGAGACAGATCAGACTAGCGATCAAGCATATAATTCTCCTTGCTTGTTTACTGTCTCTGTCTTGCATCCACTGCGAAGTATTAACAGCGTCACAAACTATTGTATAATGAATGTGCTTTTAGTGTCAAGTGTACGAATATTTCATTGCTGTCATCATTATTATCATTACCATTATGATTAAAGGATATTCTGTCAGGTTCATGGTGGTAAGCCTTGTGTCTTTGTAGTCTAAATACAGAGCAGTCACTCCAATACGTTAATTATACAGATGGTATCCGTACTTTGGAGAGTTGGAGTTGGTTTAGTACTCCGTATGCTACAAGAGGTATAGTCAGGGGTAAATCGTCAAACACGAGACTAAACCCGATCGGAGTTAACGGGGATTCTCTACTCTCTCTCTCTCTCTCTCTCTCTCTCTCTCGCGCACACTAACACAGAGAGAGACTCGTAGGCAAGGATTCAGCTCGTGCTGACGGCGGGCAGTAGCTCCATCGTAAACCACGCAGGGGATCGCATCTCGGAAGGTATCAAGGCAGCTAGCTGCTGGACACTCGGACGCCATGGTTCTTGTATCGTAATACATCCGTATTGTGGGCCATAAAGTTCACACCAGACATGGGTTAATCGCGACGAATCTACAAACTACCAGAGTGCGGCAACTCCGAGGAACTGAGATCTCGATCGCATCGTGGAGATGACTTTCACTTAAGATACCTCCGTACTTCTTCAACATCACCTTCTGTTGCTATTGACAAAGGTACTCCGTACAGTGGTCCTAAAAATGAGGAGATGAAAGCGCTACATTGATACGTTTGCGTTACGAGGACGTTTGAGGGCTGCAAGGATGGGGTTTAAAGTTGCGATTTGCTGCATGCAGTGTCTCTGCACAAAGTACAGAGAACGGAGTAGGGAGGAAATAAGAGTGTTGTTGCATAAGTGTCCCTCACATATCTTCGTCGATGCTACGGAGTACATAGGACAATGAGAGAGAAAGACTGTACTCCAGAGTACTAAGTACGGATATTCCTTGATTGATTGATTGAATTGCCGGGTCAACGGGTCAGTGGCCTGTACGATATCAGGGCGCTCCAGTTGATGATTCGTCGTCGGTTAGTCGCCGGGTTGATTCCATGTCTCGCGTGTGTGGCTGTGGCTTGTTCCACTGAAAACAGCGAATTGGAAACACCACAACAACAACAATGATACCGTTCTCATCATTGCTTTTTTCCTTGGTCGGATGACGGCATGGCTGACCATGGCAAAAACATGGCTGAGACCCTTGCGCTTAGATTCGACCACAAATCCCATTCCATACACTTCTTCTCCGTGGAATCACTCACCCTCGTCAGTTACGGAGTATGTTGTTCGTACTGCTGATCCCTACCCGCCGGCATCTCGGCTGGAGATGAAGCTGATCCACCGCACTAAACTGTTCAGCTAACTTCTCATCCTTCCGTACTACTACTACCATGCACTGCGAGAGAAGAATAATAATCCTGTTGATGGATGTTTAGTCCACTCGGCCCAAGCATGTTCGGTCGATCGAAAGTCGATCATCCCCATCCTTTTGTCGCCGTCATGGCCGTCTCCCCGATTCTTGTTGCTCCACTCACTTGATCCGCTGCCTCTTATTGCTCTCTCTCCTCTCTCCCCTCCCTCCACACCTTTTTTTTTTGTCCAGCCCTATCACCGGCGGAGTTGATGCGGAGAAACATGTCTCATTGTTGATTTTCCTCTTGATCCCATTGTATCTCTATCTGTATCTTTAACTCTGCTGTCTCGGGAATTCCATCTCTTACTCGTATCATCATCATCCGCTGAAAGTCATCACACCTTGGCGCAAGGACCATATATACAGCGCATGTTATAACAGAAGGCAATCTTTCATCTCATCTCATATAATTCATAAATATCCTTCCCACATTATTATTTATCTTGGTCTATAAATCCCGGCCATCGAAATTTCATACTCATACTTCGGCGGCTACTGTGGCGTGTCAATTGCCGCCGACTCGACCACCTCCAGACTCAAGGCGCTTCGTGCCTCCATTGGCCATATTACTGGACCCTTCAACGTCACCTCATCTCTGTACGCCAACTGCGCGTACACTGACGACGCGACGGTCCCTCTGTCCTGCTTGTGGCAGACACGTCAAGCAGATACACGCCCAGTTTTATATCATCAGCACTTATCAGAGCACGCCGATAACCGCGTGTGTGCCCCAGGCAGCGCCATTTCGTCACTGGGCCAAATTTCCAATTTTTTTTTGTATCAAGTTCTACTCGTGGTCAAAGTATTCTAAAACGTCCGCGCAACCCCACGCATATTCAACGTAAGCTGATCGGCGCCGAATTGACTTGTCCCATTGGCGTCCCGGCTAACATGATATCATTCTACCGCAGAACAATTTCAGAACTGCTCTTCTTGTCGGCTGGCTGGCCAGCGCCGACATTTGCTCATTATCGGATCGGCAGCCCGCAACTGCTAATTTGACCAGGATTGCATCATATCACTCCACACTCCAGGTTGTGGGGTAAACAAAATTGCACGCTGGCGTGCCTTGACGGTCTCTATTTAATATACCCTGTATCCTTACCATGGAGTCCACCGCCCTGGTCACCTTTTTATTGTACGCTGAAGTTGATTTTGTTATCCATCCCTCATCCCAGTCGACTGACACTTCCCTAGACAAACTCCCAGCACAGTGCACTCGGCAGCATTGCGCGGATCCTGGGACAACTTTGCCAACGCCTATCCTATGCAAAAAGACTTCCGCAAAGGCAGAGGTCACTGGCGTGGTTGTCATTCTTTCAAGGATATCATTTGTGACGGAGACTCGCAGGCGACTCTCCAACGTCGAAACGGTGCCTTGAAAATGGGCGAGCGGTATTGGTACTATGTGAGTAGAGGACTGTCTAGTTATGGAACCTGATCTAATCCAAAATTGCAGTACCAGCTCAACGGTGACGAGGATTATCACAATCCTGGCCAATCATTCACCACGGCTTGTCCTTTTCTACCGGGCCAGCCGGTTCATGTTTTGGACATGCCCATTGAGAGCCCAGCCGAGAATTTTGGTGGCGTGGAAGAGTATACTTTTGCGCCGGCCTTTACGATGAATCCCGAAGACAAGTACTTGGCCCCGCGAACTCCCCCGATACCGCGACCTTTTAAAGAGCAAAGGCTTTCTACATCGTCCAGGCGGTCAAGTCGGAAAAGTCGTGGACGTTTTCCGACGCATTCCCGCACAGCAAAAGTCTCCAAGGGCAAACCGATCAACTTTAGTCGTCTCCTGCGCAGGCCGAACAGGAGGCAAGAAATTGCAACGGCGGTCCCATTTCGTATATCCTCTCCCAGCGTTGATGGTCGCCGAAGCCATCATTCTGCGGGTGCAGTGATGCAGTGGGGCACATGGCCACACCCTCTGGAACACGACGAGCCGCAAATTGGCCGACGTGCAAGTCTGGAGTCAATATATTGCACAGGAGGAAGAGATGCGACAGTCTGGGAGCGGAGTCACCGACCTTCTGCCCACCATTCTACACGCCCGCAGTCCTCATACAGACCTGACCTCGCCAACGCGTCACCACTCGGGTCACATCCTCCAGATGCATCGATTCGACGCGAGTGCGAATCGCTCACCCGTCGATATAAAGGGCTAAGCGCCATGCAGCCTGGACTGCCATTATACTTTTTGCCCAACCAAGACAGGAGCTCTGCCGGCTCAGATCGAAACCTGTCCGAGTTGAGCAGCGAAGAAATTCAGATTGGCCTGCTCGATGAGCCTGAAAAGACACTGCTCGCGAGCATTGAGAGTTCATCTCAGGCCACTGAAATCGAGGATGACGGTGATTATTATACTGCGGAGGATGAAGACATTGGAGATGAATTGGTGCGGAGCCCGTCGCCTTGCTCGTCTGAGAAACTGTCGAGGATACCGACGATTACACCCGAAGGCACATTCTCCGCTATTGATCTGCTTAACAAACGGTTGCCAGCGGTCCCGCAAAGTCCGCCTCCGGAAACTGTGTGGGCCCGGTCACACTCACGCTCAAAGTCGCTCGACACTCCGTCTTCCGTTTCTCACAACGTACACTACTGCCGTCCGCGATCGAAATCCTCTCCCAAAGCGAGCCGTTTTGTTCCTTCTGAGGCTATTGAAGCCGAGAATAAAGCCATAGAGCCCCAACCAGCTCAGAAAAACCCTGCCTTTTCACCTCGGCCTGTACTCAAAAGCCATTTCTCGGACTGGACCACTACGACTGCTGCTTCAGCTGACTCTCCTGCTTCGACCTGTGTCAGCCCTACGCTCGGTGTCGAGGGCGATCTTGCATTCGAGTCTCCAAACATTGGTTCGACGACAGATGACACATATAGCCCGCAGTCGTACTTTGGGTTTTCAGAGCAGACCACGCCAGCACTGTCCGTTGACGGATTCAGCGAGCACACAGAATGTGAGGCAGATCAAATAGATGCGACAGGGTTGAAGACCCAAGCTGGTTGTCTCAGCCAGCATATTCCGCTAGTGGATAGGACAGCGAAGAATGCCAATGATCCGGCGTTTATCACTGACAGCACGGATACCTTGTCGTCTCTGACAGGCCTGCGCATTGATACGAGCCAGCAGAGAGCTACGCATCAGCCGAATGAGGACCCGCGAGTCATTCTGGAGAAGGAGACCAGTGGAGATCTGGACGCACAAATTGACTTTCAATCTGCAGGCTCAGATGCCGATCCAGTGCAGAATGATGCATCCCGGGATCCAGACATTACACCTCGCAAGCCATCTCTTGCCGAGGAATCAGGTCTCACCCGCGAAGCGTCTACGCGTTCCAAGTTTTCAATTCCTCTCATGGTTGATTTAGATCTCCCCGACTACCACATTTCATTTCCTTTGCACAGTCAATCCAGTAGTACGCCTACCAAAAAAGTGGAGGAGCAAGATGTCGACCCAGAAGCGTTTTACCTCCACCAGGAATACCACTACCCGGCCGTTCCTCGACCTACACCCTTTGCCAACGCAACCCGTCCCTCCAAACCGGAGCATTCCAACCGAACCGCTTCCGCCTCCCATGACGTCTCAGAAACTCTCCACACACCGACATCACATCGCAACACGTCGTCATTCACCTCACCGGCGTCCAAGCTGACATCGACATTCACATCGCCCATGACACGTACGGAAGTATCAGCCTTTACTCCTCTGAGCTATTACTCGTCTTCGTTCCAGCCTGCTGCGCCAGTCAAGACCACTCCCACTCCCCACTATCACGATGATCACTGCCGTCGATGGTCGCGGGATAGTCACGTCTTTGAGGATAGCCCTGGTTCTAGCGCATCAGATAAGCCCACGCTTGACGTGGATATTCCTAGTAATATTTCCGGCATGGATGACTTGTTGACTGATCTGGGCTATCTTGGCGCGATTGTTGTATAGCCTTGTTCATTGTTCATTTCTCAATTTGTTCATGATGGTCCATCATCTATAACACCTCATCTTTCTTCCGTGTCTTTCATATTCCAATTTCCTATCGTACACATACATAATCATCCTTTAGGAGTCTGTACTAGCTACTACTAGCTATCTTACTACTAGCTATCTCACTACTTGTTATATCAAAATAGTAATTCACTACTTTAACCATTCTTGTATACTTTCTAGCATAGCATATTACATGGCTTCTCAATATCTAGAGTGTCATTTAAACACTTTTATATATAGTACTGCCCCTTTACTTTTTTCTGTCTAGTAACTCTAGGTATATCTATCGTTATATCATCCTGTTTATTACATCTATTATTATATCATTCTGTCCATGTACATCTACCATCATATTTGTCCTGTTGGTTTACATCTATCATTACAGGTACATTCTACATTCTACCTAGAGTATCCAGTATCCTGTACGGTGTACCTACCATGTCAGAATGATAATATAATATACAAAATTGTACAATGTATATGAGTAAGCTACATTATACATCCTGTTAATGCTATACATTTACATTACATATTCTGTTAGTACTTTATACTTTACATTTTACATTTTACGTGACGTCTATTGTTGGTATTTTGAAATGTAATAACAACCAAAATGCAGAAACAAAGAAATACAAAATGTGAAGCATAAAATGCAAATGTAAATAAAGTGTCAAGGTAGTGAGTTATATACATAGTAGGTGGCGATAGAGGCGCTGAGGCAATGATTGAGGTGATGAAGCAGTGATAGGTGCGGACACAGTGATAAATTGCCAGGTATAATGCGTAGGAATTATAATAGGTAGGTATTATAGCGAGGCGGTGAGATGGTGAGCAATGAGCGTGTTCAGTCTGAACTAAATCCTGACCATTCCTCCTCCTCCTCTTCCTCCTCCTCGTCCTCGTCGCCATCCCCCTCAATGCCGTCCTCCTCATCTGCATCTGCATTGGCCTTTCTATTACGATTCTCCTGTCCATTCCGTCCGTCCACATCCATATCCGCATCCCTGTCTTCGACCGCGCTGACTGCACCAACTGTGTCTGCGTCGGTCTCATGGTCTTGGACCGAGTCCCCGTCGGCGCCCGGGTCTTCGACAGTTTCTTCGACGGCGTCGGCATCACCGTCCCGGACAAACCCCGCCAGGAAGAACCCCATGGTCCCGTCCGCTGTGCCTTTATACGCGCGTATACAGCCCTGGCTTATACTCTTAGCATCCAGCCTCTCATCCTTTTCTTTCCCATTGTCAAGTTCCTCTTGACCCTCTAACGCTCGTGCTCGCAGCACAGCATCTACATCTCCCCTGACATCCCACCTCTTCATCCCCTCGACCTGCTCCTCCCTCGTCAGGACCCTCCAACCCCTTGTCCTTGCAACGTCAGATAACAGGGCGTGCACGACAACATCCTCGTTTTCCGCCGCGTGGATCGAACACGTACTATACGTAATCTTGCGCGCGGCGGAAAAGTGCATGGCGTGTAAGAGCAGTTTGAGCTGAAAGGCCGAGAGGGATTGAAGACGGGCGGTGAGCTGGGACTGTGACTGAGACTGGGGATCTTCGGCGTCGTTTTCGGCGAGGAGGTCTTGCGTTACTGCGTCTGCGTCTGCGTCATCTTCGTCGACTGTGGCGTTGGTTGTAGTGTCGGTAGCGGTAGTGGTAGTCGGATTGGTAGTAGTAGTGGTGGTGGCGGTAGTAGTAGAGGTAGAGGTAGGGGTTCTGTGACGAGAGCGCTTATGCTTCCTACCGGAAGAAGTCAAGGCGGAAGAAATAGAGGCAGATGATCGAACAGGAAGCACAAGAGTAGGGACTTGTTCGCGGCCGACGATGCCGCTGCCAGAACAACTGGGATCGAGAAGCAAGGCGCCGACGCGCCCCCACTGCGGATCGAGCGGGTTGAGTTTGAGAAAGTCTTGGCCTTGTTGGACTGTTACTTTAACTGCATCCACAGATGGGACTGCACCGGGGGTAGTGCCAGAAGTAAGAGAAGTCGAAGAAGAGGACGAGAACGAGAACGAAGACGGAGAAGCACCGGCCCAAGTGACCATTTTTTGCAGTGTCACTGCGCGGCGCTTATCGCGTTCGAGAGCAGTGATTTTTTGATCGGGATACAGTTGAGACGTAGACTCGGCGGTACTTGTAGTGGAAGCATTGTCTGTATCTGCAAAAGCACCCGTCCCCGCCTTTCTGCGCTTCCTTGGCCGCGCGGAATCATCATGCGATAAAGGGCGTTGGCTGACCAGAGTACGATTACTGTCCCTGCTCTTTGTAGCCAGGGCAGCCAGATGCGTCGTCTTGTTCCCCGGGGCCGCACATGTATCCATCAAGTCGCCATCGCTGGGCTGCGGGTCTAACAGGAGTGCCGGAAAGCACGAGGCTTTATCCTGGAGAATAATCTTGCCTTGTCGATATGCAGGTGTATTTGTAAGGTCTGTTCCAGCAGGGAGTGCGAGGAGATTTGGTACATGGCGATCGATATGCAGCGGGGGTTTTTCATCTGCAGACTCCTTCTTTGACCCTTGAGGCTTTTGATGCGTAGTGGCGGCAGCAGGGTTAGCTGTATTCGCGACTTGCAGTACCGTCTCCAGATTATCGACCTGCGTATACCCCGCAAACGTGGTCTTCAATTGTTCCTCCAGCGTCGTCCGCAGCGTATTGACACGCACCCAGCGCGGATGTCTCCACTTCAATCTACTCTGTTCTTTTGTATGCTCCCCGGCGCCATTGGATACGCCCGTGGCCTGCTCATCCTCTGCTCCGTCCTCGATATGCGCTTTCCACGCCTCGACCGTAGGGAATCGCCGCCGGATCCGCGCCTTTGTGAATTCCGCTTGTAATCGCGCCTTGTGCCGCGTGATAGCGACCTTGAGCGGATGTGCTGCCGGTGCCGCAATGCCTTTTTTGGACAGTAGTTGGTCGTGTACGAGTAGTAGGGCGAGAATCGGTGTGATCTGTGTCTGTTAGATATATTGAACTTTGAAGATTCTAGTAGTGTCATGGGTATATTGTAAGGTTGCATACCTTCTTCTCCATATCGAGGAGGCCAGACTTCTCAATGACTTCCTTCAGCGGCGCAGCCCATTTGGTCGTCTGGCTAACGAGCGCATATATCGTGGCGGGATTGGACTTGTTTTTGCTGCCATCTTTGCCGCTGCCTTTTTCATTTGCCTTGCTGGTCTGGTTGTAGATTCGTGACTTGAGCGATCCACCTGCATCGCCGGCACTTTCAAGAATGCGCGCTGCGTCGTAGTAGAGGGACATTTTACGTTTTTCGAATTATGCGGTGCCTCTTCGTCATTTTATTCTGGGTTCAAGGTTCCTGAATTCGAGCTGTCCCGGCCGCTGGACTGAGTACCTGTGCCCCTTGCGGGGTTCAATTATCGTTATTGAGATATCAAAAACCAATGCAGCATGTGTCTTGTGGGCCTTTGAAAGAAAATTGAATACGCTAAGAGAAATTGGCCGAAATAAATAGAAAAAGGAAAAACTGAAGCATGTGAAATTCTGTGGAATTATTTTGCCAAAATCGCATCTTGAGATCGGAGGTCGGAGCTAAACATGCAGGCTACGGCGGACTGAATGAACGTAAACTGACGAAACGTAAATGAGTCCAACAGTCCCAGGTTGAAGGAGCATGCAGGTAGTTATTAAGCTTGGACGCATATCAAAAAATATTGAAAGGTTGCCTTCTCATAATCTTTTTTTTTCCTTACGGTACTTCCACCAGCTTACCTGTTTTTCTACGGGGTTAATCATCTCCACGATTACGAACTCTCTGGACCATAATGATCTTCAACAGCAATGGCATATTATTCCTGCTCAGTTGTACACATATTCGTCAGTCACTAACCCCGGTCGAATGATCTCAACATGAAAGTGGTGGGAGGGCAAGTAAGCCATTAACTATAGACGTTATCAATCCAAATGGGTATCATAAGCAAGTATAATAATAATAATCAATATAACAAGGGGCAAGACGCTAGTCGAGATCATCAAGATCTTCAAGGTCCACGAGATCATCCCATTCAGGATCTCTGTCATCCCCATACAAAATTTCGCAGACGCCTCCAACGGGTATATCCATGACCGCATTGGTGCCATCGCCCCAGAGTGTCCGCCACGGCACTTTTGTGGTCTCGTCTTCGTACCCATCCAACTCTATTCCGATCGTATTGGCTGAGAACTTGCCAGCTTTGGACTCTCGATTGCGATTCGGCAAACGGACACGGCCTTTGCTATCAAGCGCGGCAATGTTCGCGGTTTCGTCAACAATATTCTCGATACTCGACATTGGCAGCGTCAAGTATCCCGTGTTATACGACGCCAAGGCAACGTAGATATATAGAACCGTGACAACGAGGTATGCAGGTATCGCAAGAGACCACCATCTGTTCGGATAGTAATGAATGCCGAGTTGATGTAGAAATGGAGACGGTAGATATGACCAGAGGAGGTAAATCACTTGTTTGGTCAGTAGAAAGTCCGAAAAGGGAACCATGGATATGTCTTTACACATACAAAAGGCAAGGGATGACCCTAAATACAGCGCAAATCCGTAGTATTCGTAAGTGGGAACTTTTGGGCTCGCTCGAGGCACTGTCGTGGCGGTACGGGCAGACTTGGCGACAACAGCCTCGGTGTCATTAGGCGTCTCGGCATCAGAACTATCGGGCGTGGTTGGACGTGATGTTTGGGCAGAAAACGGCGGGCGAAGCAGAGATGTCAGCGAAGGCGAAGGAGGTAATGGTGTTGGTGGTCGATTGTAGAATGGAGGCGCAAAGGCATGTGGTGTGCTCCGTCCCAGAGATGAGCCTGACGTCTGCCTCACATGGCCTGGGCGGTGCAAGACATCGCCGTCTGGTTGGGGGACCTCAATGTCGCCATCTGCTTCTGATGACGCAGATTCTGATGAAATCGGTGAAGAAGCTACAACCTCATCAAGTTGCTCATGCTGGGTTGGATCGAAGCTCTGGACAGCATCCAAGGGAGTCTGATGGCTGTTAGATTCGAGAGGCGTCAGACTGAGCAGATCCGAGGTTGAGCCCGAGCGCGAAGCAGATGATCGATGATGGCCTTTGCCCTTCTTTCCTCGATTCTTAGGAGACATGCCTCATATCATGCCATTGTCAAAAGCAGAGGTGTTGTTTGCGTTTTCGTCTTTCAGAGTTGTTCAATTGATAGAGAAGCCAGTATTTATCTGATCATCTTATCTTTGAATCAGGAGAAAAACGGTATAACCAACTCCACCATTGGACCAGCGCCATTAGGAATCGAACCCAATATCAGTTAAATACACACTCTCGGCACACCAAGGATCTATCGCTCCGAATAAATGATTCAAATCATCAACGTCATGTCTAACAACAAGACAACGTTTCAAAGAAATTGAACGACGATGTTCGCTGATAATTAAATTCAAGTTCAAGAGTATCGAGGCCACTGACTTTTCTCGCCTTTTTACAAAATGAGCTTCCATCTCATTCTGTCATGCAATTGGACATCCAGGACTAACTCCAACTCGAATTCATGTCGCGACAACATGTTACGAAAGATGGAGATCTTTTAATCACACAGCTCACTTCACATACATGTCACAGCCATAATTTACAGTTAAGACGACAAATTCTGAATGCCACGTAACTCGTTGATTCATTATAATACACAGAGCACTATGCTCTAAGCAATGGTTCTGCTTTTTCCACGCTACGTCAACTCAATGTTTTGACGAAAATGCTCGATCCCTGCCACGGTAGAAGAAGGGAAAAAAGTAATCCGCAGCTATAAAGTATGGTTTTCGACAATAAGACGTCCTCAACTCCGTATTAACGTTCCGAAGCATTGCAGATGAACTAGGACATGGATGGATTGCTAAGCACAACCGGACCAGCCCGTTGAATCTCATTCAATCCGATCCATGTGAGCATCAAAATATTCCAGCCGATGCTCAGCTCCCAATCCAGAGGGAATGTGGATGAACCCATTTAAGGGCGGTCCAAGTGCTGGCCGTGGACGGGGTTGTTGGTGGCAGGAAGACCAGACACACCAGTGCCAGTCAGACCTTCCTTGGCCTTGGTGGCATGGTGCTGTCCACCATGGTGCTTCTCAGAGCTGGTCTGACCCTGGCCAGGGTGACCGTAGCCGGTGTTGACGTCAGCAGAGGTGGCACCGCCGAGGGTGTCGGCAGCAGAGGTGAGCTCGCCAGCCTCCTGGCCGGGGATGGCGCCCTGAGTCTGGTACTGGAAAGTGTGCTCCGGGGGAGCAGTACCCGCGGGGAGGGTGTGAGCGTGGTACTCCTCGACGTTGTCATTGGGACCAGACTTCCGTCCAGGTTGGTGCTTTGTAGGTTGTTAGCTCAAGAAGTCAACAATATATCAAAGAAAGTAAACACATACACCGTGGGTAGTCATGGGCTCAGCGCGAGGGACGTGAGCGCTGAATTCACCAGTCTGGTGAGCAACAGCTTCGGTGTTTCTGGTGGCGGACATTTTGATTGTTTGTGTGGATTGATATAAAGAAACTAAAGGAGTCTCCGTAGAGTGTTGATTATGGAGGTTTATGTGTGAAGGACTTTGGAGCTATGAATTGATCTGAAGAAGTTCGTAGTCAAAGGGTGGTTCTCAGGGACTAAATATCTTTCTCCGAGTGTCTGAGAATAACGCAAAGCTGATGTTTGAGCTCTCTGGAGTGGCCAAAGTGACGAAAGCGTTAGTGGACATGATTGAGTGTAAATGACGTCAACCCCATGCCGCTCCTGGCAAAACCCCACATCCTTCAGCTTCTCACGGCAAGAGTAAATTCGAGTACGGGAAAGACTGGAAAATCCATAAAGATCGCGATCGGATTTGTCGATGAAACTCTCATAGTAGGGATCGGTAATTTTTTTTTGCATCATCGCGTGCTCATTCTCCGGTAATACCATGCTATTATGCTGTGCGTGCCCCACTGTACTCCACAGCGCACACGCCAACCTTTCCCGTAGGCTGTCTAGGGTCAAACAGCTGTTCTCAATGATACAATATCTTCCACTTATGGCCTTGATCACCTTAATCATTTCGTACCTACTCCACCAAGAGTCCCGAGCCTCCTCCGGTAGACGGATACAAGATTCGATAAACGTACCACACGCCTCTCCCGACCACCTTATTATCGTCACATTGTCTCAGGCCTTGCTTAGGTCTCCACAATTGACATAATGCAAGTATTGTACTTCGTACTCCGTAAAGCAGCTATGTTAGCGGATATTCCTCTTAATCGCTTAGCGTTCGAAGAGCTCAGCGGCGACGCAAATGGAGATTCAGCCCCATTAGCTCACGTGACCTTGATCCAGAGTAACTCTCGGTGCTCAACCTTTGTTTAAAAACTCCTAGAAGCTATTCGCAATTTCGACGTGTTTGCTGCAGAGATGGTGTGAATATGTATGTGTGATTGGAAGAATATAGTGGATGCATATATGGTGTTCAACGAGGAGTTGGCGTCAATGCTTATATAGGCAATCTAGAAGGGCGCAGTCCAAAGAGTCTTCAAAACATGTCTGGTATCAGTATGTCAAGAATGGTCGCTGGCGATTCCTTCCAAGCTGGCCACTGTATGCATCAAGTTTGACTGCCACCAAGACCAGTTCCATTCTACCCCGTGCTGCTTCTTCTTGACACGGTTGCACGCGCAAGCGCCACTGTCCAGTTCTTACTATCCATTCACCAGCCTCCTCTCTGCTATCCCTTCGTTTAATCTTTTTACCCGCCTTTGCCTGCGACACTGGGGACTGCCCGACCCGAGGTCCGGACCATCCTGGAGACGGCGTCGTACCGGCAGGACCAGAAGTGGGGAGGCCTGAATCATCCTCATCCACCTCATGGTCCATCCGATATGGCTCGCCATCTAGAATAATGTCTGCGTGCTTATCAACTTGAATCTTGACCAAGTCCTCGCTCAAAGGTGTGTTTCCGGGGCTCACAGGCTGCTTCGCCACGCCCCCGCCGGACATCATCAAGAGCCCCAAAGGTTGATTGACTGGTAGATTCATTTTATTCGCAATCACCTGAAATAAACTGCTAATGCGGGCTTTGTCCTTGCCATGAAAATCTGCTCGGCGGGCACCAACGTTTAGCCGTGTGCTTTCCCCGCTGATTTGAAGGACGAGTTCATACGAAGCTCCATCGGCAAAGGGTCGGGCGTAATTGACCCAGGCAATTGGTGAAGCTTGGTTGACCGCCGGTAAAGGATCATCCTTGACCAAAATCCCCGAGGGCTTCACATCTTCCAATCGAATTACAATCTCGCTTCGATGGCGCTGAGCATTGAAGCTAATGTGATGTGGGATGAGCTTCTGTTCCAGCCCACGCAGATGGAAATACCGACAATCTCGGATTAGTTCGGCACGATGTTCTTCGTTTCGGATATGCACAGGATATCCGCGCAAAAGATGAATTAGGTCGGCGAATGTGTCGGCTGACCGATTAGGCACATTTGGAGGCTGGATAGAAGGTGGACGAAGCAATCCGACCCGATCCAAACCGGGAAATGTTCGAGCTGGCGTGGAGAAGAAAAGACCAAATCCAAGTGAAAAGAAGTTTGGTGAATCACCAGGGCCAGAAAAAATATCACGTGGGATCTGGAAAGACCGTCCTCCAATCTCAACAAATATTTCCGACTCGAAAAGCTGCGATATCAACCTGGGCACTGAATTGTAGGTCAACAAAGAATGCACGTCTAAGTGGATTCCCCCAGAAAATCTTACAGCTATAAAATTGAGCATCTGAAAACAGCTTCACGTAGTGTGTCACATCTCTTGGTTGCACATAGTAGCCTTGAATCAGAAATTAGCACCAGCATAAGATTTCGTCGGCAGGTATCAAACCTTGTAAGTGAAGCGAGATATCCCGAAATACGACTGGGTCTCTATCAATGTATAGAGTTCTTATGTTTTCAGCATTATCGCCGCTCTCCTCCAGTTGTTTGCGGAAGAATTGCGAAAAGTAAGAGGGTGCTCTAAGCCTCTCAGCTGGGCGCCATAGCATGTCGTTTGCAAGATATACTGACCATCGGACGATAATGATGCACCCGAAAGCCGGAACAATTCGGAGCCAATTTGAATTGGGAATACTTTGTCGTGTGGTAATGCCAAATCAGTTTCGAGATGATGTTTTCCATCAATCGTTCTTAGAATTCCAGGCGGATCTGTGATCAAAACTCCTTCCCCACCTGAAGCGCGACGGGGTGGAGTAGGGCGCAGCCCATTGACCGGTTTTAGGCTTTGCAGTGACGAGCTGGGAGGGCGTGATTCATTTTTGTGCTTTGGGAAGAAAGAGGAAGGGTTTTCTGGCGTGAGTTTATCTTCAGACTCATCCTCGGGAGCATGAACTGTAGCTCGTTTCTGTGAAGGACCCCGGGCATCTTCTCCAATCGAAATAGCTGGAGTGGCTGAAGGAGCAGACCTTGATCCTGATGAGATATTTGGATCAGCTTTTCTTTTGAGTTGATTATGGCCATGCGATCTAGCGGCCGCAGCAGATATGTCCGGTGCAGTGTTTGGGTTACTTTGCTCGCCTGACGACGTGACTACTGGACTAGGGATTGTGAATCCTTGCGCTGGTGCTCTCTGATCAGATGGATCCTCAAGAAGCACTCCTTGTGGCTGGTATAAATTTGAAAAGTCAGGTGGCCCCAAAATTGAATTGCCCCAGTCCATCTCATAATAACTTCCCGCGTTAGGAGTTTGTTGTTGTCGTTGTTCGGTCTCAGCAGCAGGAGTGCCGGACCATGATGCCGAGGGATTCTGGTACAATATCCGTTAAGCAATATGTATAAGAAAGAGCTGAAGCTTATATACTTACATCTGATCCATTAGACCCTGCGCTATCTTGCTGAATGCCTGACATGGTGACAGCAAGCGTGTGAAAACACGTGATGCGAAGCTGCTGAATTAAGGACGGTTGTGACACAATAATCAATAGCTCAAAGAAATAAAACAAAGGTAATCCATTAGCTTAAAAGCACTCTAATCCCAAAATTCGGTTTTGGGAGGCTTAAAATTTTGTTGCAAAACAAAAAAAGAGCTGTGGAGAAGAGCTCAGCGGGGAATGATTTCCCCAGTGATAAGAGCTTCAGCTCCACAGTGACTAAGCGACCAATCGGCCCTAAGGTATCAGCGGCGAAGCTTGAAGCTTCCACGAGTTCCATTTTCAAAGGAAACCTTCCGCACTCTTCTCAAAGAAAGTCGCAGAGTCGTTCTACTATAGTCAATCCACAGAGAAAGTCTAGATCATTCGCCCTATGTAGAACCACAATATCGTCAAGCTCGCAGTGGCAGTACTGCTGACTGAGCCGAAATGCTGACACACCTAAGCGCGACTCATGTGTGGCCGCAATGCGTTTTCCTCAGTATTATGAAGAAAAGCCTGGGCTAACATCAAGGTTTTGCATTAGAAGGTACTTAAATTCACTAATTCAACCGTTTCTCTAATAGTGCTGAGATGATTATGCTATTGAGTTTAATTGTAAAACGGTACAAAGTCAAATGAGGTGACATTTATTAGTCCGAGCATAACAATGCAGGAACAGCCATATCAGATCTTCGAGGTCTTGTCCGATCCCTCAATCTCTTTGATCTTTTGACTAGCTCGCTGATAGGCCTCCCTTTGCTGAATCTTACTGACATAATCACAAATCTTGGGATATTTGTCTTGTGTGATTACTCCACGATTCACAGCAGACTCTAGAGGGAAGATCATTAGAATATCGGCGCCAGTCAGTTCCTTTCCACAGATAAAGTCTCCTCCGTTCGGGGAAGTGTTGAGTTGACTTTCAATGAGAGCAAAATGATTGTCGAAATTCGGCTGCGTAAACGATTTCTCCACATTTCCACCGATCATATTCGTGATCGGCTTGATGAAGAATGGCACTGGCGCATTTTTGATCTCTGAGAAACCCATGTTATTAGCATCGACTTTTTAAGAAAGCTAAAGCATAGCTTGGATATGTAAACCTACTTTGAATTATAACCCAGACAACCATGATTGCCATCAAACTTCCTTCCGTATAATGCATGAAATATCTGTATCGAAGCCACTCTTCGGTTTCTCCGCCAAGTTGGCCTTCTTTACCTGGGGCATATTGCTTGGGGGCCAGCCATTGTCCAAAATGTTCAGTCAAATATTCGACAATGGTACCGGATTCAGCCAAGACGAGTGGCTTTGATAGCGCTGGTGCTTCAAGGACGATGACTGGAGACTTTCCCAGCGGATGAACTTCTTTCAGCTCGGGAGGCGCAAGATAGTCTTTGTTGCGTTCATAGAGCTTGACCTCGTAGGGAAGCTTGAGCTCCTCCAAAAGCCATACGATGCGCTGGGAGCGAGATTGATTCAACCTACAAATTTCGGTCAGTAGCAAATCACGGTGTATCGTCACGAGCGATCATACCAGTGGAGGGTGAGTTTGAAGTTGTGCTCCGCCGGAGCTTGGCTTGCCATGTTGTGTTGTTTCTTTGGGTTTGGTTGGGAAATGTGCAAATAAAAGTAGTTGTCTAGTAAGTACCTTATATGAGAATGAATAAAGTGAAAGTAACGTCTGCCTTTTTAAAATCGCGATGAGTGAGTCAATCAATTGACACAGTAAGCTTGGTGGAAAAAACACCTTGACGTAAGATAAGTTACCAAGTGTACGGCCGCCGATCACCCGGCACAGCGCCTACAAAACACCGAGAACCTCGGATGTGAGAGTCGCTAGCGAACCATGTGCCTGCATTGAACCATTAGAGCTACAAAACAATTCCAACCGTCCCTCGGCAGAAGATTTAGAACAGCAAATATAACTACCGGGAAAGAAAATGTATTGATTTGCAGAATGTTAAGAAGAATAAAAGTCCTAGTGTAAATACGGCCAAATATACTGTGAATGCTAATTATGATGCGCTTTGGCATAAACACGTCAGAGCGTCAAATACAGATCAAATTAAATAATTAGTGGACTACCTTAAATCTAGGACCAGATTATGAGCTTATTTACTAATTTATATATCTACTTTATGCGTACGATGGCTCTCAATCATTTCAGCAAGTGCAATTGCCTTGGCGACATGGTATCTGCATCAGCAACGGCATCCTACAGATAGCCAGAGTTAACCACTAGAATCTTAGAATTAGCTCGATCCCTTCTTAAGTGAATAAAGTGTATGGAATATGCGGCTAGCTCATTGGTCAAAGAAAATAAAATTGAGGCGGCACTGAAGCAGTTGGCGAAGAAAAGTCTCCCGCAAATTGTAGGAAGAGGCATAGTACGGATACCACTTCATCGAATGCGGCAGTAGAGAAGCTTGTCGAGGATCTCGACACACAAAAATAAAAATATCAAGGATCGGAGGCACTCTGCATGCGCTTTAGTTCTCTAGTCAGTGCTCCGCCCTCTAAAAAAATAGAGGCGAGACAGGATTTTGCAGCGCTGAAAGGAATCTTTGTGCTGTGCTATTAGTGGTTGAAAATATTCCAAGGACTCAATAATCCCGGCAGCGACCATTGTTTCGCGTTAGAGACTGTCAGCGACAAAACAAGGCAATGGTTTTCTTAAGTCAATCGTCAAACGGCCATGACTTGCTCCAAGCGACTCGCTCATCCTCAGAATGTGCCATTCGCCCAATCGTCTCCATTTTCGCCTGTTTCAAAAGCGCTTTAGCTTGATCGTATTGATCGTGCGGTACAACACCTTTCTCAGGCCATGCTTCACCCAACAGCTTCCTCAAGTCGCGCATTAGCTCCATACCTTTGATAGAACCAGAGACGTCTTGCTCAATCGAAGCAGCCTCGTCAGCTGATAGCTGTACTGGAAATGGTGGATTTCCATAAGCTTGGACACCTGGGAGGCTCGACCATTCGCCTTCTAGATCAAGCACCCTAGATTGATAAAGTGCCTCCCCGTCGATCAGAAGGTTTTGGGCCAGTAACATCATGTCAAAACTAGTGGTCTCTCGAAACTCCATAGCTTTGTAGAGTCTTTCGTTGGTGGTGTAAGTATATCTTCTATATAAGGCTGCGAGCGACATCTTTAAATACAGACTCTGAGCTTTATCTTGCTCTGCAGAATCTAGCTGGTCATAATTCTGCGGAAACGCTGGGGGATCAATACCGCTTATAGGAGGGCCATCGTGGTCGAGGAGATATGGCTGGCGAGCGTGATCAAAGAGCGGCAGAAGTTCGCTTGATTGCCAATCGATGATGCCCAGTACCTGCCACGGCCTTTCAGGGGTAACAAATATATTCTCGGCGTGAAGGTCAGGGTGCCATAAAAAAGAGGATGAGATTGATGTGTCAGTTGGTAGAAGAAATTTTAGCATGCGAGGATAGGTGTTTAGCGCGGCTACTTTTTGTGAGCGAGAAGGGTAATATGTGCCGGGACCATAAAGTGATATTGATGACTGTGGCAGCTTGGTGATTTCCTGTACACAAATAAGCTCCCGGAGACCAATCGCCGTTTTATATTGTTCCGCGCTGCTCCCTAAAAAAAAAAGTCAGGTCAGCATTCAGCGTGCCATTTGTAGAAATCATGTTAAAAATTGCCTTACGCGGGCCTCGGTCAAAGTTCAATTCCATTCTTCCATCATCGAGGAATTCTCGACCTGTCGAGGGACCGACCGCGAAACGAGGCTCTCGGGTTTCGGATTCATTCTCTCCGATAAGAGAGCATCCTTCGGAATTTTCAAAAATATCGGATGAGTAATATAGGCTTCCGTACTGAGCGAAAGAAGTGGACATCCATGATTTTTGGTATCCTGAAATAGCTTTCACGACCTCGAGTCTGTCTTTGATATCCAACTTTGGCCAAATTTCTTCAAGCTGGACTCCTGCAATCTTCTCCATTATAATATACTCGGCGCCTACGGGATTTTCTTTCGCCTTCGAGCTCCAAGCTAGCACTTTTGGCGCCGGTGTGCCCAGTCTATTCCGGACCTGCAGTTGGGCATTAGGTAAGAGGCAAGGGATCAGCATGGAAGGCCACTTACAAAATCCATTGTGGCCACTTCGCTAGCAGTCGTGTAGTGCGCAAGCCCGGCGTTCGGGTTTGGGGCTTTACCCACAACCTGTGTGCCATCCTGCATTGTAAAAAGAAAAGATTTATTGAACATTCCGTCCGAAAATTTTTCAACTTGTACGCATTGTGTATGTGCATCGCCGGCCGCTTCTGCAGCACGCTTTGCCAGCTCGTTCATATTGAATCTAGTGTGCCGCATCGCCATTTCATGAGACTCATTTGCCACAAAGCGGCCCCTCGTATATTTGAAAAATTCATCATGTGAGTTCCAATCTGCATGGAGTCGCTGGCTGATGTTCTTCCTTGGTTGACCGGTAAACAATAATTTACCTCGCTTTTTCAACAGAGGAAGAAACGTACGTATCATAATTGAACAAAGCCTATTATAGCATTAGATGCATTGCATAGAGAAGAGGAAGCAACTTCACAAGACGTCAGGTGAAATGTCACAATTGCAAGACTGCGAACCCTCGAAGAAGCTTGCAAATGAAAAGAGGCCCGGGAAACAATGGCTTGAAGTGACGTAGCTGAATAAGCATATTAACAATTTAGGACTAGCGACCACTTCCGCGACGATCAAGACAATGCGCGCTTGCTCGCTTACCGCACCCGCACTGCATCGTCAGCGGGTGATCCACTTCCCCAGCTCAACATTCTCCACACTTGAAGCCAAGTGGGCGTTGTTATCACTGCTATCATCGTTCACACAGCTTATCGTCCAAGCAATCTGCCCATCATGGCAGGCCACAATCACAATGGTGAGTATTGAACCATCACTGGAATCGAAACGAAATAATTACTAATACGCAATGGCTTTTAGTTCTTGCCCAGGACCCGGCGTTGGTGAAATGGGCGGGTATGTGATGGGCATCATAGCAATACAGGGGATGATATCAATGAAGGCTAATTCATCATTAGCAATGGTTACCAACCGCCATAAGTACTTTCGATGGACCGGTCGAACGGCGTGGTTGACATTTGTCTACGTTGCTGCTGTGCCGTCGATTGTTTTATATCTTGGTTACAAGACAGACGTACGTGTTCATTGGCATAATTTCCCTTGGCGGCTACACGAGAAACATTTGCTTATGATGTATGACTTGGCTATTGCAGGGCAAATACGAAATGCGGGGCAAGCGACGAGGCGACATTATCTCTGAATATTAGATCATCAGCACTGGAGCACTACTAAATGCATTCATTCGGCATTCTTAAAGCAGCAATATCAAATTAAATTCTTCAAACCCAGTACACATGTGCTATACATGTACAAGCTGCATATCCAACTGATATCCTTCAATTTTTCCCTTCAATCAAATAGCTTTCCACATATCCAAGACAATTGCAACTCAAACCTACGCCCGAGGGGGCATATTCGTCTCCTCCAAGACTCTTCCATCTTCCAGCACAATCTTTTCGCTTCCCACCATGACAAACAAGATGCGGCACCACTCGTTAGAATTATTTCTCCACCTATGCATAGTGCCGCGCTGAAGAATCAGTTCTCCCGCCTTGATGACCCTTTCCTCGCCGCTGTCCAGTATCATGGTAATTTCTCCCGCAAGGACAACGGAATAATCCATGCTTTGAGTGCGATGAATCGGGCTTTCACCACCATGGGGCGGAATGTCCGCCGTCGTAAAAATGACACCCTGGGGCGGGACCCGCGGGAGAGTGTTTTGCTGCGGTGCCTGGAGATCCGTATTTGAAACCGGCACGCTCGGCGCGCTATGAATGACTGCAAATGCGCTTCCCTTGGGCCCGAATGGGGAAAAGGTCTGCAATGGAGCATCTGATGCAATGATTGACGTGCCAGCCGCATCGTGCGCGGTAGCAACTAGACGCGGGGGCGGAAGTGGGCTGGCCATTCTCTTTATTTTATTTTATTTCAAGGCTCCCTTGGAACGTTGCGTGGGTATTTTTGTGGTGCTGTAATCCGCTCGTATAGCTTTCCTGTCACTTGACTTTGTATTTGCTGGTCTAATTGTATCGAAGTGATCCTTTATTCAGGACGTCTTTGGTCTCAATTGGGATTTGCTGACGTCTCGTAGAAGAATGATCTCAAAATCGATGAAGAAGCAGCTCGAATAATGGATTAGAATGAACCTGAAAACTGATATTACATTCTCAAGGGGCCATCATGGTCTTCAAATACTCGTAACTCACAATCACGCACTACCGAATACCTACCAATCTACCTACTACAGCCCCTCTTTCGCGCGATGTTGGTTTTAATCAATTGGGGGCCACAAAAACAAACCGCTTGTGAGCTTATGCTGAGACTAGACCTAATCAAGCTACCCACAATGGGCTTCTTGTCTTGCCATTTTCCCCCTCCTTGTAAACGGTCCACGGTCACTGAATTAGCGTTAAAGGCTCCAGAGGTAAAATTAATTCGCGATCCAGGCAGCATCGCGTCAAGTTGTCAGGGTATCGATTGTCATCTTCCGCCATAGATTTTGGCTTTGATTTTTGGGGTATTGATAATACGCTTTGTAAAGAACCGTAAGCAATCCGTCCCTGGCATCTGTTTTGGAGGTCGGTATGTCGGTAGGTCGGTATGTCGGTAGGTCGGTATGTCGGTAGGTCGGTAGGTCGGTGAAGCCGGTCAAATCGGTGAAAGCGGTGACTTTTACGCCGTAGACAACGGCGGATATCAGGATAATTTATGCGTTTCTGCCTTTAAAGAGGCCTCCGTAAGTTGTCGGCCTTGCCGGGGCTGGGGGGCCCGCGCTGGAAAAGGCTTTTGAACCCTTAACTAGGACTTAAGTGAAGCTGTCGGGAATAACCGCCAAGCGCCGTCGCCCGAACTCCGAGCGCGTGAAACAAGGAACGGGTTTTGTTGACACTGCTAGGACTTAGCTTTACAGTGGGCTGCTAGTTGAAAGAATAAGATATTGTTGATTAAGGATTATAATAATTTGAATGCTTACGAAATTCTGGAGTTTGCTTACGGATGAACGTTCAAGCATTGAAGAAGCGAAGTGTTTGTTTGGTAAGGATTCCATAGCCAAGTCGTCGACGTCGACGAAAATAAAAATGGAAATAAAAATATACAAACAAATCAAAATAGGTTCGATAACTAATGTATCTAGAGGATATATGAGAGCACATGAAGTGAAAAAAATAAAATAAATAGAATAAAATAATTGAGAATTTAGGATGCTTAATATGCATATATTATTCGTATAGACATCTACCATCAACCGCATACAATAGAGACACGATACTGTACATCAAAAACTATCCCATGAGCTGCAACTGGTCCTCGGGGGGCCAGCGGGTCTGCGCAAAGCTGAGGCAGCGCTTAATACTCTGGAGCATTTTGCGCGTGGCCTCGTCACTCATAATGTGCGCTTGGCTTTCTCCTGTTCCCTCGTTGATCTTCTCGCGGGCTGATCGCGCGTGGATGCCGACCTGGGTCACACCAATTGGCCATGCCCTGTATCGTGTTAGTATGGTTCGTATTCTAAGTCTGGCTTCATCGGGGCGAGAAACGAGCGAACCATGCAATGAAAAGAGTGGAGCACAAGCACGATTAACCATAGGCAGGAAAAACACTGGGGCAGTAGCGGAAAAATTGGGAGATTAATAAGGACTTACGCCTTTCCAATACTCAGTCTCAAATAGCCATCATTCGCATCCACATATCGTCTCTCCTGCGCAGCATGCACAATCTCGACAATCGGCTTGAGCAAATCATCCTTGAGGTCGGATTTCTCAAAGTTTCTAAACAGCGGCCGCATGTTCTCTCTTGCCTGCAACATGGCATTGAATGCCGCTTTCCCCTGGAAACTCTGCCTCACGCTCTCCGGCCGGTTCGCCAGCGCGGCCGCCCACTCTCGTAGCACCATTGTAAAATACGACGCGAGCTGCCTGTACAAGTACTCCCGGGCCTTGTCGTCCTTGGGCGGCAGCGCAGGGACCTTCATTTCTTTCTCTGGCACCAGGATGAGTGTCGTGGGAATGGGCAAGTCTGCAGACGTCAGTCCGCCGGGCTGTGGCGTGGACGAAGCCTCCCGCGACTTGGCGGCTGCTGTGAGTCGCCTGTAACGTCTGACGCGCTGCTTGTGCGACTCGCCGAAGAGAGTGACTGGTTCTGATAGCTCGCGGAGTTTCGAAACAAGTTCATCGTCGGGAATGTCCTCGTCTTCTGGGAGAGGTGTGCCGTCCGCGCTGCTGGTGCCGGTTGGTGTCTCGCTCGACGGCCGTTCTGGTAGACCGAGACGTTTTCGCCGTGCGCGCTCTTCTCGCTCGGCTTCTTCTTCGCGCCGTTTTCGAGACTCTTCGGCCAGGCGTTTCCGTTTCTCCTCGCGCGCAGCATTTCGTGTGGCTTCCTCTTCTTCGAGCTTTCGCTTCTTCTGGGCGCGCTCTTCTTTGGCCGCCGCTATGGCTTCTTGCTCGGCTTGGTATTTCGCTAGTCGTTCGGCTTCGAGGTCTGCTCGTTTGACGTATGCCTTGTTATTGGAAGATGAAGAAGAAGTAGATGTGTCTTTGGATGGTTGTGACTTTGCGATTTCTCGCGACATGAGCGCCTTGAAGTCCATGATGATCACGCCCCGCCCGCGGTCCAGATGTAAAAAGTGTCAGATCGCGTAACGGAGGTATATAGAGTGATTTGATAGGATTTTAATAGTAGCTGAGTGGCTCAAAAGAGTACATCTGCTGTTGTGGTCTGAGGTTATTGTCGTCAGTTAGACTTGATATTATTTTGAACGACATGTCGGCCAATTTGGCCAGAAACCGCCGATGTCATTCCGCGCCAGAGACAAAGTGCATTTCCCTTTCATTGCGCAACCAACCAACTACGCTCGTGTCTTGAGCTTCATCGCAGCTTGAACATTGCATTTTATCCTGCAAATTTATTCTTCTCTACTTCCACTTCTAACACAATCCTCAATTCTACATTGCCGACCACGTCAAGCCATGAAATTATAGTCACCGCGACTTCACAACCTCAACGAGCTCCACCGTTTCAAAGCCCCAGCTCGTACGTAACCTTCCACCATTTCAACTACCCAGCATACCAAAATCAAAAGGCTCCATTCGACGTGTTATACAATGGCTCTGCAAACCGCGCCAGGCGGCAAAGTAGACCGCCAAACCACTACTCCATTTCTTCTCAAGCTCTTCTACCGCACCGGTAGCTTCCACAGGTATATTTCTCCCCACAACTTCCCACATTCCCACAAATTTCCATGTATTCCCCCAATTATCCCACTCCCACTACGCGTTCCCGTACTTGAACTAATATATTAAACTAACACCCAAACAGACTCGACGAATTCCACCCCACAGGCCCACTACCACCGCATCTACAAATCTACACCTGGTCATCCTGCACACTGCGCGAGCTTTCGCACCTCTTGACATCCGCACTGCCTACTCTTCTCCCCGACCCTGTCATCGGCACGCGACTCGCGTTTCGGCTCATATTCCCGGACACGCGGAGCGGCGGGGGCCCGGACGCTGGGCGGCCGGGAGGAGGTCGATACGTGAGTAAAGAGCTGGGCAGCATCGTCGTTGGGGCCGGAGGGCCAGGGATCCTGCCAACAGAAGATGAAGCGAGCATTGTAGCGGACGGGCCCATGGCTGGGGAATTGGGAGGCGAGCCAGACAAGAGTCTGGGCGACGCGCGGTTCGTGATTGGCGATTATGTTTCCTGCGCAATATTCCCGCCGCTCGCGGACGGGTCGGTGGCTCCCGTCCCGGGTCCGAGAGGGCCGGGAGGACCAGGAGGGCTGGGATTGCCGGGCAGACAAGGGAACATGAGCGACTTTGGAGGCGGGAGGGGCGGTGTCCTGGGTGGTCCAAGAGAGAATGGGTTCGGCGGGTTCAGAGTCAGAGGCGGACCGAGAATGGGCGGCGGCGGTAGCGGCGGAGGCAGTAGCGGTGGTGGTGGAGGAGGCATTCCAAGCGGAGAGTGGAGAAGAGGCGAAAGATTACCGGATGGTCCAGCGGCAGGGGGCGGCCGGTTTTATGGCCGTGGGAGAGGAAGAGATTATTAGGTGTGTGCCATGGTGTTGGAAGGGGGTAGTATGGGGATTATGGACTCGTTCCCCCTTCTCCATCTCTCTCTTTTCTTTGATCAAGTGTATTATTTCCCCGCAGGAAGAAACGGCGTACCGGTTTGATAGTTAGACATTGCGAATCAAAAGAATTGTTATGAACAGTCATCTTCATTATGTTACCATTCATGCCGTGTACACAGTGTACAGTGCATCTCTCTTCGGCACTTTATACATGTAGCTACCGTATATACAATATTTATGACAGATCGGAGCTCTAGATGCTTTTCCTTTATTTCCTTCCAACAGTTTATGAGGCCTCACCTCCCGCCATTTCCCAATCAAAGATACAATAAGAAGAAACAAAAGAGGAATTAGATGAATATCATCAAAATAAAAAGAAAATAAACGAAATAACCCCATCAGAAATGATAGAGGGGGAGCTAATCACAATACAACGGAGATGAAGGAATGATCAGAATAAAAGGACATAAGGAATGATTAGAATAAAGGACATACGGAAATGATGTAAACTAAAAGGAAATTACAACGACGCCTTAACAGGAGGCACACTCTTCTGCCGTTCCAACTGGGTATACATGAGATCAAAGAGCTTCAAATCATGAATAGCATCTTGGACCGTCGTCTTAATCTCCTTTCCATTAACGAGGCACTCATACATCTCCTTGAGCTCGGCTGTATACGCATCTTCATAACTACTCAGGATCTCTCTCGAGGTCGCTTCGCCAAACTCATTGAGTTCATCGACTGTGACCTTGATCGGGAGACCCTTAACATAGGGCGTATCATACTTGATACTGACCGTCTTGTTCTCGCCATAGACGGTCAAATGGGCATCGAAGCGGGGGACTTTATCAATACCCGACTCGTACGTGACGGCGTACTTTTCGCCGCGGGGGCCAGTGTAGTTGAAAATGGCCGAATAAAACGGTTCATGCGCCGACACGCCCGCCACGCTTTCGGGGAAACCTAGGGCCTCGCGCATCAGGGACAAGTCATGGCTGCCCAGGCTTCCCAAGAAGCGGCAGTAGTTCTTGCGCTCCTCGGTGACGGGCTTGCCGTCAAAGGCCTCCTGCAGGAGCGCGTTCAGACGGGTCGTGCTTGATTCTTTCGAGCCGCGCGGGAAATCGGTATACTTGACGGGAAAGGTGCCAGACTGGCTGACGAAATGGGGGTTGGGCCCGACAATGTCGCGGGACCGGGCGTAGAGGATCTTGTCGATGCCGGCGACTTCGCGCTTGAAGGCGTTGACGAAGCTGGGCGCGTAGCGGCGCATGTACCCGACAAAGACGCGGTTACCGGATTTCTGAAGCGCGCGTTGCTCGGCGTCCAGGATGGCCTGCGCGGAGGGAAGGCTGAGGGTGATTGGTTTTTCGAGCAGGACGTGTTTGCCCGCGCCCAGGGCGGCGATGGTGTAGGGGGCGTGGAACTCGTCAGAGGTGAGGATGAAGACAATGTCGACGGAGGGGTCGTTGAAAATGTCAGACGGGTTGGTGCTGCCTTTGGGGATGTGGTGCCGTTCTTGGCAGAACTTGACGGTTTGGGCGGAAATGTCGCACACGGCGACGACGCGGTAGAGGTGGTTGAGTAGAGAGAGCGTGGGGAGGTGGATCACTTGCGCGACTTCGCCGAGGCCAATGAAGCCTACGTTGAGGACCTTTTGGTTTGCCATGTTTTTGGTTGTATGAACAGTAGGGTTCTTGCTTTACTTTTTTGTTTATGGGAGCCGTAGCGTTGTCGCGAGTATCGTAATGGGGCTATTGGTGTTGCCGTTGTAATTGATATTCTTTTTAGCGGAAGAGACTTCGATAAGGAAGAATTCAGTAAGATAATAAAGAGGTAGAATTGAGCCCCCAATTGCTGTACAGGAAGAATTGTATGTGGAGGATAGGATGATAACAGAGAAATGTCAGGCGTGGGGCCTCGGAGGGATGACATGGGTGGAAAAGCGCAATTATGTCATTGTACAGTTATGCCATCACCACGCTACAGAGAGCGATTAGAACTAATGGTGCTATGGCGCGCTATAAGTGTCCCGTTTGCACCATGCCCTAATATCATTTCCGGAAAACAATAACATGCACAAATATTCATAGTTAATGGGTCAATAGATTGGTAAGGAGAGAGGTGTTTGAGTGATCACTATCTACATGAGCGACGGCTATGTACGCTATTCTATGCGATGCTATGCTATGCTACAGTATGTAGGATGTCATGCCATCTATGCGACGTATTCTTCCAACTCCATGCCAAGGTCATGCTCGAAAGATACAAAGAAGGGATAAAACTAAATGCCAGTAAAAGAAATACCGCCCAGGCGTGATCGTTACGAATACCAATCTCTATCAATAACACCATGTGTAGATGAAACAGGTGTAAGGTTTAACAGTAGGGTATCAAATCAGTTAATTCATCGAGGCACTCCTTCGCCGCCAGCCTCCCGCGTCTAGTTCCTACCTCTGCCGATTCCCTTGCGCCTGCCATTGATAATTGCATTCAGACATTTGCCGACGCCTTCGAGGTCGCCCAATAGAGAAACATGGCCTCGTTCTGAAGAAACTTTGCCGCCTTTCGCAACGCGGTACCCTTCAGGCGGCATGGCCGCGCGTGCAAGGCACACGCCGTCGCCGCTGGCAAAAGCCAAATCATCATAGGCATCAGCATGTTTGATGCCCTCGCGGCCATCGACACGGGCCCCGTACACTGTTGGTATGGATTTGCCATAGAGCACAGCTATGGGCGGGTACCGATTGGACTCGGCGAGTTCAGGGCGATAATAGAGTTCTTCTTTGAATTGCCTCACTTCGGCCAGTATCCGTCGGAGATACCGGAGAGCGTCTTCGCGTGGCATGGTCACCGTTGTGGAGACGTTGCTATTGGGATTCTTGCCGTATGCCATGGGGTTGTGTGGGCCGTCCATTTGCGGGGCAATAGTAGCGTTGCGCTCGGTTTCCTCCACATGCGTTGCTGCTTCTGCTACCTTGGCTGCAGGGGAGCCCCGTCGATGACCATCCGCGTGGTTTGCTGATCTGGTGGGACTCGGACTGGAAGTGTTTCCATTCTCTTGCTCTTGGTTCTTGACAGTAGTCCCAACGCCAAGAGTAAGATACTTCTTGCCCGGTATCGAAAGGTTCGACAGATTTTCTGCTACGCTTCCAAAAATCCCGCCAAAGCTGCCGTTGCTGGCGTTCACCAGTGGTGGAAGCGGCTGGCTGATACAAGGTGAGAATCGGTTTTCGATCCAAGCGTCGGGATCGAAAAAGTCAACGGGATACTCCTCTTTCGTCCGTTTATCGAAGAAGCACTTGCCATTGTCCGGCAATAATGCAAAGCTCGTGCGCAAAGTAAAGTTGACTTGAGCTGTCAGCACTCGGGAGCTCAACAGGACCTCATCTCCGTTTCGGAATGGTCCAAGAATATTGACACAGTGATGAGGCACGCCCGCATATACCACGCCAGAGAAGAGCTCAGGGCGTTGGTTGACGGCGTGGCGAGTAATGAGCCCACCAAGGCTATGGGCAATCACGGTTGCTCCTTGCGGCCGCCCTCCTGGACCTGTTTTATTGCAAGGGAGACGTTCGAGGTACTCTATCAATTTCCGACTCAGAAGATGAGGACTCAATCTCCAATCGTATCCGTAATCCCAAACGCGCAGCCGCCCAGACTTTGCATTCTCTGACGCGTTGAGCTTCCTGAACAGACGCCGAGAGATGTCGACTGGTCCAATGTGAGTCAGCATTCCCGAAGGAATAACTGATTCTTCCATTCGTTCCTCGTCTTCTGGCTCGAGGCCAACTTCAAGGTCGACTCGACGAAGATTTAGGCCAACCTTGACTGGAATCCAAAGCTGTCTATGCGGTGGCTTCGCTGACCGTAAAATCGATCCACGATAACCACCCATAATGACAACGTCGCCTGTCAGTTCCTCCAATGCATGCGAGAGAAGAGGAAAAGCGGTGCCTTCCAATGAAGCCGTGCTTGCAGGGCGATCGCTGGTCAGTCGACTACCCCTCGATGACCCGCTTCGATCCCTTGGACCGCTTGACATGAAGTTGGGTATCAAATTCTTTCTAAGGCTATCGCTTCGCTGCAGACCACGCACCGGCTCGGTCGGGCTTCTTCCCATGTCCAAGTTTGCTCCGCGATTGGAAGAAATACTTGTCAAATTTGGGAGGCTCAGCCTCCCAAGATTGGAATCTTGTAGGCTGTCACGGAAACTATCTTTGATGGCTTTTAGGCGACTGTTCACTTGATCCTGGACGTTTTCGAATCTCGAGTCGTCACCGAGGGAAGATGTTCCTGACATGGTTCGCTCGAGAGGCAGCGAATTATCAGAGGTAGTTCGTCGTAGCAGCCCAGGCCGTCCCTGTTTGTAGAGATGTTGATGCGCAGTAGACCGTTCGTTCCGAGTTCCATCCGTAGCACCTTCCCGGCCGGTCCCAGATGGAACTGCATTGCTATTTCGTGCAAAGTCTATGGCAACCGGCTCCTGCGATGTATCCTCGGGTCGGGATACAAGTCGTTGGGCTCCGTTCAGAGAGTCGTAACGACGTGCTGCCCCAGACAGCACCTCGCTTGGTGATGTCGAGTTTCGTCTCCAGCCAAACCGGCTTTGCGTAAAATCTGACATGGATGAGCGTCTGTTTGAAAAGGGACGTGGCTGAGCGCGCTCCTCAGAATGATGGTGTCCCAGCGCACTCCACGGATGTGCTGAAGTCGACAAAAGCGAGCTCATTTTTCGGGCAAGACGAGAGGAACGGGAGCGGGAAACGCCCTGAGCACTGTCACCCTTTTGCTCCGAGGAGGTAAATGGCAGACTTGGCAGATTGAACGAGAAAAGCTTCAGCATGCCATTACTGCTTTCGCCGCTATCATTCAAAAGTGTAGGGTTTGTGACGGCTCGTCGTCTAGGAGCTCCCTGGGCTTCAGTTTTAGAAGTGACGATGCGCGGAACAGTAGGCCGTGATGACATGAAGCCATGTTGGTCACCTTTCCTTCGGCTATCATCTTGCGGGGCAGGAAGTGTTGAGCCTGCTTCAGATGGCGAGTCCTCTGCTTCCCGGGTCGGGCTCTCTGTGCGCCTTTCAGGCTCCAGAAACATGACATTGTTCGCGGCTCCCTCCTCCACATCAGGCTCATCATCGTCGAATATGATGTCCGCTCCTCCACCGTCTATCAGCGCTCTTGCCTTTTCAGCGGCAGAAGTGTGCGGGTTCGCCAGTCGTGATTGTGTATGACTGATGCTGATTCCAATTGCATTGTGAGCGTCGTCGGCAGTTGAGCCTCTATCGTCGAGCTGCTCATCGTCCGACAGGCTCTCAGAACTGCCATCGTAGGTCCGTGTTGCATCAGGGTCCAAGAAGGACCCTGGTCGCTCCGGTGGGGTACTGAACTCTTGGCTATGAGAGGCAGCATTTGAGGTGCTCGGCAGGGGCACCGCTTCCGGTCCCACGTTCATCTTTTGAACAGAGAACGCGGCCGGGGGTTCCTTGTCCTTGGTGCTCGACTGACTGTAAAGTCCACGGGGCCAGAAATGACAGATTCAATGATTTCCACTGAATAGGTATATCGACACACGAAACGGCAAGACATCCGGCAATGCCACGATTACATGGCCCGGTCCAGAAGAAAATAAAATGAGAGTCGGTGGTGAAGTGGGATCATGAAAAGGGACTGAAGAGGGGCTGTAAAAGAGGGCAAAAGGAAAGAAGGAAAATTTGGCCTCAGTAAGACAGACTTATTGGGAAGGATGAGGGGCTGCGCACGAGGCTGGAGATCAGCCTCCATAGTAATAATGTTGGCTGTGCCATAACTAACTGTAGAGAGCGGAAAACGGCATTCGGAACGAGGGAAGAGCCATGCTCGATGGGTCCACGGATCGACCATCGGCGCTCACTCGTCCCGAGCATAATGAGGTTTAGTCACTGAATAGTTTCCTTCTCTTCTGCCCTTTCCAGCTGGCCCCAAAATCCCCCCTCCCCCCAAAGAGTTGTCATTTGAAGTCAAAAGGGTGATTCTCCATCATGTGTATCAATTGATGATCCCCCATCCTGGATCATTTTGTCTACATGATTGGACAAAACCGCCCTGTCTCGTGCGGGTGTGACTTCCTCACTCGGGGAACTCTGACACTCAGACCCTGACGATCTGACTAAGATTCGCTTCCGTGATGTCATTCTAATCGAACTAAATGTCAATAATTTTGCTAACTTTTTCATTTCTATTCGATACAGCATGTGTTTAGTTATCAGAGGCAATTCTATGGCTACAAGTGAAGAGACATCAACTCTGTTTTTGATCCTATCATGCAAAGTACATTAATTATACTTTAGACGGTTACCAACTGCTTCCTTACGAGACCCGATACCCTGGCATGACATCATCGTTGGTTTTTTAGTTGATGTCAATTTTAAACGTGTGTTTTGTTATTCTTCTACACTCACATAAAATTCCTTTTTTGACTAAATTCCAAAAATAAATAAATTTACCTACTCTTACTGTTTTTCTTTGTGGAATTTATTCATTCATTTTCAGGAAAATCGCTATTCTTGCAGACAGGATTACTCCTGGGATATTCTACGGCAGGGCTGAGGATAATCTTCCTGTGACCTTTCCTTTCTCGGTATATTTCACGAGACGAAGGATTCTCTGGGTCCCACTATAATCTTTGATCGGACACTCCGACAAGAGGCTTTACCATTTCTACTCCTTCTAGCGTTTTAAGTGTACAAAGTACGAGCGACCGCTGCAATAATGGGTAGGGAATACAACACAGCCTCACTTGAACATAAATCGCCAGCATTATTTTTTAAAGATTTCCATTACATTGAAATCCAGCTTCACCTTAATGGTGTTGTATGCAAAAAGTGTTACTATGCAATCTACATCCGGGTCAAGGCAATCTGCAGAAATTGAGATGCCCGCATCTCCTCGTCCCTCGGAAGCTTCCTCAAATGGCATTGCTAACAAGCAAAGGTTGCGAGACAGATGAAATAAAACAGAATGCAAAGGAAAATGCTACAATAATATGCTGTAAAAAGGCAAAATATATGCTATATGCTTGGGTAACCAGGGGGGAATAATGCCAGCTCGAACCATGCGGGTATGCATAAGAAGACAATTCAGAAAAAAAAAAAAAGGTCTCAATGGACCTGACGTTGCATGATAGCGTTCTCCATCAACTCAATTTCGAGACCGGAGGGACTTTTGAGCGAGTGGTGAAGTGAATGGCGCATTCTGCGCGAAGAAATCGTGGTCGTGGAATCCATCCACTATCGGAGGCTGGATAGCGCAATAGGAACAAACGTAAATGGGCGGGCGCTGCTGATCTACACCAACGCATTGCACATGCAACCATTTGGCACAAGCATCACTGCAAAAAGAAATTGTTAGTTCCTGCAGCAATTTTGAGAGACGTGTGCCGAATTATACCATTGAATCATAGGTGCACCGTCAGCCTCTCCGCCATCACAAATGCATCTGATATACAGCCCCTGGATGTCCGAATGGGGATGAGTAGGAGTCGGAAGCTGAGGCTCGGTAATAGTTGACTCCGTAGTCGGCGAAGGAAACTGGTAAGCGCCCATTCCCGGATAGGGTGCAGGGACGAAGTTGGCGGCTTTCGGTAAAGACATTGGAGGAAGCCGATGTTTTGAAGGCGAATAAGAGCGAAGAGGCGTTTTCCTGGCCATCGAGACTGGAATTTTCTTAGCAAATAGAAACTCAACTATTTTAAAACGTATGCACAAACCTTTTCTCTTTGACCTTTCCTCCAAGACCTTCTTCAAAGCATGCTGCGCATCTCCGCTTGATTTGTGCTCGTCAAACTCGGTTATTGTTTCGGCTTCACTTGCTGCATCATCGGACAGGGACAACTTCCGCATCCGCAATGGATCCGGCGTATCCAAACCAGCTCGACCACGTTTCGTTGGACTTCCTGTGCGGAAGCTTGCCGTACGCAGTTTACGATGAGCAGAAAGACCGGGGCCCAGCTGGATGCGGCTAACATCGGGTACAGGTGATCTAGATTTGGGATAGAATTCGGCAAGAGCGGGCCCAAGGTTGGAAGCCCTTCGAGCAGGCTGTGAATAAGAAAACGACGACGCTCGACTTAGAACGTAGGGTTCGTCAACATCCGTAGCGGAATCACTGTCGTCATCATACAGCGAGTAGGCAGAAGCAGCATTTGACCGCTTCCGCATTTTGGCAGGAGACGGAGAATCGGCGACGACAACCTTGGCCCTTCCATTTTGGTCAACAGCCAAACTTACCGCGCCCTTTGCATTGTCGTCCGAGCGGGCTACTGATTGAGAAATAGAGGGAGTTTGAGATTTGAGCGGAGACGGCCGTCGCGGGCCCCATCCATTGCCGCCCGGGACAAAGGTGCTCTGAGGTGGACCAGGGACCGGGCAACGACTTCGGCTCTGTTCAAGCTTGGCTCTGAGCTGACCGTCTGTCATACTTCTTTTGAGTCCTGGTTTATCAAGAACCTTGGAAAAAGCTCCATGTTGCGTCAAGCTTGGTCCTTGAGCTGCGTCACCGCTGACGATCCGCAATTCTCTATTCCTGTCAAGGTCCTTTTGGCGCTGTGATTCAAGTGTCTGGTGATGATAAGGTCGCCGGCTTTCGACGCGTGAACGGGGCCGATTCATAGCGGAGGCAGGACGCAGGGAGTGATTTGGCGATTGAGAAAAGCTCAAAAGCATGTTTGGATTGAAAGCAGAGTCTGCGGTGGCGAAGTCCAATGACGGCGCCTGAGAGCAAGAAAGATCAAAAGAAGCTGGAAGCGGAGATGGGTCAAGGCGAGTATTCGAAGAACCTCCACCTAGACTCGTTGCCTGTGGCAAGTATTGATGCTGTGATGTCAGTCCTAACTGAAGCATAGGTGCTACACCTGAATGCAGGGATTCTGTCTGAACAGCCGATCCCATCCACGGATAATTCTGAGGCTCCTTTTGCGGATCGAAGAAGGGATCAGTTTCGGGAATAGAAAGACCAAGATTCACGGCATTCTGGTCCCAAAACGATTTCGTATCCGGGAAAATTGGAGCAGTAGCAGGGCCGGACATTGGGAATGGGAAGGTCTCAGGCGAGAATTGCAGACTAGGACCGGTGGTAAAGTCAAGCTGAGGAGCCTCATTGCCGTTTTTCTTCCGGTGACTCTGCGTCTTTGACGCGGAAGAAGGTGGCATTGACATCTTTCTCGAGCCTGGAACAGGCTGTTTGGAAGAGGGTGCTAATTGAGCTTGCTTCGTTTTACGTCTTGGCCCGCTCGGAGGCGGAGTAGCAGGAGCCTGCATAAGCAATGACGAATGGTCTGTGAATGGGTCCATGAATACCTCTACACTTCCCTCGAAGGATAAATTACGTAAATGATGAGAAAGTTTTGGGAAACAAAGCGATGGGAAAGAGAGGCAGTTGGTAAAAATAAAAAAGCAAACTTGATCGAGATAGCCAAGATCAGTCTGTTTGATTTGAAGGCTCTTGTGTGTTTTTATGGTGATGATCTGGAAAGAAATATGCAGAAAGCTTCTGAAAAACTCAGGGTATCAGACACTGCCGTCGGAGTCAGTAGTGCCCGTATGAAGTCGACAACCAGATATGATGTGTATCAAATTGTTATTGCGAGAAATAAATCGACGAGATGCTCCAACTGGGGTAGAGTGCTGAACATCCTTGCATTCACTCACCAATAAGTCTTAGACTTTGCCATAACGTCTCTTAGAAGAGTTGCGGAGTGGACCCCAGAGGTGCACAATGACGCTTCGTAGGTCGAGCACCCAAAAAACCAACAGCAGGGGTTTGTGAAGAACTTGGACCCCTATCGATGGGAACACATGTAGTATTTGAATGCTATGATGAGAGGGAGTGGATGGTAGTTGGACCGCAAAGGCTGCTCGAACTACCAGTTCGTAATGTGAAGGTAAAAGTGAACGAAAGGCAGTCTCTTCGCCGGTGAAGAGTTGCAGGGAGAGCACTGTGTGAGAAACAATGTCCGGGACGAGGCTCCAAGGCTGTCAAGGAAAACTCGGAGCAGTGTCACCAAGCCTAGGCACTTTCGAAGCCAGTCAGCAATAATTCTCAAGAATCGAATGAAGAGGCATGACGAGCGGAGAACCCACACAGCACCGCTGAATGGCAAGTCCTGAGTCCTTTCCGTGGTGAAATTCAACACTCGCAGTGGAGATGGTCTGGTAAGGGAGCTTGTCTCACAGAAGGTGTGTCCGTTTACTTCTCCCCGCAAGCCTCCAAAGTTTACGGCCAGCCTAGGACGAATGATAGAGTGTCGACACTATAGCCTTTTGGTTACATTATTTTCGTCGTCAGCAGAGAAGGCTCGGCGTAAGGAAGATCAGACGGCTCCGCCGATAGGATCCATGTGGCCGAACTGGCGAAAGTTTTAGGGTCGAGACGAGTCGGGATTCGGGGCAAGATAGTTATGCACGATTGGCGGCGTTCAATCTCCACCACACACAAGGCTCACAGGTTGCAAAAAGTACGGGGAACAAGTGGGTTAGTCGGGACACATTTTCGACGTCAGCATCAGAACCAGGAAGGGAAGAGGAGAGACACAAATTGTGGGGATGCAGTGTTTCTTTTTCTTTTTCGTTTCTCCCTGGTGCAGCTTACTTTTCTCTTTCAGTGTGTCGTTGCTTTGTTGAATATATCCCCACTACTCCTTCTCCACTCTTTTACTGGTCGTTCTCTCCTACGAAAGTCGGAGCCCCTCGTTGTCCTTTGATGGAATAGCGAACTGCTCCATCCGCTAAGAGGACGCCTCAAAAGGCCCCTTGGACCGAAGCGACGGGGCTTCTATACAATCTGGTTGGCTCTGGGGAGCTCCGAAAGTGCTATCAGGAATGCAGCTGAACCCAAGCGCCAGCCTGCCGACATTATTCAATATATGCTAATTCCGGAATTTACAGGAGGTACGGCACAATGCGGCTCTCTCTATCTGTCCTTGGTCTTTTCGTTCTCTCTTGCCAGTCAATCATCTATTAGGCAAGCCATCGACGACGTGAAGCTTATTAAATCCTTGTTTAACTGGCTTGACTGCTCAGTACAAGCAGTTTTACCTTACCCCTTGCCCCTTGCCCCTTGCCCTTGGTGCGTGTGGTGGATACTTTTAACTAAGTAGGTGATTCGTTAGGTAAGGAATCTGACGGTGGCGGCGACCTCAAGTAACCCCACACTTGAGCAAGCTCTTACTATATCAAAAAGAGCTATGTGTGGGCATGGAGAGATTCACCATTTTTCTGGATTCGCTGGGCTGTTCTCAAAGGTTCATGAAGATCTCCATGATAGAGGACAAGGCAGTTTCATCAAGGCTGAATTTTGACAGATCACATGGGCCCACCAGCACACCGCTGCTCGATGAGCAAACGCATCAAGGCACCTGCAAGCTGAAATTGTTGATTGCGTTGGGCCGATCCCTTCCCTCTTTCTTGTTCTCGGTTCGGCCATTCGAACCTCGAAACACACGGCTGCGCTGGTTCCAAGGTTTGCTGGGTCGCTAATTGAAGCCCCTAACGTATTGAGCCTATAACTACGCTGCAAGGTACCGCCCTGCGGTCCTGGCGGCCTTGGGTTTCCGCCAATTGATTACTCCTTGGGACGAGTCGTGGAAAAGTCCGTTCTTTACGAGTCTTCGTCGGCAGCCTACTTTGAAGACCGACTTGCGGCGGAGCGTGGAATCCATGATTGAAAATGCCTGCAATTGACCAGTTTTCATGTAATCCAATCGACGCAATCACTAAACTATTTGATCCGAGAAACCCAACACCCGGACAACGCAGCTCTCTTGAAGGCCTCAGCTAACCGCAAACGGGCAAAAGTCCACTTGTGGCTCATCTCGGATCTTTTTGACCATGCCCTTGCCAGGTTGTTGCCAGATCGAATTTGGTCCGATCCGTTAACACGCGAGCGATGCATGTTTCAAGGCCCCAGTTTACCGGCCATTTTTTCAACGTCGGGCGAATTTTTTCAAGGGGCAAAAGTCATGACGTGAGCCTAATCTTTTCGAGTACGCCCCCTGCATAGAGAGAGAAATGAATCCGAATATCCGTTATTTATCATCAAGCTCTGCTAATTGCACCGTACATGCACAAGGCATCAATTCAAATACAAATTCTTTGAAAGGAGCAGAATTGTGTTAGAAGAAATGCTACAGTGAACGTCTGTATTTATTGTTTGAGGGGCAGTCTTTGGTTCACATAACTGAGCTCAAGGGATTGCTTGGATTAGATCGCAGATGTCGTAATCTGCTGTGTGAGGAGGTACGAATTTCTGAAAACTCGGCTCCGAAACCACAAGGGACGAAAGTCACCTCCAAACGCCCCTGAACATAGTTGGGACTCGTCGTTCAATAGAAGTAATTAGCTGATCATGGCAATCCGTGGAACATTTTGGGTGTAAAAAATTTGCTTCATTTTTTAATTATGAATTAGATGGACCAAGCAGAATCTCGTGTATGCTAAATTGAACTCGCCGTTGAAACAGAAATTTCCTCGGTTGCGGAATACAACGCTGACATGAAGGATGTTCAGGCAATAGACAGGCAGTATTCGAGCACATTTAAAACTGGGACATATATTCATGAAGATAATCGTTGTGCCTTCAACATTCTACCTTGAAAAACAAGAAAAATAGGAAGACTGTAAAACGAGTTGGCACAAATTGGGACCACAGGAGCATTTGTTGAGGAATTTCCTATTTAGGGTAGCTGCAAAGTAATTGCGCTATATATTGTGGATTAGTTAATAAACCATCAACAATCGGTCTCGTGGCCTAATGGTAAGGCATCTGATTTCGGCTCAGAAGATTGCGCGTTCGAGTCGCGTCGAGATCGAATATCTTTTTTGCTCTTACACATTTCTCTCTATTTCTCTTTTTTGCCATGTACAATGGCTACTGTGGCTCTGCAAGTCGAATAGTTACAATTATCGTACCTTTTGGGGATTTTTGAAGGACCAGAAAACTGCTTTGATTCGACTTATTCTTGTGGCGTAGGGAATATCCGGAGAAAATTGCCACCAAGTCGGACCGTAAGACCGTTATCAATCCATATCGGGTTAGGTGCGGCAGTTTTTGGGGCCCAAATTTCTTATCGGATGAAAGATCTTGCGCCAAGCTCACACCGCCTTCGCTTGCGGGATTCTTTGAATAATTATGTGAAACCATCGAAATGTGAATCACTTCGAGCTTTACAAGAACCCGTCATCTCATTCATACCTCTCTGCCTGCACTTTGGCAGCCTCTGAGCCAGGTATCTCCCGCACGCCATCTCTGAGATCTGAAAATGTCCGCATCTCTACCGGGAAGCCGGGATTTGCCCGCCTCTCAGTACGATCTTAGCACGTACTGGGGTCGAGTGCGACACTCCGCAGATCTTGCGGATCCAAGGTACGAAGCCCAAGATCAATTAAGCTCATTCTATAATGGATTAGATGCCCCCCTCGGTCAATCTTTTTATTTGCCAGTACTGACAGATTTCTTGTTGATACAGGACGCTTTTCGTCTCGTCCTCTGGTCTCGAACATGCAAAGGCAATGGTATCTTCGTATAAGACTGGGGGGCTCAAGTCAATGACGCCAGACATCTGGAAGGCGAAGAAGATTGTGGATTCCACGCTCCACCCTGGTATGTGACTCTTGCCAATTCCTCTCGTTAAATGCTTTTGGAACCAGAAGGCATGCAATATAGGAAACTTATGCTGACTGTGGCCGTTGATCCTAGACACTGGAGAACCAGTCTTTCTCCCCTTCCGCATGTCGTGTTTCGTCATTTCTAACTTGGTCGTTACGGCCGGTATGCTTCAACCTGGACTGCAGGTGCGTTAGAAGTCCCCTTTCCACCCAGACAATAATTGGTCGTTTGAAATGACGACCCCATTTCACGTTGCTAGGAGAGCTAACATAATTCCACTCTCATCAGACGACTGGCACTCTCCTCTGGCAAATCGCCAACCAGTCTCTCAATGTCGCTATTAACAACGCCAACGCGAACAAGTCCACTCCTCTATCCGCCTCCGCCATGGCCAAGTCCTATTTCCTTGCCGTCTCCGCCTCCTGCTCCGTCGCCTTGGGCCTGAATGCCGTCGTCCCTCGTCTCAAGCGCGTTTCTCCCGGGACTCGAACCATTCTTTCCCGACTGGTTCCATTCGCCGCCGTCGCGACGGCTGGTGCTCTCAACGTTTTCCTCATGCGCGGCGAGGAGATCCGCCAGGGCATTGATGTGTATCCTGTGCTCAGCGACGCTGACAAGGAGCGCATCGAGAAGGAAGGTACCGAAGTCGCCAGCTTGGGCAAGAGCAAGAAGGCCGCCACGCTGGCCGTTGGCGAGACTGCCATCAGCAGAGTGCTCAATGCCACCCCGATCATGGTTCTCCCGCCCTTGATTCTCGTTCGGTTGCAGAAGACTCAGTGGCTCAAGCACCGCCCCCGCATGGTCATCCCGATTAACCTTGGTATGTTCTGTCTTTTGACTCATTCTCATCTTTCATCTTTCTTCTTTTCATGCCGAATGGCCCATAAATTTGCGACGCAATGCTAATTGGTAATGTTAGGTCTCATCTTGACCACTTCCATCTTTGCTCTTCCCCTTGCCCTTGCCGCTTTCCCTCAACGCCAGGCCGTCAGCGCTCAGAGTCTCGAGAAGGAATTCTGGGAGAAGGGCGGAAAGGACGGCAAAGTCGAATTCAATAGAGGTATCTAAAAAGGCCATAGCATCTCTTCGGCCGCAACATGCGATACAATCACCTACAGTTTTATTTTAACGGTTCGCGCATTGCAATCTAGAGGATAGATTTGCAATACTTTTCCCAGCACAGCGAGCGACCAAGCATGCTTTTCTATTTCCCCATTCTAAACGAAGCATGCATATTGCAAGCATAACCCATATAGACTAAAGATGAGCGCCATTGATTCGTCTAGTTAGATCAACACCTGGGGCTTGTTTTTCTTCGCTTTTCAATCTTTTACATCCTCATGTCTTTGGACGTCCACCTCCGAAGACTCGTCTTATCATATTTCTTGCCTTCTGTATGGCAAGAAGGCTAGATAGAACTGGATAGATCCTCTTCGTTTTGACCTTCTTCTCTTTATTTATATCTCACAGCTACATTTCCTGTATCGTATATATCTCTTCCATTTTGCAATATTGCGACTTTCCGCATGATACACTAGCGAAGAAAGAATTTCTTTTGAACCTGGACCTGGACTTACTTTTTGCTGAACACTTCTGCTGTCCATATCATACTGTGCACATTGAAAAACAATATGAGGATGCCAACTTATGTTTTAATAAAACAGAAAGGAAGCTAGACATGTCTTGGTCAAGTTATCTGTTCCTCCATTTTGAGTGATCAGTACTAAAAGAGGCTACTTAAGACTGATCATACATGTAGTAGGTATGGTAAGGTAAGGTGGGTACGTAAAAGCGGGGAACGCGGACGTTGTTCGTACGTCCAAACGAGGCCTGGTGCCCCGCGAGTACAGGGAGAAAACAAACAGTAGTAATGAAGCCACAAACGCCTGTGCGCCCATGTGTACCGTGTTGCAGGGAGTAAAAAGCTTGTCAAGCACGGAACGGGATAAAACTTCGCAAGCACACGCAAGCAAAGCAAAGCCAAGCAGAGCTGAAGCGGTGACCCTGGGCCGTAAGTCAAGCAAAGTAAAAGCAAAAAAGAAAGAAGTGAAACCCCCAACAGCCCAAACGCCCATGTGAGTATGCAATATTGAAAAGATCTGCAAAAGCCAAATAATAGCCGGCTTTTCCGGAACCGAGTAAGTCAGACCGGTAGTGGGCAGCAAGAGAAAAAAAAAGTAGGTTGCAGTCCGTTCGAAAAAGGCCAAGCAATCAACATAAATAGATCAAAAAGATGGGTAGAAATCAGCGCTATAATGGCCTTCCTTATACGGCCCAGCGCGCTCTGGATCTGTTCCTCCTAGCGACGTCAGTGACCTTGTCACTGATGAGAAATAATCAGCTTAGTCTCTGGCATTAAGACGGGTATATGCCCAAGCGAGACTCTTCTTTTCCATCCCATCTGCTTCCAAGACGCCAATAAGGTCTCTCATCTGGATGCCCTGGCCCTTTTCGCGATCCTCGCGCCACTCGCCGAAGCGTCGACCACCAGGACCGAGATACGCTGCTGTGGCATCGGCAGACGAGCCGCCTGAGCCGGGACCAAACGAGGTATTCAATTTTGAGGGAAACGCAGAACTTGATGCGGAGGGTTTGTCCTTTGTCATCCAGGAATAAGCGCCTTTCTTTTTACCAAAGAGACCGCCACCGCCGGCGCCGCCGAGAGAGATGTTGGCCATGACATTTGCAGCGGCGTGCTGGCTGGCTTCGCTCTCGCCGGCTTTGGCTAGCTTTTCGCGTTCCTTTTTGGTCATTTTGACTTCGGGCGCGCGCTCGCCGATCAGACCGCCACCGCTTGGTGCGCCGGCGCCAGGGGTCGCGGGGACGCTGCTTGCGCCGCCTTTACTAGCATCTCCACCACCAGAAGCAGCGACCTCAGAGGCCTTTTTGGCACGTCGTGCGAGTCGGGCTTCTTCTTGTTGGCGCTCCTTTTGGGACATGTTGCGTAGGGTGCGCGCGAGTTCATTAGGGAAGGATAGGGTTGGCTTGGGGGATCCGTCGGGGGGTTTACTTGCTGCGGAGATGGATGGTCCTTTTGACGCTGAATGTTAGAAGAGTAGCGGGTAGTAAGGGGATGAATGATAGGAGCATACGTTTCATAGGCATGGACCTGGGGCTCACGGCGCTCTCCCAGCCTTGCCGGTTTCCGGTAGCAGTGGTGGAGGAAGCTCCTGCGCTTCCGGAAGGTTGTGCGCCTGTGCTTTCTGCACCAGGACCGACTGCCAAATCAGACCATTCTGGGGGAACGATACCATGAGATCCGACTCTTCTTCCCTTTGCCAATGCCGCTGCATCCTCAACGAGGTTCCTGATTCGTTCATTGGTTGCGAGTGAAATCAATGCAAGGATGTCGGCCAGAGGAGCCGTCTCGTCGATCAAGCTTGGCCCTTTGACTACTGAAACGGTAGTGCCATCACTGCCAACAACAGACTGGCTGTTTACGGGTCGATTGGCAGGAATCTTCTCTGGGATCGGATCGTATAAGCCTTCCATGGGAACGCGAACTCCATTTTCAAACGCACGTCTTCCGATCTTGTGGCGGACCGTATTGGTGTAGAGAAAAGGCGCGGAAAGATGCTGCTGGCGCTTTTCGTTGATAGCCCGAGCCTTCAACCTCCATTTTTCAGCGGCAAGCTCTTCCGGTGTCTTCGTTGGCGCAGCTGGTTGGCTAAGAGGACCTGTCCCATAGAACGCACTCGGACCAGCTTGAATCGGAAGTGAAACGCTGTAGCCTTCGTTTGTAGTAGTACTAAGAGGATAGCCTCCAGGCGCGGAGCCCGCAGATGTAGTCGAGTTGAACGATGTTGCGCCTTGCGACCCAAAAGAAGCAGCGCTCGGCTTGTCATTTGAGAGGTATGATTGATACATTGCAGCTTCTTCATCTCGAATATCGATCCCAGACGATGCGATGACGTCTCCGAGCTCATTCAGATCCGTAGCCTTGTCGGCAGCTGGCCGGGACGGAGGCGGTCCCATGGCGCCCGTATTGGTTGCTGGAGGAGGCGGAGGCATGGTGGGAGTTCCGTTTACAGGCGAACCAATATTGGCAGTAGGCAAGGCGACGTTGGAGAAGCTGGGAGAGTTGGGACTCATGGCGTATGGAGAAGACGGATTTGGTGAAAGCCGCTGTCGTTTGGTTGGAGGGAGAAATGCGCCCGCATTGCCAGGTGACGGAGATGATTGTACGGGCGAGAAAACCCGGGGAGGAGGTGCTTGCGCCATTTTTCCTTCCTTGATTGCGCCGTCCCAAGCTTCACTGATTCACTACCAAGTGGCCCGTTTTTGTGAATGTTTCTTCACTCCGGCAGGCAGTGTGCCGACGGCCGCAGACGGTCTCTGCGGACAGCTGCCTCGCTCAGTATGCTGGAGCGTTCAATAAAATGACTGTCTGTTCATGGAACGGTTCCAGAGTAGTTCCAAATCGATAATGTGAGTAAGGGAATGTTGGAAATGCTGCGATGATGTTGGTGGAGAAGCTCATCAGTCCAAAGATCCATTACAGATGCTCGCGTCGCATTTCGCGGGCATTACGTAAGCAATCGCGCTCAGCAACTCTTGACCAAATGGACAATAATTCATCACAGTCATTATACAACTGGACAATAACTCTCATTCACCAGTTCTTCTGCGCTTGATCGATCTCATTCTTGATTGATCCGTCTGATGAAAGAGTGTTGTTGATACAGTATCTTTAAGGATTGAGATCTGTGGTGGTCGCCGACACTCGCTCTCAACTCTGTTCCCAGCCAGGTTGGAGCAGTCATGGCGACCAAGAGAAAGCTTTCGGCCATTTCGCCGGCGGACGAAGAGCCCGTCGATCCGTCTGATGAACTGATGTTCTTATGTCTAGGAGGCGGAAATGAAGTTGGTCGATCATGTCACATCCTACAATACAAGGGCAAAACAGTCATGGTATGGATCCAACCACTCTTCTCACTAGATAATTCCCAGCTGACAATTGGATAGCTCGATGCAGGAATGCATCCGGCATATGAAGGGCTTTCTGCGCTTCCTTTCTACGACGAATTTGATCTGAGCACTGTCGACGTTCTTCTCATCAGCCAGTACGTACAGCATTTTGTTATCCAACCCGTTTTTGCGTCACTTGCGCTCGCCACTACCCTCGTTTGTTTTTGGAAGAGAATATTTGTTTGCTATGTGCGTTATGGGTCTTATAGTGGGCCTAATCCGTTGGCGCCGAGAGTGGCGGCGGCAGCAACAGCTACGATGCTCCGCAAGGTGGATATGGGTGCATTTTCTTGCTGTACCTCCATCTCAAATTTGCTGTATAGAAGAATTAATGAAGTTTTGTTACATTCACCGTGTTCTCTTCCTCTGCATATCGTATATCTGTGAGCTTTGCGGGAGTACCAGGCCAGACGTCAAGCCCAGGCCTATCAGGTTTCCTGCTATTGCGAGATCTCCTGTCCCTTGTTGTCTTACAGCGCAGCTCTCGCCACCCATGATTATTGATTAAATAGCAAGGCTGACCTGGGTTTCCGTGTAGTTTCCATTTGGACCATGCGGCATCATTGCCTTATGTACTATCAAAGACAAATTTCAAAGGCCGGGTCTTCATGACACATCCTACCCGGGCGATCTATAAATGGCTGTTACAGGATAGTGTACGAGTAGGCAATACGTCGTCCTCGTCTGAACAACGAACAGAGCTCTATACCGAAGCCGATCATCTGGCAACATTCCCTCAAATCGAACCGATAGACTACTATACTACGCATACTGTCTCTTCCATTCGCATCACTCCATATCCGGCCGGTCATGTCCTCGGCGCTGCAATGTTCCTGATCGAGATTGCTGGACTCAAGATTCTATTTACTGGCGATTATTCTCGAGAAGAAGACCGACACTTAATCTCCGCCGAGGTCCCAAAGAACATTAAGATTGACGTCCTGATTACCGAAAGTACCTATGGAATAGCATCACATATTCCTCGTCTTGAGCGAGAAGCTGCTTTGATGAAGTCTATCACCAGCATCCTCAATCGAGGCGGACGTGTACTTATGCCCGTCTTTGCTCTTGGGCGAGCGCAGGAACTGCTTTTAATTCTTGACGAATACTGGGCACGGCATGCAGAGTTTCAAAAGATACCCATTTACTACGCATCTAACCTGGCCCGAAAATGTATGGTTGTATATCAAACCTACGTAGGTGCGATGAACGACAACATCAAGCGTCGGTTTCGAGAACGTCTTGCCGAGAGCGAAGCTGCTGGCGACGTTGGACGTGGTGGACCTTGGGACCTTCACTATGTGCGCAGCCTGAAAAGTCTAGACCGATTCGAGGACGTGGGTGGTTGCGTCATGCTTGCCAGTCCGGGAATGCTTCAGAACGGAGTATCTCGAGAGCTGCTAGAACGATGGGCGCCTGATAATCGCAATGGAGTCATCATCACTGGTTATTCCGTTGAAGGCACTATGGCCAAGCAAATCATGACCGAACCTGAATCAATTCCAGCAGTCATGACAGTACGAGAAGGCGCGCGCGGGCGAGGTCGAACAGCTGGTGGAGAAGCAGAAAAAGTCATGATACCCCGAAGATGCACTGTTCAGGAATACAGTTTTGCAGCGCACGTCAGCGGAACGGAGAATCGAGAATTCATCGAGGAAGTGGCTGCTCCAGTAGTGGTATGTAATATCCTTATTTCTGTTTGGGTTGATACAATAAGCTAATTCGTACACAGATCCTCGTTCATGGCGAAAAGCATAATATGATGCGACTTAAATCCAAGCTCCTTAGTCTCAACGCGGACAAGCAAGAAAAAGTCAAAGTCTACAGTCCGGCCAATTGCGAGGAACTCAAGATTCCTTTCAAGACGGATAAAACCGCTAAAGTTGTCGGCAAACTGGCAGACATCTCACCACCCGACGCGTCCAAATCCACCGACGAGTCTGATCCTCAACTCATTACCGGCGTGCTTGTCCAAAACGACTTCAAAATGTCGCTCATGGCTCCTGAAGACCTTCGCGAATACGCTGGCTTGACCACCACAACAATTACCTGCAAGCAGCGAATAACATTGAGCGCCGCGGGCGTTGATCTCATACAGTGGGCTCTCGAGGGCACCTTTGGCAGCATCGAGAGACTGCCGGATAAAATGGTGAATGGCAAAACCGAGCAAAACGGCGACAACACGAGCATTGAGAATGGCGAGGAGGCCGATGAAGAAATCAAGCCATCGAGCTCCGGCACGACGTTTTTGGTCATGGGCTGCGTGGCCGTGCGTTGCCAAAACAATGGCGCAGTCGAAATAGAGTGGGAAGGAAACATGCTTAATGACGGAATCGCCGACGCAGTTCTTGCAGTCTTGTTTACAGTCGAGACTAGCCCTGCAGCAGTCAAGCGTAAGTTCTACACCGAATCCCGATGCTTCCAGGAAAAGACTATCCTTTTTCCTGACGCTTACTTTTTTTAACTGAAACAGGATCCTCCAACCTTCATTCACACTCCCATTCCCATGCTGATGATGCTCAGCTCGAGAAGTCTACAAAGTTCGAAAAGCGCAATCCACATGCCCATGTCCGCCCCGAAGAGCGCTTCGCCCGATTATGCATGTTCCTCGAAGCACAATTCGGGACAAACATTTCCCCTATTGCCAAGCCGCGTCTCGTCAACGGATCTGTCAAACCCGAACCGCTCGAAACCAAAAAGGAAGAAGAAGAAGACGACGACGAGCAATACGAAGCCGCGATCAAGCTCGACCGCGAAGAAGCAGATGAACTCGAGCGCTTGCATCGTCTCGGCATCCCTGTTCCAGGCGTGGAGATCAAAGTCGACAAGCATGTCGCCAAAGTGTGGCTGGAGAATCTCGATGTCGAGTGCCAGTATGGCGTGCTCCGAGATAGAGTTAAAGCTGTTGTTGAGCGTGCGGTTGAGACTGTGGCACCACTGTGGGTCGAGCGTAAGGCGTATCATTAATGGCTAGCTTTCTTTCCTGCTCCCTCTTTTTCTTATTCCTCTTTTTCTCGTCCTACTGTTTTATTTTATTCTCTCATTTCCTTTGTATGGACTCTTATTCCAGCGGGCAAATATTTCCCTGGTAAAAATATGGGACGGCGGTATCCTGTGTCTGCCTTAGTGCATGGTTCTTCATTCTTCATTCTTCATTTGTATCATGTATGAAATACTCGATATAATTATCTATTCAAATAAAAACACTAGAACATGACTAAGGTGTTGCCTTCTGTTTTTCTCCTTCTCTCTGCTCTCCTTCGTTTTACTCCTCTCTCCTCTCCTTTCCTTTCCTTTCCTTTCCTTTCCTTTCCTTTCCTTGCTTTCCTTCTTTTTTGTATCTTTTGTTGTTGTCGTTGTCTTCGTCATTGTTTTCAGTAAAACGGTCTCCGATACTGCAAATCCCAAGACCCCAATCATTATTGCCGCCTCACTTCAATATCTCAAAGAGAGCATTGCTATCAGAACGGAAGATAAAAAAAAACTTATATTTAATATTTTTAAAAAAAAAAAAAAAAAAAAAAAAAAAAAAAGGGAAAAAAAAAAAAAAAAAAAAAAAAAAGGAATCTTCTAGATATGAGAGCAGTAGCATCATGTCAGAAGGCTGCAAATGTGGTAACCTGGCCTATCAAATCCTAGGGATTGTAGACTCGAAGAGTCGCCAAGGCACGACATGCAGAGCAGCAGAGCAGCAGAGCACGCGGGAGTCGCGGGACACGCGGAAGAGCTTCGAGCTTCGGGCTTCGAGCCGCAACCCCCAGTCCATAGTCCGCAATCCGCAGTCCGCAGTATTATCCGCACGGGGTAGGTAAGGTCCGTTACATTGCACCTCGGTCCTCGGACCATATGACGATACAATTGACAACTGTATCGCGATTCGCAAATAATACAATCACTTCAACTGACAACAGTAAAACATAATAATTCAACCGCGGTGCTGCGCAGAATAACGGTCCCGGTTGAACTAATTACAGGTCAAATAACAAGTGAAGCAGAGTCAGGGCGAAGTTCAAATTTCGAACAGCCTGCAAAAATGCCAGAAGACTTTAAAAAAAAAAAGGAAAAGGAAAAAGGAAAAAGAAAAAGAAACCTTGCATGAACCTGTCCAACCACAGCGTCAATTGAAATAGGCAACCGCGCCAATTGCGCCATGCAGATTCATGCATGGTTGCATGGTTGCCTGGCTGCCTTGTTGCCTCAATATCTGTATGTGCTTTGATTCGTTAGATAATTTCAGCCTCGTCGAACTGCATAAAGTCCTGGTCGGTGACTGGCTATAGTGCCGAGAACAGAGGGGTAAGAGAGAGGGGGAGAAAGATATGGATGGCGAAAGAAAGAAAAGAAGGAGAAATGGTAGGGGGTAAAAAAGACGGCAGACAGCGGACGGCAGACAAAACGAATTGATAGATTGACAGCCTTGCGTCTGTGCGTATGTGGAGGAGGCTCGGCGGCGCGTGGTGGTGGTCATTATGAGAAATCGGCGTGCAGTGCAAGGAGTAGTTTATATACTGTAAGTTTTGGTCATGAGGAACGTTATGTACCCTGCGGCATGTTATTCTGCATGCCCGCACCGACGATGATTGGGATGTTGAGCGTAAGCCTCAATGCTGGAGGTCGTGGTCGAAGGTCGAAGGTTTAAGGTTTAAGGCGGGAAAAACAAAGGCAAAGTGGCTTAGATGTGCATATTGGGGAGAAGGAGGAGATGCTCGTGGGGGAGATGGGACGGCGTATAAGATGTTTGGATGATCTCTGAGGATCTGTAGCGGCTGCTTTCTCATTTATGATACTTTATATCTATTATATTGATCCAGGAGAGAACAGAGGACATAATCTTATAGAACTCGTCATTTGACGGTGCATTTAATCATGGCAGAAATAGTTGGAATAGTCTCTGGCGCTTTTGCATTCCTTCCAGCTTTGAAATATATCTATAAATTCGGCAAAAAGTTCGACGAGCTGCGGCGTCAACTAAAATTTGCGAGATACCACTTGAAGAATATCTCGAAGGAGTCTCAAATGTTCGGTGATATCATGAAAAGAGTGTATTACGACACAGCTGGTCATCCTGACCTGAAGGAGGGGAGCGGAAAAGGAGATAAGAATATGAAGAAGCTGCGCCAGAAGCTTATGGACGAAACGTCGAATATTTATGAACAGATCAAGTCATTCCTTCATCGAGTCAAGGATATTGCAAAATTGAGTGGAAGATCTGGGGTTTGGCGAAACTTTCACACCGCAAAGGCTCTGTGGCGATGGCTAAGGGAACGAACCTTGTTCGATTATACCTTGCGATTCGTGCAATTGGTAAAGTCCTCGGCTGATATCTTTCTGAGCCTCTTAATATTTCGTGACTTGAGGGCTCTTGCAAAAGAACCTGAACTTGTAAAATATGATCTGATGCGCAGCTTGTGAGTGCAGTCACGTTCATATCCGCCCTTCACTAGTGTTACAGACAGTACTGATATTTTGCCAATGTTGCAGACAATTATGCAAGGCAGATCTTCGAGCAAAGAGAAAATCACAAAAGAAGTTGCAAAAGGAAATGAAAGATCTTGAGGTTGAGCTCGTCAAGACCGAACTTCCCTTCTCTGCTCCTTCGGCAGATGCGTTGCAACTTGGAGATGAGTTGAGAAAACTAGCCAAGCGCGAATTAAGACGGGAAAGAAATGAAAGACGGGAAAGAGGATCCAATGTGGCTGAAGAATCCACTGGCTCTTCATCGAGCGGGCCGTCTCTGGAGACGCCGACAAGTGTTCCATCTCCGCAGCCCCCGCGACCCCACCCCGGGTCGATAGTATCGGAGAACGCTCGATCGTCAAAGGCTTCAAATTCCGGTCACGTTCGAGGCTCTCAGGAGCAAAATCAAGAATTATGGATCGTACCATCAGATATAGTAATTCTTCCAGAGACACCACATGCCGCAGCCGACAATCCAACCGAGATGGAGATTAGGCCACAAACAGTGCCATCAGCTCCTCCATCCACGGCGAGATCACCCTCGCCGTCTTATCCAAATGTTAACGTCAGGCCCATCGGGGGTGTGCCCACGGCTCTCTTCAGGTCCCCAGAGAGTCAGCAGGGAACGCAGCCAGACAGAACCAGAAGTCCCTCCGTCGAGGAAGGATACGTTCATGATAACGGCGAGACCGTAGAAGACGGTTACCGCAGAGGAAGACGCCGGAGTTCGAGAAGTTCTTAAGTTCTTCCGTTGGCAGTTGAAATATAAGAAGATGCTGAAATAATACCAAGGTTTTCGGACTGTAGCCTGTTGGAAGGGGGGGGTTCTTTTCTTTTGAAGCGTTCTGGCCTTTGGAAATTTGTTTTGTATAGCTAAATGTATTAAGTTAACGTCTGATAATAAGTTTTTTGGCGGCATAAGTCATTTCCCTCGCAGCCTCGGGGCCGAGAATGACACTTGATTCTGAATGAAGAAAGTCCGTGTCTCCGATTTCGATTGTTAGACAGCAACCACCTGTATCTCCGACTGTTCATCTGGCGTACTAGAGCCAGAAACTTTTATGTTTTTCCTCATAGTCGTCAAGGTAAATTCCCTGATCGAGGTCCATAGACCATTCGGAGCTGGGCCGGATGAGATAATCTCATATCCACCCTTACCTCGCCAATACTTTCCATTAATCTCTTCAGCAACATACAGCCAGATATTCAGCCCTTGCTGGATCTGGGAGGGCGTACTCAAGCGATTAACGAGTTCGGCTTCCAGAAGCCGTTGACACTGCTCGGCAAGTCCTTTCCGGCGATATCTAGGAGCATTGTATGAAACGACTGCGAACACTTCAAAATTGTTGCCAAACTGTAAAATGTTAGCTTCTCGAGACACAATGCAGTAAATCAGATTTTTGGACAAGAACATGCTAGAATGACCAAGTCGAAAAAAAAAAAAAGAAAAAAGTATTAAAAAAGTTTGACAGTGCAATTTGGTTCAAGATGACTATAAAAATGTCATACAAGCGGGCCAGCCTACCTCATTATCCGTAGCTTTTGGCTTTGCTGAAGCGCTTGCAACCGCTATTCTCTTGGTGCCATTTTGAAGCTTGGCACCAAGTACACATTCGGTGCCGACATTGTCCACTTCGTCTTTTCGGCAGATCTCATCATCTTTGAGCTCTTCCCACATTACTGCGCAGAGACCATCTGAGCCCAGGGTCTCGCATAATCCGCCATAGTCATCGAATCTATTCCCACTAAAATGCGCAGGACGATAGAAACCCGCATTGATGAGATTGACTAGGTCATGTACTAGGCCTTGATCCGATTTCAGGTCTTCAGCAGTGTAGATGGCCGTATGAAGTTGGAGTGGAACATTCTCGGGAATAACAGCTGATAACTCAATCGGAGGATATGGACATGGAATTCCGACCATCTTTAAGTTTGTGCAACGGAATGTATATCCTGCCAAAGAAAGAATAGAGATTGTTGAAAAGAGCGTGGATGCAAGGAATTGTAATGAAAGTTGATTGGAAAGACCTGTCCTATTGTTTATATATGCATGTTTGAATCTGACAATAACATCGAGAATTGATCAATCATAGGGCGCTGCCCATCCGTACTTGGCAAATGCTCCGGCAAGGATTCAAAACGTGGCTTAATCTGTATGAGAGTCTAGGCTTAATGTTAGTTAGATTGTGGAGATGAGCCAGAGATAAGCCAGTTCGGTCGACGTCTCCCTAGAGCAGTAGACAGTCACAAAAATGAAGGACTTGAAGATCATTGTAAACAGAGCAAAGAAATACAATTGGCTGCAAATATCTGCAGTTGATGCTTAATGCAAGTCATTGGGCATGGGATTGTTTCGTCAATTGGTAATGTAGTGTATGACTGGTACCTAACTAATGTCGTCATTGTTTAGGCGAAGAAGAGCTCATCCGTCAACCTCATTATGCTTCAATGCCGCCCAGATTATTTCCCTTGCAAAACCTCAATACTTATCTTAAATTGCTCTCTCTACCACAACTGGCCTTAATTGCTCACTTGCATATTTTCATGGCCAGTTCCCGGGCCATCAGCCCTCCTACTCGTCGAAAGCGTCGTGCATCTTCACCACGCGAGAGTCACAATAACAATGCCTATCAACCAAGCAAGAGACAACTAACCAGTGATAATGAAACATACAACAATAATACCAATACCAATAACAGAAATATCCTACGCATCTTTGCATGGAACGTCAATAGCATTTCTCCCCTAGTTCAACAACGCATCACTTCATTCTTTCCCGTATCATCCAAAGCATCATCATCATCGTCGTCGTCCAAACATGAGCCACCTCCATCCAACACTTCTCAACCGCAATCAAAACCGTCCGCTGCTCCAACCGGCTTACGTTCCTTCCTGCGCCGCCAATCCTGGCCACAAGTTGTCTGTCTACAAGAAGTCAAAATTTCTCCCACAGATACTGCTACTCAACGCGCAGTGCAACAAGCTATAACCCCACGAAACACAGAAGACACTGGCCCTTCTTATACGGCTCATTTTGATCTTCCCACCGACAACCAAAACTGTCGCGGTTTCGGACAGAAAATGTACGGCGTGGCGGTTCTGCTACGAGACGACTTTGCGAGCAAATATGTCCAGCGCGTGCGAGGAGTCGATTGGGATCATGAAGGGCGGGTTCTAGTCGTCGAGTGTATGTTTCCTTGCCATCCTTCTTCTTCTCTCCCTACCCAATCTCAATCACCCTCTCCTTCATCATTTACCTCATCCACAATCTCCAAATTCGCCATTCTATCCATCTACGCTCCCAACGGCACTACAAACCCCTACCGGGACCCAGTCACAGGCAGCGTCACCGGCACGCGACATGACCGGAAACTGGCCTTTCACACACTTCTTTTGCGGGAGTGCCAGATGCTCGAGTCGCAGGATTTTAAGCTCGTCTTGGCAGGCGATTTCAACGTTGCCCGCGACCAGCGAGACGGGTATCCGAATCTGCGCACGCGACCGGAACAACATGTCTTGAATCGTAGGGATTTTATTGTCAAGTTTTTGGCCGATGGCGGAGGCGGAGGCGTAGCTGGAGCCAGCGCCAAGACATTGGAAGACATCGACAAAGTGGCCCCAAATAAAACACAACCCCGACTCCACGCCATTGACACGTTCCGACACCTCCACCCCAACACACGCAAATACACATACTACCCGCGTAACAAGCCATGGGGCACAAGTTGCGACCGAGTAGACATGGTTCTTGTTTCGCGGGGGCTAGAAAGTCGTCTGGTGGCAGCTGATATGCTTGACTCTCCGGGTGATAGGGCGAGCAGTGACCATGTACCGATCTATGTCGAATTGGTTTTATCTTGATACCCCTGGTTTCTTTTTTTCTATTATTTGATAGCTTGACATACTTGATACTTGATACTTGATACTTGATACATAAATTGTAATGACGTGAGTCAATTCATGATATGAATAAATGAGGATAGTATAGTGCGATTAAGCTAAGAAAAGGTAAAATGGGACCAGATAAAGAGGCCAAAAAAGCAATGAGTAGAGGCAATAAGCCAAGTGACCTCCGCTGTGTTGGGTATAAAATGCAAAGCAAGCTAGCTAGAAGAAGCCTCGAGACGTCCATCGAGGCGTGCAATTTTGGGATTAAAAATTAATTTTGACGCGCAGGGGGAAAAAAAAAGGAAAATGTTGGAAAAGCAAATGGCGAGAGCAAATGCGATGCAATATTCTTGAACTGGTCGCAGCCCCATTGGCAAAGGCGGATTTGACAAACGTGAGATCAGTGTTTGACATGGAGTCTTAGACAGGTTCGTCCCAATCAGACGGTCTCAGGAACGTCCAGTCTCTTCCACATGCCAACGTGGATGATGCCCTCTTCGTCCCATGTTCCCATTGACTCGTCTCGCTCGAACCCGAGCTTCTCCCACATGTGCTGCACGCTCTCTTGAGCATGCACGAGTACGAGACCTCGCCAAGTGTCTTCAGCAGGCTCGCCGCCTTCCACCTTGAGCGCTTCGCGAGCCATCGGGCTGAGCGGGGGAACGATTTCCTGCGGATGACCCTTTGCCCATTCTAGTGCTGCGTTGACGAGGAGTCGACCGAGACCGAGGCCGCGGTAGGGAGCAAGCGTAGCCAGACGGCCGAGCTTGACGTAGGGTTCTTTGCCGTCGTGGAACTTTGTGCTGCTCTTCTCGTGGGCCTCTTGGCCTTCAACTGGCGCAAGACCTTCAGCATTGTCAATCTTGTGGTGGCTGAGGGGTTGCGGGTGGGGCGGGTGAGGCGGAGGCACGAGCCGGACAGTGCCAACAGGAGTTCCGACATTGCCAGCGGCGTTGCGGGGTCTGCGGTAGTCGTTGGCAGCGCTGCCACCTTCGCCAGTGTTGGCCACGGATGCGTATACCACCCAGTGGAAAGAGCGGGGGTCATCGACATCGACTTCGTTCTCGGCGGGCACATTTTGTTCCTTGACAAATACCTCGTGTCGGACTTCCATGGCTTCTTTGAATGTGTCTGGGATAGTGTCGGGTTGGTCGGCGGGCAGGATCTCCGGGTCATACGCGTTCAAGACGCTGCCCGGAGGCGTAAGCATGGAGATGAATTGTGTGGACATTGTGGGTGTGAAGCGTGAAAGCTCGATTGTGATTGTTTTGAGAGGATAAGAAGCTTGCAGAAGCTGTTGCAGCTGTTGCAGAACTACTCAGTATGTAGGGGTCTCAATCGTAAGAGCAGGTGATTCTGAGGTGCTCGATGTCGTAATTTACCCAGTGTTATAAGCTGACTTGAGCAGGGTCCGTTAAAATACCAGGCGAGCTAGATGAAGTAAGAGAGCTTAGCAGTCAGACAAATGAAAGAGAAAAGAGAGACGTAGAGAACTTCAGCTTTAAACCAGACAACGTGGAGAAGTGAGTGGACGTGAGTCAACCCATACCCCACATGGGGCGCGATTCCTCAAGAGGGAAGATGAAATAATCGTTTCAAGTCTGGAGCCGAACAAGCTGACGTTTGAAATGGAGGGATTTTGGGGTTCCCACTTGCCTACCTGAGTTGCTGTACGTAAAATGTGACATTTAGTGTTCCCTGGCGCCAAGAACCAGCGACCAATGAAGTGACTTAACTGTACACGGAATCTACAGATAGACTTTGGTACTTTGGCTTACCCGTGGGGATGTCCCGGAGTACTGCTCTCCGTCCGGACGTTTCTCCCCAGACCCTGAAAAGACACCACAATACTAATCTTACCATGTACTTGACTTGTCATGCTCCGTATCTTCAGAGGTCTCAAGAAGTTGAGGCCCGGCCAGAAAATAGCTCCAATATCCATACTCTGTCGAGGTGACTGTGACCGCTACTACTAATATGATATGACTGACTGAACTACGAAATTTAGGTGAATCGGTCAATCGAGAAGCCCTTTTTGCATATGCCAATGGCCGTTTTCTTGTCGACGAGCAACTTCAATTTGACCGACGTTTCTTGAAATTCAATGTAGATGCCCTTTGTGACGTTGTTGCCGCCACTGATGTGGAACCGTCTCCGATCGCAGCAATTGAGAAGAGGGAGGGAGGTTTCAGCAAGGCTCTATTGATGAAAAAGAAAAATGGAAAGGAAGTCCTTGCAAAACTTCCATTGCCCCTTGCTGGGCCACCATCTCTCGCAACTGCGTCTGAAGTGGGTGTTTTAGAATACGGTATGATTTTCCTGTCCGTTTGTTTCCAAAATATTTACATGAGTGTTCATAGTGAGAAAACACACAAATATTCCGGTTCCCCGAGTGCTTTCCTGGTCCTCAGATAGATCCAATCCTGTCGGCTCTGAATACATAATCATGGAGAAAGCTGCAGGGATTCCACTGTTTCAGCAATGGGGTGTGATGAAAGAATTCGAGAAACTGGAACTCATAAAGAACTTGACCAGACTTGAAGCCCAGTTATCGGGTATCTCATTCCCCTCTTATGGCAGTTTATATCTTCGAGGGTCTGCAAGGCATTCCAAACATCACATACTCGATGAGAGTATTGATCCGTCCAACTCATTTTGTATTGGTCCGTCATGTGATCGTTCATTTGACTCTAATACTACCTCAAACTTGACTTTGCCACGTCAAAGTTTTGACTCGGGGCCTTGTAAGTGCCCGTCCATCCATCATCCGCTTTCAATTAGCTAAATCAAGGCGCAGGGAATACAATATCAAGCTTTGGAACTGCAATTGCAAAGCGAGAGCTGTCCAGGCTCACAACCGGACGCTTGAACAGACAGCCAATATTCTATCATGGAACCATGGAGGAACAGACCCAACTCCTAAAATTCACAACAGACATTATGCAGATGTTGGACTTGCATCCTATATTACGCCAAGTTTCTCAGCCCACTCTATGGCATACCGATCTGCACATGGGAAACATTTTCGTTGCGCCCGACGACCCATCACAGATAGTATCACTTATCGATTTCCAATCGATATCTGTGCTTCCATTATTTCTTCAGGCCCAGTGGCCCATATTTGTCAAACCCCCACAGAATTACGTGAAAGGACTCGTGCACCCAAAACTCCCAGACGATTTTGACGACCTAGATAATGAAAGCAAAACCATTGCTCTACAAGAGTGGTCTCAGGCGAAACTCGCAAAGGCGTACGAAGTCTCCAACTATCTCGAGAACAGACTTGCACATAATGCCATGAATATCCCTCGCGTTTTTCGAGAACTCTTTATCCGGTGTGGAGAAATCTCCGACGTCGGAGTCCTTCCGCTCCGAGAATGCCTTATTGAAATATACCAGAATTGGTCGAATTTGGGCTTTACAAGACAATGTCCGTTCAAGTTCAGCGCGGAAGAAATATCTTTGCACGAACAACAATTCGCTGAATATCAATCCTGGCACGACGTCCAAACAATGGCTCAGGAATGTCTAGATACAGATGCCGAAGGGTGGATAGCTCCGCAAATTGACATTATGAAGAAAAAGAGACAGAATAAGGAGCTCTTGTCCTTGTATATTGAGCACATGGCAGGAGAGAAATCACCTGAAGAAGTAAAGAAGATGTGGCCATTTCTCGACGATACATGAGTACTGGACGCAAGGTCAGCATACGACACAGGGTACTTTTCGTGTATAAAAGGCAACATTTCTTGTCGCTGGAACTCCACTACAGGTCAGCGCCTCATTCGCCCCGGGAACTGGTTAGGTTGTGGGGGCTGTCGCTCGATGAGATATCGTATTTTACCCTGCGTCTTCTGCGTTAAGATGACGTCAGACATAAGTCGTCGTTCTTGGCTTGTGGAATAGTTTCTTGTCGTATGCGGGAGAATTTCTTGGCTGTGACGTGAAGCCGCTCGGACACATTAAATGCCCGGGCAATCATACACCTAGTGCTATAATTCTTATTCATGCTGAGGCGCAAGTAATCTTGGCGAAAGAATATGCGACATAATTGCCTAGAAGGCATAAGGTACCTAAGGTACTGGACTGGCGCTATACTTCACTGCACTCTGATGAGGATGCTACGCTAAAAAAAGCACCATTAAGGGTTGAATGTCGAGAGGAAGCTATGAAAAGTAATACTACGATATAGTAGGACATTCGCTGGTCATCCGGGATCAACTACGCGACCATCTCTCCATCCATCTCGTCCGCTTCGACGCCGAACCACCCGTGCAGATGCCGGGAACCGCGCGTCTTCTCGGTCGTCGACGATGCCATTCTCAATCGGCTTTTTCCTGGGCCAATCCCGAGCCAGATCGATACTCTTCCGCGGCGCCCAAATCTCCAAGAAGACAAGAATAAGATAATCAACAATGACACAAAGGCAAAAGAGCTTGCCTGCCCAAATTCCGCACCCATAATATCGTTTCAATCGGTCAATTAAAGAAAAACCCTGCACACCAGCTCGCCCGCGAGTTGCACTCCATCCGCCACCCGGGTGACTGCCGTAAAATTCCTCTTCGCTGAGGGCGCCGGATATGCCCTTGTATACTCGTTCTGTTCGCTCGGCAACATCGGTCCACGAGTACATCATTTTTACTTGGTCGTGGAAACGGTCTGTGCGGACGCGGTTTGATCGTAGCGCGGCAATTGCGCGCCCAGTAGCTGCAACGAGATCGTCTTCTTCTGGTTTGGCAAACGTAGTCATGTGTTGTGGCAACACTTCTGGGATTCCACCAACACGTGTGCAAACGACGTACAGCCCACACGACGCTGCTTCGACAATGACCGTACCAAACGCTTCTGTCAAGGAAGGATGAAGGTAGATGTGGCCCTTGACCATGACATCTCGCACCTCCTCGTGACGGACTGGACCGAGCATCTCGACTCGATCCTGTAGCACGTGCCGTTCCAGCATTTGCTCCAAATCAATGGCTTTGGGGCCCGACCCGGCAATGATGAAGCGTACATTTGGGTGCGCAGCCAAAATGCGTGGAATAGCAGCAATTAGTAAATCCGTGCCCTTGTTGTAAAAAAGACGGGAAATGACCACAATCGTGATGGTCTCGTGAGGTCCAAGCGGATGAGCTGGCGGAAGTGGACCCCGTGTCTTTACTGAATTTTCAGCTGGGTTTGCAGGGTATCCTAATGGACGAAAATCCTCTGCTACCACTGCATTCGGAATGACAGAGACCATCAAAGGGTCTAAGGAAGCTCGGAGGACAGTATTCTCTTTGCTGTGAAGGCATGTCAGAGTCGTTGAAAATAAAATGGATACTTTTCGGTTTGAGCATACCATGTATGGCTGACGCAAATCACATGGTCGACATCACTCAAAGAGAATTTGAGCAATTTGTTCGCCAAGATGCTGGCTGCATCTGCGAAGCCGAAGAGAGAGTGGTCGGTGAACACTGTACGCAGGCCCATAGTCCGCGCGTGCAAAATGGCTTCGTGACATAGATTGCTTAAGCTTGCATGTCCATGCACAATCTCTATTTGTTCTCTGATGACAATATTTCGAAATATTGGGAAGAATGAGAACACGGTCGGAAAGGTCGCTTCCCGGTGGACGACGAGAAACGGAACATGATATACTTTTAGGCCATTGGTGAGATATCGAATGCCTGTGCGACCCTGGTATGCATGGGTGATGATGATTACTTTGTGTCCTCGGTCAATTAATTTCTGTTCTGAGCGTTAGAAGCCTCTCAGTACGAATGAGATTGGGTACTTACTGTGGAGAGCTGATATATGTGACTCTCGATTCCACCTGATATTCGTAAGATACTGCATTTTCCGCACAAAGAAGAGGCTCAACTACCTGGTTGAGGAAAGAAGAAATCACTTATCATCCTACAATGTGTTAGAGAGCGCAGGACGCTAGGGTCACAGAAGCACCTACGCAATGTTGTATGGCATGGTTGAGGGATGGGCGCCTCAAAAGGGCCAAGGTCCAGAATTGGAATAGACTAAGCATCTCAAGCCGCAGCATATTCCATTCTCAAAGCTGGCGCAAAACATTCAGAACAATAATCAGAAGTCAAGCTGTTGGAATTATGGGCAACTGTGGTTGAAGCTTCGTAAACGTTAGAGGTGCAATGGCGGATACCACGGGATTTGCCGAAGGCGGTGAGGCGCGAGAAATGGAAGCTTGGCCAAATAATTTCTTGAGTCGCCAAAAATTAAAGAATTGCTCCAGAGTAATTCTATATCCTCCGCCGCTGCAGATCGCCCATCATGTCAGCAGGATTGTATTCTAGATATATACCTCCACAAAAGAGCGCTCCATCATTGAAGGAGCCTATATTGCAATCACCTGCCTCTTCCGAGCAGAATGGCGAAAAACCTTCCAATAACACGCCTGTGAAGAAACGAAAGAGATCTTCCCACGAAGTCAGCGAGAAGGCACCTCCAAGCGATGACGCCGAAGCTGATTCAAAGTTCAAACGGATTCGCCAAAAATTTGAAAAATCTACAAAGTCTGCGGCAGAGCGCCTTGAAGCAGAAAAGAATGCCGCCGCCGCTGTACCAATTGAGGGCGACGAAGCCCAGCTTCCCGAGCCAGAGGAAGTTCAAGGACTTGTCCCTCTTCCACAGCCAGCTCCTGTGCCAGAGCCAGATTTTGCGCCATTATTCAGCTCATTACCCAGCTGGCTCGCGGAACCGTCTACTGTATCGTCAACAGAAACAGCCCCTTTCAATTCTCTACCGATCTCCCAAAAGTTACTGTCTACTTTAACGTCCAAAGGCTACAAGTCTGCATTTGCTGTACAAGCAGCCATTATTCCACTTTTACTACCGGGAAATTCTTGGATTCCAGGAGATGTTTGTGTGTCAGCTGCAACGGGCTCTGGCAAGACGCTTTCGTATGTACTTCCTATCGTCGAAAGCCTAAGGAAACATGTGGTGAGGAAATTACGGGCTGTGATTGTTGTGCCGACGCGAGAGCTTGTCTCGCAGGCTCGGGACGCTTGCGAACTGTGTGCTGCGGGTTCTGGCTTGCAAGTCGGCACTGCACTCGGTACACGCCACTTGGATGTGGAGCAAGACTCATTGATTGGGAAGGAAGCATATTATGATCCTGAGGGCTACCAGGAAAGCCTGGAGAGGTCAAGGGCTCGAAGAAAGGCAGGAATTACAGGATCAGAAACTCAGAAATTGGAAGAGGATCGACCCGATATTCTACCGCTACATGTTTCGAAACTTGTTTCGAAAGTTGATATTTTGGTGTGCACACCCGGTCGATTAGTCGAGCACATTCGGTCTACACCAGGCTTTACGCTTCACAATGTTGAATGGCTTGTCATAGATGAGGCAGATCGCTTACTCAACCAAAGCTTCCAAGAGTGGACGTCAGTGGTTATGTCAGCCTTGGAAGGCAACCAGTTCAACAAGGAATTGAGTATTCGGGAGCAGATCCTAAGGGATCTTGGCCGATCTCCAGACTCTAAGAGAGTCCGAAAGGTTATTCTCAGCGCTACGATGACCCGAGATGTACAAAAATTGAGCGCTTTGAAGCTTCGAAGACCAAGACTTGTTGTAGTTGGCAACGCGGAGCTTGAACGCATTGAAAAGTCCGAATCAGCCGCATTATATGATCTCCCGTCTCTATTGCTCGAGAGGGCTGTGAGTGTTGAGGATGGTAGTGAGAAGCCATTGTATCTTTTGCGTTTACTTCAGTCCAAACTGCTTCCAGAGGGAGCTCTTACGATGAAGAACCCTAGTGGCTATGAAACAAAGGCAGATTCAACGGATACGTCGTCAGATGAGGACTCTGACGACACATCGTCAAGCGGTTCGGACACCTCCTCTGATGAGTCTTCAGATGAGGAAGAGTCGTCTGCTTCATCAACAAATTCGCAGGCCGAGAGTGCCAGCGCTGCATCTGCATCTTCTTCTTCTTCTTCCGGCTCATCGAGTTCGGATGATTCTTCGGACGCAGATTCTGAGAATGAAATGCCCTCGACGCGAAAGGTAGTCGATTCCGCAAAGGGAAGCTCACAATGCACAACACGAGGAATTCTTATCTTCACGAACAACAACGAGAATGCTTCCCGTCTCGCTAGACTACTTTCCATCATGCAACCAGCCTATGCGTCAATCACAGATATTCTGACGAAATCGTCGAGCACTGCTTCGGGACGGAAAACTCTGGCTGCGTTCCGAGCCGGCAAGACTCATATCCTCATCGCCTCTGATCGTGCTTCGCGTGGATTGGATGTTCCAAACCTAGCACACATAGTTAATTATGACATACCGACAAGTGTCACCGCCTACGTCCACAGGGTTGGTCGGACGGCCCGAGCGGGGAAAGAGGGGCAAGCATGGAGCTTTGTCACCAATACGGAGGCTAGATGGTTCTGGAATGAAATTGCACGAGGTCCACAGATCCAGCGTCAACCTGGAAGGAAGGTGGAACGTGTTAAAGTGGACCTGGCAGATATCAATGCCGATGAGAGGGAGCGGTATGAGGAGGCGCTCACGACGCTGAAGCGTGAGGTACAAGGAGGGAGGTAAAGTCGATACAAATCACGTCAGCAACCGTCTGTGGCAGCTGCCAATGCACCCGGCCCCTGACATGCATGCTCCGATGCACCATATCTCGAAAGGACGAGAGGAGAAAATGATATCGATTTGCACTATCGTCAGAAAGGCAGCTGCCCGCAAAGGGAACAAGAGCTGTTTTACAATTCCATTACATGAATCCACCACTTTTTCTCTCTTGGTCCCAGGCACTATTGATCCTCCACCTTCCAATTTCCACAACTAACCACCATCTCCCCACCAGCCCTTGGGCTTGCGCGTGGTGGGTTCGCATGCATAAGTAAGGGTATACTTTGATGGCATTGTGATGGTGACAGTAGGCTTGACCGTCTATGGATGGTGGTTAGCTGTCATCGATGCGGAGTTGCCGGCTGATTCGATGGACGACTTACCTTACTGGGCAGCACCCCCCAATTGTAGACTTCTTCGACCTTGAGACTGCAACCGCCACAGTCAATCGTGCTGGTGCCTGTGATGGTGGCAGAATAGCGCGTGAGGGTGGGATTGGTTGGAGCAGGGATGAAGAGCGGGACATGGGTAGTGCATGGATAGTAGGTCGTCATAGTGGGGTTGAACATGAATTCACTTCGGTGCTCCCAGGGGAAGTGCCAGTCGGCCTTAACCACCGCCCTAAGCACACCAGCAGGCTTATCAGCGACAACCACCGAAAATATCACAGAGACAATCTAGCAAGGGTTATGGTATGACCATTATCCGTCGAAACGCACATAAAGTGAGGGGAATTGCTGGATTGGTGGAGACGTACAGGCGCACCATCAGTGCCAAGACCACAGCTCGGAGGGACATCATGATCACTGAATGGCTACAGTTGCTTCTTCCCCTGCAAAAAAGAATATCGCAATAATATCACGACATTTTTCTCAAAACAATAAAGTCAATTACAAACGCCATGATTCAACTTTGCCTGCAATTTATTCTTCAACGAATCAAAATGTGAAATCGGTAACGTGGCTTCGAGCCGTTCCTTGACCCTTTCTGGGGTTGATGTCGACACATGATTATTGGTATCGTGTCCTGTTCTTCCAATGGCCTCGCTGGCAACATCATAACCGTGCTCATTGAGCAGGCCTTTTAGGCCCGTGATTATCGCTGCAGCCAAATCAGGCACAGTCTTGAGAGCATTCGGCTTGATGCAGAAGTGCGCATTTGACAGGTACGAGCAACTCTGGCTCGTTGGCTTATGCTGGCCATTCGCCGTTTAGCGAACGCAATGATCAGCAATCTCCATCACCATCTTGGTAGGTGCCATGCAGCCTCCAGTTCGCGTGCAGAGCCAAGCGGTGACAGCCCAGTGCTCCTTGCGGGAAAACTTTATTACAATCTTTGTGCGAAGTTGTCGTTACAGGAAGAAGTTGGATAATGATAATTAAGTGTCTGAGTGCAGACGTCAATCAAAACAAGTGGCGAACTATTATGAGTTTACAATTCAACGCATTTGCACGGGCAAGATACCCGAAAGAGTTTGAATTATAAACGGTATCGCATCATCGCAACGAGAAGAAGCAGCGATAATTTTGGAATTGGCAAATCCAATTTGGTAATTCTAAGAATACTATTTTCGGAAAACTTCAACAGAAGAGTATTGCAACAGAATGTCTTCGTATTATGAAATCGGGTGCTCTGCAAACCACACTCCACCTCCCCAGGCTGGTTGTTTTCCTCCTGTGGAAGATGAAGCTAAATTGGCACCATGAATCTCTAGGTTCACGTTTATCGCAGTAGTAGCCTTTTAGTCCATTCGGGGTTGTTCGAGCTCTTACACCGATACGATCTAGCAAAGAGAAGAAATACAACCGAAACCATTGTTTTGATCGGGGCAAATCCAAGGGTTAACGATGTTCCTTGCTGCGTGGAGTCTATTCATGCGATGTTTTGAGCCTTGAGTATCCGACTTCCGACAGGATATACTTCTAGCATTGGTTGTTGGTCCACTCTGAATGTTGTCAGTTTCAATCCGTCGTCTTGGCATTTATGCTTGAATCGGTCAGGAAAACCACCTCTCAGGTCAGCAACAACTGATGCGACAACAGGGGGCCTTCCATCTAGGTCCAAGCTGCGGCCCAGCTGCCAAAATAAGCAGGAGGATAGATGGATCTGCACGGGACCGGTCAGATGCTATAGTTGCTACATTTCCCACTACCGATCGCTTTAATTCCCCCAGAGCCGTTTAACACATGAGGCGCATACGATACTGATTTATCATGGACAACACGAAACTAGAGGGAAAGCAAATTGCCCTGCCTCGGCTGCATTTTCAGGTCCATGGCCATGGCCCGACGAGCATGAATGGCATCATGCGCGACGTGCTTTATCGCGACATCAAATCGTCAAAATTACCCCATGAGGCAGGTCGGTCAGGGGGGGAGGGCATCGCCACGAGCAAGTCGCCTGCGAGTTCTGATTAGCTGCAGTCTGACTCCCTTTCAATCTTGAATATCTCTGGTGTCCGACTGAAACCCCCCAGCCTACGGCCCAAGCCGCTTCAGACCTTGTTTCGTGCGCATTCGGGCCGCTCTGAGCCGGGATTATCTGCATGGACGACGAGGGAGCATCAACAACTTACCAGGAGGTGCCGCTGGTAGCTGCCGCCGGCGGCGTCGGATAGATAACCTAGATAGTTTGATGTCGGGTAATGCTTCTACCATGCCCCAGAGCGTCAGCTGCTCTGATGCGATCACTTTTGGATGATTTCCAAAAGGCCCCTGGATGGAGTCTCTCCCTCTCAAGCTGAAATCTTCTCTCCGTGATTTCAGGGGGCGGCTGCGCGCCGGGTAGGGGCATCTTCCACCCACTGAACTCCAAATGAAAGGGCGAGATGGGTATCTGGGGGTTCAAGCTATGTGCTCAAGCACCTGGTTTACCGATGACGGATTGCTTTGAAAAAAGTGGATCCCGCCTTGATAGATGACAGGGGATCGCCATGGTGCGGCGAAATGGCTAAGCCATCTCCTCTCGTCAAGGGCCAATAGAAGACAGAGAGAACGAATCAAGCTCATTGATATCTTGGCATTGAAGCCTCTGACACAGATGGCAGCCACTGAGCAGCGGAATTGTGACGGTGGCGGAAAACGTCGGGGAATTGTGATCAAAAGAGCGACATACGTGGTTGCAACCCGTTCGGTCGAGATCAAGCGCATCAAAGCTATGATTCTGGATGCAATCTGTTGCGACCTTCTGCTGTAGACCGCGGTTCGGGGCATGGATTGAATAGGCGTTAAAGACTAGGGTATTTCTCCAGTGCCGCCACTATTTTGCTTATTATCAATCGTCGATGCAGATCATTTCCCCCCATTGCGGGATGGGTGGGATGCAGGCATCGATAGGCGCACCTTACAATTATCACGAGACCCTTCGGAAGCTCGCAATCGCGGATGTTTACACTAGGTTGACCCCTTTCTAGATCTTTCAGACCATTCCATCTGCTGCATGGATCCTAGGATGAATCTGTTTCCTTGTCTGGAAAAGTGGCCCGTAGGTCTAATGCAGCGATATGCCGGACACTATTCAATTGAAGGGAAAATGCTTAGGGCGGATGATCCTACCTGTTCCTGATTCACCCTCAATTGCCCTGTGGATCCATCACGACCTTCTCTTCTTGGAGTGGCCCGTGGCTGAAGAGAAGCCCCACGACAGAGTTTCCAACGCTTCGATCAGGGGCGACCCACGATGGGATTTCCATTACCACATTCCCTTCTCGTCCGGCCCCGCCGAAGAGGCTGCTTTTGCGCAATGGTTCATCTCGTAATTGAGAGCTCGACTTGGATTCAATGATGGACGAAATGATATATAAGGATGGTCCTCCTCCACCACCGGAATTGTTTCTTCAGCACACCACCACTGCTCAAAAGACCAGAGCAACTTCACCGAGCCGCTGCTCAAGCATTCAGTTCGTCATTGTCAAGAGAGAAACCTCATAAAAGTCAGCCAACATGCGTTACACCGACTACCTCGCCGTGCTCGCCACGATTGCTTCTTTGGCTTCTGCCACTCCAATTGAGAAGCGTGATGGCAAGACTTTCAGCTTCTTCCAGTCTGTCAGCCGCCAGGTGCAGAAGAATGGTCCTGTTGCTCTGGCTGGGGTCTACCAGAAGTACAACAAGACTGTCCCGGAAAATGTGGCCGCTGCTGCTTCCAATGACGGATCTGCTACTGCTACACCTGAGAGCTACGATGAAAGCTACCTTGTCCCCGTTACCATTGGAGGCCAGACTTTGAACCTTGACTTTGACACTGGCTCTGCTGACCTGTGAGTAAAGCACAAATTTGGGTTTGGTTTGCAGTGTGCTGATGATACATCAAATAGTTGGGTCTTCTCTTCCGAGCTCCCCAGTTCTGAGCAGGCTGGCCACACCGTCTACAACCCCTCCAAGTCGTCAACCGCCAAGGTCAAGAGCGGCTACACCTGGTCCATCTCCTACGGTGATGGCAGCTCCGCCAGCGGTAATGTTTACACTGACACCGTCAATGTCGGTGGCACCGTTGTCTCTGGCCAGGCTGTTGAGCTTGCCAAGAAGGTCAGCTCCGAGTTCGTCCAGGATACTCAAAATGATGGTCTGCTCGGTCTTGCTTTCAGCAGCATCAACACTGGTTAGTTTTTTCCCTCCAAAGAAAGCGAGTAGTAAAATCCCAACACGTCAGCTAACGTCGAATAAAAAAAAAAGTCCAACCTCAGCAGCAGAACACTTTCTTCGCCAACGCTGCGCCCTCCTTGAACTCGCCCCTCTTCACTGCTGACCTGAAGCACGATGCTCCTGGCAGCTACGACTTTGGCTACATTGACAGCAGCAAGTACACTGGCTCTATCACTTACACCTCGGTCGACAATAGCCAGGGTTTCTGGCAGATTACCGCCTCTGGCTATGGTGTTGGCAGCTCTTACACCTCAAGCTCCTTCACCGGTATTGCTGGTATGTTGAACCTTGCTCCCCCCTATTCACGACTGCCTCGGGAGATGCTGATATTACCCTACAGACACTGGTACCACTCTTCTCCTGCTCCCCGACAACGTTGTGTCTGCCTACTACGCCGAGGTCTCTGGTGCTCAGTATGACAACTCCCAGGGTGGTTACACTTTCCCTTGCTCGGCTTCTCTCCCCAGCTTCACTCTCGGCATTGGCGGCTACAAGTCTGTTGTTCCTGGCAGCTACATCAACTACGCTCCTGTCTCTGGAAGCAGTAAGTCCTCTTTCCCCGTACACTTTCAGTCGTTCCATGTCAAACTAACCCTTTTTCTTTGTAGCTTGCTTCGGTGGTATCCAGTCTGACGACGGCATTGGCTTCTCCATCTTTGGTGACATCTGGCTCAAGTCTCAGTTTATTGTCTTCAGCCAATCGGGCCCTCAGCTTGGTGTCGCTGCCAAGAACCTGTAAATGCAGACTAGCGTCCTATCTCTTCTTTGATCGTTTTCGATATATTCGAAACGACAAGTTAAAGAGCTGGCTATTTAGGATCAATAGTCTCTTGAGCAGTGGTGTGTGTGACGGATGAGGGATACTGCGGGAGTCAATCAAGTACATGCAGTGTCTCTTATCCGACCATTTTACATCTTGACAGGGTACTGTGTACCTTGTCAGCACTTTTTTCCTTTCTCAGTCTATACTTTCCTATCTCCTTTTTGCATCTCATTCAGGCCCTGGATGGTAGTAAATAAAATACCTCGAGCTCGATCTAAATCTTTGTCCAACAAGTGATGCAGTGATACTGTGATGAAGTTTGCAGAAATCATCTACCTTGGCAATGTGACATACCTAGAATAATTGCCCCTGACAGATAAAACTCATTGCTGAATGTGAATGTGATGGTATTTGGATAAAGTCGTGTTTGTCCCTAGGTATTTCGAGACTCGAGATCATGTACGGTGTAGCTACTACGGCATATTCGTTCCACAATACATACTCACCGAACAGTCAATGACCTTAAATGAATCATAGTAATTGATAGATTTCAAGCCGAGAATAAACACACTATTTATGCTAGTCATGCCTTACATCAAGCATGTTTCTGAATATAGTAGAACGGAAAAGAATTCTATTCGAGTGCTATTTAACATTAAGATTTCACATTCACATTATCTAGCAGTGGTGGAATTTAAAAAGACAAATATTTTTACTTAATCTATTTAGATCTTTTTGATATTCCTATCAAACTCGAAAAATATATATAAAAATTCATTCCCTATTTTCTCTTTATCAATGCTCCGCCATAAACATTGGACTAACTGTGCGAAATGCCATTTTTATAGCCACTCGTCCCTCATGGTCTCCCAAGCATCTACAGCACGGGATATTACCCGGCAACCTCCTTCCTCACCACACAACCCACCCTTAGCGCATAACGAGCCAGAAAGCGGGACGTCGGACACTGCACCACCAAGCTCCGACGCCCAAAATCACACCTATCCAACATCCTCTCTATCCGTACCTCTACAACAAATCCAGCGAGACACAGCGAGACCCAGCGGCGAACACTTCCTCCCCTCCTTTCTGTGTGCTACGCCCTTTAATCTCACATCTACGATACTCGGTCACCCGCAAGACTTATAACAAAGCCACTCCAACGGCCCGCCGACCTGCACCACGACACATACACCCATCCAGCAACATGTCGCACGCCCGCGTGGAAGAAGTGTCCGACTCGGACTCAGACCCGGACGTCATGGACCCTAGCCAATTCGACCCGGGCCAATCGATTCTCTCTCCCGCCGACATTCCTTCCTTTTCCTCATCCTCCCCTCCCAACCCTAACCTTGGCTTCGGTGGCCCTGGGACGACAAGCGCAGGCGCCGGCGGAGTTGGAGGAGTTGGAGGACTCGGAGGACCCGGCACAGAATTTCTTCAACCCCGCTTCAATTCGCCGCGCACCGGCTCCGCCGAAGAAGCCGCCACGGTCGAGCGCACCCGGAGCTGGCAGTGCCTGTACCCGGTGTATTTTGACGCGAACCGCAGCCGGGCGGACGGGCGCCGGGTGGGCAAGGACCAGGCCGTCGCGAATCCGCTGGCGCGGGAAATCGTGGACGCTGTTGCGGGCCTGGGCCTGCATGTCGTGTTTGAGCCGGGCAAAGTGCATCCCAAGGACTGGAGCAACCCTGGGCGCGTCCGCGTGTTGGTCAAAGAGGGAGGAGTCGCGAAGAATTCGAGAGTAAAGAATAGTATGTTTGTCTATGCCTACTTCCCCGTCCTTACATTTCATATATTTCCCCGTCCCTTTTAATTTTATTTTTCAGATGATCCATGTTATCAGATCGCATTTTCATCGTTTGAAAGGCATAACAAAATCGTTTGGAAAATACAACAAAATCGTTTGAAAAGCATGATGAAATCCTTTGAAAAATACAACAAAAGCGATCAAAAAGAATCATTAAAGCTAACAATCCTATTACAGAACACCACCTCTACACCATCGTCTCAGAACACCTCAAGGCCCACCCAACGACCGAAAACTCGCCCATGCGCCTGCGCGTCGCGGGCCTGCCGACCCCGAACAAGGCCGTCCCGCCCCCTGCCATCCCACGCGGCTGGAAAATGGGCTCCATCCTGCCGCTGCACTCGCCTGCCATGAGCGGCGGCGGCGTGAGCGATGATTTTCTGAAGCAGATGATGGGCGAGCTGTCGGGAAGTCCTGCAGGGGGCGGTAGCGATAGCGATGCTGTAGCTGCCGGTGCTGCGGGTGGAAGTAGCAAGAAGAAGGATAAGAAGAAGAAGGGCAAAGCTTGAGCCTCTATTTTTAACTGTCCCAGATAAACCTTTTTTTTCTTTCTTCTTACCCCAACAAACTGTCCATTTACTGGCTTCATTGACCTAGTATTGGTGTATTGCGTTTATACATATAGACTTTATGCAGAAAGCAGAAAACAGAAAGCAGAGACGCGGAACGCGCGACGCGGGACGGGTGACGGGTGACACTTCAGAGCGCAAGAGCGCAGAAGGAGAGCATGAGAAAAAGGAAAAACAAAAAAAAAGGGGTTATGGGCCGTCTAAACCCTAAACGATGTGGGGCAAAGGAATACTTCCGATTGTTGTCTGTCTGTCTGTCTGTCTGCATTGACTGTATAGTTGGGCCATTTTTGCATCGCGGTGGCGTTTTATGTTTGGCGAGAGTATTTTTCCTACCAAATACTGCACTGTACAGTGATGTTCTTTAGTTGGGATTCAATTTATTTACTCTATTGTCTCTTCATTCCCCTCCTCGCATGCAACAAAGACTTATGACAAAGATATATACTAAATTACTTCCCCTGAGATTTGTACTAGGAAACATAACATCTGTGATGGGTATGGGATATATATGCCAGACCAAATCCCCGAGAACAAAAGATCAATGCAAAACACAAAACACACAATACAGCAGATCGAAAAAAACTAAGATCGATGCAAAATAAAAAGATATGGATCAGAAAAAGAAAAGATAAACAACAAAAGAAAAAATAGAAAACAGAAAACACACAAAGAAAACTAAACTAGACCCCGTTCTCTAAACTCCTCTTCGACAACACCTACCGCGCGGTGCACTAGATCCAGCATTTCCTCATCGGTCAGCGTATACGGCGGTGCCAGGAGGATATGATCGCCCTTGTATCCGTCAGCGGTACCCGTTCCTGGAAAGAGGCTGATATTCCACTTTGTGCTCAGGCCGCGATCATGCACGGCCATGGAGATTTTCTCCTTAAGGTCAAAGGGTTCCTTGGTCTTCTTGTCTGCGACGAACTCGATGCCCCAGAAGAGACCGCGACCACGGATGTTGCCGACGAACGGATGAGATGCGAGACGTTCGATGAGGACGGAAGAGAGGATGTTTCCGAGGTGTTGGGCGCGCGGGAGCAGACCGTCGGATTTGATGATGCGCTGGACGGCGAGCGCGGCGGCGGAGGCGATGGCGTGGCCTTGGTATGTTTGGCCGTGGCGGAACGAGCTGTTCGTTTGATATTGGTCAGCAATTAAAAGTAAGAGAAAGCAAAAATAAGGGAGTAAGAATGAAGGGGAATAAAATGGCGGGGAAAAACAGATGCTATAAAGTAATGACAGAATGATAGGACGACGAGACATACCCCGTCCCGTTGTTAAATGCGTCGACGACTTTCTGGTTGGCCATCACGGCGGCAATGGGCATGTACCCTGCGCCGAGACCTTTGCCGATGGTCTGGATATCTGGAACGACGCCGTCCTCTTGCTGCCAGGCGTGCAGGGTGCCGGTCCGGCCCATCCCGCACATGACCTCGTCCATGATGAGCAAGGCGCCGTATTTGTCGCAGACGGACTTGACTGCGCGGAAGTATCCTGGCACGGAGGGGACACAGCCGAGTGCCTATCGGGAGTTAGTTATCCTTTTCGTTATGATTGATTTCGAATGTAGAGGAGTTGGGCCAAAAAATTGAACAGATCAAGATATCTGTGAGAAAAGAGCAAGAAGATGCACGAAAAAAGAAGGAGAGGAAATAAGACAATGAACATACAGCACCGACAACTGGCTCAGCAACAAAGGCGCAAACGTTTTCAGGACCGAGCCGTTGAAACTCATCGTCCAATTCCCGCGCAAGTCGCGCAACATATGCCTCGTCAGACTCGCCGTCGTGTTTCCCTCTGTATGGGTTACATGGGGAGACGTGTGAAATGTTGTTGAGCAACATCGGTTTGAAGAGCTCGCGGCGGAACTTGTGTCCGCCCATTGAGAGGGCGCCGAGCGTGATGCCATGATATGATTCATGTCGTGCTATGAACTGCGTACGTTGGGGTTGGGAGAGCTCGACAAAGTATTGCCGGGTTCTTGTATAGTATGTTAGTCAAACATCTAGCCATGGCTTTGGACCATGTAAATTTGAACAGTTCGGGGTTAGGCTATAGTGCAGAAATGCAAGAAGAGGTGGAGCAGAAGATATGATGTAGTTCGGAAAGAAATAGTTTGGGGCGTCCAGTCAAAATCAAGAAAGCGTGATAGAGGAAATCTTCATTGCACGGTGCATTGGAAGGACTGGGGCGGTGAAAGGATACAGATCGATATGCGAGCAAAGGGACCGGAAAGCATAGAAGATATGCGGGCGAGAAAGGGACCCAGGAACATACAATTTCATAGCAGCCTCCATGGCTTCCGAGCCTACATATTTTTCATTAGCCTATCTTCTCAAGATTCATCCTCTCAAAATTTGCCATCGCCTTGCGATATTGCGGTCCGGCTGAAATATCCTGGTCTTTGCTACTCTTCTCCCTTCCCACCGCTTCGTCTCCTTACAAGAATCATATTTTCTCACCGCCGCCAATGGCTCCAAACTCAAACCAAATAGAAAACGACCAAGCAGACTATAAAAAGCAGATATGGTAAGATGAAATTTTATACTCACCAGAACTAACAATAAACACCTTGGCCATCTTCCCTCCCGTCGAGTCAATCAGCTCATTTGCGAGCTCTTCACTCGGCGTGTTGCCAAAAAACAATGCATGGCAGTACTGGACTTTATCCAACTGCTCTGCAATGGCCTGTTTGACGCGCTGGTCGCTCTGGCCAATACACGCGACTGCCGCGCCGCCCGTGGCATCGAGCACGCGCTGGCCATTAGCGAGAATGAGGTGGTGACGGTCAGCGGCAACGACAGTGTGTGGGTCTTGAAGTGTACTGTTGTGGAACACATTGCTCGATCCAGCGGTTGTTGCTGCCTGTTTCGTGCTGGTAGAAGACGTTGGTTTGGTAGCGGCCGGCGCAGGATCCGCTGATACGACTGTTGCCGGAGCCATTGCGTCTGAAGGTCCAATGTCCAGTCCTTTGGCGGAAATGCCAATTCGATATTCCAATACTGGTCGTCAAACCCAATTGCTAGGCCAATCGTGTTTTTGACCTTGTCAATGTGCCAGAAGGCGCGTCGACACCAAAATCTATCTTCCGTCAAGGTCCTGAAATGCTGCGGATATAGGAAAGAGAGAAAGACAAAAGAATAAATCAGGAGCTAAGGTACTTGGAGAAGCTCAGTGGCACAAGGAGACAAAGATCAGAATCACAGAGCAAGAGATGACGCGGATGAGAGCTCATGCGCAAGATATATGCAGGATATATTGGTACTCTCCACCCTAGCTTCGTGTCAAGTTTTATCAAGGCGGAGATAAATGATTCATACGCAACACGTTTTACCCCACCTTATCGTACAAAGTGCCGTGTGTCGTTCAACCGGAGCTCTGATCCTTGATTCAGTTCGGCCCCCGTCGCCCTATTCTTAACTCACTTTCTTTCAATGTCGTCCTGTCGCTTTCTACCATGTCGATCATCCCATTCTTCGTCAACAAGCATCCTTGGCAACTCCATACTCAGCGATTCTATTGGAACGTCGACAATTCCATTCCTGACTCACGGTAACCGCGGGGTCCCCTATCGGGGGCGGTTACCTGTAACGTGTTGTAAGTGGGGTCTGATAGGGTTTCGATTGATCGGCATCCCGTCCGGATAAGTTAGTTATAACCTTGTTGCCATAGTACGGTGATCGACTAGAAATTTTCGTCACGTTTTCTACTCCTAGCGCTATCAGTGAGGTCCTTGCACTGTGAAGAAGTCATGTTCGGTAGTCAGTCACGTCCGTGTTTATTCTGTCATTAGGCTTATCAGCAATTGAAGCTCATGCTTCGAGGTTCTTTCTGAGATACAGACCTCTGAATCTCGTTGTCCTTTTCATGCTTTCATGTTCTCACTATTTTGGTACAGAACAGCCTCGGTATAACTGTATCGGCTAAAACACCCGCCAAGATTCAACGCCTCTCTCGGTTATGACGCCGTTACCGTTTCGGCTAAAGATTGCCCCTAGGAATCGGGAACAAGGGCTTCCTGGACCGAGTATCACCCGGCCGAACATCGGGATGCCGAAAGAAAATCGGCATCATTACACGGCATTCAACAGCACTGCATGGGACAAGATATTATCATTGGTAACAAGTGACTGCACCTTCAACTCATCAACCGCTATGGAAATTGGCTGCAGATTCTTAATGTGACAAGAGAGGCTCTCAAATTCAGCCGGATCCAAGAAATAGCACGTTACTCCAGGAGTCATAAAAACAGCAAAAATACAATTTGATGTAGATCACAATTTGATATAGTCAAGGACATTCATTGACAGAGGCACTGAAGTAACATAATAATAAGATTTGTCTGCTTGCTACTTCATTCAGTCAAGAATGAATCGTTGAGAAGCTCAGTGGTTGTCTTTCGGTCTTGTGGATCTCGCTGCAACATTGACCAGAGAAAGGACGTCAGTTGCGTGAGGTTTTCGGCGCCAAAATCTGGAGGTAACCTCTCGCTCAAATAGACAGAAAACCCCTGACTGCCATTTGCAAAAAACTCGTTCATGAGAGATCTCAGATCTTGCTTGACTTTATCAGCTGTCAAGCCAAACATTCCCAGGGGAAATAGCGGCTCATTCGTGACAAGTTGAAATATCTAACGTGTGTGTTCAGCTTGTATAACAATTCTGAATGCATAGAAATTCTTACCAAGCAGCCCAGGGTCCATATATCGATTTTATTATCCCAAGCGCCCTTTTCAAGAAGCTCAGGAGCTCTTAGACCAGTTGGTGTCACCGGAAGAACATCCTGCTGGCCGCTCGGAATGGCTGTTATAGTAGTTACTAGTCAGCAATCTGAAGTCTAAACCTGGTACAGAGATCAGAAGGGAAAATGAGTTATTACCTCCGCCAAGATCACAAATCTTGACCTCGAGTGCCGGAACATCGGCATCATCCAGCGTTCCCCAAGGTCGTTGCGTGACCATTAAATACCGAGGAGCACTGTCATCCGCTTGAATTCCAGGGAGCCACTTAACAGGACTGAATTCCGGTGGCGTCAGAACTTCCATAGGCGGAATAGAGTCTACTGAGAATAGAATGTTGGCTGGCTGTAGATCTATAAGTGAGTCAGTAATGCTATTCGTTTGCAGCAATTAAGTTCTCTTCAAGACACATACCGGTATGGACTAAACCCTGCTCATGGAGGAAATCCAATCCCAAAAGTATTTGCTTGGAAACAGCTCGAATATAGTCCGCATGGCGAGGCTTCGATTTAAAGGTCATCGATTGGCCGTCCGAAAGCATAACCGGGAATACGAGACAAAGATGCTTGCCATTGGGACCATCATGTTCGAAATGGTCCAACAATGGTATAACATGATTGCGGCCGGGATGTTCAGAGCTTGATTCTGATAAACTAAGTAGGATAGATAGCTCTCGGTTTTGCTTTGAGGCTCTGGCGGTGAGTATCTTTAAGGAAACGTATTTTTGGAGACTAAAGAGCGAGAAGAATAAGTGTCGAACGGATGGACCAGCCTCTGGACTCAGCGACTCACCTTTGGTCTCTTGCGAGCCATACAGTAGAGAACGAACCATATCCCCACTTTCCAACAATCTGAAACCTTTGGTTGAAAGTGTCCTCGAGGTGGACTGGATGGTATCCTTTGGCACGATACTGTTCGACAGGTTCGACGACATCATGAATTCTCTCAAAGCGGCGCGGCATCTTTACTCACTGAATAGAAAGTTAGAAACTAGCGCATAAGAGAATATGTCAATGTGATTGCCAGAATCCAGCTATCTTCAGAGTTGACTGTATTGTAAAAACTCAGTAAAGCAGACATATTTGAAATTTGCTCAATCATGTGACCCAGTGACTTGGGTGACTTCTTCTAATGTTAATTTCTATATAGTATATCAAGTTGATCAATCGAACAAGCAGCTAAAAGCAACATACTATTTAATTCACTTCATCTACTTTCAGTTATATAAAGCAATTTAGCAGTATGACCAAGCTTGTTGAGTATACTACTTTGACGCGCTACAGTCTCTGGTTCTGTGCTTAATTAGTCTTATATTACATACTGGAAAGAGATAACCTGTTAGCTAGATATTCAATAACATGTTTTCAAGGCTATAAATAAGAGAAGAGTACAATTTTTTTAGACAGACTGCAGCCTGCTTGAGCATCACTGTGTCCATCCAGCGACCTCGGCGATCCCGGCGATCCCGGCCGTCCTGGCACCAATGCGCCATAAACAAAATCATAGTTGACTAATTGCCATTGCTATCAATCTCTATACAGGAATATGATATACCCAAATATAAAATCATGGATTCATACGACTGATTCTCAAATAGAAAGCTGAGAGCGCTACACCAGCACACCACTAAGCCCACCCTATCCAATTCCGTCCAAACATTGAAAATTTGTAACTATATAAGAATGTTACTAGCCACAGAAATCTGACAGTGGTCGACGGTAGTTAAACGACATCACAGACTTGCACCTATTAGGATATCAAATCAAAATCACGGGAGGAATCAGAATAGGTAAACAGTAAACTATAATAACACCTGTCACTCAGTAACCTGATCAAACTAACAAAGATTATTATGCCTGAATGATCGAATCGTATAAATAAATAAATAAATAAATAAATAAATAGAAAAGGTATTAGGCCCTATTACCCTAACAGCTGACAGCTGAAAACTGACACATGCCACTGTGCCACCGTGCCACCGTGCCAAATACGATAGAAGAGTAAGATCCAATACTGTAGCCTTTACATCTACATGAGTCATGACGATGAAGCGTTTAATAGGTCGTTGATGGTTGGAATGAAAACTGATTATCGCCGTAATAGGTGATAATGGATAACGGCATCCAAAATAGTGATGACGGGTAACAGGCTAACAGCAGCCAAAAGTAGATGATGACAGATAAAAGTAGATAGAATGGGTGATGACGGCTAACAGCACCAAAAGAGGTAATAATAGATGATAATATAATCATAGATAATAGAGGTTCAAAAGAGTAAATAAAAACGCCGCCGACGACGACAACATCGACAACATCGACGACGACGAATAAGGAAATAATAATGATGATGATGATGCTAACTTACATCTACAGCCCGCAAAACCCCTTTTAAGAGAAAAACAAAAACAAAAATAAAATAAAAATAAAAATAAACTAGACCAGGATAAGATATTGTAAATATATAGAGAGAATCAAGAGACCATGAACAGGTGACAAAAAAGGGGGGAAATAGAATTCCGACTTGCTGAATGAATTTGCGGCTTGCCAAAAGTGAATGATACGATATACAATAACATAAACATGACGTAAGTTGCAACAAGGGGACATGAAATAGGTACTAAGAGAAAACAAATCATGAGAATGGTGAATCAAATCGTGGCGAATGCAAATAGAGTAAATGTGAAAAGTAGAATCCAGTCATGATATATATAAGAACAAATGGCGACAAAAGCAAAGATGAGATGAGGAAAAGAAGAGTGTCCCATAAGTTGAAAGTTGAAACCTAACCACATGATCACATCCGGTATATTAACAGAAAAGAAAAAGAAAAAAAAAAAATGTCAAGTCGTCCGCTTATCAAGCTATCGAATTTCAAATCTCAAATCTCGAATCCGAAAATCAAAAATCTCGCACCGAAACAATCACCGATACCCATTCACCTGACGCTCCCGCTCCATTCGTATCCTCGTGGCCTCTGTGCCGTCATCGACAATGCTCTCTCGGAACCAGGGATGCTTGAGTGCTTGCTTCGCCGTGATCCGTTGGCGAGGGTCATATACAAAAATTTTCCGCAGTAAATCGAGAAACTGCTTGTTGAAAGTGGTAGTTTGAGGAATGATTTCCTGTGACCAGTCAGTTGGTCACTTGCTTTAAATGAAAAATAACATATAACAGGTGACATACATGAAGCTGTTTCATAGCCTTGACATATTTCCGCGATGCCCGCGTTGTTTCATTATTAGGGTAATCGAGCCGTTGGCCGCGGACAAAGTATCTATCAACAGATTAGCTTCATATGTCCCCATTGCTCCCCCGTGAGCTTTGAAGGATCATGTCTGTGGTCTTTCACTTACTTGGCTGCTTGATTCCCATTGCTGCCTCTGCCGCCAGCCATGACCTGCTTGACAAGTTTTGTGTCGAGGCGTCCCCCACATACTGGCTCCATCATGGCGAGGTGCTCCAAGTTGTCATGAGTCTGGAACAAGGCGTCGCCAGTGAAGAACTCGACCAGTATACAGCCGATACTCCAAATGTCACATGGGAAGCTCCATCCGAGGTTGAGGATAATCTCTGGGGCGCGATAATGCCGTGTTGATACCACAGAGGAATGGTATTCATCGTCAAAAGTGGCAGAGCCAAAGTCGATGAGTCGAATTTCACTGTCGAGAAGCACTCGCCGTTGTCTGGCCTGTCTTGATGTGGCGGTCGAAGAGGATGGAATTGTGCGATTGTACGTAAACGTCTGGTACTGACTGTTCACCAGAAGGATATTTTCTGGCTTCAGGTCGGTGTGGATGAGATTGAGGTCATGAAGGACTGCAAACGGTCAGCAAACATTCTAAAAAGGGGAAATAACAAAACCCTCTTGCAGCAACTTACAGGCAACGCTAGTAAAAAGCTGTCTCGCAAAGTTCTGAATCTGGCTACTAGGAAATGGCACAAACTGGTTGGCCTTGAGAAAATCAAACACGCTTTGGCCCAGCAAATCGGTGACAATGCAAATGTGGTTTCGATAGTCAAAGCAATCCCGCAGGTGAATGCACTTATTTCGGTTCTCCACGTCGTTGGCAGACAGGGTGCGGAGGACCCGCAGCTCAATCCTTGATGCATCGCGATACTTTTGTACAGATCTGATAATCTTAATGGCACATTTGGACCGCTTCTTCCGGTCATAGGCCTCGACAACCTTGCCAAAGGTACCCTGACCCAGAAGCTTGGTAATTTGATCTGGCACCGTCTAGTCAGCAAGCCGGTCATCAATAAATTAAAAGGAAGAGGCAGTCATAGCGCATGTTGAGAATGTCTACTAGCCCAGGCACAGAACTTACATCGATCACCAAGCTCAGAATCAGGCACGACGATAAAATGACCATCATCGTCATCCACCTTTTGATGTTTCATGTAAGATGTCTAAAGGTCGATTGATTAGCGTGCTGAAATCTCACAAGAAACTCATCGCTGAGGAGAAGCGAGGGGGGCAAAAGACTAAGCTTACGTCGGGCATCACCTGCACATGAACGTCTCTCGCCTTGAGCGGAGGGTTCGGCGGTGGTACATAACAACTCCAAGGATCACCTTGCACATCACTCTCTCGTCGTTTCGCCTCATCAGCGACGGCTTTTCGTGTCCGCTTCCTCTTCTGTCCGACAACACCGTCTTCAGCAGCAGCAGCAGCAGCAGCATGTGGCATGTATAGGCCATTGTTGATACTGGCATGGGAGCCCAATGACGTAGCCGCAGTCGTATGCAATGCCGAAGCGGTGCGATCGGTTGAAATGGAGGCTGCAGAGGGTGAGTTGATGTAGTGTGGGGTCTGGGTGGTCGAGTAGGATGGCGCTGGATTGTAGATGGGATCGTAGCCAGTAGAGACGGCAGTCTTGCGCTTCTTATCAGCATGCCTGGTGCTCTGATTCAATGTCACCGTCCGCGCATTTGCGTTTGGACGAGAATCGTATTGTGTGGCCGGCACTGGCACAGGTGCCGGCGGCGGAGAGTCGTCGTCGTCGTCGATGACAATGACCTCCTTGGGGATGCCATGTTTATAAAATTCAGCCCAGTTGGGTTTGCGTTCCTGGCGGCTGCTGCTCGACTCGTGGTGATTCGAGGGTGCTTGCGAAGTGGCCATTAGAGCATTCTGCGGCGTCAACGGCGGCGGAGGCGGCGGCTGTTGAGGTTGTGAAGAAGAATGGCCGGCAGCGCTCGTCGGTCGGCGAGATATGGGTGTCGTGGTCGTGATAGGGAAGCTGTAGTGTGTGGTCCCCAATCGCGACGAAGAACCGTTTAGTAGCGCAGCGTTGGGATGATATCCGCCACTTGGAGTGTAATTTTGATGATGGGAATAACCGTAATGCGGATGAGTAGCAGGAATTGTCGCGGTTGCGGTCGAAGGCGTCGACATAGTCGGGGCGAGCGAAGAGAGAAGAAAGTAGAAGAGAGGTTGGCGTCCGGCAGAGGCCTACTCTCTCACACTCTCTTCCTGATATGAATGACCAAGGGGATCCGAGGATATGTCACCGAGGTGCGAGGACTGAACGTAGGTTGAATCGAGAAGAATCTGCTCATCAAAATGCCACAAGTGCCTTTCTGACAGAGCTTGATTTTGAGCAATGAAATCGACGCCCTCTCCACGTCTTGGATTTGCACAACTGTGGAGAAGACTCGTGGCTCGATCAGAGAAAGCGTGGTGGTTCGACAGGGCGAATGTGCGGGCAAATGACGGGGTTAGGTCAGCGAGCGGGCGGTCCGACGCCTCAGAGAGAAACGCGCAACATTGGAGTCGAGAGGTTTATCTCAGAAAGAGAGCACCAGCGGGAGACAAATTGAAGTAAATGTAGCTGCTATGAATCGGAACTCGACACGCTCTGAGCTTCTTTGAAATGAGAAAAAAATGAAGAGAAAGACGTTAATGGGTTAATTTTGAAATTGGGGAGTGCCAACTACGTGTGGGTGAGGATTTGCCGGTTCACTCAGTAAAGCCCTCGAGAGTCGACGTTGGCCTGGCTTGCTGGGTGGGAGGAATGGTAAGATGGCTAGACCTTTGGGGAGCCCAGAGACACAGCAAATGTAACTACTAAACCGTGTGGCTACGACAAAATGGGGCAAGGAAAGACGTGCCGCAGTAACTGTAGTAAGAAGCAGCAGTAAGAGTGTGATACAATATCTAAGAAAGAGAAGGAGTATGCCATGTATAGATGCATTTCATTTGCCTTCTCAGCACATCAAACACTTGTTGAAGCACAAGATCCACTCCTCATTTTCTGCCTTTCCCGAAAATCCATTCAGGTATACGAATACTTACCTCTGCGTGCAAATTGACGGACAGTTGTAATGTATGTGGTGCGTGCGTGCATGATTGCAACCAATCTGATTCCTGTGTGCCAGCCTACCCGCGGTACGCGGAGACGGGGGATGACTGGACGATACAGAGTTTGTTCCAGATACTCCGTACACACCAACCCATATCTACTACTTTCTCTCAATCACCACTCACCTTTTCCTCGCCTTTTCCTTGTCCACAAAAAGCAAATGGAGCTGCTGGCAATGCAATAAATTGGCGAAGAAATGACCCCAAATATCAAGCATGGATGCGAAATGCCCATCTCACTCATCCCTAGTTGTCTCTGTACTCCTGCTCATTTTGCATCAGGTAAAGACCTGTACTGTACCCGAGGAGTTTCCCTTGATCGACCGGCAGGCCGGGTACCTCAAGACGAGGGCAGATGGGCGGCGAAGGGCCGGAGGGCGTGGCAGCGGTTGCGTCAAGTAAGTAGGACACGACGGGCACGGGTGGGCAAAGCGAGACCGGTGGGGGCCGGCGGTGCCCATGACTGGCTGGTGGCGGCCGTACTACTGTCATGTCCTGTACTGTGTGCGGTTTGTTTGCTCTATGAAGAAACGGAGAATGAGGCCAATTTTCATCGAAGACAAAGAGAAGTTTCAACCGTAGCGGCAAGAGTTAGGGGGGTCCCCAAAAAAAAGGGTCCTCTGGTCCTACATCTGGGGGCGGCGAGTCAGTCCAATTGGGAAATTGTAATTCAGAGTCTCTCCTCCCAGATCGATTTACATGCTGCGCTTGGAATACTTGTCCATAGGTCGATGCATTCCTAATTCCTCTTCATGCGACAATGAAGAGGATCGTGGGTCATGTATGAGAGGGTATTGTTCGTCATCACTGGCTTCTCGTCATCATTCGCCCTTCTCCCAACGTCGTCATTTCTCAGGAAGTGGGTGAAGGGGAAACGGTGGTGGAGAAAGACCTTTGATGCGAATCTCAAAAGTACATGGCAACTTCCGAGTCTACTTTTCAATGTTCTTTTACTGGTGCAGTGGTTGAGTATCGTTGGAGAGCATAAATGTTTCGTCTTGTCAAGTTGGTGACTGCAACTAGCCGTAGTATGCTGGTATCTTAGTACAGTGATCCACCTTTCCACAACTCCACAGTTTCCAGCCATTTCCTTGGCTGCTCGTCTTGCCCTTGGCTCGTCTCCTCCCGAAATTCAGTCTTCCTCGTCCTGTAGTATGACATCGTTGCCCTAGTTGATCTTCCACCATCTCTTGCAAGGAGGTCATCAGTGTACCGAATCTTCCGAGTACAACTGCAGATACTATTCATCAATCATTAACCTTAATATTTCTCTGTAAAAATGATTAGACCATGTTATGTCACCTTGTGCACAGTGCTCAATCTCCTTATTTCGTGCGACCTCGTGCAGTGATCGGGGCTTTCCAGCGGTGCTCCTTGGCTTCTTCTGGCTCTATCACGCATTTGGCATGGGACGACGGGGGAGGCAAATAATCGAGGCGAACTTGGCCCACTAGCTCGACCCAACCGAGGCGAACCCAATCCAAACCCCCCAGCAACCCGTCGAGTTGCCCTCTTCGACTCCCCCACAAACCGAAGAGAGTCGTTCTTTTACTTAAGGTAGGTAAGGTAACTTAGCTACAGTATGTCCTCGGTATAGCCATCTTTGGGGACTGTCCTGCCGTACTACTTGGTCACCGTACACCACCCAAGCAACCGTAACTCCGGTACGAGGAGCTGATGATGACCGGCACCAAAGTACCCGTGGGGCGTAGGTATAGAACGAGAAGAGAACCGATTCCTCCTCTCGACAATCGACCCTCCTTTTTTCCTCGTTGACAACTGATTTTAATTCTTCAACTCCTTTTTTCCGCCAAGGTGCTGAGACGTCTCTTAAGTCAAAACGGATGAAAACGCCCTCGGTTTAAAAGACAAAGAAAACATGCACACTTTTGTCTCGGAGACACACGACTTGCCATATATATTGCATATGAGGCTGCATCAAGTGAGACATTTGATAGACTGCTTCGTAAACTCTTCGCTCCACGAGCAATGGCGCACTGACTGCGATACATGTGCCTTGCATATTTCCAAAATTGTATTCATCCCCAAAACAATAACTATTCCGAAAAAAAGAGCCCATGATCTATCTCATCTCAAACGTACTCTAATTAAAATCTTACCGATTTTGCTCCCAATTGTCCAACTGTCTTTCCGTTAGTAATGTATCCTAGCCCGACGTTTCATATACGACCTACCAGTTTTCCAACTTCTTTAAATACGACAGGCTTGGTCATGAAAAGGTCAATGCCAACTTCAAATGCCTCTTTCTGGTCCTTGGAGCTGGCTAACCCAGTGAGGGCAATTATAAAGGCGGGTGATGGTGAAGGACCGGCTTGATCTGACCGTAGATGTGTTGCTCGACGCTCTTCCTCAAGTTCTCGAATCTGGCTAGTTGCCTCAAACCCGTTCAGACGTGGCATAGATATATCTGTAAGATTTGCAAATCAGAAACATGGCCTTCAGAAACAAGACTTGAGATATAATCGATTCCAACCCCGGTCGCTGAACAGGATAGAAAATTATCTCTTGAGTAAGGCCTACCCATGAAAATAATGTCATAGCATGTCTTTTTCGCTGCCTCGACGGCTAAGAATCCATCCACTGCCATATCGACCAAGTCGTACTTTCGCTTTTTCATAAAGGTCCTCAACAATCTAAGGTTGATTTGGTTATCGTCCACCAAGAGTACTTTGGGAGAGAAAGACTTCGAGGGTGAGAGTGTCGGGGTGCGGTCATCTCGTTCTGACGATTCTTCGCGCTCCTCACTAGGTTGAATGGGGTCGTGCAAGACTTGAGATATTGATTGAGGTGCAAGCGGATGATCCTTGAACGGTGCAGATGTTGTTGCAGTCGAATAAGTCGATACAGCTGGCTCGGTAGAGGCCTGGTCCAACTCCTGTTGGGTAGACTCCGCAACAAAGGGGAACTCCTTTCCTTTGTTTTCTGGCAGATCGTCATAATCTGGCGGATGATAGTCGAGTGCTCTGCTTGCATTGAGACTGTCTTCACGTCCCAATGCCACACCATTATCCAAAAGACGGACGTGGGACCCATCAAGCACCACTTCAGTCATTTCCCTGGCCGCACTGACCGAGGGTACGCTCGAAATATTAACTACATTCCCTTCCACCGTTTCTGGAGATATTGGTAATCCAGTGGGGATCGTAGACATCTCCTTTAGTCTACTAAAAAGGACAAGAAGAGCCTTAGCTAGCTTCTGCGCGCCAAATGGCTGTGTCAGATATTCTATCACCCGTCCATCATTGAAGACTTTAGGGGTTTGAGAGTACTGTAAGCCATTTCGGCATAAAACCAATAGAGCCGGGGTTAGACCGTTATTCATGTGGTTCAATGTGACGGCAGAGAATGATGAGAGCATCGACTCGTCAATTATACATATCGATACGGGCGGGTTTAGGGGCGTGTTGGAGACGACATTGAGGTGGAACCAGTTCGTTATATAGTTCAGCATGGAGTCCTGGATTAAAGATGAAGCCCTCGTCTGGATGGATGAACCAGGGGAAAACAGGGTAGGCGGCAGCACGCCAATACTAAGCCCATTGCCGTCCTCTTCCACTGCAGCGACAACGTCAGGCTCGGTAGCGCCGGCCCCAGGAGCAGAGTTTGTTGAACTTGGAGTCGTCGACGGACTGTCATTGGTTGAAGTGCCACGAGAAAGGGGAAGAGTAATGGTGAATTCTGATCCTTTTCCAATTTGGCTTCTCACGTCAATATGTCCCTCAAGTAGCTGCACTACAGTTTTGACGATGCTCAAACCAAGACCTGCTCAGCCTTAGCACAATGCGTATTATAGTCCAACTGCATGACTCACCGGTCCCGGGTGCGAGGTGATTCTCCTGCGAAAAAGGCACGAAGAGTTTAGTGCGTAGATAATCAGAACTTATTCCTTTCCCAGTATCTGACACGATTAGTTTGACCATTTCCTTTTTAGTCTGGCTCGAGCTATCTTCTAGCTTAGTAGCCTCAAGCTTCACTTTGACATAACCCTTTTCAGTGTACTTGAGCGCATTTCCAAGCAGATTCATGCATATCCGTCGAAAGGCTCCTACAAGCTTTTAGTCATGGAAACCCGAAGATAAAGATTGCCACACACCTGGTTGAGTAATAAAAGTCCAATCGTGAGGCGCAATATCTAGGATGATATCAACGTCGGGCTCACTCCTATTCATGATTTGACCTTCCGCGCTAGTACCGCCTCGTGAAAGGTAAGCCTGGTCTTCTTTTGACATATCACGGAAAGCCTATGACTGGATGTTAGAGAAGAGATGACCATAGCAGATCTGGTACCTACATGACCAGCATAAATTCCGCACACAACTTCCTCGAGGACCTATAATCCACTTAGCTTCCACTATTTGCGAATTCTTAGTATTTGAATTACCTTTGCAAGATCTATCTCGGCAACAATATTCAGCGGACCCTGATTTGATTTTATAAGACCTCTTTCTGCCAAACGACCATGTCGTTTGCTGTACTTTGGCTTTCGTGCGCTCCGTTCCGATTTTACAAGTGAATTGATCTTGCTGAAATCCAATACTGCCCAAAAAGATTTAGTTATCAAGTAAGAAGCAAGTTGATTTGATATGAAAAGTACCATGATTGATTGTATCCTGAAACAGTTAGAAAATGAGCATCAAAAGGTCCGATTCAAGCAGTGAAAGCACTTACCAATAGGGTTTTACCACATGCGCTAATCGTCTCGACAAGAGACTGCTGAAATGGATCGCACTTGGTCTGCTCAAGGAACTCATTACTTGCTAATATGCCTGCACCAAGTATCATAACGGGTCAGTTTGAACGAAAGAATTAGAGCAGGATAAGATATTGCAATGAGCACTTACCGTGAAGCGGGCTTCTGAGTTCATGAGATATGCTTCCAATAAAATTGGTCTTGCTTTGGTCTGCTGCCATGCTTTCGAGCCGACTCACTTCAGACATGACACAATTCCCAAATGCAACGGTGTATAGCACTTCAGTTTCGTAGGTAAATGTTGTAAGAGGATTCAAGGACCAGCAAAAACATGCGCTGAACCATCTTCCTGCTTTTGCATCCCACAAAGGAACAAATAGCAACGATCGAGCTAAAGAAAAGTCAGTTTCACTCCTGGACGATTAACACTAACCCCGAACAGACTGACCACCAGAGAAATGCTTCAGAAGAATATTTTCTTTTGCCCTTCGACGGGCCTTGCGCGATAGCTGTTCTTCGGATGTTGGCCCGGACAAAGCACCGTTGGTCGCCTCCTCTTCCGAAGATGATGCCACGCCGTCTTCGTCAGCCAGCCATAATTTACCGCTCGGATAACGCTTCACTAAGCTCGCAATCATCGCTTCACCCACAGGAATGAAAGACCTCGAAGATCCCTTCCGCGGAAATCTAGCACCAAGGATATCAGTCGACCGATCTCTTGTAGTACCACTGCCCCAAGTTGCTCGAGAAACATTGTCGGCTGACCCTGGCGTTTCGCCAACAGAAACAGTTCCGTCTCCGGTCTGGGTTGCCGGGTCTCCGGTTTCGAGGCCACTTCGACTGTAGGTGTCGTTTCCTGTGATGCCAGGTTTGGTCGATAAGAAGATGACTCCGCCATCACCTTCAAACAGCGATTCATGAAGAATATTAGCGGCACGCGAAAAAGTCTGGCTTAGTGTTTCCTCGGCTTCGGGGACTTGACTGGTGGCCGCCTGGACGGGATCTTTATAGACAACGTTCTCCGTCAACACTGGAGGCTGCGCATTGGCATTTTTCTTTTCGACCAATGCACCATCGTCCGATGAAGTAGTTTGTGGATTCACGATGTCACCAGTGGAAGGGGGAGGAGCAGTCAGGCCTTCTGCAGAGGGTCGAGTGTTTTCCAATGTCGAGCTCTTTTTTTCGGCTTTCGAAAGATCGTCATAAGACGTGGAGCGAGACATATGTCCCCGCTCAAGAGACGAGCCCGATTCGACAAAGACCGAAAGCCCTTTTTGCATCTGGAGAGCCCGCCTCCTCTCGCTCGCATCTCGAGCAAGTTGCATATGCTGCATAATAATCATGGCCATGTGGCCCAGAAACTACAAAAGGGACGAGTTAGAGTCGGTGACGCGTTTCGCTACAAGATTTCCAAACCTCAATTTCCAATGGGTCGAGCGGTGGATGTGGTTTGTCATCGAGAACAAAAAGGCTGCCAATATTGACACCCTTATTGGTTGTGATCGGAGTGCCTGAAGCCATATTAGCCGCACATATTAGGCTGCGGAATCACATGTATTACCAGCATAAAATCGAAAACCGGGTTCACCCGATACGAAAGGCAGATTGCAAAACGTCGGATCTTCTTTCAGGTCGGTTATCTGAAAGCACGGGAAATCGCCATTGCTGGGTGGGAGGGCAATGGTGCGCTGCATGAGAAATTAGAGGAAGGGGGGCCACCAGGTCATAGCAGAGCTCAACCTCACCTCGCACAACCGACCCTCCTTGGACACGCTCGAGCATCCCAGCCAAAGCGAGTCTGCAGGGTCTGTATGTCTGGAATTGTCATAGAAGTTCAAGGTCTTGGTAGATTCGGCAACAAAATATTGCGTTTCACGGTCTATTAGCCTTTAGCACTATGAGCGACGGTCGAAGCAATCAGGGGCGGAAAATGAAGCTTGCATACGAGATCATGGCCCGTTGACAGTTGAGGCGCCATGCTACCAGCTGAGCATAAGCAGTCAAGGCAGTGTCTGGAGACGTTGCTTGGGATGCAACCAGACCCCCTTCGTGACATGCACTCGTATTAGGATCGGGCCGAAAGTATTTGTACAGTTCTCTCGCGCGAACCGCATCCAAAGATTTCGCCGAAGACGCCATGGGGGTGCAGTGATGGCAATTGCCTTGTAACGGCGGCCTTGCGTGGAGGCCGCCAACTGGGAGAAACCTAGAGATAAAAGTTCCGCAAGGGCTCAAATAACAATAAGAGTTTAGAAAGGAAACGACTAATCGACAATGCAAGACTTATAAAAAAAGGGTTGATTCAAAAGCAAGCGGGCACAGTATGTCAAGATTCAAAACAGCAATGCGAGTTTCCACCGCAGGGGAAAGCGGAGACGATCGAAGGTCAAAGTCCAACAATGCGAACAACAACAATGAAAAGCAGATTCCAGGGAGCCTCAAAAGGAGCAGGGCAACGAACGTAATGTAGCATCAAAAGTATCATGAAAGGAAGACGTAGTACGGAAGCGACAGAAGGACTGAATGAGTATCCCAGGCTTCTCCCCACGCGCTTTCACGTTCTTTCCAAAATATTTTGTGTGCAAAAGGGCAAGGGAGCAATATCTCAATGTTTCAGTCCCGTGTGTGGATGCCGATCTTCGTCCTTTCCGCAGCAACAACTTGCCCCCGGCACCCGATTCGCCTTACTCCGTAGGGAACCAACCGTCCAAGCGAGCAGTCGCCAATCAATCTAGGCTGATCAGCCCGCGCATTAACCGTGGCGCTCCTCGCATGGCCGGTCCAGATCTTGCTTCCCCTCCGGTCTGCCGTGTTCGAGGCCGTTCAGGGATCACCCCCTACATGGGAACTACTCGCTTTGATATTCTTCATATTCGAATAGAGTTATGTTTGAGTTCGGTAACAATTCCATTAACACGTTTCGGTGTGCCTCTTCAATTTGGACGAGCTGGGAACGCGTCTGTTCTGATATCTATGGTCAACTTTCCCGGAGACAAGGTGGTAGAGCGGTGCGGAATAGGCTGACTGGCCATAGACGCAAGACACTATTTCCCACCGTCTTCAATTCGCACTTTCAAAGAAGTGAATAATGTAGTAAGTCTACTAGATATTACTAACTAGCTTCTATCAATCGACGGTGCTCATCCTAGAGAGATTAACAGAGATATGGGCAGTGGAAACAGCACAGATCAGATGATTCCAATATGCGCCTTCTTCCAGGGCCCTCTCTCCTGAGAACGGAAAATCCGAAATGCAAGTAAACTTGGACCAAACACCACAGAAAACCCCGCTGTGTAATGCAACAAAGAAAAGCCTCACCATGAGTTGCGAGTTCCTGACCCGTGGAAGGAAGAGCGTACGACGGATCTCTTCGCCGACCACATTCCTCAGCCAGTGCTATCATTATGGCATAAGACAAATATGCAACAATCGCATTGGAGCTTGGCTAGAGACGAAATGGAATAAATGAACAAAGAGATTCCAGCCAATTAGATATTAGACGCACAAGGCATATATGACTCTTGCCATATCGAATTAAATGTGATAGCACAATGTAACTTGGGGGAAAAGATAGCAGTATATGCAATACCGAGTCCCTCTCCACCGAGGTAAAGCCCCCCGTTTGTTTCGTGTCAATACTCGCCAGAGATGCCCTACTCCTTGGACTGCCGGGCGGCTTCGCGCGCTTCGAGATCACCCTCGGCAATCCAGCAGCTAGCCTTGACAAGCTGAACTACATTGATCAACTGCTTGGCAGCCATGATAGGGAAGGAAATGGCAGCGAGAACCCAAGGAATGAAGCTATCCATCTTGTTCGCACGCGCCAATTCAAGAGCTCCAGCGCTATAAGGGCTCGCGAAGAGGTTGGACGGCGACGGGTGGGCGGGGTTCCCGGGTTGAGGGGAGGCCGCACCTGCATTTGACGAGGGCTGGAGAAGAGACGGCGAGAGAATTGGGGAGGAGAAAGAAAGAAGGTAGAGTGCGATAAAGAAGAGCTCGTTCAGAGCACAGAATGCGAACAAAACTTTCTGGAGGAAATTAGTGGTTGGAAATAGACTATTAAAAGCAGCAAGGATTCTTACATTATTGGAGTAGTATAAATTCAGCACCCAGCTTCGGCTTTCATCGACCTTCTTGTGGCTTTGATTCTTATCCCCCATGGACAAAGTTGCGTACATATGCATGTAGTGGCTTGCAAGATCCAAACTAATGAGACCTTGGAAGAGTAACGACCACCGCGGCCACGCGGAGCTCAGGAAAACCAAGAGACAAGCGGTAGTACAACGGTCGGTCACCATGTCCAAGACAGCTCCGAATCGCGTGGATTGACCGAATCGTCGGGCAGCATAGCCATCAAGAGCGTCCAAGAGACACGAGACACTGTAGAGAAGAGAGCAGGTTCTGGGATGAAGGGGCATGTAGTACAGAGATGCTACAGCGAGAATGATTCGAGAATAGCCTGATACCAACGCGATTAGTGAATCTGAGTCGTAGCTAGGGCATAGAATTGTTAAGGGCTCACCGATAAGGTTGGGTACAAATAGAAAAATGTTCTCGCGCTTCTTTTCGCCAGCTTTTAAGGCAGGCGTACTGGTGTGCAAATTGCCATTCTGTTCGGCTTGTTCGGTGGGAGCAGATGCTGCTTGTGCAGCCTGGTTTCGCGTCCTCACACCAGACATTATGATTGTATTTGCAGAGGCAGGTTAAGCAGGCTCTGTTCGGAGAGATCGGTGATGTCTTGCTCGGCCGAATGTAATAGAGGACTGCGTGATGAAATTGTTGAAAACGCCAGAGAAGAGGTTCTTGATGAAATATGTCACTCAACAATACCGATGGAACAGGGTGGGTTCTAATCGGTTTGAATAAATGACCCAAAGCACGATTGTATGATACCTTGCTGCGACATCAGTTTGACCTGATAAGACCAATTCAAGCTGGTGACGATAAGGAGGGTGATAACGAGTGAGCTTTTGCAATGTCGACTTACAAGCTATGAGAGTGGAATAGCTCTTGAATTGAGCAAAATGTGTCGAATGTCTGAGAGGCTTACAAGCTTAGCAAGGGAGACCTGGACGTCAGACGAGCACAAGGAGCTGATCGCGACGCGCTCAGTGTACTGCAGAAAGGTGAAGTTTGATTTGTTCGTGAAATTTTGGGTCTGGAAATTAGCCTTGTTCGACGGCTTCTGTGCTTCCGTCCGCCCCGGAAGGGAAGGAAGCAAGCCAGTCTGATGACTAAGCGCTATGGTTTGCCAGCACCTTCCTCATCGGGTTGTCAGGTTCTCACAAAGCAACTTCCATGATCTCTTCCCCTCGTTCCAACCGCAAGTCTCAACATCATCATCAACTTGCATATCCGCCAATGGATTTTCCTAGAATATAAACTTCATTTTACTAGGAGGTATACTCGATATATAGCAATTATTCATTTGGAAAACCCAACTCCAAGCCACCGACTGAGATGACGCCGTCATGGAATGCAGTGCAAATATCAGATGGCTACCTAGGTAGATACTATAAACATATTATACAAAGATTAAAATTAATGTAGTGAAACTAAACAATGGTCCCTTAATTCATAAATTCTTCCAATATCAGAATAATCAACTTGGTGCTCTTGCCGACGAATATGGTTATGACGTAATCACCACACATTCCGTTCATTCCGAGGTTATGGTCATAGGTGATGGGTAACTATCTCTTTTCTGATCTGAGTGATAGAGGGGAAATGTATGAAATTGTTCGAGATGCCTTCGACAGGTCGGACATCTAATTCTTGCTTCTCGTGCAAAGTACGGAAAGTAAAATGTGATAGAGTCAGTTTTGTCTCTCTCCCCAGACCAAGCCTTTGCTGAAATACTATTTAGGGCCGGCCTTCTTGCGAACGTTGCCAAAAGAGTAACATCCAAGTAGGTGATTTCGAAAACATTTTTCATTGCGTACAAAAAAGCTCAAATCAACTGTCTCTAGTGCGAATATGGGCCTGACGCAGTTGCACCCCGTGAACTTCATGTCATAGGTAATTACCAGACCGATGCTATGTTATACATTAAATACTAATTGTGAAGATAGACTCGGTATTCGGGGAACGAGTTTCATCCTCCTCTTTGGATGATGCTGGAAAATTACCCAGGGTCCCCCATGATAGCATCTCGCAGATAAATAGCCGCTTAGACCGACTGACAAACATTGTGCAAGGATTTTGTATGTGTGCTTAGTTATTTATTTACTTTTTATTTTCATTGTATTTTACTTTTTTTTTCTTGCGCTCATTCAGAACTATATTCTAATTCGGGCAGTAGATCAATCGCAAAATCAAGGAGGTAAATTATTCAGCAATTCTTGTCACTTTTTTTTTGGATATTCAGTGTCCTTTCCTGCAGACTCTTATTTAAATGCAGATTCAGAATCCGTGCGCCAGCTAAGAAACAAGCCTGAGAACTCTGGGTATCTAGAACCCAAAGGCTACAATGGAGCAACGTATCTAGCTGACACACACTGGGCCTGTATCAATAATGAAGTAAGGCCTTTGTCCACATTTTGAAGAATTGGATCAGGCTGAAGCGGAAGTCAGGTAAATGAAATTCGGTCTCTGCTAGGAGGAAGTTTGCAAACCGATTATTTCGGCTTGAGAAAAGATGAGAAAATCAGATCAGGCCAATCTCATCCTGCCGACGAAATGTTAATGCCTCCGAATACTCTCACGTCAGATGGCCATTCAATCTCTACAACATCGGAGCAAGTATTTCAGCGAGCATTAACTGCAAATATCCCAACGAAGTCTCAATGCGACTTCCTTATCAATGCATACATGATAGGCTATCATCCTATAGCAGGTTATGTGGATACCACATCGTTTTTCGATCGCTATGAATTGTTTTGGTCTTGGGCTGCTGATATGCAGCACGTACACTCGCCCGAAACATCTTTTATCGCATTACTCAAGGCGTTGCTCTTTGCTGGATCAGTCTCATGTGATATTGGACAGCGTTCGGTATTTTTCCCTGCCGAGGAAAACCTTCACATATCGTCAATACTTTCTGATTCTGCCGAAAGAGCACTGAGATTAGCAAACTTTCCCCGTGCACCTTCCATAGATGCGCTCACAGCCTATATGATTCTACATTCTACACGCCTTCGTGGTAAGTATTCTTTATTGCCTTTTATCACAGCAGCTCACTGATGGGGATGCAGCTGAGGAACCTCTCGCCTGCTGGTATGCCCATCCAATATGTCATTCAAGGTATTTTTTGAGCTACTAACAGTATAAAGTGCTTTTGTGGGCCTTGCGGTCAGAATAGCTCAGATGATGGGGCTTCATAAAGATCCGATACATTTCAGTGGCTTCACACAACATGACTCAGAATTCCGAAGAAGACTCTGGTGGCACATACTACATATTGATACAATCACCTCTAGCTGGGCCGGAATGCCATGGCTTGTCGACAGTTCTTCATGGGATGTTAAACCTATCAGTGAATTAAAGGAGCAATATGTCGGATCTCAAGACGCAAGTGAAATAGCGACGGACAAAAGCGATGATCATGCGCAATATCAGTCTACAGTCGGCATACTACTTGCTGGAAAATTCGAAGATTCAGGTAAAAAATTTTTGAACCGGCGGCTGACTTCTGTGAATTCAGCTGACCTGAATTGCTTTGGAAAAGTAACAACGCGGAATATACTCGATGTGAAAACCAAAGGCGAAGGACCAAGAGAAGCAAAAATTGCTGAGGCGAAAAGACTGCTCGAAAATCTGGAGTCCAGTCTTAGCAATAGAATACGTCACATTGAGAAATTAGAAAATTACCAGCGGAAGAGCGGGATTGAGGATCATGAGAACAATCCCCGACTGAACCGATTTGCAAAGCTGCTCCTATCTGCTCTTATCGACAAGACTTGGAGCTTAGTCTGTGACAAAATCGCGCAAGGGCCATATCATGCCATTTGGCCGAACTTTCTTCCTCAGTATGGGCTGAAATGACTCGAAGCTCAATTTATGCATAATTCCGTTTTCTGATGTTTGAACTCTAGAGCTATCACGCATTGTCAAAACCTAATACGAAAGACTGTCATACTGGCGTCCGTGGACGATTTCTCTCCTTTTCAGTGGTCGTGGCCCGGGTAAGCAATGCACATCTATCTCTATCGCAGTTCGGAGCTTGAAACCATTGCGCTAATATACGTATACAAATATCCAGAAATCACCAGCCATTACATGGCTTGGCCGTACTTCTCAAAAACCTCGACCACGAGCCTCGCGGGCCTTTCGCAGATTCCTCACGCTCAGTTATTGATGAAGCATTCAGCCTTTGTTCCCCTGGAGGCGGTATCACCGGTACCTCGATAGATGCTCCATGGCCGACTTTGGAAGTCCCATTCAACCAGCCATCAGTTCAGCAGAAGCCACGACCACTGACTGAAAATGGTCAGAGGACATGGCAGTTTCTTTGGCAATGGCGGGCTCGCGTCTGGTCAAAGGCGGGGCTCGATCCAAATAATTGCATGACGCGCGAGCAAGCGATTAGTAGTGCGCAAGGCCATGCAAGAGAACTAGGAATTGTTGAAGAAGATGAAGATTGGCTCCTTTCATCGGTCAATTGGCATCCTCCTCCAGACTTCTTCGACTTCGGCTCGCAACCCGGCCTAGGTGAGTGGGATCAATGGGATATGCTTAACGACCCTGGGAAGCTTTTCGATCCAGACGTGCTCCCTGAGATGCAATTTTAGGTAAAGCAGCTTGCTGTAACTACACAGAATTTGAGTCACAGGCAGGTCGGCAATGTTCAAAAACCTAGAATCGGATATATATATATTTGAAAAGGCAAAGATCCCTTGAAGCAAAACACTTTATAATGAAAGCCTGCATTTAGCTGTTAACGCCTACGCAATACCATTCGTCTGCCCAGAAATCTGAGCTGCAGTTGCTGCCGTCGCTTCCCAAAATTGCATTCCATGCGTAGAGTTGGTCGGTCGATATACCATTATTTGTTGCAAACTCGTCACATGTGTCGCCACTTTGTGCTTCCGCAAATTTGTTGCAATTGCTTGCAATTCCGGATTGAGTCGGACCAGGGGCCGTCACGGACGTCGTAGATGTGGCGGCGGGAACATTAGACGGTATATTATTCGATGTAGTGGCCGCTCCACTGGCCACTCCCACACAGTAATACTCATTCGCCCAAAATTCTGACGCGCAATTCTCCCCATTGGATCCCAAAACGCTGTTCCATGCAAACAAATCTCCAGTGGAAATGCTATTTGCAGCAGCAAAACTACCGCACGTGTCTCCCGTTTGCGCCTCAGCGTACTTATCACAGTCTGGAGCAATCCCGGTTTGAACCGAACCAGCGGGCGTTGTCGCTGATTCATTTGGGTCAGAGTCTGTAGTCGTCGCCTCTCCGCCTGTTGTTGTCGCTGGTGCTGGTTGAGTTTTTGTCGTCGCAGCAGAACTTGATACTCCTATACAATAATATTCTCCAGCTTGAAATTGCAGACTGCAATTTGCGCCGTTTGCACCAAGTATGGCATTCCATTCGTATAGCTCATCGGGAGTGATGCCGTGCGCTGTTGCAAAGTCATAGCAATCATCCCCGGCTTGGGCTTGTGCCCAGTCGTTACAGTTTGATGCTATTCCGGACTGTGTCGCCGTAGGTGCAGAGACTGCTCCGCTGATTTTTGTAGTCGAGGTGCTGTTCGATGCGCTTGTCGGCGTGACGACGCCCCCTGGGCCGCCTCTTTGTTGGTTTCCAGCATCGGCGCCGGTGCCGAGTAGCGGCGGAGGAAGGCTGTAGGTACCTCCGGGAGCACTGAAGATCGGAACGGTCAGCTGGGCTAGGGACGTTGGGCGTTGCTAATGCCAAGGTTCAGAAACTTACCCTATACAAACGAGCTGACCGGGCGTAGGACTGTCGCAGAGTCCAAGTATGTTCGGATTCCATTTTAGGAATTGAACTGTAGAGACGTTTCCCGGAACACTTTGGGCGAGGGCGTCGCTGAAGCCTCAGGAGTTAGCAAAGAATGAATGGTATCTGAGAAGCCTTTTATGGCGTACCATGTAGTTCCCTCTGGCACCTGTTTCAAGGTGCAAGAGGACGGAAAACAGGTGGAAGCTGAAATAACACATGTGTCGCTCCCAGTAATTGCTTGAAGATCCCCGGTTGTAATACCGTATGTTGTTGACAGTCCGTCGCAACTAGAAGACGTCTGGCGCATCCTAAGGGATTCCCCACGAATGTGTGGGTTGGCCTTGTGTGATCTCTTTTGAAACCCTCCTACCAGCTGGCCCATACAGGTTTGATTTGCTGATGAGGCTGCAAGGGTAGTCGTTGGACCTGTTCCGTTACCAAGGTATACCGAACTGACTGGCGGTGCGGGAGGATATGTTGGCAATTCGCGGACTGTAATATCTGGTATGGTTGCATTGCACACGTCCGCGATATCTTGTAATTGATCTACAAGATAGTCCGAATAATCGCTGTCTGGTAGATATTGAGACGTTACTCGAGTATATAACATTTGAATGAAGCAGTAATCACAAAGCTAATGTGTCATTAGTAACTGATCAACGGCGCCTTCTGGATATTGCGTGCACTTACGGTATCATCGTCATAAAGGTCTGCCATCCTTTGGTCCTCTAGATTAAGGCTGGAACTGTTTCCTGAGCATGCCGTAACTGAGGAATTGGTGCCACAACTAGGGCGATAAATATCTGACCCTGTCCAGTTTTGCGATTCGGTAAGACACCAGGCGTCAGACACCCTACGGAGAAGAGCTTCCAATCAGTAAACTAATACATCATATCGAAAGGTATACAAGAAATAGGGGAAGGTATAACGTACGTTGAGCCCAAGCATGCATATCTCATTCCGTCAACGAACCTCCCGGAAATCGTTTGTGGGGGTATGAGTTTTCCATACGATGAGAAATATTGACCATCGCATGTGGCACCAACGTTGAGATCCCACAACGTTGCCTCCCATGTGCAATTAGCGCTGCAAAGCGTCGTGATATTATCGTCTTGCCAGTAGTAATTGTCCACTGAACCAACCATTTGGAAAAGAGTTTGGTCGCATGCTTCCACCGTCTGATTGCTATTGAAGAAGAATGAACGAGTTAGAATGATTTTCAACCAGTAACCCCCAATTTTACATAAATATGATCTCGAAGTCAATTAAGACCACTTACAGTGCTTGCAGACAGTCCGTGGTAACGTTGTAAGCTTTTGCTAGCTTGTCAGGATCCACTGGAGGGTACAAAACAAATGCAATGGCAGGCTGAAGGAACAATAGCCAGATAAAAGATGCTGGCAGTAATTGCGACATGATACTATCATTTAGAAAACAATCATCGATCAAAAAAAAAATTAGAACGAATGAAACAACAAACAACAAACTCATTCGTAAATATGTTCTTTAGCAGCCATGAACGAAGAAGGAGCCAGTTCTGATGAAGACATCTCGAAATTCGACCCTTCGAATATCCTGTACCAACGGCTCATACACCTTGAATTTCCCGCGCCTTATTTGCTCCTTGCACATGGCTTTGTGGACGATGCCGAATATCATTGCCGTGCATTTAGGCTTTGTCACTGGAGAAACGAGGGACAATGCTAAGAAAATCATAAAAGGGGCTGGGAAGGGGCCTCGGATGGCATGATTTTTTCGTGTCACGTTAACAGACTTTTTCCACTGACAATTCTTCAGGGCAGGTCTTGTCTGTGCCGTTCTTTTGCAGTTAGGGGGAAGGATCGGCTGACACAGCCACCGTTGATATGAACGATAATATGCCACCGTTAAGAATTGCGGGATGTCATTCAAGGGATGAGGCGCTAAAGTTTGATGGATGATAGGTAAAGCCGACAACTAACGCTAGGGCGGTCCAATCAGCATTATCTAGTTAAGCGCTCGTCAATTAGTTGGCGGATCCCATGTCTTTACTTGGGAACTCCTTGCAACCTCTTCCTCGCCTCACGATTTACCTGTGCCGTTACCCCTCACTAGAGATTCAACATTGCGCATAGCTCAACGAGTGACCTCACAAAATAAGCATCCCAATTTACAGTGCCCGTCTTGAAGGGAGTCAATGACCCGCAGTGGTGGTTACTCTATTGCTGGTTCTCTTTCACTTTGACGCGGTTGCCCCTTGCTTGATTGGTTATCCTTCTGCCCTTCCGTACGACACGGCAAATGGAGCGATTTGCAGGCACCATGTTGAGGCTGCAGGATCAGGCTCCAGCGAGGCTGAAGAAAATGTTGTTGCTATACAGAGTATCAAGGAGACGCCTGAGTTTCCCGCGAGATTATGGTTCTTAGCCCCTAGACTGATTTACCGGCGGGTCTGCGTGAGGACCTAATTATTCTCTTCTAATTTGCTTTTCCTTGATGCTTTTCTTTTTGGAAATGCTTCACAAGCTACTGCCTTCTTGATATTGAATGAGATAGTCGTGTTCGTTCAGTTCAGTCTTTGTATTTTCTGAAAAGCAATTGCGGGATTCGATGAATTTATGGCCGTCCCAGGCAAACACGCAGCAAGCTTTCATATAGATCAATTATGCATCCGCGGCTTGTGCCACTCTTTTTAACTTTTTTGGTTTGGAAACTGCTTCAAGTACAAGCAGGATCATCGAACGATGACGAGCAGGCTCTTTGGTCTGAACTTCGTGAGCTAGACTTGTTTTCTCTCCAACCGCGTGGGTTGCCTACAGGCACCTGCAATTCGAACACTCCCTGCGAAAATGCGGCATGTTGTGGTGGCGGAAACAATAATCTGTGCGGATATAGTCCGTCAGAATGCGGTGCTGGAAACTGCACATCCAATTGTGACGCCAAAGCCGAGTGTGGTGTGTTTGGCGCAGAAGGCAGTCAAAATTGTCCGCTGAATGTTTGCTGCTCCAAATATGGGTATGTCACCTTACTGTTTGCAGCTTTAAAGATTGCAACCTTACACCGGTATGGCTGCTAATAAGATACCGTTATTAAGCTTTTGCGGATCGACCCCAGATTTCTGTGACGCAGGCTGTCAAGCAGGCTATGGAGGCTGTGGATCAGTCAATCGACCATCTTGCGGTGGCGGAGGCAGTGTGTCCACGCGCACGATTGGCTATTATGAATCGTGGGCAAATGCCCGCACTTGCCAAAGCGTTTCCCCCGAAGATCTCAACCTTAACGGCTTTACCCATATCAATTTTGCCTTTGCTTTCTTCGACCCTCAGAGCTTCCAAATTGCTCCCATGGATGGCAATAGTGCATCTCTTTACAGCAGGTTCACGGGCTTGAAGAATTCCAATAGCGGGCTACAAACCTGGATTTCTGTCGGCGGTTGGTCATTTACAGATCCTGGGCCTACGAGAACTGCGTTTAGCGATATGGTCAGCAGTTCTGGAAACAGGCAGCAGTTTATCAACTCGCTCATCAAGTTCATGGACACGTATGGATTTGATGGAGTGGACCTTGACTGGGAATACCCTCAAGCTGATGATCGCGGAGGTGCCCCTGCTGATAAGGAGAACTATGTGACTCTTGTGCAGGAATTGAGGAATGCCATTGGTTCGAAATACGGCATTTCAATGACATTACCCACCTCTTATTGGTATCTACAGCATTTTGACGTCGAAGAGATTCAGAAATCGTTAGATTGGTTCAATCTCATGGCGTACGACTGTAAGTATCATTTGGAGAATGAGCCCGTGCTTTTTTTTTTTTTTTTCCCCGAGACTTCCTCGGTTGTTGACTATAATTTACAATGGCTCTTTACAAGTCTGCCACTGTTTTTACGATGATGCTAATCTTTCACAGTGCACGGCGTTTGGGATGCCGACTCAAAATTTGTCGGACCATACATTGCGCCGCATACGAACATTACCGAAATAGACCTTGCGCTTGACCTTTTATGGCGCGCAGGTGTGAGTCCTGATAAAGTCGTCATGGGCGAAGGATGGGTATGCATTGTTTTCCAGCACACATTCGTCTTATGTTGACATGTTTTCTTTAGTACGGGCGAAGCTTTACATTGAAAGATCCCTCCTGTAATACACCGAATGGGGTCTGTGAATTTACTGGTGGTGCTAATCCTGGTCCTTGTTCCGATGCTTCCGGAATCTTGACCCTTGAAGAGATCAACAATATCATATCCGATAACAGCCTGACGCCAGTTTGGGACAAAGAAGCTGCCGTAAAATGGATCACATGGGACAGCAACCAATGGGTTTCTTATGACGATGACGATACATTTCAACAAAAGCGTGACTTTGCCAACTCACGCTGCTTGGGCGGACTAATGGTCTGTAAATAACCTCTCCTTGTCTTCCATACATTTTTCTCACTCCTTTTTGTTTCTGTGAAAATAGGTATGGGCAATGGATCAAGTCGACCAAAAAGCCGACAACGGTCTTGCGCCAGCAGAAGGCATTACCACCAGCACGCAGCAAGATGCACAGCAAATGAGTCTCAATCTGCAGGCCGGTATCACATGCTACACCACAGAATGCGGCGGGACTTGCAAAAAAGGAACAAATGCAGTGGCACAGATGAATGGGCAGCCGGGCCAACTGTCCACAAATTCGAGATGCGACAAAAATGTGTATCGTACTTTGTGCTGCGATGACGGTACATTCATGGGGACCTGCCAGTGGCGCGGATACCGGGGCCTTGGTCTCTCGTGTATCAGCGGATGTGCGGATGGTGAGACGGAGGTGGTCAAAGACACCAACTATCATGATAAGAGTGGAGACCGGACCTGCACAGGCGGGCTCCAAAGTTATTGCTGCAAGGGTTTTAAATCTGCACCTATGAATGGAAAAGAAGATCAACTCAAACAGGACGTCGTCGACGGGGCAAAGGCAGCTGCAGAAGCAGCTGCAGAAAATGTCGCACTTGATCTCGCTGCAAAGGCGTTTTGCAGAGTAGCAGTTCCGGCTCTACTTGCTCCACTTGAAGCACTTGAGGACTTAATCCCCATTATTGGTATGTCTTTTTTCTTTCTTCGGTTATAAGCCCTTCGTCTCCATTAACCTATCAGAAGCTAATCAATCTGGGTCTTATTATTTAAACAGGGGAAATTCTTGACATTGCTGAAATAGCAGCGACGCCTGAATTGATCAATCTCTGCGTTAAGGGCGTAGAAAAGGAAGGCAAAGCTGAATTCAAAGTCTTTGGGAAAGAACACACACTTTCCTATCTCGAGCCTACAGAGAAACCATCTCTGACAAGGCCTCCAGAAAAGTCGCATACCCCAGCGAAGACGTCCGAAGACACATGCGAGACACCCGAGAAGGTCCGCAGAGCGGGAGAGGGCGACGGATGCCGCAAAAGAAAGCGTCGATCAAAAACTGTAACCACTACCACCTCAGTCAGCGATGTCCCCGGAAGAGTCCAGCCCATTCAATGCATGGCAGAAAAGATTCAGCAGCCCTGTCTACACTATAATTCTGTTATCAAGCATCATCCTGAGATGAAATCCGTCACATGCCCTTACAGTAGTCAGGTTAGCCCGGATCGTCCATACGTGGCCAAGTACAACGACGAACATAACACTGCGTGGACGTCCAAAATACCAAATGCAGCTAGGTGCGAACGAGACGAATGGCCTCCTGCCAAATTTATTTCCATCAATGATGGTTATAAAAACTTGCAAGGTCATGGGGTCAGGCCAGAAATTCCCGAGCAACAATACATTCGACTCCTTGACGGCGGTTCAAACGGCGCCGCAGGACAGCTGTTCAGGGGGTGTCCAAAAGTTGCGCCGTCGCAGCTCGTGGACGAAGTAACCAGTGTGGAAGAAAGAGGCGGGGGCATTGACACGGTCTGGGTCAAGGTGAAAGCAGTGTTTACTCGACCTGTGTTTACGATTGATTTTCCGGGTATAACAGATCCAGATGGCGTGGATGGGCTGCAGATCAACGAGTGTCAGCCTGTTCAGCAAGGGGTCAATCACATGGGGTTTGCACTGCTCAATGAAGATCCGTTCTTTTTGGACCACCCTGATGCAGCTGCATTGACCCCGCTATATGATCAGAGCCCAAATTTCAGGAAACGCCGAGGTCTCGGAGGGCTGGTGCCGGATCAGATAGCTGTTGTGGAAGCTAATTCAAGCCGCAAGGCCACGGATGAAGAATTGCTGCACAACTTCGGACTGATAAAGTGCCATGATGGCGACTGCTCGCAAGAATTGGCAGGATTGGGGATCGAGTCTGCAATGACCTTCGAATCGTCACGGACACAGCCAGCTGATGTCAAGGCGACGATTACTACTAGGTCTGCTAGAAGAGCAGATGAACAGCTATCAAAATTACGTAACCATGGATTGCCGCATGGTGACATTCCGCAAAAGACTGAGGCACCAGAGATGGCACTTCTTATGGCATCGTTGCCAAAATAGCCCTTTTAGTTTGGACTTCCTCTTGTTTTTTTTTATAATACCTCGTGGTTGAGAATATAAAGCGTAAGTCTGATTGCAAGATTTTTTTTGCATATAAATTTATTTAAAGGACAGGAAATTTGATTTCGAAGTTTGCTAGAATTAAAGCGCTAAGTGGGATGCTATTTGGATTCCAATCTCTGAATATTCTTTGGATGATCACGCGCCATTTTGAGCTTCCCGATATCTCCTATGGCGTTCCTCTTCCCACTTAATAAGAGCCTGTTTGCATTCATCTCTCCGAAATGAGTTTGGCCAACCATGTGCTCGAAAGATTTCTCTCATTTCCTAGATTTGCTGTCTTAGCCATTCATTTTCCTAAAAATAGCACCGGCCTTGCGATCAAAGGTAACGTGCACAACAAAATTAAAGATGCATCACTGTATAGGAATGTACGTACCTCTCTCTGACGCGTCTCTTCGGACTGGCGCCGGTCATCTCCCCACCAAATATACGGCCACCCATTCAGCGGCGAAGCCATCCATTCCAGCGTGGCAAACTTTTGCTTCCATCTATCCAATATATCCGACAACCTGAGCGTCTCGTCGTGGCATTGATCTCGCCAGCTTCGCGGATCGCCTGGGGGGTATGTAGGATCGTAGGTATAGCCCATAATCTCGTACGGCGTTATTGTCCCTATCGAGTATTCATATCAATATCGTAAGCCAATTGTCACGGTATCCCGTATTTTCTTTCTCCCTGCCCCATCCCATCCAAATACCCCCAAGCTATCCTTTCCTCCATCTTCTCCGGGAACGAAAGGAAAATGAAAAAAATAAAAAATAAATTTAAAAAGAGAGTGAGGAGATTTAATGAAACTGAAACTGAAACTGAAACTGAACTAGAAATAGAAGTAGAGGGGGAAAAGCCTTACCATCAACCGTATCAAGCATCAAATAAACACCCGTGTTCTTCCCGTTCGTCAACCCAATCACGTTCGGGGGAAACGTCGCTCCCACAGGTGTCGCGAAAGAGCCCACTTTCTTGGCTACGCTTGACTTGAACCATTTACCTCGATAATCCGCAGCATGCACGTCGAGTGAAACAAGGAAGTCGTGGTTGTCGGTATTAATATACGGCAAGTGACGCAGCAACTCGATCACCGTGTCAGTGCGGCCCAAGTAGCCCAGCGTTTCCTGGTTGATCTCCGGCCACCCCCCTGGAGGAGGGTACATGATATCGGACGGGTCGACGTATGGAAGACGACTTAGGAATTGGTAGTATGCTGTCATGGTGGCGATGATTTCGTCCTGGTTGTACGACGTGCGGAAGTTGACGCGGGGGTCTATTGGGGCCATTTTGAAGCGTTGTTGGAGATTGGTTTTGGTTTTCGTATTTTTGTGTTTCTTTGTTTTAACGTTTTTTATATTTTTCTCTCTGGGTCTATGAATCCCTTGGATTTTCCAAGTTTTTTTTTTTTTTTTTGTTTTTAACGAAAGAGTGATTGAGACCCCGCTGATGTGCTGTGCTGTGCTGTGATGGGATGTAGAGAATAACAATAAAGAATAAGAGAAACAAGCAACTAGGGCGCTCAATATTGTCTCGCGGCACGACAAGGACGAAAGGTTAACTTGACGAGATGGTTCTGGGTGATTGATTGAGAAGGGAGTATACGCTGTTGGGTATATGGGTATGTGTATTCGAAAAGAGCACAGCAGAAGAGAAAGAAGCAAGACTGAAAGGCTAGACGGCTGGTGGGCGGCAGAAGAAGAAGTCGTCGTAAGAATAATGTAAGGGGGTTTATATACACTGCATGGACCCGGTGTCTGTTTATGCTTTTACAACGGGGGACAAACCGGTGCGGGGGAGGCGTTAATTGAACAAAAAGGTCAAGTTATTATAAGTATATCTAGGCAGAAGGAGGTTAAAGTATAATATTTATAGCGAGGAGTGCCGCCGTGCCGCCGTGCCGTAATGCTGTAGTGTCGCGGCGCCGGGCGGCGCATAAGCTTGGCAACGGCGCAGAAATGGCACAGAAGGGGCACAGGAACGCCGATGTCGATACAGTATGCAAGGACAAATGCTCTTTTTATACTTTTGTGCAAGTAATATTCCAGAGTTTCATAATGGTTTCATATATATCTTATGCCATGGTAAAATTATGCAAGGTCTCTCAAGTCACACCACCATAACGAAGTTAAATTGTAGAGAGGGAGAAAAAGAGGTAATTTGATACGAGTATAAATGGTTGGTCATCGTACAGTTATACCCCACAAACAGTGAGTGGAGACATAGACTGGGCATAACTATAACTTAGTGGGGCGACGAGATCTGGAACCGCCGGGTATTTTAACCAGTTAAAGCTATATCCCCGCCTGACCTTGGCGGCTGCTTATTCTCCACGGATCCGCTATCATACTACAACGACACTGGATATTGCCCGAATTTCATCATATTGATGCTGCTGCGTGTGGTGCTACAACAAGCTGTACGCTGATCGTCCCTTACATATGCAATAAGTGATCCTGATCGACCGGTAAATCAGTTACACATTAGACTTCAAGTCCCATAAAAACGATCCTTGAGCGCCAGAGGGCTAGGAGACAGAATATATATTTCCATCTTATTCCCCCAAGATGCCTCTTAAAGAAGCCCAAGAGCACATACCGGGTAGTGAAGCATACAAATTTACCTTACTACTCCATCCCTCCTCTCCAAAAAATAAAAACAAAAATAAATAAAACAAGGCCGAGAACCAAAGATTCCCATCCAAGAGAACATAAAATGGGCAACACCACTGCCACTGTCCCCGTACGATTCGAATTCTACATTCTACGCTCCAACACCAAGCTCGAGTTCGTGCACCAATTCCCCAAACATTTCGTCGGTGTCGGGGATCCTTATGGCCAAAGCACCGATCTTTACGGTCAAACAAGTACTACGAACAACACTACATACGTCCAAGAGTTTCAAAAAGCAGCATATGCGATTCTGAGAGAACACAAGGACGAGCTCCCTCCGACGTCGGATCCAGCATGTGAATTCTGTGGCGGGCCCACGCAGAAAGTGGTCCATTTGCTCTCGTGGCTTTATAACATCGCGGATCCGTTCATCGTGGCGTGGATCCCGAATGCGTGCGAGAAGAGAGAATGCGTTTCTAGGGCCCACGCGCAGATGCAGGCCAAAGTCGGACAACGGGACGTCTATGCGCGTCTGTTTCGGGAAACAGATTGGAAGACACGGTCGAATAGAGGGTGCTGTGCGGCGTGTGGAACTACGAAGGCGACGAAAAGGTGTGCGCGGTGTAAAAGGGTGTGGTATTGTAGTAGGGTGCATCAGAAGGTAGATTGGAAGAGGCATAGAGAGATTTGTCAGGTCGGTTGAGTGCGGAACTGTTTTTTTTATTTGAAGTGGCTTGGTTTTTTCTATTCGTAGGGGAGGTAATAAGACTAATGTGAGACTTTGTGGCATTGAAACACCGTTTTAATCTAGTTCTCAGGGAATAAAGAATTAATAGGTTACAGGTGGTCCTACACTTATTATCGACCGGTCATGAACTATATGCCTGGCTACTGAGTGCATCAGTGTCTTGAGAGTCTCACAGTGTCAGCAGTCTATGAGTTTGCAAATTGATAAGATAGATTTCATATATGTACAAGATGTGTGATCCTTTAGACGCCGTGCGGCCACGTAGCAACGCCTTTACCCGGCCCAGATATATTGCAAGTGTACACGGTGTGTGCAAATGGAATGATGAAAGGTACAAAAAATTCAAGTCCGTCTTCTCCTCGGATCCGTTGCCTCTTGCCGTCTCCACTCGCGCAGTTCGCGGGTACTCATCGAACCCATGCCTCCTTCTGAGCGACGCTCCCAGCCACCGAGTCGAATGACAATACAAGTGGCATTGTCACCAACCTCGCCGACTTCTGTTGCAAAGCTGACGACACTTGCTGCGCCCTGATCTGGGGTCTTTGCTTCTTTGATGATATCCACAATTTCCTGATCGCTGAGCTCGCCACTGATTCCATCAGACATGAGGACGAGAAAGGAGTATTCTGCTGGTCCCATTTCAAGACGTCTCACTTCTGGCTCAGCCGATACGCCGATTCTTTTGGACTGCATGTCGCCAAAGGAACGTGTATTTGCGAGACCACTAATGCGTTCCTCGCCAAAAGAATCGGTCACAAATGTAGCAGCATATCTTCGAAGACGGGCCCCTTCGCCTGGTGACGCAGGATGATGATCAATCGTCATGGGCACCGCAGCCCCCGATTCAGTCGCGCAAAGGAGAATTCGGCAGTCGCCGACATGTGCCGTGAGCAAGGTTGAAGACGATCGTGGATGCCAGAATGGTGTTGGGGTCGGGGTGGAAATCATGGCCACGCTGCCTGTGCTTCCACCCTTGAAGCGAGTAGGCCCGCCAATCTCAAGCCGAGACTTGCCTGGCTCGCCGAGAACTTCAGCTTCGTTGAGCGCCCGCTCCAGAAATATGTTGTCCTCGTCGGCTTTGCGTGCCTGGGCAAGAATAAAATCTAGGTCGGCTTTGAGAAACGCATACATGAGAACAGTCTCAATACCAACATCTAGCTCGCCTGCCGCAGCTTGTCCAATGGCGGTGCTATCGTCGGTCGCATCGTCGACCGAGTATCGCTTGGTGTTGCTTAGAGGAGAAAAGTATTGTGGCTTGAAACGTCGAAAGTAGCCGCCCACTGTCTCTTTCCATTGATGAACCATTGCCCGTTGAAGGCTCAAGACGTTTGGAGGTTTTGCAGTTCCGCTGCTGTGGTGTGTGACGGAACTGCTTGATCCGGCAGTGGAGAGGAGTTGGCCATCACTGTAGGAGGTACTCGCGCTCATTGTCACTGACATTGTCTCTGCGTTTGCTGTCGATGTCGGTCTTAGACTTGACTCTAGTCGAAATAACCTCGCCGTTTCCTCAATGTATGAATGTAGACTGTCTCTGAGAAACTCGCTGCATTCTTTCCCGCCATGCCCGTCAAATACGCCATAGTAAAAGACCTGAGGGTCTCCGCTTGCCGTTTCGGCTCCAACACCCTCACCTGGAGTGGCCCTGTTCCGCGCTAGCGTAACTGACAGAGGCTGCCTTTTCGCAAAAGCCGGAATGTCAATAACACCAGCCTGATATGTATCCTCGTTGTATGGTCTCGTACCGCGCGAAACCGATGCGCCAAAATGGTGCTTTGCGCTCCGCAAAGGAATTCGCACGACGGTCATTTCTCGCGCAAGACCAATTGCTGGTGCGGCTGCAGCAGGAGCAGGGCCCGGCCCTGGTCCTGGTGTATGAGGGGTTGATGCGGAGCGAGGGAGCTTATGATGAAGAGCCGCTGGAGGTCTCGAATCTGGGTGCATGGAAGACGACGGGAGATGTGTAACAAAATAATCGTGAAAGCCCTTTCGCTGGCCATGTCTGGAATGACTGCATTCATCTGATCTCACTCCTGACCTGCCTTTCAGTGCCTGGTTCGGCGACAGAGACCTGTGACCTTGAGAAGGTTTTGGGCGATAACATCTCCTCTGTGATTCGCATTTTGGGTGGCTCAACGACGGTCCTTTGAGTTTGCGAGACCTCGATAGTCCTGCATAAGCGCCAATGAACTCTAACATGGATCATACTGTTAGTGAGACTATTGAAAAGGGTAGCACTGTTCACGGGTATCCATTACCATAGGTGTCGCCAAGCGTCCAACCTCTCCCGATTGCAGAGAGAGATAGACCGCACGGTCGTATGCGAACCATTCTTCTTGTTTGAAAGTTGATATCTTGATCTTCGTCACAACATCACTGAAAGAGGAAGCAACAGCATTGCGACGCTGGGAACTTAAGAAGTGATGGGAGGTGAAAGCAGGGTCCGATGCAGCCGAGCATGTTTTCTGGGGGCGATCCAGGCCGGGGGTGTCGGCTTTCTCCACTACAGTTCCTGAGTCCCGCCTAGATGACCTCGCTTGGATCCTCCTCCACATTTTGCCCTATTACAACAGTTGGTTTTCAAATAGATTAATTGCATATCTTCAATCACAAGAACTTGCGTACGGATCAATGGAAAAGACATTATTGTTTGAGGAAGAATAGGCTAATTTGGGTTTTATGCCGATTGATTGCCAGGCAAGTGAAGCCGACAATGACGTGCGTGGTGGGGGCAAATCTGGAAAAAGGAAAACACGGAACGGTCGAGCTTCAAAACCATGTGGACCTACTACGTAGGCAATCGAGAAGCCGGTAGAGCATGGCGCAGAAAAGAAATGATATATGCTAGAGAGGGGATTTCGTCTATATGACCCGTTGTCGAAGAGGCAATTATTTTCATTCCCTATTTCCAGCTTTGCCCTGCCCTGGTCTAAATTATTACATAGATTATTCCACCCTTGTATACAAGAGTGACGAATGTGTGATGACAAGGAAACGAATGAGATGAAATGAAACCAGAGAAAAAGAAAGGGCTGCCTTCACGCCAAATGCCTTGCATGAACCAACAGTCAGGTGATTAGTAGATAAGTCGAAATGAAGGTATGTGAATGTACGTGTACGCGGGTACCATATTAAGCTTCGCAAGATTGCGATGAAGACATTGATAATACAACTGCATTAAATCGATGATGAAAAGTTCATCTACCGTCCCACTGCAGCTACGGCAGCTTTGGCAGCTTTTTCTTCAGCAGTCTCCTCGGCCAAGACTTGAGCACCGCCTCGCTCTCGGTCCTGAAGCACTTGCTCGCGCGAGCCGACTGCTTGCTTGGTTGCCTTGCCTTCAGGAACCAAAGGCAAGACGCCATTTTGCTGTGCGAGATGCGTCGCCTTCTTGATTTCATCTTTGTAAATGCCGTCGGACTCTTTTTGGCTGGCATCAGGACTGGAGTGGGAAATGGGGTTAATCTTGTTCTCCTGGCGGGCATTGTCCTGGTTGACCTTGGTCTGAGCGGCAAGACGAGAGCGCTCGTAGCGGGCGGAAACGTCGCCGCCTGTCCACTGAGTCCCGAGCAGCCGGTCCCAGAAGGTGAAGAATGGCTGAGAGAAGTTGGTCTGTTGGATAATTAGCGAGGCTGTGGAAAGGAGAATTTCGCCGTGGACGAAATAAAAGGGTCACTTTGGGATACTTTACCTTGATACCCCAGCTTTGGTGGTGAATGTCGTGGTAGCCGGCGTTGTTGGAAGTCAGGAACTGCAATGGATCCCAAGGCAAGGCATATCCGCAATGGTCGTCAATGGTTTTGATGGTTGAGCCAGTGAAAAACCACATTCCTTGGCGAGTTGTCATATTCACGACCTTGTAGGCAATACCGGTTCCAAGTGTGTCCAAGAGGAAACCCTCCAGAGGGTGGTTGTAAAGAGCTCCATAGGCGTACGGAACGTATAGACGGTGGTGACGAGAATGGAAGTGAGCTGAAGAGGCGCAATTAGCATCTGTAAGCGTAGAAGAGGATGACAGGTGGCTTACAGTAGAGCCATGGGTTGGTGTGCATGATTCGGTGCAACCAGTATTGCCAAGTATCGATGATGAGGGCACCAAAGAAGAACTGCAGAGCCGGGATTCCCACCCAGTAGATAGCCTTTGCGACAGTCAACTCCCAGTTTGCAAACGCCGGCACAACAGCTTCTTCTCCAGTAGCCATCATGATGGTCTGAGTCAAGGACGGATAATTGCCGCCTGACAGGGCGCCTGCGAGGATCGGATGGGCGGCGCCCAGCTTGCTAGCTGAGCCAAGGGCATCAACTCCGAATAGAGACAACAGATTAGGGATCAATCTCTGGGCTCCTCGAAGTCTTCTCGCCCACACTGCAATGTCGTAGTCCTCCTTGCCGAAAACATCGTCTGGTTCTACCGCTGCCATCGCTATCCCAAAAGCCGTCTGGACAACTTGTTGCAGCAAAACATCGCGGAGCACCTCCCATCTAGTTGCATGATTGCGCTTGAGAACTTCAGCAGGCGTATGTAGTCGATACTTGGAGAGATAGTCGTTCACGTCGATAAAGTGCCATGTCAGAGAGACGATCCAGTAAGCGGCGACCGGGAGAATCAGAATCAAGAGCTTGTCGGGAATAGAAGGAATAAGGGGCGGGAGCGGCTTGAGGGTGTATTCCGGTAGAGGCGGAAACCCAAACGCTAATGTTGCATTCGACATTGTTGAATGGTGGTACTATAATGCCCTGCACTTCCGGCGTTGATGTCAATCAACTCAGGGTCTGTAATCAGGGGACGTAAAAATGTCTCGATGATCGGGCGTGCGGAACAACGGCCACGCGGCCAAAGACAGGTCGTCAGCACTGACGCCAAACCTGTTTGTCTCGAGTGCAAATAAACAAAAAATAAAAAAGGCGCGAAAAGAGAGTAAGAATGGGGAGTTGAGATGGAGAGAAAAGACGTCGGTGGACAGGGCGGCGATTATCTACGGTATAAGATTACATTAGTGCGACTGGAAACGGAGCAAATGGGTTAGAGGATTCGCCGATGATGGGCTGTGGCGTCGCGTGTCAGGCCTGGGGGTGGAAATGAGAGTTTTTGGAAATGGGCTGAGCAAAAAGCTCACGCAACTTCTTGCATTGGTACAAATTTTGTATGATGAGATTTGGAGAGAGATGCTCCTATTATGATTTATTTCCATGCTTCATATATTTTTGTTTTGGTTTCTCATTCGACTCAAAAATTCTCATAAATCGACAGGCAGGCGAAGGCATGATCCCTAATCCGGAATATCAAAGTTCCGAAGCGATTCCGGCGCAAACATGTCCGATTTATCTGATCATCTAATCAAAAGATCTCATCTCTGGAGCCGGCCATTCCTCTTTAGCTTAGGGGACGGAAAGGGGCAATCAACTCCAAAAGCAGCACGAACAGAAACCTAAGCCATCACCAGGTGTCAGGAGATTGCATTCCTAAATGTAGCCTGACCACTCAAGAAAACAGAAATGGTGAAATCTCTATCGTGCATAAATGGAAGCTTAGTTGAACATGAGCCTGCTCTCAGCAATGCTCATATGTCGTGGCTTTGTGTGAGATTAGCTGGTATTGGACAACGTATTGATGGTTTAATTGCCCCATGACAGTCAACCCTGATTCACAGACTCCACTGAAAGAGTGTCTGAAACAGCTTTCAATTTTATGGCAAATTTATGACAACTCTGTACTCAAACCAGTCTTCGCAACATAACAAATGTTCGCTCATGCAAAGCTCCTCCCAGTAACTCCTTGCTGGCCAGAACGAGGAGAAAAGAGGGCCAATCTGGAAAGAGGAATCCTGCTACAATTATTGGTTCGCTTACATCGAACATCGCTTTTTCCCCGCCTAGACCTTTCAAAAGTTTCCCAAAGAAGACTAAACCGGGTACTCGCCCCCACCAGGGAAAAGAGTCCAACCAAATTCATCCCACTTTTTCTCTCCTCCTCTGGCTGCTGATCTCCGCTTCCTGGTCCCTTTTTTTCATCTTCATTCCTCCATCCACTCTTTTTCAGCTTTTTGCAGCTTCTTCTAATCCCCATTAACCGCCAAAATGATCATTTACAAGGTGAGTACGGGCTTTGATACCACAAAAAACTTCCATTCGGCTACAGCGAAATGTATTTGTACCCCTCAATTCTAACAGCTTCCTGAAAATAGGATATCCTTACCGGTGACGAGATCATCTCCGACTCGTACGACCTCAAGGAGGTTGACGGTGCTGTCTATGAGGTTGACTGCAAGAAGATCGTCAAGGGTGCTGAGTCTTTCGGTAAGAATCCCCGGATTCTTTTATTTTGGTTTTTACTTCATGCATTGCGGCTCGTAAACACTGGTTTTATGATCCCAAAAAAAAATCAAGGAACGTGTATTAACGTTTGGCCTTCTTTTTCTGCAGACATTGGTGCCAACCCCTCTGCCGAGGAGGGTGGTGATGATGTTGATGACCAGGCCCAGACCGTCATCGACGTTGTCGACGCTTTCCGTCTTCAGCCTGCTGAGTTCATGGCCGACAAGAAGTCCTACCTCAGCGCTCTCAAGGGCTACATGAAGAAGGTCAAGACGGCCCTTTCTGAGAAGGGCGCCAGCGAAGAGACCATCAAGGAGTTCGAGACCAAGGCCTCTGGCTATGCCAAGAAGATCCTTGGCAAGTTCAAGGACTACGAGTTCTATATGGGCGAGTCCATGGACCCCGATGGAATGTGCGTATCAATCTCTTTGTCTTTTTAATGGAACATATTGCTTACTAATGCCGTAGGATCGTCCTCCTTGACTACCGTGAGGACGGTATGACCCCCTACATTACCGTTTGGAAGCACGGTCTGGAGGAGATGAAGGTCTAAAATGGTTTCGATATCCTGCGGCGACCAGATTTGGTCGCTGACCGCATTGCATCATTGGTCGGTTAATGATATAACGATACATGGGTCCAGGCGCTTTTCGCCGCAAAATTCAATATATTCTCATTGTCTTTGAATTGAGCAGTTTTGAACACTTTTTTTCTTTCTGTGTTTTTGTTTGTGACGTTGAACCATGCAGTACATGTTGATGGTCAATATGAATCATGGCTACATTTCTAGACATTGTGAGCCAAACGAAAATCTATTATAACAGATTTTGGACATTGGAATTCTTATCATTGTTGCTCAGGCAAGTATTCTGTACGTAGAAAACATTAACTTATCATGGACTTTCCCAGTCGCTTACTAACGAGCGCGTTGTGACAGACCGCTTGACAGCTGCTCTTGCTCTCAAAGGTCGTTGATCATCACTTTGATTTGACCGAGAAATGAGTGATCCTGGCATTTGGAACTCAAAAATCATAAGCTCGTTGATAAGAACAAGGTCCAGTACATATTGATGTATTTCACAATGCAGTATCCTGAACGGGTTTCTGGGTTTGGCTTTGTTGATCGCCACTTGAACTTGGCCAATGGATGTCGCTACGACTCGGCACGTGGTGGCGGCAACTCCGCAATTGCCATAGCTTTTGCGGAGAGTGTTCAACCATCCAACAACAGGAACCATGGTAAATATCCGCAACCTGCATGCTTATGCACTGTGCTCTACCACTGAGCAATTCTCGGAACCATGACGTGCGGGCGCGTCGTAATTGCAGCGTGCCAATTGGTCAATGAACCATAAGAGATGCTGTTGATGATGACGACGGTGTTCTTGGAAAGCTGCATTTTACAAGAAGAATGAAAAGAAGAGTTTCAGGGGTACGTCGAATATATAGTCTGTCATATCTTTCAAAATTCAGAATTGGATTCCCTTTTTTTTGCTACTTTACTCCTTTCTTGCCTGAGGAGAAGTCTACTTTTTCTTTGTTGCAATTTGATGTGTTGAGCGCTGTCATTTTCTGCCACGATGCTCTACCTATTGAGCACCCTCACGCTGGCTGCGGCTGCGTCGGCATCATTCGTTGGAAATTTGAATTACCGGAGCCCTTCTTTGCATCATCCTGAGCTTGGAGTGTCACTCCGAAAGGTGCACAAGCGCAACAACGCTGCCAGCGGTTTCAGTCCCTCTCAACTTAATTTTACCCACGGGGTTGCATCTGGTGATCCGTACCCCGACTCTATTATTCTATGGACCCGCATTGCCCCAACTAGTGATAATGATCGATCAAATATTACCGTTTCTGGCGCTGTTCCCATGTACAATCATGACACGGAGGAATATGTTTCAGTCTCCACAGCCCCAATCTGTGTCAACTACAAAGTCGCTTCAGACAAAGCTCTGTCCTCTGTAGTCTCTACCGGCACTGCGTGGACGAGTTCGGACATTGACTACACTGTCAAGGTTGGATTGTCCTCTTATGAATCCATTCAAGCTTCAATTATAATTAACCTGATCCAATAGGTTGAAGCTGACAAGCTTGCGCCGTTCACCACCTACTACTACCAATTCAACGTATGCAATTCAAACAATACCAGTCCCATTGGTCGAGCAAAGACCACACCTGCGGCAGATGACACTGTTAGCTCAATTGGCCTCGCAGTGTACTCTTGCAGTAACTTTCCCTACGGCTACTTTAACGCGTACGGCAACCCCGTGCGCAAGGACTCTGTCGATTATGTCGTGCACCTTGGCGACTACATTTACGAGAGCAAAGGCAGCTACGGAGCACCAATTGGTCGCCTTCCTCTGCCAGACAAGGAGATTTACTCTCTCTATGACTACCGGAAGAGAATCGCCACGTACCGGACAGATCTCGACTTGTTGGCTTCTGCAGCGAGCTTCTCATGGATTTCTGTCTGGGATGACCACGGTAAGTCTTCGAGGTATTGGTTTGATCCTGTTTTGACTTTCTTGCAGAAGTTGCGGATAATACATGGCGTGACAGCTCTTCGCGCCTCAATAACACTGAGCAATCGTTTGTCATGGACGGTGGCGTCAGCGTCGAGCAGCGCAAGATGAATGCCGTTCGTGCGTACTTTGAATGGATGCCAATTCGGTAAGTTACGCAATGTGTTTCAGCCTTTTGGTACTTGGGGACGAGTTGGCCAGTCAGCCAATTTTCTCTAGAGTCTGAATGCTGTCAAGCGGGATATTTGACACTGACGATAATAGACAAGTCGAAATGGACGACAATTTGCGCATCTGGCGTAACTTTTCCATTGGGTCTCTGCTCGACCTGATTATGCTGGATACGCGGCAGTATGACCGGTCCATTACTGATCTGTACTGGAATACGGACTATGTGCACCAGATCTCCAATGACGCTGGACGTACTCTAATGGGTGAGTTTCTGTGCTCATAATCTGCTGGCTTCTCAGTTGCGTCTTCAAAATGCTGATGCCTGGGTTATAGGTTCCCGACAAGAAAATTGGTTCTACAACCAGCTCTCTGCGTCTGCTGCACGCAAGGCTGCTTGGCGCGTCATTGGCAACCAGATTGGTATGTCTGTAAACCTTTGCTCCCTGTTCTTTGTCACCTGATCTGTCCATTGGTTTGCCTTCTCCCTTCTACACTTCATGGTCTTCAATCCTCGACGCACTTCCCTTTTTTATATATACACAAAAGCCCGAGCTCATGGTCGACAGTCTTCTCCCGCATGAACGAGTCCGTGGCATACGGGAATGAGAACCCCCTCGACTACGACGCCTGGGACGGATACCAGGCCAGCCGTAACCGGACGTTGCAGCACCTGTATACTCAGAACATTAGCAACACTGTCTTTTTGTCCGGAGACAGTCACATGTCGTATGTCCAGTCTTTATTGAGTTCCTGTATTCCCAATTTCTCTCCACCAGATAATCGCATATTTTCTCCACCTCCCTTATTCCACTTTTCTCCCACGGCTAACAATATAGATGGGTGTCCGACCTCGTGTGGCTCGACGAGCACCCGTACGACCCCGTCACCGGGGCGGGCTCAATCGGCGTCGAATTCGCCGGAACCGCAGTGACTTCCCCGTGCCCGTACGGCCAGAACATTGCCCTCGACAAGGCCAACAACGCCAGCCGTGCCCTTGTCCAAGCTAACCGCGAACTGCAATGGCAGGATGTGTATTACCGGGTGGGTTCACTTCCACTTCCTCACTTTCTCTTCTGTCCTCATTTCTCCCTTTAATCCTCACTTTTTTCGTCTCTTGTCCTCGGCTCATTGATTCTTGTCAACTTCAACTTTGCCCTCTAAACAATATTCTTCCTCCCGCAATCAACCCAAGCAATACCAATTTCTGACAATAAATAACAAAACCGGTTACAATACTGACTGTGACAAGGGCTACTTTGAACTGCACATTTCCTACTCCAACATCAGCGCCTCATTCTTTGGCATGCCCAACATCACGCACCGCAACCCGCTGGAAATCCCACTGGCCTCATTCAGCGTGCAGTCTGGCGAGAACAGACTGTCTCGTCCCGTCGCGGGCGGGAGCGTCGAGAGCGGCGCGCTCAAGTACGGACAGACCGTGCAGACGAATGTGACTGTGGATACCAGTGCCGCTCGCTCTGGGAATAATTCTCGTCTTGCTCTGTGATCATGTCTATTTATCCAGTCTGTGAGAGTCTGAGAGAGAGAGAGAGAGGTGGGGAAAGAGAGGCGCAGGGGGCGGGAGGAGTAGAAGGTAGGGAGGAGGGAGACATATAATCTATCAATACTTTACTCATCAACTATATCAATCTACCTGGTATATACAGACACAGCGCCCGTCACTTATCACTTGGAACTTTTAACTTGTAACTTGTTGACTTGTCAACTGACTCTACTACAGCTCACTCCACTTTGTAGTTTCAACGCTCAGCACTCAATACTGTTTGTCTAACAATATCCAATATCCAATATCCAATATCTCATCTTCAAAGTTCAACGTTCAATGTTTGACCTTTCATGTTTCATATTTGATATTTTACAAGGCACCCAGCCTCGCAGCTTATACCTATAACTCCTCGATATACTAACCTCCAACTCTAACCTCCAACTCTAACATCTAACCTCTATAGCTTACCTCTAGCTCTAATCAAATCTCCAACTCTTGGCTCTACCTTATGTCTGTAGTCAAAGTAAGATTTGGGTAATAGTAAGAAAAACAGTCAACTACAATAAAATTCTTGTCAAAAAGATATACCCTAATTAAAGTACTAGGTACTAGCTACTAGAGAATATATAGGTAAATGGTGACAACACAATGGTGACAATGCAATGGTAAAATAAGCAGGATATATAGACACAGGCACAGACACAATCACATGGGCACACGAGCAGCCGAGGGTTTTGAAAAAAAAAGTGTCTACTAAATCTGATCTGCTCCAAGCTAGAAGATATAAATGTGAGATGATTGATATATCATGTATGATGTATCAAGCAAGCAACCACATTGTGCGCGGGAACCTACAAAGGAGAGGGAACGTGGAAGGAAATAACCACGAGACCCGGAACAGAGTCAGGAGACGATGAAGATATAATCACGACCCCCACAGACAAAAGGTAGAAAAATAGATATAATAGTAATAATAATGATAATAATATAGAGAGCGAGAGAAAGTGGGTATAAAACACAGGCAAACAGAAGATATCCCAGAAAAGAAAAGAAAAGGAAAAACCGAACAGAAAAGCAAAAGCAAACAGATTAAAAGACGGTAAACTCCAATAGCACCGTTGAGTTATCAGATAACCTCCACGCTATGCAACGAACACCTACACCTATTCCTTCCACGCATGTGTGATCGTAAGAATATGATTCGGATAAAAAACGCCATTGACTCTCCCCATTAGAAATGCTTTGGCATGACATAACATGTTACGCCGCGGTATATAGCACCACGCCTGGCATGTGGTATGGAAAAAGATAGACCCAGATACTGGATTCAAGTCCGATAGGAACGACAGAATCGACAGGAACGAAGGACGACAGGACAGGAAATGACAGGACAGGACAGGATTTAAAAGGTACTCCAGTTCCAGTCGCGGGGCACGCTGGCCGAGACGCTGCCGTACTTTTGCGTGGCTTCAAAGTCGCCCAGATCGGTACGACCGCCGACTACGGCGGCCGCCGCCGCGCCGTGGCCCTGTCGACCGAGCATGTTGGCGAGGGCGGCACGGTGGCCGATGCCCGAGGTAGGGATTTCGCTGGGAACACCATGGGATCTTCCCAACGACGACGACGACTCGGACGACTCGCTGTTGCTGCGGCTGCAGCGGGCAGTCTCCCAGCGGCCGTATTCCTGCCAGCAATTGTCGCAAGCGCGCGAGCGGATGCCGTCCGGGTGGAAGCGGGCATACTGGTCCAAGGGAATGGTATAGGGCGAGTGGTTGGAGCAGAAAATGTTGCCGCAGCGCCGACAGTGGTGACGGCGGCCAAAGAGCGTAAAGGGTTTATGACATGACGCCGCGTCGCAGCTGGGTGCTGATGCGTCGGGCTATATAGTCTTGTTAGTATTATACAGTGATGAAACAGTATTATAGAGTTGATGGAATATTATGCTAGAGATATGGGGACATAGGTGTTGTTAAATGGGAAATAAAAGAGTGGGTGGATGCAAGGGTTGGGGGTAGCGATAGCCGATCGATCAGGCAAATGGCGTGCGAGTGATCAGGTATGATGAGGTTCGCATATCCGCAGTGTCGGTCGCGTGGACTCTGGGGACCCAAAGACGCAATTCGCGAGGGGTATGGCGAACCACCGTCATACATAAGGCAGGGGAATCCCATCGGAAAATAAAGACGAACACGAACAACAACGGGAAAAATAACATGATTTTTTTTATGACGACAGGGAACAAACAAACGAAGGGGAAAAGATGAACGGGATGAACGAGATGAGCTTACCTTCCAGTGTTCGCGGGTGGGGAGGCCGGTGACTTCGCCAAAGGCCATGTCGTTGAGTCGCTCGTCTTCGAAGATGCTGCGCTTGGTTTGCGCCAAGTCGCTGAAGCTTCGCGTCAGAGGGGCACGCTTGGCGGCCGCCTCGCCGTTGAGGCTGTCGGTGCTGCTGTGCTTGCTGTGCGGTGGAGTCAAGGGGTGCTGGTACTGGTACTGTTGCTGCTGCTGCTGCTGCTGAGGCTGCTGTGGCGGCGATCGTCCACCCTGTCGCCGCATGGTGGGCTTCTCGGTCGGTCGCAACACGGCAGGAACATAGAGAGGCGACTTCAAGGGCCGCAACTGGCGCGAGTGCGCATGAAGATTGTGGAGGGTATTATTTGAAGCGCGAGGAGACGTTGGAGAAATGTTGGTCGGCGACATGAAGCCGGTCTGCGCGCTACGAGGTGAGATTTGTTGCGGCTGGTAGTAGACGCCGGCATGCTGCTGCACGCCCGTGTATACAGGAGCGATTGAGATTTCCGCAGTCATCTTTGTGTTTCTCTACGAGAGTAGTCTTGTGGTCGTGACAGTTCGTAAATGCGTGTAGAGGATGTGATTTTGGTTGAATGAGGACGACACCGAGTGTAGAGGATCTAGTGTATCCAATACCCTTGGTAGATTCAGGTTGAAATCTAGATGTGGTGAAGATGTGTAGAGATCTTGTATGTTTCCTCTCTGCTGATGCTGACAGAGAACAGATGTCGCGTGAGAATGCGAGGATGTGTAAAAGTGAAAAAGGATGATAAGGATGGTGAAGACGACGTCAGAATACAGAAGATCTCAGATGAGCGTCAAGGGGGTGGCGTGTCCGATATGATGTCGATCTGTGTCGTGTGTGTGAAGATGCAAAAAAAGGGGCAGGAATTATTGAAAACCAGAATGTCAATGAGGGCAAGAGAGGAGAGAGAGGAGAGAGTAAAAAGGTGGGAGGTCAGAGGGTCAAAAGTGTTTGGTCGACGATAGTTATTACGAATAGTAACGTGGGATCGGCCTTGGTAGCCCTGGGGGGGTGGAGGGGAGGGGGGTGGGTGGTGGGTGAGGGTGGAGAGGAGAGTTTCCCAAGGGGCAAAACGTTCACGATGGATGATGGACAGGGGAAGAGAAACGACGATCCCGGGGAGGAGTAGAGAGTAGAGGAGAGTAGAGTAGAGTACTCCGTAGAGAAGATTTAGAGAGAGAACTGGGAGGCGGAGGAAGAAAGAGACACATGCAAAAGGACGTTGAAGAGGAGGTAGTAGAGTAGTAGTAGAGTTCTACTAAATCAGATAGTGGCATCAACCAAAAGTTTGCTATCAGCCATCAAACTAATTATTACTTTTGTCGCCTTCTCATTCGACCAGTCCAGACGACGGCGTTGGCCAGAAGAAGTTTAAGACCGAGTTAGTTAGTACGGTAAGTAAATAACGTGCAGTGATAAGTCCGCAGGGTAAGGGTTACGATACGAGATGCCCATGGTACTTGTCGCTACTTGCACTTCCCATCAAATGCCGTTTCGCTTAATTTACTCTGTAGACACATTTAGATCCATCTCACAGTGATAACTACCACTATTACGCTACATCAAGTTTTAGCTGGAAACTAACGCTTCGCTCGCTACCAAACCCATCTCATCACTGACTCCACTGGCAAGCTCCGTTAAGAGTCCAGACATGCCATCACCACCATATCTTTCCTTGACAAGCAACCGCTCGTCTGCCCATTTACCACACGGAGTACAGTGATCTTTGATAAAGGCTTTGCTTCATGTCGACAAAAAGGTAAATTGTCCCTCAGTATTACATTGTACCGTTGGTCCCTGTTGATCCGTAGCTGAGGCCTCGTCACTGACCGCCAAATACAGTTTCTGGCGTCGACGATCCGAGGATCCTGATGATCCCAGATGATCACCACGCGGCTTGAACCTTGTCTTGGTACTCGTAGTCCTTGACACACTGACCTCCCCGTTCATTGTAGTATGTATGTTCACCCATTTACTCTTTCTATCAAATCAGATCCAGTACAATATCTATGCACGTCTTTGCTTGATCCAATGCATGAAGCTGCATATCATACGGCGTACAACATACAGTGTACACTACAATAATAATATGATATTTTTACCTATAGAAGAATCAGCGGTGAGTACTAGACATAGCCATCCTGCCATCCTCACCTTTACCTACCTACCTACCTACCTACCTACCTACATTCTTACACCGGGTGGTGTAAGAGTACGCATGTACACTGCAGTACCGTGAAAGGAGATATTGTTTAGACGTCCTGTCATTGGTCGAATAACTCTTATCTCTCCGGCCCTTCCCCGGCCCGAGAAGGACGTCTTGGCGCACGACATCTTTCCCTTTTCTGCATAACCACATGCAGTTCCTTATCATCGTTTGTTGATTGGCTACCGTTTCCGCCTCAATCCCATGGTAGTGTTGCGGTACCTCGGTACAGGCATCTACAGTAGTCCTAGGCAGTCCTAGGCATTTCTTACTAGAGTATCTCCGTAGGCATCTTAGCGATCTTAGTACCGTAGCCGACTCCACCAACCCACTTTACTCACTTGCTCACTTGCTCACTTGTTTGGTTTCCTCTCGTTGCCCTGGTTGGTTCCCTCCAGGCCTCGTTTCCTCATCGCCAGGTTCGCTCGCTCGAGGAATCGTCTAGACTCTGGCAACTCCCGCTACTTGCTACAGTAGTCCGTCAGTTATGATAGCTTACTGCGTAATCTGTATCCTGCAAACATGTCAGTACGTCTGCGGCATCGGCATGAAATCATCCACTGTCTCGTCTATAACAGATTACAGCATTCAGGGTCTCGTACTCTGTACGCTTCGTAGGACTACCTACCTAGGTAGTATTACCGGACTCGTACAAAACCGGATTCCGGAGACCCGGAGACCGGAGAATCGGAGAATCTCTCCTCCTGACGTATTCGTACCAGTAATACCGTACTCGCGTGACACCAGGTCCAAGCTCCTCTCTCCTCGCTCTGAACCCTTGTTACGTCGTTGTCGTACCTGCGTAGTTTTTACCGCTCGGAGTCTTCTCGGACATCATCTCACTACACGATACCGTTGTAATCCCAGATCCTTGGTTCCTGGCCGACAAGCCTACCATGATCGTCAGGCAATCCGACGCTTGCGATTTTCCTGGCATCGACGGCGTCGATGCTCAAAAGGGGTGATTTGCGCCGGTTCTTCTACTAACATACTCCGTACGAGTACAGGCTTCTGGCTCCGCTCCAGGCCCTCGAGCCCAAGCACCAAGCACCAGGGGCACTGGCACCAGGGCGCCGATGAACCGTTGATCCGGGACATGGGTCCAGGGTCAGATTCAGATCCAAGTGTTTTTGAATTTCTTTTGTCAGTGCCTATTGTTACTTTTGTCAATGCCGACTTTTGTCAGTGTGCCCGGCCGGCCCGAGACAACAGTGTTTACAATGTCCAGAAGCAATATAGATGCTTCGGGCTCGGGCATTGCGGTTAGTAATTGTCAGGAATAAGGAGTACAGGAATAATTACTCCGTACTTTTCCAACAAGCTCTTTGCTCCGCGTCTGTCGCGTTTTGATTATCAATATTCAATGAGTTTTTGAATTTATTATGGTCAAACTACGGATTATCTATGGTATCATCTATGTATCTATGACGTCGATGCTAATAGCTGTCATCAAGGAAATATGCGAAAAGAAAAATGCTCGCAGACAGACATCTAACAAATCTAGAGGAGAATATCCATCTCTAAACGAAGAAATCAAGCAACAAATATGACAAAACAAAAGAGCAAAGGATCAAAAGAGCAAGAATCAAATCTAATCTACATGCAGGTCAATCCTCTTTATTATAATCCTCCTCCTTGTCCTCGTCTTTTCCAGGCCACAAGACCAGTCCAAGCCAGACGGCACGAATATGGCACACCCCGACAAAGAGCCACACGGCGACCTGAATCACCGTGAAGACGCTGGTGACCCAGAGCACGCCCTCACTATGTAACTGGCGGCCAATATTGATCGTGGCCAGGATGAATCCCGTATTGGGAAAAACCATGCTCCACCACGTGAGATGGAAGCTGAGCCGGGGCACACACACGAGGACGCTGACGAGGGAGGTGCAAAAGAACCAGAAGCTGAGCGCCCACAAGAAGATGCTCGCAAACACGGCCACCACGACCAGCACCTCGGCCGTCGGCACGGCCTTGACCTCGCCAATATAATGCTCTGGAAACCGCTGGAGCGCGCCATTCGCCATGCCGATGAGCGCAATGGCCGTAAACGACGGCGGGCCCACGGAGATGAACATGCCCGGGCGCGTGGCAGGCTCTGGCAAGCCCGCTGTCAACAGCCTGCCGAAATAATTCGCATACATGAGCATCGACACGAGAAAACCCAAGCCCTGGAACGTCGTGCCCGCGACAATAATCGGGATAGCGTGCTCTCGCGGCTGGCTGCTGGAAATGACCGACGCAATGGTCCCCGACAGCATGACGGGGAAAATGGGCAGGATCCACGACGGCGCAAACGACTGCAGCGTGATATGTGTCGCCGTGAACAGGTACCAGTACTGGAAGATCCCGACCAGCGCGGTGCACGCCACGTAGATCCAGAACAGCACGCGCTGCGCGACAATCAGCCAGGGCCCACATGCCGGGACCCCGTACAGTTGAATGTCGCTGATGATGGTCGCGATGGAGAGCCAGAAGCATCCAAAGAAGAGCGACTCGGTCGGGTGCTGGAATGATTGTTTCAGCGCTTTGGGAACCAGCCAGAACCGCAGGCACATGCCCCCGCTGATGCCGCAGAACAGGACCAAGTCGAAGATGAAGACGATCTTGCCTATCGTTTCTAGGCCCCGGAATTGATGCGGCGTTTGGCGCAGCAGTAGTGCGATTCCCCCGGCGCTCATGGTCGTCGTGTACCATGCCCATGTCATGTGTCGCATGCGTTCCAGTATCGAGACGTGTTGGTGCGAGCCTGCTGGGCCGTCCCTTTTACCCGCTGTCTCTTCTCCTCCTCCTCCGCCTTCTTCGGGATCATGTTTGTAGTCTCCGTCGGAGTATGGCTCCCCTCGACCTGATTCCAAGTCGTGGTGGCTTTGGTCCATGTTGACCATTCGCTGGTTCGATGCCGTAGACATGTCCCTCGTGCTCCTTTTCCTCCTCAAAGTTCCCGTGCTTGTCCGCCTGTCTGTCTATCTGTCCGTCTAGCTGTCTATCCGTCTGTCCGTCTATCCAATGTATGCGACGATCGTCTATGCGACTATGCACTATGCACTATGCGCGTTGACGTTGACGTTGACGTACGACGTATGTATCTCCAACAAAAAGCCAATCGCTTTCACAGAAGATATAAAGAAACCCTCGCCACCTCTCGTCTTCTCGTCTTCTCGTCTTCTCGTCTCATTCAAACCTTTTCCCAGGACATGTAGCACAAGCTCAAACTCAACAGACAAATTGACGATCGACAGTCGCATGCAATAATATAGAATAACGTTACAATGACGGAGAGTCCTTCGCCCCGGAAAGCCCGGAGAGTACGGAAGTATAATTCACACTACGCCTGCTTTTGTCGCGGAATTACCGTGTAGGGTAGAGTGCCTCGTTCCCCTGTTCCCCGGAAGGCAACAAGGCTAGGTACTCCGTACCGTGTAAAGTAAAGCAATGAGTACGGAGTATGAAGTCATCTTTTTTCTTACGTACAAGGTGATTTACTGTGCCGCGATCAGGGCCAACGGGCTGTAGGTTGCAATCTGCGGTTGCGGGTTGCGGGTTGCGGGTTGGCCGTTGTGCGTTGTGGGTTGCAACTTGCGGGATGTGGGTTTGCATGATGATGACATCATACCCATCATACTGTACCCATTACTGTCGTTGTCATTGCCCGACAGGCCAACATCCCTACACGGCGCATTGATACCACCGAGCACCGAGCACCGAGCATCCAGCATCCAGCAAGCCAGCACATGGGCTTCAGAGCGAGGGAGCATAAAGACGAAACGAGCGAATGAGCATAAATACAGAGTATAGAGTGTATCTTCATTAAGTTACAGAGTACAGAGTACGGATACCAACAAGCGAATGATAAGGCAAGGTATGTAATATGGAGTATGTAGTGATGCAGTGTACCTCAGTGATAGTCTAAACCATAAGTCCGATATATCCGACAGACGTTCCGCAGCAGCACCGCATGCGTCAAGTCGTACACAAGTACGGAGTAGCCGATAACGATTTGACAGGGGGAACGACCTAATATTTTTCCTCGAAAAAGATGAGAAAGTCTGGATAACGAAGCAGTAGCGCTGGAGAAGAGATAAATATATTCTGTGAACATATAAATAAATGAATAAAAAAAAAAGACTATAAGAAAAATGAGGGAGAAGAAAGGGAAGAGAAAAAGGGAAGAAAAATAAGAAAAATCAGTATCAGATTATACTTCTTGACCCGCGCTCATACTCGTGATTTATCCTCAAGTCCCGAGCCCCGAATCCCGAGCCCGACTGATCTGGCTATGGTATCCAAGGTACTTTGTATGATAATTATATCAAAGATGACATCGGAATAGATACAAAATGTGCAGATGCAATGTCTGTAGCAAAAGAAGATTCATGACCCCATCGTTCTAGTCGCTCTCTGGATCCGTTGTACACGGGGGATGAATTTTGACTTTTGAAGTTTTGAGAATCTGCAGAACGGCAGAGGATTGTTGTCTCGTGATACACGTATGTCTAAACTCATAGATTGTTCTGTTACGTTTTCCCGGTGTACGAAGTAGACTGTGCTCCTGGTATATATTTTCAACTTTCAGGGTTCCTCGAGTTTTTCGCAAGGGGCTTGCATGTGTTCGATGTTCGGTTGACTGAGCTGTCGTAATTCTAGCCAACCACCCTTCACCTCAAAGCAATCTCGTAGTTTCTTCCAAACGTCTGACGCTTCGGGGGTAGACGAATTGGTAGATCTGAAAGGTTTGCAGTGCCAATATCAAGACTAAAACGGGGATCTCGATGAAAGCGAACTTGCAAATATACCTATACCTCTAAAAGGTCACGAATATTCTCAATGACACTGTAAAAAAGCTTGACTAGGATGCTGGCGTGATTGGCCAACCTCCCAACCGCAGTCTCACAAGCTCCGCAAGGCAGGTCGACCCATCTTTTTCCACCACTGAATCGTCCATGTCCCGCCATATCCGAAAGAGATATTTGCCCGCATCACTTTGCTTCAGAATGAGGCAAATGGCCCTGTGAAATGCTAGCAGTTTCGGGTGCGGAGGATCCATGGTGCGTTTCGGGCAAAGTTGCAGTGTCCGAAATACAGGAAGAAGCTTAAATTTTAAAATTGGGTGCTCTGTCGAGTCAATCTTATAACGATGAGGCTGTTCAGTGGCTTCAAAGTATATCTCGAATTCGCCAAACCTTCTGTGATATTTATGAGCGAGCGTGAGCGCGTTGAGAGGACTATCGATTTTATGCCCTTTGACCAGCATCGCCGCCAGAGGTTCAAACATGCCTAGGATATTCAGCACAGTTTTCTTCGACTCATCCTAAGTCCAATGTCAGGAGAAATGGCTGAGGAATCTAGGATTTGGTTGGACATACAATCACGGATTCTGATTCTGATTCAGAGACGGAGTACAAATAATGAGGTACAATGTGAGCGACTTCCAATTCCTCAAGGTCGAGAGATCCTCTGGCATGCAATTCTCGCAAAAGGTTTCCATCGTCATCTCGACAGTTTTCCCCATCTTCTTCGCTACGTTTCTTGGCTTCATTGTAGTCAAACGTTAGGGAAATGCAACATCGATGATGATCGCGGATTAAGCATTCCTTTCTTAGCTTCGACACCCGTTCCGAGATATCGGCTGTAGACGAAGGTTGCATAGACGATATCTCTGCAGGGGTGGGTTGTGGAGTTTTCAGCGTAGAAGCTCGTACTAGAAAACCAAAGTCAATGGTGACCATCGACTCACGAGAAGAATTGAATCGACTTACAGGGTATAAAAAAACTGTCCATCAGAAATTCAGCAAAATTTTCAACCAGGTCTACAACATCCCTTTTTCTCATATCATCCCACAAAGGAAAATCACGGAAAAATAAGACAGCAGGAGAGATGCCTGACGTTATAACATCCAGCTTTTCGCCCGAAATGGCGCCATAGATGTGAAATAAAAACAATTTGAGAAACTTGTCTTTTGCTTGAACGTGCTTGAAGGTATCCTGGATTAAGACTGCGGGTTTGTAATTGTTCCGACATTTGCGCTCAAGACCATAACGCTGGAGCAACTCGTTTAGGAAATTTTCTGCTGTTTCACGAACCTGCGGCAGCAGTGCCACAGATTGAGCATATTCCATTTCAACAAGATCTTCCACAATAGGACCTCACAGCCAGGTGTTCGATGTAAGGATTTGAACAAGTTGTACGTAGATTTCTAGTTCGAAAAGAAACGTGGCCTGCTACCTAGTAGGCGATTTTCTGGGGTACCGGCGGGCTATATAAGTATTAATCCCAAAGCGGAGTGAAGGCATCATGTCGATCAAACTATTGAGGGAATGTCTAGATTCAAGAGAAGGTAGAGGGAATAGTAGAATAACATGTGTGAATCATCAAAAGTTAAGGCATTGTATCAAGGTAAGTTACGGGATTGTGACTAAAACCGCATGGTTTGCAGGGACCGGAATAACCGACGTGGGGGACGATCCGGAGTCAAGCGAAGCCCTCGGAACAGCGGGAACTATTCCCTGTTTCCCAACTCGGGCTAGGAATAGGATATACTAGACTAGACTTGATGCTGCTTTAGCAAGACAGATACCGTATCATTCAGTTTCTTGGCAAGTTGACATTCTCGTGAGATTGATTAGAGGAATATAAATATCATTACTTTTCAATTCGATGCCCGACTTATAAGTATAAGCAAACCCGGAAAACTATTAAACGCCTGTAGCGCTCTTTTCCTGTCCATTTTGCTCTTCTTCATTCATAACGTATTACCCATTGAAACAATAGACATGAGGAGGACAAAAGTAATCGGCAATCATCTGCCGGCGGCTTCTGCGCCCCAGACTGGACCCGATGCTAGACCAAGCCCGCCCAGAGCAAAGAGCGTCCATGCAACTGCGCCAGACTCTAGGTCGGTAGAAGTGTCCTCTGCACCAGTGCGAAGGAGGAGAGACGACGCTTCCTTCTCCGTGGCAGTGTACGCTTCGTCGTCCTCGGAAGAGGAGAGCAGATCGTCTTGTTCGGGAGCTGCGCTTTGGCTTTGACTCTGTTTACTGCGGCCCTGACGAGCTTTACCGCGGGTGCGTTGTGCGGGGCTGGACTGCGATCTGGTAGCCGAGGAGGAGGAAGCTTGTGCTTCTTCAGATTTATGGATACCCAGCTTTTCAGCGAGGTGGCCAACTTGTTGCCGCTCGTATTCGATAAAACGTCCGACTTGTTCGCGTTCCTTTTCAATCAAGTTGCCAAGCTGCTCGCGCTCCTTTTCAATGAAATTACCAACTCGTTCTCGTTCGGCTTCGACAGCTTCCGCCACATGTTCTCTCGCCCGTTCAACTTCGGCAAACACGCGCTTCCTGATTCTTGACATTCCGATACTGTCGAAGAGAGTCGGTAGAAGGTCAAGACCACGAACAGCTGCCCAGACGGTCAATGTGACTCCACTAAGGAGGACGTCCCATCCCATCACACTGACGGCAGGATGATCATTCAGTCCGCGGATAATGTTGCCAGCGGTTGACTTGCTGTGATCGAATTTTGATTCATTTGGGGCAGGATGTCCTTGCAAGCGGGCTTGCGCTGCGTCAAAGAGGTAGTACACGCTGTGCCGATGGGAAGGGTTGCTTCCAGAATTGTTGTCGATGATGGCCGACACTGTAGCCTTGGCGTGGAGAAGAAACGAAATCGCAGAGATGAAGCCAAAAACACGCAGATAAGCGCGGTGAGACTCGTGTAAGGATGCATGTGTTGTGCCCCATTTCTCAGGCGCGAACGCGTGGATTAGTGGCGGAAGGTAGGCCAGGATCAAGGGAATGAAAAGGACAGTCTTGAAAGACGGAGTGTTCGGAGCATAGTAGAGGAGAAAAATTGATACGTAGGATATTGCGAGCGGAACAAGGTGTAAGGCTGGGTGCGCAGTCCAGAGAGGAGACTTTTCTGGCGTCAGTCTGCGGACCCGGTCACGGAGGCGGTCCCATCGAGTGTGCACGGCGTTTTCTACCCTGGCTGCCCCAGTTACAAGCTCATTTCTCAGTTCGCTAGATTTGGTCTTGGACCTGGTGCGTTTATGCGAACGGGCCTGAGATTTTGTTTTGGAAGAGCTGGGAGAGAAGAGGTGGTGGTGATGTGCGTGTTCTCCTTCAGGATCGAGGGGAACCGAGGTCAGTAATATTGCAATGTTGAAGAGATTTTGGGCAAACGAGAGTCCGACGAATTGGCTGAGAAGGATGAATGCCCAGAGATGTGGAAGTCGGCGTCGTTGGCCTTGAAGTGTTTGGTCAGCTTGATCTATCACATATAGGATTCATGAAAAGTAATAAAGGCTAAGTACGATCAAAGAAGTTGCGTAAATAGCGTAAACAAGGATAATAGCATAAGAAAACGAGAAATATGCTTGATACTCACCTTCAATGGCTACAAAGACACCCCACGCTGCTGCTCCAAGAAACGCCTGCTGCGTCCACCAGAACCTCCGACTCGTCTCAGTCGTCAACTCCCAAAATTCAGTGATGAGGTCCGTTTCTCTCCACCATCTTCCCAATTGGAGGTCCACTGCCTTTTCCTCTTCGCCTGCAAAGAAAACGCCTGCTTCTCCCCACAGATGCCTTGGCACGACTTCACCCCGCTGCAAAGCCCATACACGGTACGACAACAAGAACGCACCAAACACGTAGTAGCCTGTGACAACCAGACTGAGAGCCGCCAGTGCTGCAAAGATAGCTACATGCTTGCGACGATGGGACTGTCTGCTACGCGTTGCTTGCGAGGGAGGTAAGGCGCGAGAGGCGCGGTAGAGTGTGCGGACCACCAAGACAGTGACGTGTGCGGCAACGAGCCCGTACGCCGTCAAGAATGCGAGAGGACGAGCATTGGAATTGGACAGGTCTGGTTCAATTGGAGCCATGGTCAACTTTTTTTGTAACGGCACTTGGCTTCTGACAGGGTGGAGTTGACGCGTGACAAAGTCGCGTTAATGAAGAAAGAAGGAAGGAAGAGAAAGGAAGAAGCGGTCTGGCTCTGATTGTTTGGTAACAACACGACCAAACGGTGCAGAGAAGCGATGGCGCGAGACTGAAGAGTGAATATGATCCGACGACCGGCAACTCCGACTGTGAATATGCAGGGCTGTTTTTGAAACGTGGGTGAGAATAAATCTGTAGGGGCAAAGGAGGATTCTCCGAGTCAATGGGAGAGATCTTCGGTGCAGTTGAGAATCTGGCTGAACTGCAAATGTATCACATCTTTCGATCGTCCCTGAGGCGCGCCCTTGCAGCGGATGTAGCTTGAGCTCCCCGTCGGTGGGGTCTGCCTGGAAGAGTTTCTATCCGTTGAGAGATCTCGACGGAGATCAAAAACCAATTGCGGCGTTAAGTAAACAATCTATGAACAAGTAGATTGTTTATGTCCAGGCGACTTGATGAAAGAAAGAGCATTGTACCGTAGCTAGAGTATAGAGGGGAGGAGACAGTCACGATGACATAGCCTGGTGTGTATATAGCAGAGTTAAACACTAGCGACACATCTATATTAATTCCACGATCAACATCCTCCCTCGCAGACCACGACATGAGACATGGCAACGAGGAATGCAGCGACAAGGGGCAAAATGAGTGATGTTGACCTTCATATTGAGATGGTGAGTCTATCCATGTTCGAGGATCTGCTCATCTCACATGCTTAGTTTCCTACATAGGACATCTTTTTATCTTCACCTGCAAATCAATTCAGTACACAGAACCAGCAGCACTCGAGACACCATCCCATCCCCAGATGACCCACCAGCACCACCAGCCCTTTGTTGCTCCAGCTGTTCTTCCGCCCTTCTGCCGTCTCCACTAAACTAACTCCCGCCATCTGCCAGACGCAAACCTCCGACTCTCCGACGACCTTTATCACTGTACGTCTCACTAACCCCCGTCAAAACGGTTAAGGCCAATTTTGCCGCAGCCTGCGTACGTAAGAACCGCAAAGGCCATCATTTGCATCTTGGGAGCGAGCCAAACCAAATAGACGCCCTTTATCGTCACCAACAACAAAGGATCAAGGATCCTTTAACCTTTTGCTTGGGACCATTCTCCCTCCGCCGACGTGCCATCGGTTTTTCTGGGAGAAAATGTATCATCTAGTCAAAGGATTATATAGATATGCAACTAGCAAAGAAGGTACGCTTTTTAGGTCTTGCGTCATCCCTCTGAAACCCGCGCGAAACCAAGTCCTGACAGAAAGGTATAAAACGCCAGAATATTCGGTGATTCTCCTGGGTCTTGACAATGCCGGAAAGACTACTCTGCTCGAACAAATAAAGGCGCACTTTTTAGAATCTCAGACGGAACCGCGACTCAAGACCGTCCCGACCGTTGGCCAAAATGTCGCAACCGTATCATTACCCGACATGTATCTCAAAATCTGGGACGTCGGGGGCCAGCACTCGCTCCGCAATCTATGGCAGTCGTACTATTCGTCTTGCCATGCGATAGTCTTTGTCATTGATAGCAGCGACGTGGGCGATGCGGACATCAACAAGCTCCGGAGTGAGCAAGGTATTGAAGCAGGACGGCTGGCCGAATGCAAGCTCGTGCTCGAGAGCGTATTACAAAATGAGGATGCGGAAGGTGTGCCGGTGCTTGTGCTGGCGAATAAGCAGGACCGCGAAGACTGCGTCGAAGTTGTCAAGATCAAAGAAGGCCTGGTACGGAAAGTGTTTGAAGGAGAAAAGGGCGTGAGTGTCAGGGATAGTCGCGTGCTGCCCATGAGTGCGCTGAATGGTGTCGGGGTGCGAGAAGCAGTTGAGTGGATCTGTTCAAGAGTCAAGTGGAACAAGGAGTCGAGGCCGCCAGTGATGCGATAGAGTTGTGGTTTGACTCAGAGCGGGGCTTTGGAAACCACCTGCTCTTCCTTTTTCTTTTTCTTTTGTCTTTCCTACCGGCATTTCATTTGTCTCTATTCCCGGTGTCGGCTTCATTCAGCTTTATAATCATGTTAAGATACCCCAGGTATAAATTCCATTTCTTCTTCTTCCTTATGATCATCGGGTCACTTGCATAGCATACATTTCCTTTTCCGCCCACACAACTCACACAATACCAATAACAACAGAAAATTTATTTCATTACAGAACTCAAACAAAACCGCTACCATACTCATAATATACATTTGGGGGGCGGAGGCACACACTACATATTCATCCAAACCCATCTCCTCACAGCCGACCACTCAGCCTATCCTCCACCAACTTCATCACGGGCTTCAAATTCCCCTTCTGGACCCTCTCCCACAACGACCCCTTACCCGACTTCCTGCCCAGCTCATCTTCCCGCCTGAACCATTCTTCCGCGCTCTTGATCCTGCTCGGGAAAATCTCATCGAGCAACGCATAGTCTCTCTGAATCACACCCACATTCCCGCCCGAGTATTTCCACATGTTCCAGAACCCCGTGAAATTGTCCTTGATCGACATTGTCGCCGCGTCCTCTGGGTCCGCATTATACCCTGTCCCGCGCGACGCTGATCCCGCCATGGGCCCACTGTCCCAGTACTCCTCCAGGCTGACATCAACATACCGCGCCGGATGGCCCGTCACTTTCTCAAACGCCCGCGCTAGGTCCGCATAGCGGATATGTTCAATAGCCACCTCGAGATCCATCCCGTGTGCTCGCTCGGGGTGGTCAAACAGCCACCGCACGTAGTAGCCGCAGTCGTCGAGCGCGACGTGCGGGACTGCGCCGTCGCCAAGAGGGACGCGCCATGTTACGATTGCGCTGTTGCCGTCGTCGTCTCCTTCTTCGATACTCGGCGTCATGGGCGTGTTGGCTCCAATGGTCATTTCAATATATGGTCCTGTCGTAAACGCCGCGACTCCCATGGTTCCCGCGCTGTTCGTGGAGCCGCTGCTACTCAACGTATTCGTATTCATCTTACCGTTATTGTCGTTATTGTTATTTTTGTTATTGTTGCCGTTCTTATTGTCGTTATTGTCTTTGTTGCTGCTGTTCTGCGCAAGGATAAACTCCGCCACGCGTCCTTTGCCATCATAATGTCCCGCCCGAAACAGGGGATTATATCCCGACTTTTTATACGCATAGTCCAAATTGGCGTACACATAAAACACAACGCCTGCCTCAATGGCAAGCTCGTAGCACCGAATTGCCCAGAAAATCTCGGCTTTCTCGCCGCAATTGAACCCGTCAATGTTGACAAACGCGCCGTCGCAGCCGTGGTAGGCGCGCCGCAGGTCGTGCTCGTTGGCAAATGTGCCTTCTACCAGTTCTACGTTTCCGAGAGACGCGAGATATTTGGCCCGCGCAGAGGCCACGTCCCGCGTGAGCACGCGGCAGGAGTATTTCTTGTCTTGCACAAGAGCTTGGATGATGGGCATGCCTTGGGCGCCGGTGCCCCCGATGACGAGGATTTTGGAAGCTTGCATTGCAGAAGAATGTGGGTTTGCAGTTTTTGTCTTTGTTTTTTTTATATTTGATTTATTTTTTTTTTATGACCTTGGGTCTTATCAAAGAGACTATGCCGTAGACAATGGGACATGATGCTTAATGACAATATATTTAAAAGCACAAATGTCTTAGTATGTCCGAATCAATACCCATTGACGCAGCGACAAGATTAGTGATGGGAGTCTAGAGTCTTTGATCTCTGATTACTTTGCCTCCGACTGTTTAGTCTTATGTTTTCCCCCGAAAATGTTGTATTATCTCGGACGCCAAGGCCGAAGTTTGTTGCATCGGGAGCCAGGACCTTCAAGATGGATTACTTGTGAAATCCGACCCAATGGTAAATTGAATTAGCTAGCTGCTATACATCGGAAAGATCATATTCTCCTGAATGCTGCTCAGCCAAACCCATTCCGTTGCACGGTCTCACCACATAGTTGTTTTGTTCGTAATGTGCATTGGTCAAAATGCTGCTATACTGAAGCGTCTAATACGGACCAAATCACTAATCTCTACTCCAACTGTCCGATATTTGACCATGCGTTGTTCGTTTATTGATGTGCTGTTACACGTTAGATCATCCAATAACCCCGAGCCCTTCATCCTCGGAGTAATCTTCTAAAATAAACCCCCCTCATCTTCCCAAATCTGACAATAAGTCCCAAGTAGCTAGTCAGGTGCATCCGTATGGAAAACCGGGGTTGATTATTCAACTGTTTACGGCCGTTAATAACCGCGGGTCCGCAACTCTGTGCATTGTGGACGCGGGTAGGAAAGAGTCCAAGGTAAGCTATTAATACTTGCCGTAGTTATACTTCGTAGTTCAAGGCACCTACCTACGAGTAGCTCGTCTCGCTTGTCGAATAAGTAACCTTAATTAATGTGCGTTGGTGCTTACTGGGGATGTAGCTGGGATTAGGTTCGGCGTGCGGGCCGGCGGGCCTGCTCACGGAGATGTTTTGTCACTAGACTCGCGACGGACGGTTGTGACTTGTCGGTCCCGTCGGAGTCGGAGAGTTGACTGAACAAAATATCATCAGGCCATACATTTCTTTGCCACTGAGCATAAACGAAGGCCACAGGGTCCTGGTTCAAAAATAAAAATAAAAAAAATAAAAAAAGAAAAGAGAAAAAGAAAAGAAAATTTACAGGCATTTACACATTTTAATGTCGGATTTTTAAAACAAGAGACCGAAGAAAAAAGAATACCATTCTATTCCAAATAAAAACCAACATTTTGAGATTGGAGACGGGCCTGGATTCGATATAAATCCAAGCATTGATTATTCCTAGCTACATTCTCGTCACCCTGAACTAATGGTCAAGTTGGTCAATAAAGGTAGTAAGCTAAGTAATTATCCAACAGGGAGTAACTATAAACTTGCTAATTCCAAACAATAGCAGATTGGTAAACAGTAATAGGGAGAAAGGCACACATTAAATCATCAATCATTATTAAAATTGCTGGAAAGAGATGCAATGGGGAAACGCAGTCAAATCTCTACTCCTTTCCAAGGAGTACCAGATAGTGGTCGACAATACTAGTTATTTGATCCACATAGCCTTTGAACGTGATTCCAAACGTCTTCTCCGTATGGCTAGGATCAAACCGGATCGGATTGGTCGACGTAGACTTGCCATCAACCTTCAAGATGCCCTCCGATACTTGCTTCGGGTAGTACCTTTTGACAATATCAAAAGCTGCGGCCCAAGTAGTGCCTTCAATCGCTTGCGAGGTAGCAAGGTAGCACTGATTTCCAGGGATGCGAGGATTCAGGCTTTCGACCAAGAGCGTAGCCACATCATCGAGATGCACCGATGCCGATGGTACCGAATAAGGAGCTGGACTTCCCAACAACTGACCGACTGCAAAGCCATTTGTGCCCTTTGTGATTTGTTTAGCATCAGTTACAGTTTCGTCTCGTCCGAGCACGTAGCTGGGACAAATGTTGACCACGTCAAATTCCGGCTGCTTTTCTTTGACAAAAGCCTCCGTCGCTTGCAGCGCAAATGCTTTCGAAGCTATATATGCGGCCATGCCATTTTCGTATCCACCTTGTGGCTCAGGTGCGCGGTCCGCCTCTGCAAATGAAGAGAGGATCAGTACATATCCTCCAGACTGACCAGACGATCAATGATCACGATTTCACCGCTGACCATTATGGATGACATTGGTGGAGAGTTAAAGCATTCGGATATAAGAGTGGATGATACGTACCGGTATAGGTTTTTGGATCAGGTCCAAACATCGCTTGAGGAGGGACAAGTGCAACGATTGAAGACACAATCACGACTCTTTTGATGCCCTTGGCGGCCGGCTTGACTGCCGATTCGAGAATTCCAACGGTTCCCTTGATAGCTGGAATAATAACTTCATTTTCAAAATCCGTAAAGTTTGGCGAGGCTAAAGGAGAAGCTATGTGTAAGATATATTTGACGCCTTGGACAGCCTCGTCGTATGCTCCTTTAGCTGTAATGTCTGGAACAATCACGGGTTCGAGACGGTCAACGTAGTTGGAGATGGAGGGCAAAGATTTGATTCTCTCAAACCCAGCTTGGTTGCGGACTGCACAACGGACACGGAAACCTTTTTGTAGCACAAACACCAAGGTTCGAAACCCTATCATGCCCGTGCCGCCGGTAAGCTATTCGACAGTAGAATATCAGTTTAGAGATCAATGCCAATAACTCTTAAAGGGTGGGATCAATTAACTAAGAGCTGGGTTGGAAGAACGTACCAGAACAAGATCACCTGCCATTTTTGCTGTAAAATGTCACCGATAGCGTTATTTGAAGATATTCACAACTTTTCCGCTTTTCCTTTGAGCTTCGGTGGGGATATTCATGTCGTTTTATATGCCGTGGTCATGAATATTTTAGAAAATGTCGCCATTTGTCAGCCCCGTGGTTTCACAGACCGATTACTGAAAGCATAGGTGCATAATTATTCCATTACTGATCAGACCGAACTAAGGAGTTAAGCCTCACAAAAGGTGGAAATGGAAGATGGAACAAGAGTTTCGGTCGTTGCTGATGACATCCCCGCAATGCTTTGCAACATTAATTTGTAATGGTATGATGCTTTGGGCAACGAGTCTTGTATGTGCTGCTTATCGTTTCTAAGCTAACCTTTATGAAAAGAGGTGATGCTACCATGGGAAAGGAGGGCCATTTGTTCGACCGTTAGTGTTTACAGAACCGGACTATACGCACTTTGTAACAGTGGCCGACGACTCCCTCACACTTGAACTGACTGGACATTTCGGTTAGCATGGCTAGAAGAACGTTCCCTTTTATCCTGTGTCTGGTCAATAATTGCTGTCAACCTGTACTCGGCTGCCGACCATTTCCAGAAAAATGGCGGGCGGTGGACAAAGTTCTTGTATTACACAGCAAGACCGTCGGAGCAGCAAGCTGTGCTGTACTGAAAGTACTCGGTATATATTGTCGACTCATAAAAGGGAAGCTACTACTCAGTAGGTATGCATAACCCCGGACAGAGAGTTAAGCTCTGTGGGGAAAAGAAAGAAACGTAAGCAGAGTGGAGACCAGAGGTGATTCTGGCACTGCACTGAGATACTGGCGGTATCTGTTGTGCTCTTGAACTGGAGACTCCTCCCCGCGATAAGTTATGAGCGATGGCGTAAGAAGGGAATGTGGCAGGACACAGGGTATTTGCAGCCGCATTGAGATAAGCAGCAGCCACAATGTGGATAGCGAAAACTCTTTTTTTCCCGGGCCAAGAATAGGTAGTTTATGTTGAGGGGCAGGGGAAAATAAGGGACGGAAAAGTGCACTTCCGGCGGGATCACGCTGGGAAGGCCTCACCGGCTCCCCGCCGAAACCCTACCTACTTTCCCCAAATATTACAAGTGTTCAGAGCTTTACGAAATTTGCTCTGTGGGAGAGATGCGGAACTTACGTGTACGTACCCATCGAACGTGCCTGCCGATCATGAGATTATGCGTCCAGCCACTAGCTGTTCCCGCCCAGAAGGCAACGGCGTCCCAGATGAAACATCAATAGCGACAGCAATTTGACGATCTTATCTTGATGGAGCAAGAGACCTGAAAATCAGATGTTTGTTTTCAGCACCAGTAGTTTGGTAGATGGCAGACGTTGTGTACGTTTGCCGCATTTTCTCCACGCCTATGGTTCAAGCCAGGGAACAAACTCATCCTAATGAGACCCTCCAATCTCGGATCGGCCAAACGACGACGTGCGGTGACGTACGGTATAGCAACATATGTGCGAGAACGTCGTTGGTTGGGTTTTTGAAGGGGAGCATGAAGGGATAAGAAAATAGGAACGGTGCCTGCAATATTAGCTTCCCGAGGTAGCCGCTTCGGTAGGATAATGGTGGGGAAGCACACGATTTTCGACCCATCAGATACTCTGGTAACTTACGGTCGACTCTGAGCAGCATTGAGCTGGAGAAAATTTCCTTGCGGAGCAATGTTGCGGGGTCAGAAGAGACAAACTCATCAATTATGAGTTTTGAACCAAAATCTCCAATAAAGTATATCTGCACTAGTCTCGCTGTAAAGAAATACCACGTACTTGTCATGTCAATGACATTATATTCCGCTTCTTGTGTGGTGGTGATGGTTCAGAAACGCACATGAACAATGATGACCAGAATTGGGATTCTAATTTGTGCTCCGGACACTGGCAAGGAAGATTTGGGAAGGGGCGGAGAGACGGATGTGGAAAGAAGGACTCGCCTCGCTTGAACGACCAAAGTTCTGGAGAACGACGTCCCCAAACGACGACCCCAACCCAAAGGACCTTGCGTGACTCTTAGCTACTATGAGCTGGCACAGCTCTGGACCGAAATGCTGCTTTCAGCGGTCTTATTTGACTTTCACTCCATCACTATTTTCTTGAGTGACGCGCGACGTCAAGGGCTCACCCTTGAGGGAACGACTAAGCTGCATGCAGAATTGGTTTTGATGGATTTGACACGTGCAAAATTCTTGGGCGGTAAAAGAGGAATGCTTTTTTCTTTTCCCACCACGCAGTCACTAGTTGGGAAAGGTGGATTGAAACGATTACATGCAGAGTTATGGGAATCAGATCCCTGCTCAACGATGAGACTGGATGAAAGTGATGGACACGCCTTCTTTCCCTACCTCCAAAACGAGTTACGATTTGATCAAATCCGGTTGCTTCGCCCAGGCTGCCGAGGCGCGGTCTTTGACACTATTGAATTGCAAACAGTTCCCTTCCCTCAAGGGTAGCCCCCGCCCGATGACCCGCACCACTCGTTGCTTAGTTCTGAATATTTATCCTCTTTCTTTCTTTCTTTCTTTTTTTTTTTTTTTGCGCGTCTTTAACAATAGTCTTTTTCTGTTGGGGCGACTCCCGAAAAGAGCCGGAATTGGAACAGGGACATTTAGAGATTTAATAGTTTCGATTGTAACTTTTTCCGTCTTACCTCGCACACTCTTTCTCCACAAGATCGGACTGCATCTCGACGCGAAAAAGTTACATGACTGCCTATTTTGCACATCGATGATGATAAACACAGCAGGGAGTGGGGACCCTCCATGTCGAGAACACGCCATGTGAGCTATCGCTTCGACGCGAGCCAAAGCGTACTCGTACAGAGGGCCAAGGGGAGAAGCCGAATGGAGTTGCTCATTCACAAGCACGAGTGAGACATGCGGCCTCTAGCATTGAAATGTACAATTAACAATTTCTGTGCGCTAGGTGGTGGTGGTGGAAGTGTGTTTTGATCAATTACATCTGCATCGCCCCCTGTCGCTCCACGCTCCGTACATATCATTCTCCTTCTATCATGAGAGATGCACTTCAGGGAGTTGTGAAAAGGTCGCTTGTCGCGGGGGAGTGTCGAAAAAGGTACAGTACGGGCACAAGTGCCCGCGTCGGTTGAGGGTTGACATGATGAAACACTGACAACAAGGGCTATGACGATCAAGTCGTGTCAAAAATGGTACACAGGCCTCTCGGACAAGGTCATCGCCATGAGAGAGTCTCACCAGCGGATAAAAGGTTCAAAGAAGTGTTTCATTGAGTTGAAATAGGGCGACTGTGGTAAAAGGAGAGATCTACATACGTTTTGTCCTCCGAAAGTCCCCCTGTCGGGCCAAAAGTATCAGTACCGAGAGAGTACGAGGCTGTGTGGCAGAGACAAATTCAGTTCATGGGTCCCAGGTGGGCCGGATCGTGCCGTTTAGCCACTCTTCTTTCTGCATGAAAGCATAGAGTGCACGCCTATGCGGAGCTGTACAGGAATCGTACCCGGTACCCGCAGTAAGCTAGTATTAGCTCACAATATCCCGTCATATACAAAGTTAGGGGGAGAATACCCAGCGTCAGAGGGATTTGCTACCTAAGAGTACAGTTCTCGTCCCTCTTGTCTTCGGTTGGTGGAAGAGAGGAGCGCAAGAACCTTGGATGATCCGCATCAAGCGCATGTAAGGCATCCCCGGGCGCGGGATGTAGGACAGCATATTCGCAATGAAAGCAGAACACACCAAGCACTCCATTTTCTTTTCTTCTTGAATTTTGGGCAGCTGAAAGTATGTATTGCCTTTAATTGCGAGGGAAAAGAACCCTAAAAAGAAGCAGCATATCGCAATGCATCTGAGCAATAATGAATAGTGAAGCCACCTGACATGTCTCCCGGAGTACACCTAGACCACCGTTGAGGGAGACCCCTTGGTTAGTTTGTGTGTTGGCAGTACAATTGTCTGGTGTTCAGAGTCACTCGGTGAATATAGCTTGTTCGCGTCGTGTTCGGGAAGGGGGAAAGAGCGAGAGGAACGAACGACATGCGCGCCTTCCTTTCTTGAGGACGTGCCTGGTCGCGCGGTCGACCAGACCCCTGCCATACTAATCCTAGTTCGCTCATCCCTCGCACCCTGCCAGACCCGCAAAAGGGTTCGTCCATGCCGCATGTTAATTGGTTCAGGAGGGGGCGAAATCGCCCACGTCGTGCCAAAAAGGGTCTTTTCTGCTCCCCTGGATGATATGAGAGTGCCAAAAGTCGTCCTCTGGCACCCTTTTGTCTTCGCGCCCCTTCTCATACCCCCCACAGGTGGCCCCAAAGAGTCCCAAGCAAAAGAATTTTGTCCTTCACCATCTTCTGCCTGCCCTTTTCACTACGATTCCGTAGCCTTTTTTCTCTCTCACACTGCTGTCCACAGCTTGATTCGATGCTGGCGAGTTCTACAACGCCATTTCGCGCTGCTGCTAGCCCGCGGGTATTGTGCGGGTGCTGTGTCTACCAAGCCTTCTGCTGGTGTGCATAGCACAACTGCGGCCGGCATCGTCCCTCTCTACTCCACTCCACCCGAACTCCTCTCGACAACCTTCCCCCGTCTTCGCCCAGCACCTCATCACTACTCCCACCCACTCCTCCCTAAACTCTTCTTCCCTTCTTCCTCCTCACCTCCCTCCCGGGATCTTCAGCACATCTGGCCAGCGTTGTCGTCTCGCGCGTAAGCCCTCTCGACATTCAGTCGTCCATCCGTTTCATTTCTGCCTTTGTTTTTTGCCGTTCCATTCTCCTTTCGCGCGTCAATATCTTGCCTTTCCCAACGCCATCTTTCGCCCTAAATCTCCAAACTCTCCAGCCATCTGACGCTCGTGTCGCCATCAGCTGGCACCGACAAGTATTCTGCATCTGCAACCTCATTTGCATCATTGTTTCTGTTGCATCTTTCGTTCAAACCGCCGGCGAGACCGGGAATTCTATGCACCAGTCGTCCTTGAGTGCGTAGGTTGAAGTCATTGCTTCCTTGAGCCTCCGATACCACTGCGGCCCTTTCACTTCAACGCCTCCAAACTTTTCGAACCCTTTTCTTTTCTACCTCGACTGTCATCATTATCATCAGACGCTGGCGTTCTCCTTCGCTTGTCCCACCGGACACCCTTTATTCCTTTAGTAATTCTTGCCTGGATCTTTGCTTTCGTTTCCATCCACGGCTTGTGAATATTTACGGCATCTTCAGCAACATACGCATTTTAATCCCGGGAGGTCCAGCAGATATTTGCTCATGAAAGGGGTACGTTCTGGCGTTTGGCCCCCAGCGAGGAGACAGTTTATGAAGAGACTCACACTTGGGGGATCGGTTTGCATGAGTGAGCAAGTCGTGACTACTATACTGTGTGGCTTCTTCCGTGCAAGATCAGCCGCTCTGTCTACGTCTTCAGAGTTTTCATTGGACATTTGAAACTTGATGCTAATAAGATTCGTTGCCATGTAGATTTCCTTCACTCGTCGGAGTTTTTGTTGACCTCGGTTTGACAACTGATATTGTATTGCGCTTTGTCCGTCGCATTCGACCAGCATTTCGTAGCGATTGTCTTTCAGAATCATCATGGCAGCTCTTGTTCAAACACTACCCCAGCAAACTACTTCAGTCACCATGCTCCAGACCAGGCCCACATCGGCATCTGGGGCCTTCCAGACAAATTCTTCACAAACTACAGGATCTCGATCAGCTTCAGGCTCTCGAGGAACATACAATGGATCGGCTGGGAGTGGACCGGCTGGACCATATCGAGCATCGCTCTCTCCCGTTGCGCCCTACGCCTTTACTAGCACTCCAAATTTATCTAGCACAGCCTCATGGCAGAATAAGTCTACCCCTCATCTTCGACCCGAACACCGGACCTTGTCGGCTCCGGTAAATCCAAACGGTCAGCTGTCCTCGTCTAGCTCTTCTTCTGGATCAAGCAGAAATGCCGGTTCTTCGACGAGCGCTACGTCGTTCTCTTCAGACTCTTCTTTGGGTCAGAAACGTATGGCCAAAGACGACACGTCGGTTCCGTCTGGTCAGAAGTCAACGGGTAAACAATTCTTGGACGTCAATATTTCAAGTCCTTCGTTGGAAGTGCCCTCGGTCAGCCAAACTGCAAAACCCTCTCCTGACCGTTATCGCCGAAACCATCGTCGAGCGGAGACCAATGTACCCATCTCATCTTACTCGCAGCAGCAGCAGGGAGGAACCTTGCCTTCGGGTTCCGGCATGACTTATGTCGGTCATTTGTACAATCATGCCGCCCAACCTAGCGGCTCCCCTGTTCTCCAATCTCATGCCTCGTTTCAAAATGCCCCTTCGATTGCTGGTATGCCAAACTTTGTCGCAAACTACACACCACAGCCACGAATGGCCAGTGCTGACGACATGCTCTTGTATCGCCGGCCCACGCTCGAGCATGCTAAGCAGTACAGTCGACGGAGCATCAGTAGCTTCAGCAGTGGAGATTTAGCCACCCTTTCTAGCGACATTCGAACAGCCTCAAGGCCACTCAAATCTAGAGACAGCAGAAGTATGGGCCCTCCATCTCCTGGACAGCGAGAACTTCGAGCCGCGCAGGCTAAGAGCCCGCGCGGCGGCTCGCATAGTAGAAATGGAAGCTCCGAGAGCGTACAATCGCACCGGAGCGAAACTCGTCCTTCATCCGTAAAAAGAGACGCTAGTCTTGCAGCCTCTGCCTCTAAGCAGGACCCGAAGCATATCAATATTCCGGCTCGCGGGACCTCGGAGGGAAAACGTCCAAATCAGCCGTCTTCGCTCTCGAAGCCTACTTCCATGGGGACAAATGCTTCCACAAAACAGCCTCTGTCCTCTGGCAGCAATTCCAAGGCAGCGGCTCCCGAATCAAGCTCAACTGGTGTGACAAACACACCCGTGGCCGATAGCAAGGCCGTTTCACCACAGCATGCTTCTCCTGAAAGGGACGGTAAGAAGGGTGTCAAGTCACGTCTGAGGCGGGCCTTTTCCTTTGGGAGCGCTGCAGAGCTTCGGCGTGCCTCTGCGGAGAACAACATCTATGCTGCTGCTCAGACAAATCAGCAGAATCGCCCTTTTCTTTCTGAGCATGAAGCAGAGCAGGCTCGGAAGCAAGAGGCGGCCGGAATCGGTGAGGGGATCTATTCTGGTCAAGGAAACATTTTTACCGGCTCGACAGATAATCTCTCCATTTCGTCGACGGCGTCCTCTGCTTCAGTAATGATTCGGAAGATGGGCAAAGGGATGAAAAGGTCTACGCGCTCCTTGGCTGGGCTATTCCGGCCTAAATCGGTGATTGGCGTTCCATCGGCCGACTCTGCCATGCCAGCAGCAAGCGTGGGCGAAGTTTCCATGGTCACAGTTGAAGCGGAACGAGAAAAGGTCAATGTAAACGCGAAGGCGAATGAACAGATGCGAGGCGGCACCGGCTTTCCGAAGCTTGAGCGCAATTCGCTGGATGCTGTCCGCCGTAGCATAGACCTTCCTCGTGATGGCGAAGGTAGTACAAATGAACTTGGCCGGAAACGGATGAGCATTGCAGGTGGTGATAAGGAAAGGGCCGAGGTTTTGGCGGCAGTAAAGAAGGGAATCTTGAAGCGTACGAAACCTGCTGGTTGACCCTGACGAACTTGATGTTTTGCTAACCCTCGGACAGGGACCGGAACCGATTCTGGCAGCTCTTCTCCAACGGCGAAGACTTATGATGGAAAAGCCCTTGAATTGAATCTTCCCAACATTCCACAGGCCAATGGCACCCCGGGATCAACGGCGCCCAGCACTCCCGCCGATGATCAGCCACCACGTTCTGCTCATCGTCGCACCGAGTCTGTTGGATTTGAGGGCGATGACTATTTTACCGCCCTTGCCAATTTCTCTATGAATGGAGCCAAGAGCGCGCCCGTTACCCCGCAGAGCATGTCTCGAAACATTTCTTTCAGCCCACGAATCCAGTTTCATGACACCTGGCCTAGCGGAGAATATGACCGCAGGGGCGACATTGCGACTTGCAATCGTTTGACGCCTATGCTAGCTCAACAAATTAAGGAGGAACTCAACACCTTCAAAATGGTAGGTGCAATACCTGTTCTAGAAGTAGATTGTTTCAAACTGTTACTGACCTCTATGTAGGAGATGGAAGTTCACGAGCAGTCCAAAGTCTACACACACTTCTTTTAAATTCGCCGCAGCGCGACAGTTTATTATTTTTGTTTCGGCGTATGAGGCGAAGCCGGAATTCTTAGCTCCCGGTTGACGATTGGCACAATAATTCGGATCTACCTTGACGACACATGCAGTACAGTGGGATGGTGTTCTTATTTTTTTCTTGTGCTTTTCTCTTTCCCATAGGCCCTCCTCTCTCACACATGATTGATTTTTTTTTTCTCACTTTGGGAGCTCTTGCATCTGGGATCTGTTAGCATAACTTTCATTCCTTTTTTTTTTTTCTTTTTTTCTATTTTGCGTGGTCTATTCGAGCGAATGGGGTTTTCTTTCACATTACAGGATGTCTCCAACCATTCAATTACGGTCATTTACGGCGTGCGTTTTGACTTGCATTGCAAAACTCAAATCTTTTTTTAATTTTCCTTCTGCGTTTTCACTTCACTTGTTACATTTATGGACGTCATCTTTTTGCTTTAAGTTGCCAAGTCATAGCGACTCCTTCCTCAATCAACCCGAACTCATGCGCACGTATGCAAAGACATACATTTATTTTTTTTTTCTCGGAAGAAAGCATGTTGGCATATTCATCTTTGCATCTATCAGATCTTGTTTTCCCACATTTGATTGATACTTTTTAAAGAGAGCGACAAAGCGAGCAAGGTAGAAGACTTGGGCATACGAAGCAAAGGAAAGAAGACATGAACGCAATGGCGAAGAGCAGAAGTTGTTGCCTTGCTTGCTGTCATCATTGTCATTCAAGACGTGAAAAGAAAAATGCTTTGCTATGCGAAAAGTAAGAAAGCATGTCTTTTCTTTTAGAATTAGAAAGAGTGTGCTTCATCCCTCAGATTTCTTGTGTCTCATTTCATTCTCTTTTCATTTCTCATCGGCTGCGGTACTTATTCTACAACTTTTATGGGTAATTGAGGTGTTTCTCTTGTATCTCTTGTCAACTGGAGGCGCGATTGCTTTCCCAAGATTCTAATGTTGCTTGGTAAAGGTGATTGGTTGAGAAATAATACATACTGGGTCCTTTTTTTTTTTTCGTCCAGTCGTAGTGTCTTGGGCAGTACCATATCGAGGTACGGATAGTGTGGTCGATTTGATTGTTCTGCCTGCCTTGAAATGAGATGTGAGCATATCCCTGAATCCATTGGACACCCTGCGCTAAGGCAAGGCTTATCATATGGACTTTTGCAACTTGGCTTGTTACTATCTTGATCCATGGAATTCATAATGGCTTTTAAACAATTTGGTCATCTTATTGGCCGTTCGGAGGTACTATAGCGTGGTATCGGAGAGTTTGCGCACTTACGGAACTGAGTGGCAGAGAAGCAGGGAAACTGTTTTCATACGCGGATACAGTCCTGTACCCTCCATAACCCGCGATCTTCTCTGCAATACGGACGAGAATCAAGCTATATTATAGCTTAAGTCTTGGCTACATCAGAGAAGCTCTAAGGGAGTATTGTGATACAGTAGTTTGTCCCTTAGCGTGAAAAAGCAATGGATCCCGCGAATAATAAAGTGGGGATAAGTAGACGGTGAGCCGTGGTTCGGCAAATTATGACAAGAATTCGGAGGCACTACTACGAGGATACGAGATATACCTGCCAATACTGCGCCACGGGAGCAAGGAGATAGGAGTTAATATTTGTTTACAAACATAATAAAAGCTTGACATTTTGAGGGTTTTTTGGACGCTCGCTGATGGTATTATTGAACGTAGTGGATCGGGCTTATCGTATAAATTCTGTAAAGCGCACTCAATGGCATAGAGGTAGGAGAACAGAGGTTAGGGGTTGAAAAGGAAGAAAATGAAGATTGGTTTAGTGCAGCATCTGTGGCACTAGAGAGTGCTACGGGAAAAAGGAATGGAAGTGTGACTGTCTGCGGGATGACGCAACGAGATCCCCTCTGATCCCCCAGGACACAGTGTCGTTATTGACACGACCGAAAATGGGGAGGAGCTCTGAGAATCTAACGTTACTCGAAATCTCGTGGTGAAATGATAGATTGAGAAATTTTCTCCATCAAACCTGTTTGGATGGTGTCAAAACAGCAGAATAGTGGAATCATCGTATGATTATTTCCAGCGATATGATTACCTTTGAATACGAGTGCTAATTAGCCGTTACTTGAAACGGTGTCCTATTGAGGGGCACTATCATCATACGATATACCTTAGTTATGGACCCTTTGGACAAAGCTTTTGCACTTTAATTGCAGACTAGCGGAGTGCACTCTGAAAAATATGGTTGCCTGAATACACACTAGAATGCCTGAAGTTGCACGCTATTTTAAAAGCTCGTGCTTGGTGTGGATTAGTATGAAGAAGCCTTCTCGCATAGATTTTGACTGGTGGTGAATTTACAATGGATAGCGGGTCGGAAGCTGGTAGATGTGTTATCAAAGACCGCGTTTGACGATGTGGTCGTGTTGTCTCGCTAACAAAGTGTGGCTCAACGCGACCCTGAGGCTGAAAAGACTGAATGACGTATGCGGCTATTCTTGTGTGGCACTAATCGCGTCTCTGTGGCTTGACGTGCCGATGTGGCTCGTCTCGAGACCCTGAGATTGAAAGGTCATTGTGCGGCAAGCTCCGCATCTTCGACTTCAGCCCAAAGTTTTTTTCTGTCTCGGCAACTGCCGCCTACTCGTGGCAACCCTCCACAATTTTTCTCGAACGTGTGGAGAAGTCAACACTTCTACTCCGGTATACAGTATTTACTTTTTTAAAAGTCCGAGTGTCAGGGCACCGAGCCTTTCTGGCGCTGCTAGAGTTTTCTGTTCACCCTTTCCTTTTGTTTATTCTCCTACAGGTCCAAGTTGAGCCGTCAACTTAGACTCTCTACACTCCTTCGTTTCTCACAATTTTCGCAAAACCTGGGGTTATTTGCAGTCAGGTTTTGAAGAACTTCGATGAAGATATTTTACGGCCCTGAGCCATAGGACTAGGCTTATACGTATTGACCCGAACGTGCTACATCTCTACATGCGCTTGCTTTGCCACACTGGCAGCGCGCTTGTCTTTTATTCCCATCGACCGACAGTACTTTCACGCGCATCGCAACTTTTCGAGAAGTACCGCGCGTCCTCAACAATGACTGAGATTCAGGGCCTCAAGAAGAAGCTCTTTGGCCGGGAATTCTACGAGAGCATTGGCTCTCCAAAAGTCATTCTGGCACCTATGGTGGATCAGTCTGAGTTTGTACGTTTCTCATTCCCAAGAGCTGAAATGTCGGCGACTAATTTCTTTCAACCAGGCATGGCGTATGCTCTCGCGATCATTCTTTCCTGCCGAATCAAAAACCGATCTTCTCGCGTATACTCCCATGTTCCACTCACGGCTGTTTGGACAAACCCCAGCTTTCCGAGAGAAGTTCTTCCAACCCATCCGAGAGCAATTAGCGACACCTGAAGACAATTCTTACGCCGACCAACATCTTACCGCGCAGAAGTTTCTTGATGGCAACCCAGAATGTGACCGCCCATTGTTTGTCCAATTTTGCGCCAACCAGCCTGATGAATTTCTCCGAGCGGCTCGTTTCGTTCAGCCATACTGCGACGCCGTTGATTTGAATCTGGGATGTCCCCAGGGCATCGCTCGGAAGGGATACTATGGATCGTTTCTGCAAGAAAATTGGGATCTGATTTACAAGTTGATCCAAAAACTCCATACCGAGCTAGACATTCCTATTACAGTCAAATTCCGCATCCAAGAAACCAAAGAAAAGACACTCGAATATGCAAAGATGATCATCTCTGCCGGTGCCAGTATCATCACGGTTCATGGTCGACAACGCGAGCAAAAGGGCCATAATACGGGTCTCGCCGATTGGACTGTCCTGCGTTATGTCCGCGACAATATCCCTCCTGAGGTTGTCATGTTCGCCAATGGCAATATCCTCCAGCACGAGGATATCGAGAAATGTCTTCAAGAAACTGGCGTTGATGGCGTAATGAGTGCTGAAGGAAACCTCTGCGATCCGTCCATCTTCGCGCCTCCCCCGCCTATTGGCCAAGAAGGCCGCGAATACTGGCGTGGTAAGGATGGCAAGGGTGGATATAGGATGGACGCCGTCTTTCGGCGATACCTTGATATTATCCACAAGTATGTGCTTGAACAGCCTGTGCCGGAGCGCGTTCCGTTATTCGCGCGCTCAGAAGATTCCCGTCCTGCTGCCACAATTCTAGAGGAAATGAAGGCCGAGGCCGCAGCTGAAGCTGCAAAGGACGACGACTCCGAGCCGCCTAATAAGAGACAAAAACGCGAAAAGCAAGCCAAAGCTACCTCGCCCAATCTGGTTGCTATGCAGGCCCATCTCTTCCATCTCCTTCGCCCACTCGTCTCAAAGCACACTGATATTCGCGACGCCCTCGCTAGGAGCCGCCCCGGAGATATGGCCTCATATGAGAAGGTCCTGTCCATGGTTCAAAAGGCAGTCAAGCAAGGCCTTCTTGAATATGAACTTGACCCCAGTGCTTTCCACATTGATGAAAAGACAATGGAAGAGCTGGAAAAAGAGAATCCAGGCGTCGATGTCAGTTCAGCCTTGACCATTGCAAGAGTCAAGCGCCCTTGGTTTATTTGTCAGCCGTATGTTCGTCCACTGCCCAAGGAGGCGATCGAGAAGGGTGCCATGTCTTTGAGCAAAAAGGATAAAGCCAAGTTGGAAAAGGACGAGAACCTGTCCAAGCAGGTCGGGGTCGAGCCTGAGGGGAAAGTGGAAAAAGTGTATCCGAATGGCGAAAAGGCGGCAAATGGCGAGAAAAAAGACGGCGAGAATGAGCCAGTGGAGATTCCAAAGGAGGGCGTCGTGTGTGGATGAAGGAATCGAAAGATGGGTGTGGTTCGCCGAAGATAATGCAGTGGTATGCATCTACTATATTGTGGGCGAGCTCTTCACATATCTGCATCCGTCTTTGGGATATAGAAGGGGGACTTCATTGTGTCATACTGGGCCAGCTCAGCATCAGCGCGGCGTTGCATAAAGGAGCATACATTTACAAGGGGTCACGGCGTTAGGATTCTGTGTATTATGATGGAGCGCATTTCGCGGTGATACCTCACATCAATATAGAAGACTAGAACATTGATTTGATTATACCTTTTCGATTAAATGAGTTATTTGAACAAAATTCGAGGGTTTGGTGGCCACATTAACCTGAGACCCTTAGTAACCTTTACGCTGGTTTCGAAATGACCTTTGTCTCTCGACGACTTGATATCGCAGCGTGATTTTTATTATTGAAATTCTTATTATACTCAAGTCTGCGAGCGAGACAAAGAAGACGGAAGGCTTGAAAAGTGGACCGTTTATCTATTTGAAAAGGTGATTGAAAGAGTGTTCTTTTAAATTGCTTGGGGTGAGGTTTCTTTGTTGACTGCCGGCATGCGTGACACGCGGGGGAAGCGATCCGACGACATCGAGTCAACATCACTTCGTCATCATTCCATCCACCTCCAGCCTTTCCTGGCATGAGCCGGCTCATTCTGCTTCAGCAGAGCATCGAGATTAATTCTCTTGTCCCACAATTGTCAAGGTCAATTCAAAGATGGATATAAATCCAGAGTTGCACCAAAATATCTATCTGCTTGCTAATCTGATCAGGCTGCTAACGTTCTTCTGAGAAGTCTCCAAATCCCATGCATCTAGTTATTCGAATTATTTGATCAATGCGATTACGATTCTAGTCCTTCTTGATGTTTTAAACCCTTTACGCCGTTCCATCTATTTCACTCATTTATATATGCTGTCTCTTCTAGCGCAACCTACTCCTCCGCTTCTTCCTCTCCGTCGTTCTCGTCCTCTTCCTCCTCCTCCTCTTCTTCCTCCTCTGTTTTCTTTGTTTTGCCCTTACCCTTGCCTTTGGTTGTTGTCCTACTTTTTGCTGATCTGGCTTGCTTACCCGCCTGCTCATTTGCCCGTGGGTTCTTTCCAAGCATTTCATTACATTCTGGAATTCTTCCGCGCTGGGAAATTAAACTGTCGCGTGTTCTGCGTGGGCGAGGAACATCCGAACTAGGAAGAGCCTGTCCCTCAAACCGCGCATTAAAGTCATTGAGGACTCTTCTCCAGTTTATGGTCCTTTCTTTGTTTGCGAGTGACTGCCGCGTCACGTCGATCAGGAACTGGTTTTCTTCTGGCGTGTATGGTACGGCTCCAGCTCGTGCAATCTCTCCGGTTGCGCGTCGGAATTGTTGTTGCCGCCATCGATTCAGTTTTACAACTGATGCGCTGTCATTCCAATCGACGGGATGTTTGTATCTTTGTGTTTTGGTTTTATTTCCCTTGGTGATGGTAATCGAGAGCTTGGATGGGTCGGGCTTTCCACGCTCTGCAGGGCCGCGGTCCAAATGGAGCTATCAGCAGTCAGTGTGTGGGCTTTCATTTCAATCATTCAAATTTTGCAAGTGCGTTGAAGCGGAAGCCGGAAAAGGGGCCAGGCAGCGCTGTGAAACTTACTCTTTCTGACATCCTCTCGTTCTCGGGAATGGTCGACAATAAAGTATGTTGTCTCCGAGCTGACGGCGCCGATGCGTCGCCTTCTTCTTCCTCTTCTGCGCCTTCTGCTGCCTCTTCATCATTTTCTTCTTCCTCGTCATCATCGTCGTCGGCCGGGAAATCTGGTAGATGAAATGGGCGGGTCGATAAGCTTCGAGTGTTTCGTCTTGACCGAATTGTGGGTGGCTGCTCCTCTTCGTCATCATCGTCATCGCCCGGAAAGTCGGGTAGTCGCAGTGGGCCTGTTGTTGCCTCTTCTTCTTTGACTATCGGGGTGTCTTCTTCTTCTGTTGCTATTGCGGATGCTGCAGGGGCAGGAGGAGGCGCGTGTGCTGGTGCCTGTGACGGAGCTGCAGGTCTGGCGGCTGCGGCGGTGGTCTGCGCAGCAATACTAGCAGATGTTGCGCCGCCTGTACGGCCGGCACCGCCTTGTTCTAATCTTCTTGATGCTCGAGGCACGCGCCTTAATACTCCTCCCACACTTGCGAGTCTTGTTGGTGTTCGTGCCTGTGGCGTTGCACTTGGGCGTGCATCCGATGCTTCCGGGACTTCTGATACTTTTCTTCTTTTCTGGGGAGGTGATCTTTCTTCTTCTGCCGCTTTTGGATTCTCTTCTCCCTCGTCTTTCTCTTCTGCCTTTCTCTTTCCCGTGACAGGAGGAGCAATATAGGATTGGACGTTCTGGGCAGCTGGTAGAGGCTGTTCCGCCGTCGGCTCTACTACCTGATGAGTCGTTTGGTGCAGTGGCAGCGATCCCGCTTGAATAGGGGGCGGGTGTTGTTCCGTCGCCGGCTGGACCATCTGCTGAGATGCTGGGCGTATCTGTAACGGCTCCGCTTGCCCTGCCAGCTGGCCCAAAATTGCAAGACCGCCCTCTGACTCCTCTTCCAACTCAGGCATTAAGTCAAACGGTAGCCGCTCCGCTTGTCCTGCCAGCTGGCCCAGCATTGCAAGACCGGGAGCATCTAGTATGGATTCTCCAATTGGGGCTACAATCATACCGAACTGCCGTTGAGTCACGACACTGGCAGTATCTACAATTGCTCGTCTAAGCGCAATCCGCCATGAATTATCAAGTGGATGATTTTGTTCCATCTCTAGGGCCATTTCCCGCAATAAACGAAGCTCCTCAACGCCGACTCGCCGTTCAAACAATGCAATCCCTTCCGGCATGAAGATGGTCCATTCACCTGTGCCAAAGCTTCTCTCCATTCTGAATCTTTCCGAGATACCAGAGGATCTTGGAACAGGTCCTGCGGGTCCTGCTGAAGGCTGCGGTTGAGCCTGTTCGGGCAATGTAGGAGCTCCTGGACCTGTTAACTGTCCAGCGGCCGATAAGATAGATAGTCCTGCTCCTACTTCGTCCGGCACAGCGATAACATCTCTATCAATCCCACTCGGTCCGAAATATTCATCCTCGTCAGATGATTCAGTCTCTGAGTCGTACTCGAACCCATGGGGCGAATCAGCCAGGAGCCAGCCCGGTTCTATTCCGTTTCTAATACAGTTCCGTCGAACAATATGGTCAAATGTTGAAAGATTTCCGTGCTGTCTCCACCCGAGGGCGACCATCCGCTGATATCTTCGTCTGTCTTGCGCAGTGGCATATCCACCTACCGCCAATCTCATGGGCAGGACTAGCCTCCATGGGTGAGAGCCGCCAACGCGGACGAGTGTAAACGGTTTATATTCAGTTGTCGTTTGGGGTGTAAGTGTAGGGATTTCGATCGCAGGTGCTGCAGGGGCCTGCTCCTGTTGCTCTTGTTCTAGTTGAGGTTGTTCTACTGGAGCTGGTTCAGATGCCAGCGCAGGATTTGGTACATCCTGTGGCTGCGCTAAGGGCTGCACAACAATGGTATCTCCCATTTCCGAAGACGATTCTGATCCTGGATCGCTCAAATCGCTCGAACTGGAGCTGAGTCTATGCCGACGTATCCTTCTTTCCTCTTCAGTTGTTTGATTTTGTGTTTGTCTTTGAGCTTGGCCGCGAGTTTGCCCTGCAGGCTGATCTTGACTTGGCGCTGGACTACTCGAAACTTCTCTTGAGGAATGTCTGGAGCCTCCTGGTTGACTTGCGCCTCTTCCTCGTCCCCGACCGCGGCCACGAGGGCGACCGCGGCCGCGACCACGGCTTTGCGAACGAGATGCCGGCGGCTGGGGTCCAGGCTGAGGCTGGTCCTGGTTCAATGTCCCTCTTCCTCTCCTTGAGCGTCGACTCTCGGCCACCTCAATTCTTCTAAGGTTTTCCGCTTCGTCGTCATACTGCCTCTGCAAGTCTCTGGCCAAAGTTTCATCATCCTGTTGCTCACCAGCTGCGTTACCTCCTGCCTCACCGTCATCTTCATTTGCGCCTTCACCGTTATCCGTTCTCGAAATCTCCACTTGGACCTCTTCCTCTTCCTCTGTACCTCTATCGCCTCCTTTAAAATGGCGCCTTTGTCTGTCGCCTGTTGGTCTTGTTGTACGAGTCAATCTGACTCTCCAGGTTCCTCGTGTTCTAATCGGCCCGGTAGGACGTGCTGGCAGATGTGGAATTGCAGCCGAAGCCGGAAGACTCGCTGCTCTTCTTCCAGCTTCAGCAAATGCTCCCAAAAGTCTCTGCCGCTCAGCTTCTCTTGCTGCCCTAGCCCTTGCTTTCCTCGCATTGAGCTCCTTGTGGCTCTTTATAATTTCCTTTCTTGTTTCATGTGCTAGTGTATCCCTCCCGGGACCGCGCCGTGCAAGGAACCGTGCATATCGCGCTGCTCGCTCATCGGCTTGTTTGTGTTGTTTTTCTTCTGCGGCTTCGCGTCTGGCGAGCAACGCTTCCACGTCTCGTTCAAGGCGGCTCTTGTACTTTTCTGGTGGCGACGCTTCTCGTTGACCTTGGCCTTGGCCTTGGGTTCGGGCTTGGAATTGTACAGGCGCATTTCCGGGCAAACTTCCGGCAATGTCATTCGCCCATTGACTCACGAACAATCCAGAGCTGCGACGGCGATCGCGGTCAGCCCTCTGCCGGCCGGGATCATTTTGTCTCTGCCCGGGCATGCTTGCGGTTTCTGTTCGAGTTTGGTAATTTGATGAAGTCTATAACTATACTACGTTGCTATTCAAGTTTGCCAGTGGTGGATGGTTGAACGCTGCCTTTTCTGCAAATGTTGTACTATGTTTGCTAACTGACGCGGCGCTAGATTCGACGCTGAAAGAAATATGTTTGAGATATTCTCTTTTATCAAAGACGCCGGTCAAAAGACGTGGTTCAAAATGTCGAGTTTCGAGCGGTTGATCGTATGGTAAGTCTGTATCAGTACTGAAGCCTCTCCAAAAATAGCCTGCCACCGTTTGAAGCAGGCTAGACAAGCCTCTCCTCGTATGTACGCCAGGGAAGATTGTTCGTTGTTTGGCAATGAAGCCCGGAGATGTTTGTTCAAATTTCCAAATGACACTGACGAAAAGAAAAACAAAGGACTTTTTCGAAGCAGAAAGATGTTGAAAGTTCAAATTCCTATCGTCTTTGAAAAGATTTTCGGAATTTGTGTGCAAGAAGCCTTCGCTCTTCTAGCAAACAGCGCCAGCGGCGCATTAAGCTTCTATTTATGCCTGACATTGCGATGACGGTTGGCAGCCTGCCAGGCCCCATTTTCGGAGGACGAAGGTATCTCCAAGAACAAAGAAAATGGCAGACGTGGTGTACATTTGCGTTCCATGTCAAAAGGAAAGCAGCGAAGCCTGGGGTGGCAGGCTCTTAGGCTGGAATTTCAAAAGAAAGAAAGAAGCTGATGCGGAAGATTGACCTGCCCATGGCAGGCTTGTCTGCTTGTCGTCTTCCTTGTGGTGTTGTATTCTTTGCTTGTCTTGCTTGCTCGTTGCCGGCTAATTGAGCAGTGACTTGACCGAATGGCGTGACTCGTGAATGAAAGAGAAAATGAATCAGATCAAATGAATGAAATAGCAAGTGAGAAGCTATCGAATTAGCGTCCTTGCATTTGCACGCCAGCGCGAGGCCTCATTATTGCTTTCTTGTTGAGTTTCTTGCCTCATCTCCACATATTCTTATTCTTGTTCTTTCTTTTATCCTCGGCTTCCCACGATAATTTATTTGAAAAAGAAGCTTGCTTCTGCCGGATGCATTCGACAGCAACCAACATCGGAGCGCCAGACTTGAAGCGTGCTATTAACCTTTCTGGTTTATGGTACAAGGCGTATTACATCAATGTATGATGTATCATGTCAAGTCTCAAGCGCCTTTTTCGTGTCTATGTGTTTGCTTTATCTTTTCTTACTTTACGTTTTTCCCTTCCAGACCTACACGGAGTTTCTCTTCAAAGGAAAGTTTCATTTCAGCAGCCAAAAATAATGAGTAGCACCGTCTGGGAGGCAGGTAGAGCCTTCATCTTTACCATATACTTGCACCACTGCTGCACCTGCGCTCAGCAGTCACGACTCACAAAACTCACAAATCAATGCAATTCAGAGCCAACATGGACATGTAGCGACTTATATCCTTCTTCTCCCCAGACACTACTGATCATGCAACGAACAGGCCCAGAGTAGTGGAAAGTCGTTGAGTGTCTGGCTCTGAATGCATCTACGCAAGATAGCACAAAGAGAAAATGGTATACCGTTATTACCGTATGCTGAGCCCGCAATTTATAATGCCACGAGATCGTTTTCCCCAAAGGTAATTAATCGCAATGAGTCAATATGTCATTGTATTGCTCTAAACTTCTAAATTTCTAAACTTCTAATGTCCGCATCTACATTCGCATTCCGCTCTGGCACTGGCACTGGCGCTACAGTTCTGCAGACCATCTTCTTTTTGTTATATTATCAAATACTGAAAGAAATATTCCGCCCACCAGCCATGTGGCCGACGATTGACCACACTTGTCACGCAGCACGCTTGTCACACTTGTCTTTCACACACGCTCCGGAATCACCGATACTAGCTCTGATTCTCTACGCTAAGTGAACACTGAACACTGAAGTGACATTAAGCCCTAATTGCATGCAGCACGGCTGCACGTTATATTCAATTTCCACATTTCTATTCCCGGTATCCCGTCTTTTTTTCTTTCAGACTTTCAGACTTTCAGACTTGCAGTCCCTTTTCTCTTTCAGTCTTTGAGCCGTTGTACGGTGTAATTTTTGACGTATGACATGCATGACACTCATGTGCCTTGACACTTGTTATGCTTGTGACGCTTGTGACGCTTGTGACGCTTGTGACGCTTGTGAGTCGTGTATCATGACACTTAAAGAAACGGAGCTAAATTGGAATTGATTATTGGACGGTAGACCAACTTCATACCTACCTAAGGTAGGTAGTAAGTTAGCTTCATGTCGCGAATCGCAAGTCACGACTCACTATTTTTGGAACGGGAGGTGCGGGCAGCGGGGGGGAACAAAGAATACTATTATACCGTAGTAGGCTTATCAGCTCTTTGTGCCACTAAAATCTACGTTTCTGATATTACCACTGTCCACGGGCCGCCGCCCACGATTCTAAATTTCTACAAATTGCGGAGTCAGAAATTGTCCACGACTGAAACTACCTAGCATTATCTAGACATGTCACATGAGAGTACCATGGTTATTACGGAATCTTTATTTCCCATTCATGTTTCCTGTCCCTGTTTTTCTGTTTCTATCTCCTTCCAGTCTCCCGTTTCTTTTACTTTAATCCTGCTTCCTGAATCCCGAGTCCCGAGTCCTGAGTCCAGAGTCCAGAGTCCAGTTGATAGTTGATAGTAGGTCGTGTACGGTGCAATCGATTGTTCTTGGACTCTTAGTCTTGAGTCTTGAGTCTTGAGTCTTAAGTCTACGTAAGTGACTAAGTCAAAGTCAAATGAGACTATGAGACAACAAAGCGCATTTAACATACAGTATACCATCAACGTCCTAGCGGTACAGTACACCTTACTCGTATCGTTCGAATGTAGGAAAAATGACAGTGCCAGGAGACATGTAGGCACACTAAATTAGTTACCTAGTTAAATTACTTTCCATCTATAGTTTGACTAGTAAAGACTCATGGAGTCATGCATGGTGTGCTAAATAAATGCTTTAAAAAGTCAGACCATCAGACTGTTAAACAGTTAGACAGTTAGACTATTATAGCTTTAATGACTTAGCAACTACAAAGACAAGAACTATTATATCAATGGACCTCCTTACTACCTTGTACATGTCTTTCTTTTGTAGAGACAGTAGTTGTTAACTGGTAGATATGCCATGTACCTTATGTACCTTATAGTCTACAAATGCTCTAGCCTGTTAAGAATATAGTATTACTTGTTTATTTCTTATTACTTATTGCTTTTGCTTTTGCTACTATATATACTATATCTAGATAGCTTGTAGCCTAAATTAATAATACAAAAGCTCTATAAATTTTAAAGGAAAAAAAGTATAGTAAAACTATAAAAGAAGTATATAGAAATTTAGCTAAAAAATCTTTAAAGCTAGCTACTTAGTATATAAAATCCATGATAGTAATGCTATAGTACAGTCATAAATCTAATGAGAAAAACAGTATATAGTCTATAAAGTACAAGGTTTCTAGCCTTGTTTCTATAGTTTATTGTCTAGATTTTTAATTATAACATAGGTAAAAATCCTTTCTTTTAACTTCTAGGACCTGGTTAGCTAGTTAGGCTATAAAGAACAAAGATTTTTTTCTACTCTTTATTGTCTTTAGGTACAAAGAGAGCATTATTATTATTAAAGTCTAGAATAGTAATTGTTAAATTGTCTAGAATCTAGTTGTCTCTAGTTGTTAAATTTTTCAAGGTTTAGTTGTCATTATTCAATCTATCTACAAAACATAAACTTTTCTAGGTCTGTCATGGCAGCTGGGTCCAGACCAGCCCGGCCAACAATGGCGTTGCTCCAGACCCTTATAAGCGCCCAGCATGTCACACGCATGACAGCCACAGGGTAGTCCAGTGGCTATATGCTGCATATATATCGTGGGGTAGAACGCTCTGCCAAAGGGCAAGCGTTCTACTTTTGTTACATAGAGCCTAGCTATCACTCCTACTCCGCTTTATTCCAGCTTGCGACCGCCCTGTGTATCCCAGGTATCACTACACAGTTACGAGGCGAGGCCCTTACAAGGTCTTTCTACTGTCATTGTCCTTAATTTCCAGGTTTTCTTTTTTCTAGTCCTCTTCTTGTATAGCAATTGTAGTCTTAATCAAGTAGTTAACAAGTACATTAGAATTAATGTCATTACTTAACATTGACTAAACCTTATTGCATGTTTCATCTTTATCAATCTCTACAATATGGTTTAAGATCTAAGTCTTCCAAGTTTTGGCCTTGGCCAGAGAGTGCTTAGCTCTTTTGATTATTTTGCCAGCTGGATTTTCTTCCTAATTAATAGTATTCAAGACTTAAGGCTCAAGTATATTAATCTCAATAGTCTGCCTGACTCCAGTTGCCTTGCAAGATCCAGCTTGGCTTGCTGCAGTTGCAAGATAAGGTCAGCAGAAAGCATGTCAGAATCGCAGATCTTCTGGCAGGTGACGTCCTTGTCAATATGGTTGGCATAGAGGCACAGAACAGCTGTTTCCTCCAAGATCTAATTGCCATCCTGGTGACAGATGGTCAACTAGGTTTCAACGTACACGTGGTGGCCTTCTTGGATCCAGAATGCTACATGTGCTTTTGCTCCTGGCCCTGATCCTCTCATTGCCCCATTGCACACTGAGGGATGCTGTTCATAGAATGGTCGGGTGAAGGGGCAGAGTAGCGCTTGTAAGGGTTGAACCAGTGATGCTTCTTTTGAGAAGTAGGTGAGACACTGAGACTATTCTGTCTCATGTCTCGGGTCTCGACTCTCGACTCTCAGTTGATGCCTTCTTGCGGACGTTATTCTCCAGGTTTCTCTCTTCCTGGTCCCGTTCGACTTGGTCATCAACCTCATCTCTAAAGTCGTAGGCAGTAGACAGGAGACTTGTCTACTGCGTCTAGCATGTTTGATGCTTTGCCAAAAAACTGAACAAAAATAAAAATAAAAATAAGAGAAAAGAAAAACACCTCGAGAGTTCGATTCAGCAAGGACACCTTGAACGGCTTTCGTGATGTTTCATGACCCTAAGGTAAAAAGAACGAAAGAAAGAAAGGAAGAAGAAAGGAAGAAAGTTGTATGATGCGGTCACTAAAACTCCCAGGGACCTGGAACTCATACACCATGACAGTGTGGCTTTGTCCGATTCTCCGACCACGTCCCACAGCCTGGCTCCCAATGGGATGGCTGGTCGGCGGATCGAACATGTACACGTTGTGGCATAATTGGTGGAGATTGAGACCACATGAGTTAACGGAATATGAGCAATTAAGTAGACTGTAGCATTGTCTTGTTTCTCTCGGAAGTAAACTCTCTCACAAGATTTCTTCGCTCTTCCAGATTTAGATTTGCTGAAAAGACTGGAGCGTCAATACGGAGCAGCTTCAAGATCTTGAAGATTAATATTTGCTCAGCTGGAAACAAACACCAAATTATGGCCTTTTCTCTCCTTTTTATGGTTTGTTCTGCAACGAGGCTGAGAATCCCATTCAACTTTGGTGAGTGATGGCAATACTCATGATTCACGAGCAATATCAATATTGTTTCCAATATCTGGGACCTTGTATTCATCATACAAGGATTTTGTACAGTGCCTAGCGGAGGCTTGGTGGTCCGATGAGTCTCTTTCAAGAGTGGAATTGCCACGTAGAGTGCGCCGACGACCACGACGAGAGCGACGGTTGAAATTGCTGATTTTGATGTCCCGCATGAATCCGGGCAGATAGTCCTTGCCGAAGTTTCGGAAGAGCAATAACGAGGCGAAAGCACCCCTGGCCGGGACAATGACTGTCTTAAGAAAGATGGCATCCAAGACTAAGTTCCGAAACGTAGTTAGAGATTCTTCAGAGCTTGAATCATCATCATCTGGCTCCTCCGATAAGTAGAACAGACACCATCGGGTCGCTCAGTGATTCCGTGATGAAGCTCTTGCAAGATCTCTAGTTGTGGAGGGCACCGTGGATCAAGAAGCAGATGGCATCCTGGAGGTACTCGGGCTGAGGACCATGACGGAATGAAGACATCAGTGGCCATAGTATATGCAATGTATACAGACTGCCTGGTGGGTAACACAATGCGCAGGATTGCCATTCCTTGGTCGCTTCCATCGACAGTTTCCTCCCCCTCCCCGCACCTTTGCCTTGGGCAATGGTACTGCCACTTGAACTTGTACTTAGGGAAATCAGATTTAGGGTCCTCAGCTGCCTTTGTAGCCTTTTTGACCTTTTTTGTCCGCTCTCGGACCTTTTTGATGGTCATTTTGTAAATTCTGGTAATATTTAGAGTTAAAGTATAGTTTAACTTCCAAATCTCACTGTAAAATAGTGCTCTGATCCCGAAACAACATGTTCGAAGGCCATTGCTATTTTCTGGCAATGCTCCATGCACTGCATTGGTCATACTGGCATCTATAAAGTAGAAAAGTATAGAGATATAGCACAATCCACTCCCCAGATGCGTGTGAGGGTGGGGGTTCTAGATTTGGGAGTGGTGCCAGGGGCTCGCCGTTCGGGAGAGGAGAGGCATGGTGCAAAGAGGTTCGTCGGGCCGATGCTAGAAGAGCTTTCGACTGACTATCGTTTGACAACTCCTGCGTTGGTGGGTGGCGGTGAGAGACTATGGGTCGAGGAGGACCGCAATGGCAGAATTGACATCCTGCACGAATCTAGGCAGATGGCCCCTGCTAGAGTATACTGAAAAGTCCGATCAACTTCGTTGAGTGCTGGCAATACTCTCGGACGGTAGTAATACGGTCTCCTGTGCCTGGAACCATATATTGGTCCTCCATCGATACGGACGCCGTGATCCGCACTATTTGAGCGCACTCGGATGTGGCGTGCCTAGATGCATAGACCGCACACTTGTTCCTCCGGCTTACGGCCCTGAGCCTGATCTTTTGCCCTCCAACCTGTAGGGTCAGGTTGGAGCGTCTCTTCTCTGGAATTCCAGGTCTTATCGAAGACTAGGAGGCGCGTTTCACCACGGGTTTCTGCCATTGTTCTGACCCCAGTCCAGAAATTGGACTTGCCTGCGGTGGCGTGTGAATAGCAATTCGTGCTTTCCGGAAGCTCTAGTCGGTGTGCATAAGGGCTGATGATTTCAGTAATTTTGAACCGTCCGAGATTCTCCCAGTCGAGTTTCTGTTTCTTTGACGGTCTCTCTGTCTGGATGTCTCGAGCATCGAAACGTATTCCATCCCCAACTCTATAAGTTCGGTGGTGGTACGAGCTAGGTCTTCCCACGGCTTGCAACTTTAGCCAGAACATGGCCACAGCAGAATCGACTCAATCAGAGCTTAATATTGTTATTCGCTTTTATTGCGACTGGTTGCCAGAATCTCAAGTGGTTGGATTTGCAAAATGTAATTGACCGGCTCGGCGAAATCTCCGCAATTGCACGCTTTCTCCTAGTCCTCTAGGCTCTCGTTGAGACTAAGTATTATTCGCTCACCAGGAGCCAGTTGGAAATGTTTTGTCTTAATGTTAGTGTAAATACTTCTCAGCCTGAGTATTACCAAGTAATACGTCTTATTCTGTAAACGTTGCAAGCAAAAACCTGTCAGGCAAGTCGAAAATCCGGTCAACCCACGCGCCGTCGCCTCGGTCAATTCGTATATGTCCCACGAGGTTTGATAAATTCTCGTTCTGCACCGAAAACATGCCAATTTATTTTCCATCCGATACTCCACAGAATCTCGTCGCGATTGTAAAGTCGTTTGTTGGTTCTTCGGACTCCTGAAAGGAGAAAAGAGGTATTTCGTAAAGTTGTGGTAATTATTTCGTTGTATGGTTCCAGTATAAGAAAGAACATGGCGTCTCGAGGTTTTCAAATTATTGTATCTGTGTATCGCAGCCAAGCAGACCACCAGCCGTAGTAACAGGTGATGTTCGCCGTTGACACTTCCACCATGACGTGATCGCAAAGTTTCAATTGCAATTTGCTATACAGTATAAAATATCATATTCGGAAGACCAACATGTTCTCGAAAAACGCAGTTGTAGTATTGGGTATAAAGCGCAAGTGCGCCACGTCTTGCTTAACCGGTCGATTATTGCTATGATTGCGTCCGAGCCACCCGCTGGACTCGATTTCCAGTTAGTTTACGTCTGATGGCCCATGACAAATATGAAGTGACTATGAATATTTGAAGCATTTTCATCACACTGAAACATATCATGGACTGGTGTTAAGCTACCCTGGACGGTATTTGCTCCGCCCGGGACTGCTTCTCGGATCGCCAATCGCCATAATAACAGGATATATGTGTACCGTAGTTTCTTTCTATAGTGATGCAAATATATGAGTATAGAAGTATATGAGGAATCAAGGATAATTGTATATAAAATTGAACGTATACAGTATAAGCAATATATATCTGTATATACTGAAGAACAAAAGAAGAAAGAAAGAAAGAAAAGAAGGAAGAAAGAGGGATTTACGCGGATGGCAGGGGATATTTATACCCTTCGTCCTCTCAGCTTCGCTCGTGAATCTGGCCCATATGAGGTGCAATCATGCCGTCGTATGTGAATACAGAGAAAGAAACCATGAATCGGGAGAGACAATTTTAGGAAGAGGTGCTGATTGCGGCAAATTTATGTGGCGGAGGAGGCGTTAATGAGGAGATGTGAAGCAGCGAGAGGAATACAGCTGTGAAGCAAAGCAATTGAATGGAAAAGGAAAGAAATCATTTGGGGGAATGGTGGCGTGAAGTAAGAGAAAGAGAATAAACATATTCCCAAGTCCAGGTCAGCAGTTGGCATTAACGTAGTAGAGTGAACGCAGACATCAAAAGAGAATGTAATACAGAGTGGAAAATAATAGTAACGAAGGGGAGAAAAAGAGAAAGGGAAAGAGGTTTGAGATATATGTGACCAAAGAAGGAGTATTCGACGACTGAGTTCCCCACGGAATCTGGAGGGTTTAAGGGTCCGTTCGCCGGAACAATAAAATGCTGGAGATTCGGACGGGCTCCGACAAACCCCTAGATTACTGCAGCATTAAAACTCGAAGATGACTTGTGACAGGCTAGATAATATCAAGATATAAGAAGCATAAGTAGGAAATAGATACAAAAAAAACCATTATATCACAGGATATAATCTATTTTGTTCATGTCTAGTACTCGGTAATATCTACAAATATATACAATCCCTAGAGAGGAAGTTCAGAGCTCTTGAAACTAGAACCGGCTGTGCCAGATTTCCAGCCGGGTGTCTGCAGATGAAGACAGGTTCGAACGTCGACCAAGGAACAATTTGAGAAGGCACTTCGATCAACTGTTCGCTGATATAATCACACGATTCACAACTGCATCGGTTCCCCGCCGGCAGGTTGATGTTCCTGGCGGACGTCCTTCTTGTTCTTCTCCTTTGAGACCTTTGGTTTATTCTTTTGATCATGTTTCTGGCCCTTGGTTTTTTTCTTTTCTTGCTTTTCCTGAATCTTTTTCTGTTTCTCGTCAGGCTCAAGCTCGTCGCCAGGAGCAATGCTCTCCTCGGCTTCCTTTTCCTCGTACAGTTTCAGAAAGGCGGGTGTGAACTTTTCCAGATGGGCAATCTCGCCGACTTTGACGCGCATATAGTCAAAGGCGACTCCAATCTTGACATCCCCTCGCTTCGCTCTGTCGATGGCCTCGGCTGGAGGGATTGAAGGGGAAGCAGTTGAATGCTCCTTCGTCTGGTGAGTTCCTCGTCGAATTTGACCGCCCTTCTGCCCAGCATCGTCGCTGCCATTGATTTGTATTTGATCCATTTCCAGTGGGGCAGTAACATCTTCGTCTGCGGCGTCGGCAGCCGGCGGTGGAGCATCTGCATCCTCCTCCAGCGCAGGGAGCTTGCCATCAAGAGCGTCCATGTTTGGAATCTTTTGGTAGCGTTGGGAAAAGTGTGTGAGCATGATTCTCCGTGCACCCATTTCCAGTCCAACAGCCAGTGCTTCACTAGTTGTGCTGTGCTTTTTAGCCTTGGCATCGCTCTGGAGTTCGTCGTCAAATGTGGCTTCGTGAAGTAAAACGGTAGATCCCTTTCCGGCTTCGGCAAAACTTTTGGACGGCCGGGCATCCCCACTGTAAGAAAATTTGAAGCCATTGGGGAAGGAAAGTACGAGAGCTTTGGCGCCTCGGCAGTGATTTACATCTGGTGCTTGAAAAGACTGGAGACCCGTCGCGGCAGCGAATTTGGCGTTTCTACATAGAAGTTAACAAGAGCTGGAACGATTTAGGTCGACGAAAAGGGAGCTTTTAGTACATACAGTTCTTCATTCTCGGAGAGGATCTGCGCCTCGCGAGAATCACCAATGTAAAATTCGGTAGTCTTGCTAGCTTGTACCCACTTGACCGTCACCGGCATCAACTTGGAATATCCAATATCCTCAGCCATGGAGTACTCGCGAAGCCATTGAATGAAGCCCTTATCGGAGAAGATAAACAGGCGTTTCTCAGTCAGGGAGTCTTCTAATCTGGCCAGAAGATCGGCGTCGTGGAGAGGTGTATTTTGTGGAGGATTGTCCCCATACACAGTCTTGTACCATGCTTTGATAACAGACGCAGCACCCAGGTGATGGTCGGCGTGGAGATGGCTGATCCAAATCGCCCGAAGGTCATGGAGAACTTCGCGTAATTCCTCTGGTGGAAACACGCGTCTAAGTTGGCCAAGAGTGTTCTCTCCACAATCCAGCAAGTAGGATCCGTAGCCCGGAACTCGCAACAGAGTGGCAGAAACATTCCTGTATTTCGAAGGCAAAGCCGAGCCGGTTCCGAGAGTAATAATCTCCGCGTCTTTGCTGGGTATGTCGCGCTGTTTCTGTTCAAGCTCAGATCTGAAAACATCACTAGAAATTTCTTTCTTTGCCTGATCCGCTAACCGAATGACCTCAGGATCCGTCTCCCTAATGACTCTTCCAGTATTGACAAATGGTACAAGAGCATCTTGTTGCACTTCCACCGATGGCTCGAGTTGCACCTTGAGCCCTCTGTCCGCTGCTATGAACGGGGAGTTCGAGGGCAGAACAAAATCTTTCAATCCATATCCAGGCTGAGGCAGAGTACGATTGTCATGTACCAGCAAAGGAAACCTGTCCGAATCTAGCTGGCTAAGTCGGACGGTAGCAGCAGCTGCAGAATCCATGGACAAATAGTTCGGACAGACATCTCGCGATGATACTATATGCTTGAATTGCTTGTTCTCGGTAACGAATTTGTTGAGCAACTGGTCTCCTATCACGCCTGGCCCAAGGATCCAGATGATTGCTTCGATACCGTCCATGACCTCTTTTGATTTCCACTCTCTCCTTTCCAGTAAAGGCGCCACGTAATCGGCAGATGGTAGTTCCACAATTGCCATACCACCCCCTTGTTTTCCTGGGCTAAGCACCATGTCCGGTGTGACCGTCTTGCCATCATCAGCGATGACGCTCTTTCCAGACGCAAGTTCACCAAATTGCCTGGGATTCTTTACGTTTAGCTGTTTCGCCTTTGCGGGTTGGAACTTGCCGCGTTGTGGATGGTTGCGCACTATCCAGGACATGGCAACGGGCGAAGGCGATGTGCTTGGCAATTTGCTAATCATCGCTCCCGGCCACGGCTTTCTCACGAGCACTTTGATGTCAGGAAGTGGCTCTGGTCCGCCGGGCATGGGACCTTCATACTTCTCAATCTGGCGAGTGCTTCTGTTTCGGACGAACAAGGTGGCCGGCATATCTACTTGCGAGATATGCGTCTCCTCCATTGCATCAAGTCGCCATGACGAGTTAAACATTTCGCCGACGATAGATTTGCGCATTTGATTATCCCGGTCAAATTTTGCAGCCAGATCTTCCTCTGACTCGTCCATCTCATCAAATGTCCGCTTGCCGGGACTCTTATCCCCAGAGGCCCATCCCTTCGGATTGACCCCGGCGGGACAAACCGGCATAGCCCATACGTTCAGGTTCGAATCTGCCCAAGAAGGTGGAATATCTGTCCCACTATAGCGAGGAGTACGGTCATCGTAGTATTCTTCAACATTGACTGGCATTCCCTTCCTGAAAACAAATTTTCGTGCTGTTGCCAGAGTGTGTAGGAGGTTTGAACTTCCATGAATGTTCAAGGTAGGCTTAAGATCAGAACTGGTGGTATGCTCTCCGTCAATACCTTTACGTGCCACCTTTCCTTTTTGTTTTTCGGCAGCATCGGCGGCCGCAGCACCAGTCACATCTGCCAATGTCAAGATCATGCCAATGGCACCCCCAACGGTTGCCCATTCCGTCTTTCCAGTAACGAAAATGTCGGATACCTTGGCCAATCGCGCACCCGTTTGTGTGCAGGCACGCTGCGTACCCTCTGACACGTTTCCAAACAGATAGCGCTTGCTGTCAAAATGAATCATAACAGTAGTGCCAGGTGTGTCCCCTGTCGGGGTCGTGATGAATTGAACGTAGTTTCTCATTTTCCTCCGTGTCACTTGCGAGCGGTAGCCACTAGATTCTCTTGTGCGTAAGGACGGTGGACTGTGGACAGAATCTTTGAAAACGGCAAAGATTCTACGCCGTGCGGCCTGGCGAATGTGTGTGAACCGGATGTTTGAGCGGCGAGTACCGATAGCTTTGGCAACGGCAGGTGAGAGTTTCAAAGTTCCCTGGCGGTGCTTTCGTGGGCGACCTCCAATCCCAAAACCGTATCCACTTGTCCGCGGCAAATTGCTGTGTTGCTGACCAATGGGTTTAGGACCTTTTCTTTGCAGGTTTGCCCGCTGAGAATTTCTTCTCCGCTGATCTTGTCTCCAATCTCCCTTGTTGTGGAGTCGCTGACCTTCTCTCCTCCCCGCGGATTCTGCGACTCCTTTCTTGCCTTCCTCTTCTGTATTTCTGATGTCACTCAGTCTCAGGCTCCCTGAGGCAGAAAATTGTCGAACAGATGCTATTCCACGGACACTGTTTATCGGAGCAGCGGGATTCGCAGGTCCAGCCGCGTGATTCAGCCCCACTTCCAGCCCAAGTCCCTTCCAATAAAATGGAAATCTTTTTTTCACTCCGGAGTATTGTGTTGCAACCCTCGCACTGGGCCTAGAGTGAGTGATAGGGACGGCTGACAAGGCCGATGAGGTCCAGAAGCTGCGGCGCAAACCTTGCAGTCCTCGGTGTCCCCGTAGGGAGAAGCTTAAGCAATTTAATGCTGCTGACACCGAAGAATTCAGAAAAACCGGCACCAAGCGTTGGGATGCCGCCAAAACTGAAGAGGTTGAGGATGCTTTTCCGAGGGCCGGAAGAGTAAGTCTACCTTGAGGTAGTCCAGGTAAGTAATCCGAAGCCAATTTGGCGGTGACTGTGTATCTCGGGACAAAAAGTAGTTTGATCGTAATCGTATTCCCTCGTTCGTCCTTCCTATTGTTCCCAAATGTCCGGCCTTGCTCTTTGTAAGGAGCAGTCGCGGCGTTCGCGGCGAGGCGGTCACGTTCGTTCAAAAGTCTGGAATGATAGTTGCGGTCTTGTCCGATGCAAATACTTAAAGATGTGTATCGCTACAAATGGTATGAAATGCAAATTTAGTTGTCCATGCTTCTCAGAAAGAAAAGAGTAAAATTTCTGCTCTCGATTTGGCAGAGAACAGCGAGGTGTAGTCTAAAGACTTTCAAATCCTCATCTCGATCTTGAAACTTTCAAGCTGCAACTTGAATTGAAACATTTACTTCCATCCCATTGTGGAATAGCGCGAGTCCTTGAGCTCGAGAGCCAGGCGACCGGGAAAATGACTAAGTAATTTCATGTTGCCCCGCTGCTTTGCCCCGCCACATAACATATACGTTACCTTAGGCGCTCCGTAGACTAAGTAGAGCAGATGGACTTTTTAACGGGAATCACATAACTACGCACAACTTACAAAGCCTCTCAAAGAGAATACAGTATACGGTTATTCACATCTATTGATATACACAGTAGAGATAAACGGAAATATCGCATTTCGTGTCCAGCACGAACAAGAATAATGATACAAGAGAAAAGAGAAGAATAGTCATCTGCTCGGAACTGCTACAATAAAGACACCATTCTTTTCCGGTGCGCTCCAATTTCCTTTTGCGATACCAATTTCGGTCGCCTAAAAGCAGATAACCTCCCAGATATGAGGCAAAGCTCGTGTTATGTGTAAATTCGATAAAAATAACCTTAAGTAGATCGGAAGCGGACATGCCGAGAAGCAGAAAGCAAGTTTCATCTCCGAACATAGCCAGACTGGCTATTAGACATGAGTGACCCCCCAAGGATTTGAACACAATGAAATTCGTCAGGGGGGTTAGAGTGTGTAAAATAGGAATAGAGAAAAAAAAAAAAAAAAAGGAAAAATTCCAAAAGAAGGTGCTGACAATCTTTTCCGGGCAATTAACCCACTCGAGATGACTGGTAAAGAAGAGTTGTGAAACTGAAGAGTGTGATAAAATGAAACTCGGGGATAACCGCAATAAAGAGGTCTACCGCCGAGTGATGTTAACCCAAATGCTCGCCATTAGGCCTCTATAGTGATGTCGAAACGCCAAGGTGAAATTCAAAAGGAAAATGACCAAAGAAAAAAGTCCAGTCTAAGAACAAGGAATGTTGGAAATTGCTGAGAGATGAGGTTGTCCAAGATGCAAGGCACTTAAAGATGATTTGTGACTTGCTGAACGCGCTGGAAAGCGGCTTCCATACTTGAGCACATACGCTCAAATCGTATCATTGCCGCAGTACTGTCAGCGGCCTCGATCTCGGCTTCGGGGGCCACCACCAGCTCAAACTTAGCAGCTGGTTTGTCAGAGTTGATGACAGGAGAGGAAGGCGACACGACCGCCTCGGCCGGAGATTCCTCTTGGGGAGCAGGGGCATCGACGTAAAGTGCGAAGCAAGGGTCGGATGCGTCGAGTTCGACTTGCTCAGAAGACTCAACAGACTCGACCTCGTCAGCCTCATCCTCGGGGAGGGGAATGCGCTCAATGACTGGGAAGTCATCCTTGGACTCGCCACTCAAAAGCTGAGCCAATGGAGATGAAGAGCCCTTGCCAGAAAGAATTCCAGTGTCAAGCTCCTCAATGGCAGGTCCCTCAGGAAGCTCGAGGACAGAGAAGACTTGAGGCTGGTTGGGAGCCCAACCCATTGCATCAGAAGTCCAGGCATGGTTTGGGGTCATGTCAACCATGGGATAGTTCATGGCGTTGTCGGGAACCATGGGCATGCCAACCTGAGGGCCACTCTGGGGAGCCTGGGACTGCTGGGCAACGTTGACATGACCCAAGTTCTCCGGAGGAGGGGCGACAGTGCCATTGGCGACATTCTCAGAGCCAGGAGCTTGAGTAGGGGGTGCAACGCCATTGGCACTGAGGTCATTGAGAAAGTTGGAAAAGGCGGGCGACGACAAGAGCATACGGGTCAAGTCGGTGAGGCGAGTGTTTTCGGCCCGGAGGGCGGCATTCTGAGCGCGAAGATCATTGGATTCGTTGGTACGCGCAGCCACCTCACCTTCTAGTTGGCCAATGTATTCTAATAAATCATTAGTATCGAGGACAATTGATGCCGTTTGCACAAGAGGCGATGAGAAAATACGAACCCTTTCTTCTGGAACGGAAGGCACGAGCGGAAACCTTGTTGCGAAGCTGGCGACGCTCCTTGCTGCTCAACTTCTTACCCTCCTCACTCGCCAAGAGTCTCTCGTCTTCGTCCATCTCTTCTTCCTCCTTGCGAGCGCGAGAGATGGTAGCGTGGAGAGAGGAGGCGGAAGGCGTAGCTCCGTCATCTTCCGAGGAAGCGACACTGCTGTGACGCATCGAGTTCAAGAGTTGAGAAATCTTTTCGTCAACCAGAGCGTCATGGGCATTGGCAGGAGTCCGGCTAGGACGGCCATGGACAGGAGGCTGGCCCATAGCAGCACGCTGCTGCTGCTGTCGCTGAATAGCCTTTTGCTGCTGTGCTTGCGCCTGCGCCTTGGCAATAGCAGCCTGCTGCTGGTGCATTCCAGGGTAGAGACGGCCAACGTTGCTCTGGGGCTGAGGAGCGACAGCTTCTGAACCAGCAGGGCCGTCTTCCTGGCCGCCAAGTAGATTCGGGTTCACAAACTCGTCATTTGACGGTACGGGGCGCTGGGGATAGTAGAGCATGCCAAGGTTGGCGTTGGGTGTCTCGAGTTCAAGGTCAATGTCGGATGCGGCGCTGAATGAGCCATGGTGCATGGGCATGGATCCAAAGTCGACAAACTCATTTTGAGAATCTAAGTTGAGGAAGCCGTCATTGGTTGGCAGACCCGAATTTCGGCCAAAGTGCATGTTCGTGGCCTGGTTAATGGCAATCGTGTCGGCTAGGGCTCCGACAGGAAGACCGGTCTGCTGCTTGTGCATGTCATATTGATGACTGGGACCAGAGAATATCTGAGGAGTATTGCTATGAGCCGCAACAGCGGTGATATCGGCTGCTGATTGCGAGCGGGACGAGGAAGGAGAAGTTGAAGGGGAGGGATAGACAATCTGGTCATAGTTGATATATCTGTCCATGTCGACCACGTCGAAGCAGGCTGCGTTGGGGGCAGGCGTGGCTCCTGCAGGCGAAGCAGCGGACGAGGTAGACATGGTGACTGTCTCGAGTCGTGGGAAAAGGAGGATGTTGAGCCCTTTTTCTTGTTTTCAGTCCCTCGTGCCGGTGATGTCGATCGAGGCGCGCGGTTCAGGACCCGCTCAAGGTTGGGTCAAATGATCTGCAAAACTGGGGTCGTCGACGTCGGGAGCGTAAGAGAGCGGAGGAAAGTCGGATTTCCTCAATATCGCTCAGATCGTGGATACGTATTCTTCTCGGTAGAAGGTGATTGATTTGGGTTCGAGAAACAGATGTTGTAGTTGAGTGGTGAGGTGATGAAAGATGAAGATTGTTGGTCAAGGGAAAGCAGAGAGGGTTGGAAGTGATTGACGAAAGGGGGGAGAATAGCGAAGGGGAAGACCAACAGGGCAACTTCTGGTGGAGAACGGGGACTTGTGGGAAGGAGGAGAGGCAGAGGGTACAGCGATAGACAGGCCTGTTGTGTGTGGTGGGTAAGGAAAGGGAAGAAGGCTGTGCTGCCAAGGCACGCAGCAGTCTCTACTGTACAGGCAGGCCAGGCAGGCACATCCATCACACACACACACACATCCACCACAGAGAAACTCTCGCACAAGGACCCCGAGGGCCGCGTGGCCCCTCCCCTGGCAATTCTGCTGACGATCAGGACATGATTGGCTGATGATCCTAGTTAGGTAAGCGATCTCGATGCACACAGAAAGGCAGGCACGACCCATACGTGCGCATTCATTGGCTCAAGTACCTCCGTCTCCACTTGGTCCACCATATCCGTCGTTTCAAGCGAGGTCCCCCCAGGTCCCCGGCGTCTCACTCCGCCGATCTTCCGTCTCACCCTCTCGATCCGAAGGACTGATACGGGCAAAGTGCCTCGGTTAATCAGGGCTCTGTTGCTGAGTTTTTCATTCCAGCGCGCAGAGAATTACAGGTGCTACCAAGGAACGCTGGTGGTCAAACGAAAGAAAAGAATTCAGCAGAAAAGCTATACAGTAAGTAGTAAAGGTAACACGTTACCGTACAGTTGGAGTATGGTGCAAGTTGGGAGAGCATCAGAGAGACCCACATCGCACTCAATTTCTCCTCTCCTCAGCCCGCCAGAGAAAAGAGAATGCCCCCAAGTGAGTGCTAAAAGGGCTCCGTCGGGCGATCGTCGACCCGAGTACGAGGCCCGGCCTACCGTAATGCCTCTACCCGATCACTTTTGAACAGTGCAGCGCAAGTGTATCGCTGGAATAAAAACAATATTCATCATCAGAGATAATCGCTAGCTCAAGACTCCATGTGTTGCATATTTTTTAAAATCATAAGCTGCATTCCCAAAATGGTAATTGCCAATACGTTTACTATATTGGTGGCATCACTAGAACCAATTGTTGGGAGAGGGGGCGAAAGAGATCGTTGTCAGAACGGAGTCAAGCCTGAGAAGGTTTTCGGAACGAGCATTGACCAGGGGAACGTTCCTGGGCTGCTAACCTATCGGAACAAGAAGCCGGGGGAACGCTAAGGTACGGGTCGAGAGACGATGGCAGGACTTCAACTTCTCACCCAATTTGCTTGGATTTGGTTGTTGGAATGAAGTATTGCGCCGGTACCGCAGCCGTACCTGGACATCGACCAACCGTTCAACTTCTTCAAAGAGCCAATCTGACGTCGTGATCTACAACGAGCCCCTTTCACCCACGGATGGTACAAAGCATCGGTAGTAATTTTTAGCACAGGCAGTTAGACTTTTACATTTCAAAAAAGACCAAAGAGACCAAAAAAGGCCTCATGCAAAACTGCTATTGTAGAGGAGGGAAAAGTTTTTGTAAACAATCTTCCCCCCTTACTGTACCTCTTCATCCACACGGTGATGTGACACAGGGGTCGAAGTGTCCGCGGCATGCACGACAGGCGCCCCACTCCGTTGCTCCCAAAATACTGGGCGAGGCGCCGCCCGCGATATGTACCGGCAAGGGAAAGCGGCACACAGAGGGCAATACGAGTAGAGATGAAAATGCCGGGCACAAAATATTGGCCAGCATGGCCGGACTTGACAATCCCCTGGCTTCAACATACACACATACTTGTCGTGTTAATAGTCGGAACATAGAACATGTAGGCAGAATGTCCTGTTCACCTAAGAGCATTGTATCTGCAACCACTCGGCAGACGAGAGATGAACCACATGTTACAGATCTCGGCAAAGCTCAACTGTGGCTGGGTGCCAACGGGGCAGAGCTGACGACTCCAGGGTGGCTCTGCAATCCCTGACCAGCAGTCACAAACGGAATCGTGCCGTCTAATCGTAACGTCTGGACCAATTCCCAAAACTCAACTTCTCCTTTGAGCCCTCGAATACCATGCTTGAAACACCCATCCTCGCTTTCCACGTCTTCAATGACTCTCTTGATCATTTCCCACTCCTCATTGCGGATCAGGGCTCGCAACACCGCACTAAGGGCATTCCACCCAGGAACCTTTCCTTCGCTAGGCATTCGACCCAAAAATGCCATCATCTTGGAAGTCTGGCCAGTCCGCGCATAGCCTTCAATGAGTCGGTCACAGAAGATGAGGTCCACCACACCTCCTTCAAGCTTGATCCGTTCCCAGAGGCTATCAATAGCAACAAGATCCGGAGACTCCTGGTCAAAGTAATGCGTAAGAATGATAGTGTAAATGTGTGGCGAAGCCTTGATCTTTCGGCTTGCCATGTGATCAAGAACGGCTCGTGCAGCCGGTAAATTGAGGCATTGTTTGAGCAATCGATCGATCAGAATACCGTAGGAGTAGACATTCGCCTTGACACCGCTTGCCTCCATATCTCCTAGAATAGACGTGATCAAACTCTGCTGCTCCACCGGTGAGGAGGCGATGAACATATCATTCTGGAAAAGCCCATCAAGAAGGATGCTGAAGGTGGCCACATCTGGAAGAATTTGCTGAGCCTCCATGCAAGCGAGCAAAGTCCTAGCTTCCGCGTCCTGACCTTTGCGGACTGCTCGTCGAAGAAGCATGTTAAATGTGACAATGTCGTATTGGATATTGAAGGACTGCGCCCATAACAACACTTCTTTTGCCAATGCATCCTGTTCCTGGGCTACAAGAGGGCCCAGCGCAGCATTAACGGTTTCAATGGTTGGCTTGATAACACCCTCAATATCGATTGGGCTGGTAAGGAGATCAGAGGTCGAGGGACGGTCTCTTGTCAATCGTTGAGCCCGTTTGGTACACTCCAACCAGAGACGGCCCATTTCAAACAGTGCTTTGACGCCTGCTTCCTTCTTATTGCAGCGCATAAGCCCGCTCACTCTGGTTGTCCAACATTGAATGTCGGGCTTTACACCAGACAAAACCATTCTCTGCCATATTTGTTCTAATGATGCTGCATCGCGTGCTGCACGGCACCCTTCCATCATAGCATGCCATGCTAATATCGAGGGTGAGTGGCCTGCTGTAATCATTTCGTTCCAGACGTCGATTGCCCGGTCAGGCTGGCGTAAGCTCATGTAAGCAGAGAGAAATCGAGTATATATTGTGAGCGGGATTGCAGAATTCGAATGAAATTCCAATTTCACAGGCCTGTGCTGACTTGCGCTCCCTCCGTCAGAATGAATAGACCGGTTCGGGAAATCATTGTGGGCCGGGAAATGGTGTGGAATTTCATGCCAGAGCGAGTCGACCCGCACGATGTCGTTCCTTTCGGTCGCCCTTTTCAGCTGCCTCATGAAGAAAGTAATCTTGTGGTTGGTTTGATCTCCGTCTTCCGACCTCACACCGGATCTGTCAGCATGCCCGAGACTTGCATTCTTGGCAAGAAGCTGTAACGCAGCCTGCGGTGCCTCTATCGTCCTCTCGAGGACTTTTGCCACATACTCAGCGGAAACCCCTTTTGAAATGACAAAATCTTTCATGGAAGAAAAGTTCGGTTTTCCGTACGCCACGAGGTGACACATGAAGCGTAAAAACTCCCGAGATTCGGCGGTTTCCAGGGACATATGCGAGAGTTGTCTTTGTTGCAAATCGAACGTGGCATATGCTGCAAATGCCAAGCTTGGTCCCACTTTACTTGAGCGTGATTGTGGTAAAAAGTAAAGGAATCGAGTAGAGAAGTCCCTTGAGAGTCCCGCCTTGAGAGCATGTAGTTGTTTATTGGTCGGAAAGAAGGCGTGATCGCGATTATTTGGCAGTGGCATCTTCATTCCTTCGGCCCTGTCAATTGAAAAGAGGATATTCCAGACTTCGAATATATTCTGAAGCATAGATTCCCCCCTTCTTTCGGTCCTGTGTTCGGGACCACATGCAATAGAATCTTCACAATGCCGTAACAATGACCAGAGTGTATCCGTCCATTCTTCCAGTCCAATTAATCGCAAATTGTGAAGCTCATATAATGCCTGGGATGGAGAAGGAATCCCAGACAATTCTCTTTGTCCGGCAAAAGCCTCCACCGTTCGCTGAAGTAGCTGTTTGCAGATATCTCTCTCTTGGGAGCTGCCTTTGGGCCGCTTGAAAGGCTTTCGTGGCTTCGGCACGGTACCATTAGCATAATTTTCTCTTAATATCTGCCAGGAGTTTTGCACTGAACACTGAGGATCAGAGAGGTTTTGTTGAAGCTTCTGGATTGGGATGGAGTTCGAGTATCGGATGTCCGATTGGGGGGTTTTCCTCTCAAAGTTTCGGTGAGAGCGACTGCTTTCTCCAGCCGAAGCTCTGAAGAGTGATTGGAGAGCCCCATCTGTTCTGTCTCTATATTCACGTCGTCGAGGATAGGTTGTTGGGCGAGTCAGTGGCAGGGATATCCGTTCAGGCAACTCCAGAGATGGCTCTTCAATTGCTGCAACTCGATCATTCTGGATTTTAGGTTGAGGTTGGTTCAGAGAGACGAATGACGCTCTCGAGGTAGACTTGATTGAATAATATCCTCGCGAAAAGCGATGGATTCGCGTTCGACAACGAGCGCAAATGAATGGGCCGCTCATGAGGGTTAATGCGGAGAATGCGGAGCGTCAACAAGAGCAATAATGGGGCGGTTGAGCTCGGGAATTGGCGATGATTTAACCCAACTTTTACCCAGCCCGGCTAGTTCCGCCCGCCCCACGTTGCGCTACTAGTAGACAAGTGAAGTCCAAATCTGGGGAACGGCAGGGACGGAAGCATAACACTCAATGCCGGATGAGGGGTCAAACGCTGGCAAAGAGATCACCCAATTCTGGCAATCCCTCCTTTTCTGTGACTTAGTAAAAAGAAATAATTTTCACGGTATCAATCATTTATTTCTGAGTCTAATGTTGCGCGGGCAAAACTTCCAAGGCCTACGATCTTTATCATGACAACATTGCAGCCCAGAGGTCCCTATACTCCCGAGGAGTTGAAGAAACTCTATCCAGAAAGTCTTGAGCTTCAGTTAGTTCAAATAGTATGCTGCTCTCCCCGAACATAAATATCAGGTCTTTGAGAACTAATCTATCAAATTTGATAAGCTTCTTCGACATGGTCAGTCCCCAGTCCGAGGCGGATGTACCGAAGACTTCCCGGTGATTACGAAGAACTTTTGCTTCAATTGAAGACTTATACATTCCATAACAGGCGAGAGAAGTCCTGTATCAACTAGGTTTCGCAATGTAGGCATCTCCAACTCCGTACATTGGTACCAGTGGTTGACCAAAACGGACATAAGGCCGGTGTCCCAGCTTGTAAGAAATGTCAACCAAAATACCGTTGCTAAAAGGCCATACTGAGCTAAAAGCTATAAGTCTGGCCATATTGCAGTGTAGCAAAGAAGCTTCGCAGCACCAATATGACGAGCAACGACGGATCAAGCTGGAACGATCTTGAATGGCGCCGTCGCCTTGAGACATTCGCAGAAGACGATGGGGCTGCCGTAGCGGCTGGCCCAGCTGGTACATTTGATGCGATATGGTACGATTCCATAATTTTTCGTCGTATCTGGGGTGCATTCACTTATACGTTGCATGCAGTCAGCTTGGAGAACTTACAGATCGAGGGCGGGAGACCACTTTTGCTTTAGGGCAGAGACTACGCCATCTCTACGTTGAACAGCTCAAATTTATGCCAAGACTGATCTCTGATGCTGACATGATGTATCTCCGCGCAACTCCCATTCCACGAGCTCTAGAATCTGTACAGCAGACCTTCCTTGGCATGTATCCATCGAATGCGCGAACGGCGTCTTTTCCACCTCCCACTATCCTCATTCGAACTCCTGCAGACGAGACCCTTTTCCCGAATGATGGAAATTGCCGACGATTCAGTCAGCTAAGCAGGGCATTTGCAGAGCGGACTGCCCGAAGATGTAAGCACCAAAGCTTCCTTCATCCAATGCCTTCTGAACTCGTCTACTAAAACCTCAATTCTTCTTAACGTAGGGAACGAAACTACAGAAATGGATTATCTTAACAAACTTATTTCAAAGTGGATGCCTGATCATTCCAGCCGTGTTGCGGTAGACTCACGCCCTCGACTTTCCGGTATCATGGATACAATCAATAGTACATTGGCCCATGGGCCCGAAACAAGATTACCTCCAGAATTCTATGATGAAAAGGGTCGCAAAATAATTGACCGCATTGGTGTAGAAGAATGGTTCTCTGGGTATGAAGAGTCAAATGAATACAGAACGGTTGGCATAGGGGCATTGGCTGGAGACATTGTGGCACGAATGACTGGTAATGTGGAGAAGAATGACTTCAGTAGCCTTTTGGAAATTGGTGACTCTAGCCACGCACCTGGTCAAGGCAGAGGCGGAGAAAAGCTAATCAAATTCGCCTTGTCGGGGTGTCATGACACGACTCTGGGCTCCTTGCTGGCCAGTTTAGGTGCGTTTGAAGGAGGAAACTGGCCACCATATTCCAGTCATATATCGTTTGAGCTTTTTAGGAGCAAGTCGCTGGACGTTTCAGATATTGTTCCTGCGGTGACGGAGAAGAATACTTCCAAGGGCATTCTCGGGTCAATATTCGGATCGAGTGGGAAGTCGGACAGTGACACACTAAAGTCTCGAACATTAACGAGGAAAAAGTTAGTCGACATGAGCGATGCAGAGAGGAGCAGGCTCAAGGGCTACTTCGTTCGGGTCCGGTACAATGATCATCCAGTAACGATTCCAGGCTGCAGGAAACCTGGCAGTCATCTTGAAGGCGATGAAAGCTTTTGCACCCTGGCAAGATTCCATCGGCCTTTGTTGCGAATCATTTCTTGACTGACTCTTGGATAGGAGGCATTCAAAGCCATTGTCGACAGATTTACGCCAGACCAATGGAAGAGTGCTTGTCAATCGAATCTGGATAAGCCGTCGTTCCCTCCTATGCCAGAACCTGCAGGGTACTAATCGCAGTTATGTAAAGTTGTATATTGATGAGCTCTTGGATTTTTGAAATGAATATTGAAGGGAAATGTTGAAAATGCTTTTGATTTCAAGTAATCTCGAATTTGTCATTTTCATAATTTGTATTCAATTTGTAAAAATATATTTTCCCCACCAATCTTATTCCAGATAATTTAATTTTTGGAAAAAAGAAAAAGAAGAAAGAAAGTTGACAATTTTTAATGAGATCATCCTTTTCCATGAAGTCCTGACTGCCAGTAAAATGCATATTGCCTTAAGAAGGCAGATGAATTGGTCTTGCAACCAGGGCCCCTGCGAACAAGAAGTGCGTTGGTTGTTTTCGTAGCGGGAGCAGACGCGGTCGCGTGCGAAGGCCGCATGCACGACTAGACTTGGGCTGTTGACAATTTAATGGCCCTAAAGGGGAGGGGCCAGGATTGCGCATTACTATTTTTTAATCGCGCTTCTCATGATGAGAACGTCTCAAATTTTCAAAGGTTTGCTTATGAGGTTCGTGCCTAATCATAATAGCGAGCATTGCTAAATTTTGTATAGCATCGCATCATGCAGTTCCTTCACCTGACGGTACCTTGATTGCGTGCATTTCAAACCAATCTCTCATTATCCGATCTACGAACAATTCGGAAGTGCATCGTGCTATCACTCTTGCGCCTCAGTTTGCAACTCGTATCAACCTTAGTAAATGGTCGCCGCTGCCGGACAGCAAAACCGACTCTCCCAAGTCTTACAACCATCGAATATTTCTAGCAGATACAGCCACGGTCCGGTTATGGGATACCGATGACGAGAATTGGACTGCGGTCATAAATAATGCTGGTGGGAGCTTGGGCAAGATAGCCAACGTGGAGTTTGGCAGAGATTCGAACGAAATTTTAGTGTTCACTGAGTTTGGCATCAAGCTCACAGTGTGGTTCCTTGATACGGGCCGAAACGTCGAAATCACGGATCCGAAGTTTGCAACGAAAGGGTTTGACCATCGACCAAGCACAGGTCATTTTGCTCTTTTGACGCGACCCGCAGCACATGATGTTGTGACTTTGCATGAGCCCGGCAATTACAGTCTTCTTAAGAGCTTCCTGGTCTCAACGATTGATGCACAAGGGCTGAAATGGAGTCCCTGTGGAAGATGGATCGCCATTTGGGACACGCCGAGTAGTGGATACAAGGTCATGATCTATACGTCCGAGGGGCATCTTTTTCGCACGTATGCGGGGCCCAGTGGGGATGATTCTATCAACTTAGGGGTGAAAAGCGTTGACTGGACCCCTTGTGGGAAATATCTTGCCATAGGTGGCTATGATAGCAAAGTCACAATGCTAAAATCAACAACGGTAGGTCTGGATTGACAGGTTTTGAGGAAGGGCTTCTGCTGAAATTCTCTAGTTCTCACCTGCAAAATCTTTGCTGCACGTTTCAACGCTGAATTTACCAAGCTTGACTGTTTGGCAGGAACTCGTCTCTTCAGACGAGCGGGTTTATTCACTTGCCCCTCAGCCAATGAGTCCTCCTATGCTTGATTCTTCATCAGACGGTCCGCATCTGAGGAACGGAGTCTCGATCCTGGCCTTCAACTCCGCCGAAAGTGGACTTGTTGCTACTCGGGTGGATTCTATGCCCACTACAGCCTGGATATGGTCGCTTGAGCATAGCTGGTTGTTGACCGTGCTTGTCCATCATTCCCCAATTAAGAGTCTTTCTTGGCACCCGACATTGCCGGGTCTACTGATGATTCGGTGTGCTCATGACGACGGGGTTGTCTATCTCTGGGAAAAGAATGAGGGTCGACCACAAATTTTTAGCCTCCCACTAGAGAAGCTGACTGGCAAGTATGGAGCTCAATGGGTGAATGCCGTCTCTCCAAAAGAGCCCGTGGTAATGTTGAACGACGCTCAATCTTATGTCATTGGATATTTAGGAGAGGCGGCCGAGGACGAAGGCGAGTCCGAAGCAGATTCCCTTTCTACAAGTGCATTACAAGATGACAATTTCCGCGCGCAAGAAGGCTCATTATTTGACGTGGTTACCCAGCCAGGCGACAATATAGCCCGTGCAGAAATGCAAGCTTTAAGATCGTCTGATAAAGAATGGGATATGATCAAGGATGTGCCAAATTAATAGCATCATGCGACTTCCGACGAAGACGTCTGGAGGCCACATTGGGAGTTTTGGGTATGGGGCCGATAATTATTTTTGTTATACCAATCATCAAGTGAATTGCTTTGTTATTCAAGACCAGGTCAAATGCATACTATGATTGTATATTAAATGCAGGAGAAAATCCCTGTTGCTCAATGATGCATACTCGACCAGTAAACAAAAGTTGACCTATCACGAGCGCTTAATTTGCAGCCCTGCCGATCGACAAAAGGGCAAAGACTCAAACGAGCTTCGTCGCGAGCCCTCTCGTGCAAAACCTGGTGGCGTCACACTACCGACATGGGCAAAGCCCACATCAAAGACCCTCGCTTCCGAGGGTATGCTGACTCAGCAGCCCACTCAGAAATCGGCTGTCACATATTCAATTTGAGACTCCTCCGAGCGATTCTGCGAACGACAACCTTCATCACATCAACAAAATGGTGAGTTTGCTTGCACCCCAAAGGGTTTCATGATCTGTCGCAACAAGTTTACTGATGAATTAATCGCAGGCTCCCGCTGGAAAGCAGAAGAAGAAGTGGTCCAAGGGCAAGGGTACGTCGTCTCGTCCATAATCGCGATTCTTGAAGCATCGTCACAATCTTCCCAAATATCATCCATCATCATTATCATCATCAGACACATCCGCCACACTGTTCGAGCCGAGGAATCGAAAAGAATGGAGTTTCGCCCCTGCGACATTTTTCAAGAGACGAACCCATTTTTGTGATTCAAAGCTTGAAGTCTCCCCCCAAACCTCCCGGAAGCGTCACGACGATTTGAGAAGAAAACTATCAAGTAATGAACGCACGCTGATCCATCACTATAGTCAAGGACAAGGCCCAGCACGCCGTTGTTTTCGACAAGAGCACCTCGGACCGTCTTAACAAGGATGTCCAGTCCTACCGTCTGATTACTGTCGCCGTCCTGGTCGACAGACTTAAGATCAACGGCTCCCTCGCCCGCAAGGCCCTCGCCGATCTCGAGGAGAGGGGTGTTATCAAGAAGGTTGTCAACCACCACGCCCTGGATGTCTACAGTACGTATAAACCTTGAAATCTCTAGCGATCGTTGGAGAGGAAACGATCTGTGCGCGAGGACAGTCATACTAACGATATCTCTTAGCCCGGGCTGTCACCGCCGAGTAGATTCCCCCCAATTTCGATGACTTTCCGGTCCGGTTAGGCGTGTCCGTGTGGACTGATGTCTGAGGCGATATATCCATTGATCTCTTCGCTGTCCGAAACTTCTATGACTTGCGACCTCTCATCACGGCGCAAGCATCTGATACCACATCAGGATGATGGCACGGGTTGATGATTGATGGATGGTTCTTGTTAGTGCTCAATGAAAAGAGTTATTAGCAATTTGCACTTCGTTGTCATTGTGATGCGTGATATATGTCCAACAAACCCTCTTTCTACTCAAATAATATCCACTTCTCGGGTATCACCTCAGCACGGACCCTCTATCCTCTATATCGCACCCTCTGCCTTATAAATCCCTTTCCCTTATATAAATCCCACGTTCTAGATATCAACGGAGGTCCTGAGATATGCTCGCCCTTGTCAGATCTTAGAGTGCCATGAAGGTACAGTACAGTACAGTCCCTATACAACGGGTGTATATCCGTCTACTCTATCCTACCCCTGCGTCACTCACCGTGCAACCAATCCCACCCATCCGAGATCCCCTTATAATACCCTCTTTCCTCTTCTTCTAACTTTCACGTTCACGTAAACTCTCCAAATCATGATATTCAGCAACCTTGTTTCACCTTGATGTTGTACGCATAGAGGGCAGACTTAACTCGAGAACCCTTTACGAAGGTAGCTCATGAATAAAAACCCCAAAAGCTCTGGGAATTTATACCTAGCCCGGGTGCTGTATAACCTATAATCAAACCTACTGTACCATTGTCATATCAGTCTATCTACGGAGCGTACGGAGGCTAGCATGACCATAATATCACATACGTAACCACAGAAGCTACAGTATACATTGGAAAGTATTTTCTTTCCTCACGTAGAGCCGTACGTCTAGGGCTGCAGAGAGCGGGATTAGTAGTTTATTGCAATCGGCTTTGATGCTTTGGAAAAGAAAAAGGATGAAATTAGGAAAATAAGAAATGAAAAATGGAAAGGTTGCATAAGAAGTATAGCATAGTAGTAAAGGAGGGAAATTACAAAAGAAAAAAAGAAAAAAGACGAAAGACAAACATAGAAAAATGAAAGCAAAGATACAGAACTTAAGGGGAAATTAAAATAGAAAAAAATAAAAATAAAATAATATAAGAATAAAAAAAATGATATAAAATGACACAAAACAAGAGAAAAAGACAAAGAAAATAAAATAGAAATAAATAAATAAATAAACCTAAAAAATAGAAAATAATAAAAGAAAAAACTATCCCCCCGCCTTCTCCGTACCGCGCTTCGGTCTCGCCCGCTGCGCCGCCTCACACAGCGGCTTCACCGGCTCATGTTCCAACCAGTTGGGATCCCGCAGGACGTTGCCGATTTTCCAATACTTGTCATTATTCTCAAAGAAGCGCTGCCAGTGCTGGATGGCGTCGCGGACTTTGGTGCGTGCGGTGCGGTATTCGCGCTCGCGCTGGATCTTTTTTTGCGCTGGTGTCATGGTCTTTGTTTTTCCGGCTGGTTCAGGGTGTTCGTGATGTGCCTGATGTGTTTTGTGATACTTGTTGCCCTTGGTAGATTCACCGCGCTGATGGGGGTAACCCTCGCCTTGCTCGAAATAAGGCTCACTTGCTTCACTAGACTCACTTGCTTCGCCAGACGCCTCACTTCGTTCGTCGTCAACGGGAACAAACATTTCCTCCACACCTCTCAAATCAGCATTCAAATCTTCCTGAAAACAGCCCGTGACAAACGCTCTCGCCGCATCGCGCCCCGCAAAAAAACTATAACTTCCTCCCGGCCCATAGAGTCGCGGCGAGGCAGAGACATCGTATATAGACCCATTGACAGCGACGTATATGGGCAAGGCAGGATCGGTGCCATTGTAGAGCGACAACTCGACGGGCGTCAGTGAAATGGGCCCGAACAGCATCGTCTTCAGTGGGCCGGTACGTGTCCACGCCGGCCGCCAGCCCCAGCTGAAGGAAGAGCTTGTGATGAAGTAGCTGAGGATACCGCCGAGCAGGACGAGGCCGGCAAGTGAGCGGAGAATGTCTATGAAGGTGGAGAGTTTGCTGTTAGAGAAGAATAAGTCTGGGTCTGACTCCGACTCCTCGCCGCGTTGCTCGGCGGCTGCGGTGGCGGCGGATTTGGGAGAGCGTGGGGTCTGCGCTTGGGATTGTGTTTGGGGTGGTGTTTGAAGATGTGGTTCTAGATTTGGTGACGGGCCTTGTTCGGGAGAGTCGGATTTTGTGGTTGCAGTGCCGGGATGAGGGTTCCGTTGGCGCAATGCGGACGAGGATGGCTGAGAGGCCATATTGGATTGCCTTTTTCTTTGGTAGGTTGGGTTGAAGGTGTGTTATTTTTGACCGCTTCTGGTTCTTGATTATGTGTAAATATGCTTGTCGCTGATGATTGCGGAGCAATGTAATATGCTGGATAATGTATCGTGGCAGTAAAAGGCGCGGCTCGTGTATTCTATGCTGTATCGTGTATCGTAATCTCGTATGGCGTACCCTGACTCTATAAAATTTTCCACTTTTGCTTTATCTCACGCAAAACTTTGTTCCCATGATATATGTTTACGGTGCTGTTTCTAGGCCCCTATCGAAGAGGCTTGAGTAGTTTGGTGTAAAGTAGTCGTCTTGCTCGGCGCGGACAGTAGCAAGGGACCCGGAAACCGAGGGATCGTAGGGCTGAAGACCCGTGTCGGTGATGCTTTGGCGACCAGTCTAGCAAAGCGGACTTCTCTCCTGAAGTTCACAACAAGGAAGGGATGAAAAAACCGACAGCCTGAAAAGATTTGTGGCGTCACGGTGGTATGTTTACATATAGCAAGTGTATCATGGGCTGACATTTGACTGGCAAGCTATCCTACGTAACGTAAATAGAGCGGAACATTCCGTAAGTTGGTCATAGCTTCTGTAGCTCAAAGCTCAATCCATTCCGCATCAAATGTTATCGTTTGCTACATAATTGCGGGCATTGCTTTAACTAATGATGATTTGTTTGGACTTTTTAGCCTATAAAAGATCCAGAGGATATAATGCTACATTGAAAGGGGGGAGGGAAGGTGATGGAACCTCATCGAGTAAACACCTGTGCCAGGGCGTCTTGGAAGACACCAACGTTGTAATCGATAAGACCCTTTTTGCCTCGTGAGTCTTCACGCATAAGGCAGATGAGTGCGAGATATCTGCGTAAAATTCAATTAGCAGGCGTGCTTGAAGTGACGAGTGCAAAAAGCCCATGAATTTTGCCGAATTGTATAGAATCAACAGCATTTGTAAACTTACTTGTTAATCTCCCGCAAATATAAATAACTATCGTTCTGCAGCGTAATTACGCTTTCGGCGTCCGGATTCTCAATCTGATCCTCGCCATCGACTTCATTCTCCGCCGCTTTACTAGGTCTATCCCACCCATATATCTCGCTCACGTCGACAATGACATCGATATAGTCGGATGAGATTTCATAGCTGCTAATGTCCGATGGCGTGGTGTCCGCGGCAATGTAAATTTTGCTGAGCACGTCAAAGAGAAAGGCCTTTTCGATCCGGCAATTGTTGCATAAGCTGTCGAGGAGAGATTCAAGGGTGGGTAGTTGGGGGATTAGCTTTTGGATAACTTTGCTAAATGCTTCAAAAATAGAGTGATCGTAGATGCTCGTCTGGTAGAAGCTAACAGGCGCATTTTCATAGCCAGCATCTGAGAGTTCATCTTGAATCCGTTGGATAACGTCCCGAAAAGTATCGGCTTTGTAATCCTCGGAGAGACCATCGACTTTGTGAATAAAGACCTCCACATTGATCGAAGGGTACGTCTGTTGAAGATGTAAGATGGTGGTGTTTAGTCTGTTGATCGCGTCAAGGTAGTCGTCCTGCGCGTCAATGACCCATATGAGCGCACCGATTTCACCGAAAATGTTGTCCACGTCAAAGGCGGGGTCGAAAAAGTCGAGTTGGCCGGGAAAATCCCAAACTTGAAAATCCATAAAGGAGCTAAGCAGTCAGTACCTGTCCTAGAGTCGACAGTCTTATGAAGCAGTGGAGGTAGAAGACTTACTGCATAGAGTCCTTTTGGATCCTCGCGGTAGATTCTAGGAACAACGTCTCCGTAGGTGGCATCTTGTGAAATACAACGCTAGATATTGACGATTTCCCACTCCTGCAGCCTCCAATTAGTAACATGACTTTATATTCCCAGAATGCACGAGGCATCAAGCAGACATACCTCCGCTGACCCATGAGCAGTAATCGTGGTTTTCCATCGCTGAGTTTACTATTCGGGAGACGGCCGGTATGAAATTGCGGCCGCAAAGGGCTCGTGGGAACCTCGGCGATTGGAAGATCCTGGAGATAGCGTTCAAGCGTTAACGAAGCTGCGTTGTGATACCCTCCCCCGTGTCCACGAAACGATTTGCCACCGCCATGACGCCTCGCTGGGATAGTCAGGTAAGATGAGGCCATTTTGAAAGACAAAGAGTTGATGAGGTAAAAGCGGTCGATGGTAATGGGGATGGACCTGAACGTGTAATACAAGATAGAAATAAAAAAGGAACGCGGAAAACAAAGATGCACGGATTCAGATGAGCGTAAGTTTTGACAGTGAATAACAAAGACAGCAAATTCGAGGACTTCAAAAGCGCTCGCGCAAACCACGACCCGCACTGCCAGCAGCACCAATTGTCAGGGCAAGGAGGGCATCCAGATCAAGGACGTGATATAGTTCAGATGGCCCCAATTTTGAAAGATTTTCTGCTTGATCGATTTGCAAATCTCTTTAATGCATAGGCAGTCGGGCTGGTGCAGATTGGGGCCGCCCGCCATGCGAGTCAAGGACCATTCACGACGACGTTTCCACTCTTTCACCAACAATTGGAGGTTGCCGACACGGTGATGTTTCGCTTTGCGCAAACGCCGCCAATCAAACAAGCGATGCTGAGATATCAACAATGTGCCACCTTATGGACAACGCGCAACAGTGGTTGAAAATGAAAAGAAAATCACATTGGACTTTCAGTCCACCAGAAATGTCACAAGATAGGTTGGGCGCATATGTCGCATTGCGCGGGCGCCGAACTTCCTCAAAATGACAACCAAACGCAGGCAACAAGAAGCAGATATGACGGCGCCATGCAGATCACATGGCGGCGCTGACGGACATGTCCTGATATGAATGATTGTCCGTCGGGAGACACAGGGCTGCAGGAGGCAGTATCGAGAATTTTCGGTTGATTAAAGCGTCGCAAGCATCAACCAATATCAGTTGAACCCTTCACCCTGTCTCTGTCTCCCTCTCTCTTTCCAGTGGCCAGCTGCGACTGTGCAACCAATCACTCGGAAAGCTTTATTCGCCGGCTTGAAAAATGGCTGAATAAGAGCATGCAGGGATAGAGTGATACAAAATGCGGACACGAAGGGAAAGGGGAGTTTTCAAGGGTAGGGGAAACGATATAAAAGAGAAAATGCATTCTAGTTTTTTTTCTTTTGCTTACCTCCATGATGCTGGGGCGTTCAGAGGAGTAGAGAGCGGAGGGCGTGCCAGGAATGGAAAGCGAATGCGAACACGTCCCTTGCAACCTTGGGTTGCTACCGCCGAGCTCTGCTGCTGCTGCTGCTGCTGCCTTACTCTTTCGTTTCCTGTGCCGGTGAAAGAGAATCAATCTCACACACACCCCTTCTTCTCTTAGGGCCGGGATGCTGACAATTTTACTGCCAAAGAAATTTTAGTCGTTGGTTGCAGCAAAATCCCGGGAAAGATCGGGTCCTGAGACAGGAACAGTGGACGGCGCCCCGGTTTTCTTTGCCCAGTGCTGCGGCGTCCGGGGGGAGAACAAAAATAAACAGGCGATGCTGCAACGAAAAGATGCGTTGGTGCGTCACAGTCTGGTCCCCTTTCGGGCCGTATGCAGTGCAACGGCAGAGGAGAGCGGGAAAGGAATGCCTTGTCCCGAGGAGTCGGCCAGTGGATTTGGGGCGTCAGGCTGCAAGTTGATTTGATGGATTCGGGATCCGATGACGCGCCCAGAATCTCTTTTGGCTGGGGCGGGCGCGCTTTGGATAGATTAAAATCAAGACTTCGAAAGCGATTGGACTACAACCGGTCACGTCTCGGAAGGAAATTTTGTGAGAGGTTGTCTGCTAAGTTGGAACTGTGATTGAGTCTGATAGTCGAACTTCACAGCTCCCAATTTGTGCAGGAGGAATGAGAGGTGACAATGATACGGCAGCCAGTGGACGTCACTGGCAGATCAGAGATAAGCACCCACCAGGCCAAGGCGCAAACGGCGGAGTCAGGGAGAGCAGTGGAATGCCGCCACAACCCTGTCGAGCTGCCTATAGATTCAATATGCACTGCAGATATATGAGTAGTAAGAGAGATCAGCAACTGGAAAAGGAGGAGTGATGAAGGAGAAAAATGATAATAACAAGCAATGTCGTGTGTCGTTGTGAGGTGTGATAAAATGAAGCTGCCGCGATAGGAAAAGTGCCATTATGCAATTCCAGTACGAGAAAAGATTCACATTGATTTATGCTCCCAATCTGTACTTAAGACTTCACTAAACTCTAGCTCATTCTCCCACTGTATTTCCTGTGGGTCTCTAGATTTTAGTTATACTCTAGATAAGCTCCATGAGAAACTCTCCTCTACTCTGCGCAAAACTGAAAGACACGGTAAGCAGGTCTTGGTATCTGTACTATCAAGTACACAGCCGATTCATATTCTCCACGTAAATTGGCAAGGGAATCCCGGCAGGTCAAAGTACCTTTTCGTTCAGCGACCGCTCTGCAGGCTCTCTTCCCCACCTATGCCGACACTTATGCTCAATGACAACAGCGAGCATCTGCATTACATCCCCTTGCCTCAACTAATGCAGATAGCTGTGCCACATATTTCTAGCCCGATTCGCATCATACAAACGTCTTGACAGATATCGCGGGAAAATCATTTCCAAAGTAGCAGCTTAAACTCCCTGACTGCTCGCAGAAAAGTTGAATGCTCTCTATCAAACCCTCCGTAGACACTACCAATGAGAAAACGAGCTTTTGGAAGATTAGATGGTTGGACCTTTATATCGCCCTTTGTCGATGCTCATCATCGATAATACTACAAATTTACCTACCCTGGACATGTGCGTATAAATCTAAAGTGACTTATAACATTTCCTCACTCCATGTTCCACTTCTGCCGCCCTCCTTCCTGACGACCCGGACATCCTGTATTCGCATTCCCTTATCCACAGCTTTACACATATCAAAAACTGTCAAGCAAGCGCCCATGACGGATGTGAGCGCTTCCATTTCAACGCCCGTTGCACCGACGCATTGGACCGTGGCTGATACATCAACATGGCCAAATTTATAATTTGCGCCTTCCACGGGATCGACAACATCTACATCAACACTCACACTGGCTAGAGTAATCGGATGACAGAGCGGTATCAAGTCGGGTGTCTTCTTGGCAGCCATGATACCAGCAATGCGGGCCACGGCGAGGACGTCTCCCTTTTTCAGCGAATTGCTGCGGATAAGCTGCAGAGATGTCGCATTCGAGAAGATGACGCGTCCTCGGGCCACGGCAGTACGGGAGGTGGATTGCTTTGCTGCGATGGACACCATGTGTGCGGCGCCAGTGGAGGTAAGATGAGGCAATGCATCAGGAGGCGATGATGAATTGTGCGCTGAAGCGTTTATCGCGTCAACTGTTGCGCCAGGGGCGCGAGTTTGTTGACTGTTCTGTTTGCGTTCTGGATTGATGGTTGATGTGGGCTCGTTTTCCCGTTCAAATGAGCGGCTGCAGCACCGCGAAGGCAGAAAGTGACGAGGTGCCGAGCTGCTAAACGCGCGAATAGTTTGGAAAATTGAGCCGGGAGGCGTAGGAAGCATGTATGGGGCTGGAAACGTCGCTCCGCGAGGTGATAGGGTTGGAGTGCTTTTGGTGAAGCTACCGGTGATGCTTGATAACTGGCTACTGTTGATATTTCGGGCATAAGGGACCTCATCTAGTTCAATTAGCATTTACTGGAGCAGACGGGGAAAGCAAAGCGATCGCACGATGCGTAGAAAACAAATTGACGATTGGTAGTGGTTGGAATTCATAAGATAAAATGAGGCCATTTCTCAGGGAAACTCCCGGGCCTTATATTGACTCGTACAATAGTATCGTACAGCAATATGCAGAGAAGGCTTATAGAAAGCAATGCAGGAAAGATGATTGAATGACCAGACTCCCAAACATTGTTCCCGTGCTGGTATATAAACTAGAAAAGAAAATGAATGTTCTCAAGTGGTGAACAATCGACCAGCGATGTTGAAAATTTGACTACAGCGCCCGAATAAAAAGATAGACAGAAAAGAACCTACCCACCAATTAGAATCATAGGGCGGTTCTTCATGTTCTCCAGTTCGCCCATGCCGGCATGCCGTTCCTTTTTTCGCTTCACAGCCATTCCAATGACTTCTAGGAGTTCATTCTCCCGCTCAGCCCAACTCATGGGACCATTAGGTCCTGCTAAGCCCTGCTGTCGGTTCATCTCAACCTCCTTCAGCGCCTCAAAGGCTTCTTCGTCGAGCGGGTTGCCACTGTTATCTTTCCGCAGCAGATCCCGCAGAGAAACTTCAGAGTTACCAAAGAGACAGACCTTCAGGTTTCCGTCCGAGGTAATCCTTAGTCGGTTGCAAGTTCCGCAGAAGTTGTGAGTCATGCTCGTGATGAAGCCAACGCGCCCAGGGAATCCAGGAACTTGGTACGTCTTGCTCGTGTCGTTTTTGTGATCCTGAATTTTGCGCAGACCTGGGTACTTTTCACGAATGATGTCCAGCATCTCCCCGTAAGAAAGCATCTTTCCCTTGCTCCACTTGTTGCCGTCAAAAGGCATGTATTCGATGAAGCGGACTTCGACCTCCTTATCGCGGCCCATTTCTACAAACGGTAGGATTTCCCGTTCATTGATTCCCCGCATGACCACGCAATTTATTTTTAATTTGATACCCGCCCCTAGCCGGTTCATTTCGAGTATCCTGTCAATGCTCTTCATGACGGCATCCAAGCCCTTTCTTCGTGTCATGATTTGAAATTGGAACGGATCAAGGGTGTCAAGACTCAGATTGACGCCAGTAAGACCTGCTTCAACCATGCTATCAAGTTTTCGATATAAGGAGATCCCATTCGTCGTAAGGCATAATTCACGAAGGCCATGGCGCCGTAGAGAGCCAATCGAATGCATGAGGGGGAGGATGTCCCTCCGCACGGTAGGCTCGCCACCCGTGAGGCGAATCTTAGTCACACCTTGTGAGACAAAAAGGGATGCGAGATAGTGAATCTCGGGACTCGTAAGGAGATGAGCGGGTGGGGAGAGAGGAACGCCCTCTGAGTAACGGCCAGCAAAGTCAGCAAAAATTGGGGAGTTTAAAGACTAATAGAGTAGTATAAACACACCTTCTGGCATGCAGTACAGACAGCGGAGGTTACATCGCTCAGTGACACTGATCCGCAGGTAGTCATGCTGACGATTGAAATTGTCTGTTAGAAAGGAAGAGAATGGTTTTGCCGTTTTGATTGCCTCCCATCGGGTTGTTGAAGCCGGTTCAAGATCGTTGCCTGAAGGAGTATTTACGGGGAGGCGATAGTGTATTGAGGACTCATCTTCCCCAACAGCAGCTGTTGCGGCTGATGAGATTTGACGTGTTGACCGAGGAAGCTTTCGCCGTGACCGCACGCATAAATTATCGCCACTCCGGATTGTGGTTCGTGAAGCTGGCCGCAGCAGCATGAATGCCGCTCGGTGGCTAAATACTTCTGCCATGATGAAGACGACAGAGTATGTAACGCGTGGGAGTACCCAAGCGTATCAATGATCAAAAATTGAAGCAAGGAGTTGGCATTTTGCAGCCATTTCCAGTTGGAATTAAGAATGATCAGACAGGGCGCGCCGTCATCAGAGTCATCTTTCCCTTAATGGTGGGGGAGTCTGAAATTCGCCCGTGTGAGTGGCTCCTCTGAGCTTATCGGCCTCCTCCGCGCCGGCGATCCACTAAAATCTCCACCGCCAACCGCCGCGGAGATAAATTCGATTGTTTTGCCTGAATCGTCATGCCTTTCGAATCTCTAATTTCTGTTCCGTACTTCTACACAACGCAGGGATTAGTTCAATATTTCATTTTCTCAATCATGTTTAATTTAGATTTTTACGGGTTTGGAAATTCGGTGCTTATTTTGTCACTTGCATAAAATTCAAAAACCGAGATAATATAACCGCCCTTTTTCAACGCCTTTTGCATTTGTAATACTTTTCCATTATATCTTGAATGTCATCTCCATATGTATATGAAACACATTAAATAGCCATTTCTGCGTCCATATCCCCCGAGTCGTCCACCATGTCAAAGTCACCACCATCTTCGTCATCTTCGAGCCCCTCAAAGACCATGAACTTTTCATTCTTGGCATCAGCTGTAGCAAGATTAATTAGCAGTTATTCTTGAACCATTTGAAATATTTTGCTTGCAAGATCTGAACCGAACGAGAGGGGGAAGCAGGGAAAATATGATAACTTACTCTCGTCAGGGACAACATTGTTGTCCTGGACTTCACAGTCTTTCAAAATCGACTCGCGGCCAATCTTGCTTCGACGACCCACGACACAGCCAGTCAATTGACACCGCTCGCCAATAACAGCACCATCCATCAGCAAACACCTAGTCAGCCTAACACCCGAGCCAATCTGGCAGTTGGGACCAATGACAGTCTCCTTGATGACAGCCTTTTCTTCAACCGTGACGTTGTCACCAAGCAGACAGTCCGCGCGAGTGACCGTGCTTCGCTGAGCAATACCCTGTGGGTATGCTACCTTGCTGTTGTGCGCAAACGGGGAAGCTGCAGCTTTGCCAACTTCTTCAATGGACTCGAGCTTGGCGAGGCGCAGAGAAATGGATAACAAGAGTGGCGCAGTGTCCACACGTCGGATCAGCTGATCTGACTTTTCGGGGTGCACGTACGCTAGCATCGGCGGAGTCTGGAGTTTTGATTTTGGGGGCGGTACCGGCGAGGAAGAATCTGAGCCGGATGGATCTCGTACTCTTGATGCAAATTGTGTCGGTTCATCGTCTGTGGAATCGTCCGACTCCGGTTTGCTGGTCCATGTCGTACTCATACTACCCAGATCAACATCCTCTTCGAGAATGCCACTGCGCATCAAACCATCCTCGCCCTCATTTTCTTCGGCACCCTCGAAGATCTCTCTGAGACCAAGCTTTTCTGACAGGCCTTCCTGCCAGCCAGCCTTCGCCCACCAACCTACGACATCTTCGGCAAGACTGTCAAACTTGGGGTTTTTGTTGACCATGTCAAGGACCCAGTGAGGGAAAAAGTAGAGGTGAGCGTCGCGGTAAGATGTTAGAAGTTTTATCCGCGCATGCCTCCGCACGAGCGCGTGTCGAACTGGGAAGAATTTCCGTTCAGCGGTGATATCATTCAACGTATCGGTTGGAAATGAGGTGACGAGGTTAGAGATATGGTTGCGCAGAGAACTTTGAGCGGGAGGCACTACCGGTCGAGACAAAGGTGACGTGGCGATGAAATCTGTCTCTTCGCCTTTGACGGCATGTTCACCCTTCGTCTGATACCACACTCCCAATCCACCACGTCGGCCGCCCTTCTCTCCACCGATGCTCATCTTAGGGCCAAAGGATCCCTGCTTGCCCCCTGTAGCTCCTCCGAGGCCCGCCTCTTCGATCATCCAGGGCTCCACGAGGGCTTCGCCTCCAAGTTCGCAGACAAGATCGCAAGGGAGGACCACAAAATCGCCAGTGATGGCTGCTTTCACCTCCGGAAGACGGAAAATTTGCGCTGTTCCGACAGTCTCATCTGTGCTAGAAGCTTGAGAAAGACCCTCGGGCGCAATGATGTCGGGTTTTGGTGCCGGAAGAGAAGTGAGATGCGGGTTTTGAGAAAAGGCAGCTTCCAGCGCTGCAACAGAAGAGGGTGATGTAATGACAGTAATATCTTTTGATAGAGTTAATGGATGGGTACTTGATTGAAGAACAAAATGCGCAAGATGAAGAAGCTCGAACAATTATGACGTGTGAACCGCGGAATATGTAGATTGAGAAGTGAAGCAGAATGGGAGATGTCACAGATCTCCAAGCGCATTAAAAAGAAGATAAGCAGAGAGTGCGATAGTGCAATTGGTAAGCTCCCGCCCGCAAGCACGGATTCATGGGCAGAGCGGAAAAGGAACAGCAACGAGCCAAAGAAATAACAAGAAATCCAATAATAATTGACGAATTGAAATTCAAAGAACCAAATGCCGAGTTCAACGGAAGTTTTTGACTTACTTGTAATCCCTGACCTATAGCACCAGTCAAGCGGATACCAGACCATCGGTCTGTTTGCAATAGGCACCAGGGCTTTAGGAAATTCTTCTGGAGAGGAGGTGAAGGTGTTCAGTGAGACTCCAGGTCCGCACAAGATCAAGGCCTGAAACCCAGGCGGGGGTACAGTTTGTGCGTGAGGCATGCTGGCAGATTAGAACCTTCCAAGTTTGACGGGCAGTAAACTTCAATATTAAAACCAGTATGAGTGGGGCTCTGTCTTTGAAGATGGTTCAGAGCAGCAGACTCATTGCAAATACTATGACAGACAATGAAGGTACCTGAGCTTGACAGCTTTTGCTGTCGCTTGATATTCAAGTATCTGCTATAAAAGTAGAGCTAAGGATTATTCGTTGTGGAAATAATGGTGATAGAGAACAAGGTCATATGAGAATGAGTAAATGAGCAAATGAGTAAATCTTTCGGGGTGCGGAATGATGGATGATCAGATTAAGCGATAAGATGCGATAGGATAAGATTATCAAGGAGCTTTGACCCCCAGTTTCCCTGAACTTGTAGCTTGTTGCCGTCTCTCACCGACTTGACCGCGACAATCTTCCCCCGCGCTACCGCGGCTGATCCCCCAGCCACATGTTTGATTGATGGTCATGTTAACGTTCATTGCTTCCCTACTCATCGCTTTTTCAGGCTCTGAGGCTAGGGAGTCTGTCTAAATTACTAACTTGGCGCTATATCGTCGACAATATGTCCTTTCCAAACGACCGGAGAAGCCGGGGTAGCACTGGAAGGAGCACACTTGGGTACTGGGTGCCGCTGGTGGTGACTGTGACTGTCGCGACATTCGGAGTAGCCGCCTGGATATGGAGTGAGCGACAGGATGGTGACGATGACAAGGATTATGACTCGAGTGATCCTCCGTCCGGCTCCCGCCCGCCTCCGGGATACGCAGACCTTGGCCGTGGAGAGACTTCTTTTGGGGAGGGCGCCGAAGCGCCACCCGTAGAGGATGAAGGCGTGCTTGCGCGAATGTCAGGGGCTCTGCGACGGACTCCAAGCCCTCAACAAATCTATGACGGCGCAAAGGGGAGATTTGCCGCCGGAATGGCCGCCGTTGGGGGCGCGTTGTCTTCGATCCGCGAGGAAGAAAGGGATGATTTTGGAGATCACTCGCGTTGGTCCGAGGAGGTCCGACGCGACGATGTGGCAGCTCAATCTGCTCAGAGCGCTGGGGCTGTAAATACGAACATGGAGGCATTCAACTCTTCCGCTCAAACGGCTCCCACCCAAGCTCAGGGTCGTCCAGGTGTTCTGAAGCGCAAGACTGTGGCGGTTGTCGTATCAGCTGAGACGAATCACGATCCCGCTGAACAAGAAGATAATCGATATTACATGGAGCATGCGGTATGCTTTCTGAGTTGCGTCGTGTCAAAGCCTTTACTAATTTCTCATAATTTAGTCAATCCTTTCTCATTTGCCTGAGCATGTTGATAACGATACTATGCGGGTTTTTGTTTTGGTCTACGCACCGGATGTAAAGCAGCTGGGAGCAGAGTCTTCGGCTAGAACAGCCGGCTCAGTCACTTCATCTTATTCAAACATCGGCCAGGAAGATCTCCAAACTCCAGCAGAAGAACTCGAAAAGCCACTGATTCCAGTAGAGCCCCGCCCATTGTCTTCTTCGTCGGCGGGCCCAGAAGCGTCCCGTGCACCGGCTCCATTGGAGTCTTCCAGTCCTGCACTTCAAGCAATCTATACACAAGCTCGTGCATTGGTGGAGAATGACGCTATGATTCTACCCTTTTCTACAAGGACGGGCTACGTTCATTTGCTGCGTCACCTCGCACCAGAAGTGGTCTATATACAGGAGTCTCTGTCCGGGGACAAGGGCGAGGCTGTCACATCCATGTCTGGATGGGTCGGCCAGATAATTGTTGTGCTAGGCGATGAAGGTGGGCATGGCGGCTTAGTGGACAGTGAAGATGAAACAAATGCCTCGCAGAAGGAAGACAATTGGTGGGAAGATAGTGACAAGGTTGGATTCGGCAAAGGAATAGATGTTGTGGACGGTCTACGGGTTGGAGAAGATTGGGCGCGCCGTGTTGGAGCTCATGAATGATGCAACATGTGTTCGGGGTGATTTTACGTGTTTTATTAGTATACCATTTGCTGTTATCCTTCGGCAACGGCGAAACCTTGATATGAGTTGACGCATTTGTTTCGCCATGAAGCGGCATTATGTATATGGAAGTCTTTGGAGGCAAAGCATTCGATATTTATTTGCTGGACAAATAGAATGAACTGCATCCAACTCCAGGAAAGAAGTACTATATTAATTGCTTGGATTGTAATTTTGTTGTTCAAACATGAATGATTGGTATTCCGGTGTCTGATAATTCTAGACGTCACGGCTCTTCCGCTGCTCATAAACCAAGCTAAACCATTTTGGGACAGCCATCCATCCACGACCGCGATGGGATCATAATGCGATTCCATCTGGATATCCAGGTTATCGGTCGACGTCGATGGCGCGATGATTGCTTGACTGAGGACGGGATTGTGATTCTAAGGAGGACATCTGGTCTGTCACCATATTTATAGAGGAGATGATTCACATCGCGTCGTATTTCCCAACCCGCGCTTCACAGCTGCTATAAACGATCTGCGCCAGGTCATCGGCCTTGTGTCCATCCATTCGAAAGAGGCCAAGAGTTCCGATCTCTACACGAGAGCCAGTGGTTTGCTTAATATCATACAGTCCCAGTAAAGATGGCGACGACCGTCTCGGCAACCCCTCCGCAACCAGCGCGACCAGCGCAACCGTCACAAGCAGCGGGCAAGATGAAACGCCCTTCTCAGCCGGCTTCTCAGTCAGCTGCAAATTCAGCTCCGGGTAATTCGTCCTCGACGACTTCTCCCACGATGTCCAAGAAGACCGCGCCGGGGTCGAAGCAACCGCCGAATGCTACAGCCAATGGAACAACTCCCAATGGTATCGCGCCGAAAGCGAATCGTCAGCGGAAAGATTCGCAGCAAACCAATGGACGCATCTCGAAAAATGCGGGGAGGCGGTTCAGCGGCGAAGGTGGAAAGTCTTCGGGAAGAAATTCGCCTCCACCTCTAGGTAGGTCCCATTAACCAATATCCTTGTTGCTCAGATACACGAGCTTACAGTACCAGTGAGAACAACTGCCCACATCCTCCGAAAGTATCGTGACGCACCACCGTCTCTAATTATTCACCTCCATCCGACCCACTTTAGATTTGATCAGCAAGATGGTAGCTTCGGATATAATTCCCCTATGAGAGTCATTCTTGAGCACATAAAGGCCCAAACAGTGCCCTACGATATGCTCGAGGAGATGTTCGCCGCGGGAGTTAAGTTTTACGACGGTAAAGCTGCTATATCAATTGATTTTGCTTCAATTACTAATTTAAGAAGGATGCTTGATCGTACAGATCCATGATCACAGGTCGGCGACACCATCGCCCGCGGGAGTAGCTTCTAATGCGACAAAGGGAGAAAAGAAGACTCCTTTCTCACTGCATAATTACAATGAACACCTAACGCCGTCTCCCTATGTACCATTCCCAACGGCAGATCAAGGAGCAAAGAAGGAGGGTGCAGATGAGACAAACGTAGCAAATGTCGAGACTGCCAAATCTCAGACACAGACAAATGATGCTCAACCGGCTGCAGATCAAGCTCCAGACGGACAAGCAGATGGCACGGTGCGGGGACCCAAGATATACACAACTGTGCTGCATTCTACCCAACTATCGCTACACGCAGAGATGACAATATATGCCACTACCCCTGATTTGCGGGGAACAGGCAAACGACAATCACAGGCGCAAGCTGCCAGCGGTGGAGCACAAAGCGGACAACACCCGGCAAAGAGGCAAAAGATGATGCTTGACGATAGAAATTTTGCAGATTTTGAGGCAAAGGTATTACACCACACGCATTCGCGACTGTTCCTCGACCCAGTAGAGACTCCCTTGGAGGCGCAGAGACTCCTTCATGCGCTCAGGGATCCGTTACACTCGAGTCGACCTCCGCCTCCAAAAGTTCGCAAGCGGACTGTCGCAGAACTTGCAGCAGACGAAGCCCAAGCCGCAGAGGAAGAGAGGTTTATGCTTATCATGGACGAGCGTCTTGCTCCTGGCGTTACAGCTGGAGCTGGAGCCAAGGCCGCAGCGGCAGCAGACGGGCAAGCAGGAGCAGGATCTTTTGAACCTAGATTTTCCAGATTCAAGGCACTTGAAAATATCAAGATGCAATATGAAGAAAAGGAAAAGAAGAAAAAGGAGAAGGAGTTACAGGAACAGCTCGTCAAACGACAACAGCAGGAACAGCTGGAGCGGGAACGGCGCAAGGAAATGGAAGAGAAGGCCAGACAAGAGCACCAAATGCGGGAAATGCAGATGCGGCAGCAACAGCAACAGCAAGCTCGGCTTTTACAAGCCCAACAACAACAAGCTGCTCAGGCACAACAGCAACAGCAACAACAGCAACAACAGGCAGCTGTCGCACAGCAGCAACAACAACAACAACAGCAGCAGCAAGCCGCCCAAGCAGCATCCCACGCCCACCCTCCTCAACAACATCTCCCACAGCAAATACCTGCTGGGCAAGGCTCTCCTCCCGTTGTTCGCAATCAGACCCCTCTCAATTCTTCTCCGCTGGTGGGAAGCATGATGACCGGTGCAGCCAGCGTGCCCATGAACATCACTGCCAGCCAAACAGGCGGCAGTCCTCCACGACCTCCATCTGCGGCACAACATGCACACCCAGCCGTAGCAGCGGCGATGGCTCACCAACTGAGCCAGCAACGCAGCCAAGCACCCAGTCGCAACGGTACACCTCAAATGCCACATGGCACGCCCAACCTGCAACAAGCCACACCAGTCGTACGACATGTCACTCCCACTCCGCGTATGAGCCAAGCCAGCCCTGCCGCTGCAGCTCTATCCCACACGCCCGTCATGAACCAAAATATTATGATGGCAACGCCGCAAATGCAAAGCGCACACCTAACTCCCCAACAACAAGCCGCTCTCCTCCAACGCCAACAACAACAGCAATTTATCCAACAACTCCAGCAGCAACAGCAACAGCAACAGCAGCAGCAAATGCACGGCTCGCCCACTCAAATGAATCAAATGACACCTCAGCAGTTCGCCCAATTACAAGCTCAACAGCAGCAACTCCAAGCCCAGCAGGGACAACAACCACAAGGGCAAATGCCAAACAACTCCCAGCAGCAGCAATACCAAGCGCAACTCGCCCGCCAAACGGCAGCCATGATGAACAGCGTCGCTGCCAACCAACAAGCTGCTGCTGCTGCCGCTGCCGCCGGAAACCCCAACCCCGCTGCGGCGGCTGCAGGGGGTATGCAGATGCCTGGTCCTGCCGGCGCTGCACGCACCTTCCAGCAGCAGCAACAGCAGCAACTTCAGCTTCAGGCCCAGAAGATGCATTATCAGCAAATGATGCAGCGTCTTGCCCACCAGTACGGGGGTGTCCAATCCATCCCCCCGCAACTGATCCAGCGCGTCAGGCAACAGGCCATGGGCATGACCATGAACCCCCAGCAGATGCAGCACATGCTTCAGCAGCAACAGCAGCAGCAGCAAATGCTGGCACAAATGGGCCGTGGCATGATGCCCGCTGGAGGCATGCAGGGTATGGGCGGCATGGCGGGTATGCAAGGACAGGGCCAGGGCCAGGGGCGAGGTGTATAATTGCATTGTTGCATTGTTGCAATGACTGCAGTGATTGCGGAGACTGGAGTTTGGTATGGAAGTATCGTTTGCGCGTAGGATGGGTGTTTTACTTGGGCTGCACGGCTCTTGGAATGGTGTTTACGGAGTTTATCATTTTCTTTTCCTCCTTGTTTTCCTCTTTCTCTTTCTCTGTCAATTTTTTTTTCTCTTTTTCTTCCTTTCTTTCCCTTTACTTCTTTTTCTCTGTCTCTTCGTCCTGGGACCTGCCTCTCTCTGGCACTTTCTTCCTCTTCTGTCCCTTCCTCTTCCTCCAGTGCTTTGTTCATTTTGGACTTTATATTGGGCTCTGTCTCTAAATCGGTTTATCGGTTCGTTGGTCGTTGGTCGTTGATTCATCGGTACATGGGTTCCCTGTTACATTTATCCATTCATCGGTTTTATCGGTTCGTCAGTTCACTGTTACATGGGTCTATCGGTTTTATTTGTTCGTTGTTTCCTTTTCGTTGGGAGTTACTTCAAGGTACATACTTTTCTCTGGCAGACCACAATTCTTCGGCGCCCATAGTTGTTTTTCTCGTCTTGTCTTCTCTTGCGGTTCGTTGTTTACGCTGAGGTCCCGAGGTGGGACTACCTATTCCTTTAATTTTCTCAATTAAATTATGATTCTACCATTTTTAACTTGTTTTATGGCCTTTTGGTCGACGACTCGCGACTCGGCACGAGGCTGGCATTTTAATGTGAAAGTGAACGCGTTTTAGGAGGATAACGTGAAATGTGAAGCTACTTAAGAGGCCGATGGGCCACGCCACTATGTGTGAAAATATATAAGGTTACTTTAAGTATCATGCCTAGTGACACTGGAAATAATGCATTATGTGTTCGCAAGAAGACGCTGGGTTGTAGGTTGGACTTGCGTAGCCTAAAAAAAGACGGACCGGGGGAAAGGAAGAGAAGGTGTATCGTGTATGTGATTTCTTCTCTGGACGAGATAAAGGATAGGAAAGATAAAGAACAGGAACTGGTCAAGGACTCAAGGACTCAAGCCCCAGCCCCGGTGTAGAGAGCTAGTAGTATGTACTAATGAGAATGATATTGCTTCTATTTGAATGTACAATGTATATACATAATACGCAGCATCCAGCTTCAGTATCAATAGGGGTAGATAGATCTCGTAGAAGTATAGAAGTAAAGTGATTATTTCAGGGTTTCAGGGTTTCTGGGCTGGACTGGATGGACGTTGTGTAGGAACATTAAGGGACTCTCATCTCCTGTTCATCTTGTTTTTGTCTTTTCTAACAAATTTTTGGGGAGGGGGGGAGGAAGGCAAACGCGTTCTATATGATTTGGGTAACCAAAACCCTCGCCCTCGTTCTTCTTTGCCAACTTGGGGTCAACCATCCAATCACCCATCACAACAACTACTACCACAACAACAACAACAACAACAACAACAACAAAAACTACCACGACCACCACTGCCCCCTCCTGGCCCGCGGCCCCCATTCCCGGGCCCCTAACCTCCACTCCAATCCCACCGCACGATACCCACCCCTCTCCCCATCCTCCCACCGCCGCCACCAGTGCCGCCACAGCCAGGGCCACGGCCACACCAATCAGATATGCTTCCGACCAAGTTCCTTGATGAACCCGACTTCAACCAACTTGTCAATCGGGACCTTCATGCTCTCGACTTTCGTGCGCGTGTTTTCGCGCAGCCACAGGAAGAACTTAAGCACGGCGCGCTTGAACAAATTCGTCCCGTCGAGGACGCGTAGATGTTCTTTGCCAACGATATATACGACTTGCGTCTCAAATGCATGGTCTAGAGCCCGTAATTCCGTAGCAATCAATTCGTCGGCGCGGGCTTGGTTGAGTTCCGCAGAACTCGATAACCAGGCTTCGTCTTGGGCGGGGGGAAGATCAAGTTGGATTTTGACTTGGTTATTGGAGCCGCCAGCGACACTTCCAACGCCGAAGCTACCGTCGGGAGTACCAGTCGCAGTCGCAGCATTTACGGCTCCGCTGGAGGCAGCGACGCTGGTGTTGGTAAAGGGATTGGTAGTGCTGGATGGAGACGATCTGGGCCGAGGACCGGACTTGTTGCGTGAAAGTTGGGTTGTAGGGACAGGTAAGGATACAGTCTGTTGGATCAATGAGGGTATTATTGGGGTCGGAGGGGTAGGCGGTAAAGAAATGACCCCTGCTGGCATACATCTCCACAGCTGCGCGGTGGAACTAGCGGCCTCTTGAATAATGTGGCTCCGGATCTGGTTATACACGAGAATGCCGAGCTTGGAGTCAATGACGTGGTCGGCGTAGCCGTGGCGGATGATGATGCGGAAGCAGTTCTTGATCGAGGTGCGTGTTATACTGTACCGCTCGTCGAGGGGGACCTTTTTGGCGGATATGTGTTAGTGGGGACGGTTTTTGGTATGGGGTATAGGGTATATGGTATGCTTATTGGGTTGGAAATTGAGGAATGCAAAAGGGTTGGTAACATACGTGAGGTATTGTCAAGGCACGCATGTGCAAGAAGACTTGCACCTCGGGGGATGCTTCGAATTTGCGGAGGAAATGCTCGTAGGCCACGGGTACACCGCTTCCTCGTTTGTCGAAGAAGATGCCAAGTCCTAGGGGTGACTCGTGAGTAGAAAGTCGTGAATATTGATTGTAAGGAACGAAAGGAGAGTTGGAAGATATTGTGGGGATGGGACAAACACACCCTTTATCTTTGTGAGAGGAGCTCCTCCAAAAGTCTCAGTCAATTTCGTCTCTCCCTTTTCATCTAACATGATGATATCCCGTGTTTGGAGCAGCTCTTCGCCCTCGGATGCCCACTGCTGTTCTTTGCCATAACGCCACAGGATAAATATAAGCGATAGGAAGATTCCGAGCATAATGGTAAACCAAGCACCATCGGGAACTTTTGTGAGTGCCGAGCTGAGGAATAATCCGTCCAGGGTTCCAAAGAACAGAAATCCGGCAAGCACAATAAGGGGATGGATTCGCCATACAATCAAGGCGACGAGGGAGACTAGGCAGGTGGTTATGAAGGTGACGCAAACAACGCATGCACCGTACGCATGTCCTAGCCGTGTAGTCTGCATTTAATGTGAGCATTGCAACGTCTAATCAAGTTGAAAATAACTAGGACAGATGGCTTACGTTGTGATAAACACCAGTGACTATCAATGTACCAGCCATCAATAGAAAATTGGCCATGGGAATATAAACCTGCCCATGAAACTTTTTGCTTGTGTGGATAAGCTTGATCTGGGGGAAATAACTCAGGTTCATGAGTTGAGAGAGGAGCTGAAATGTGCTCGTGATTAGGGCTTGTGATGCAACAATCGCCGCAAGAATAGAAATAATAAGAGAAGGGTAAAACATTCCAGGAGGCACAGACTTAAAGAAGGGATTCGAAACGGCAGTTGGAAAGCGGGAAATGTAGGCAGCCTGGCCGAGATATGCAAGAAGAAGAGAAGGATAAACGAAACAGAGCCAAGAAAGTTGGATGGACCTGTTCATGTCAGTTCGCTCGGAGCGGGTGAAATCAGGCTCTGAGCTGCTAACCTTCTATTGAAGGCCCCGAGATCTGCAAATAATGCTTCAACGCCTGGATAATGTTAATTGTGAAAGATCCAAGGCTGGGCAAAAATAAAACGCACCAGTAAATGCAAGAAGTATGCCGCTCAGCGATTTCCAGCCTTCTGTTTTGTTCTTGACAAAGTAGTGACCGACAAAATAAGGTGAAAAGGCTTTTAGCACGCTATAGTCGAACTTTACAAGATTCTTTTTCGTCCACATGGTTAGATTGCGAACTAAAAAGATGCAGGGTGAGCATCACTCACATAAATGCCAAAGCAAAAGTTAAACGCGAGCCAGATAGACACGATAGGTGCGAAAAAGTACGACAATTTCGCTATTCCGAAAGGTTGAATCGCAAACAGAGCAACGAGAATCGCACATGAAGCGCCAATTATAGCGCCAGTGGATAAATCACTCTTGACCACCTCGATTCCTGCATTGTTGTCAGTTGTCTTATCATATACAAGACTGCAAAGCCACATAGAAGCCCAACCTTGAATAGCCCCCAGAACGGTTTGCGCAGGCGTCAGGACGCCATCTGCCATCACCAAGCTGACTCCAAGCACGGCCAAGGCTTTCAGGATCCCATGCATAACTCGACTTTTCTCGACAAAATGCCTTGCCAGCAAGTTTGGTCGCTGCATGTCGGAGCTGAGGTACCTTTCCATTTTCACCGTTGTTGCTGTCTTCGGATCCCGGCGCAGAATCCGGCTCTATAATGCCAGTCAGGCAAGCTTTCATGCATATTATAGGAGGGGCAATCGCCATACATAGCGTGACAACAAGGAATAGCAAGCAAAGGTCCCGCCTTCACCGGTATCATCAGCTCGAAGAACGATGAGCAAATATTTCACGGTAACAATTAAAGTGAGACTCCATAGGATGAGAGACAGTGCCCCAAGCAGATCGTCATGTGACGGGGGCGAGGCAAAAGTCGACGAGTAAACATAAAGTGGACTGGTTCCTATATCGCCATAGACAACTCCGACTGACTGGTAAGCCAACCTAGTTGTATCTTCTTAGTTTTCGTCCTGGTACCGTGACAAAACAAATGAAACTTACCAAAGGAGTCTCCATCCTTTGAAAACCTGCTCATGCTTAATGTCCCGTTCCTGGACATCTGTCGCCTCCACAGTAGTATCAACTCCCTTCCGATGGGTAAAATGATCATCCTCGCAGGATGCGTGAGCCGGGCTCTGCCCCGAAACATGCGCACGTGGCATTGGGGTCGGAGCAGAACCCCTAGGGGTGTCATCGAAAGAAATGCATGTTGGGCGGTCCATTCCTTGCAGAATTGCAACAATTCAGGCGTTCAAAGCAGCAATTTTTGACGCGGGTTTTTACACGAATTTTGGGTTTCAAACACGTAATACGAAATAATTTGAGCAAGGAATCAAGAAATAGAATGACACAGAGCCAAGGAGATCCTTGGATGCGAGCAGAGCGAAAGGCCCGAAGAGCCGGGTTCGAAGGCAACAACTTTGATGCAAGCGGATAGAAGTAGAAACAAAAGCGAATCCATTCAAAGAGGGGGAGATGAAACCCGTTATATATAACAAATGTTATCCATCTAGGGTTTGAAACCAATCTCAATACTGTGCCCTCCTGCAAGAGCAGGTTCCACAGAATACCCTGACACGCATCATACCAAAGCCCTGGGAGACTGTAAGATGCTGTGTTAAAAAAATTGGGAAACGTTAGCTATGTTGGTAGACAGCCAGGCCAGTTTGGATTAGGCCAGGCGAAATTCGCTCATACATCTTCTTTGGTCTGCACCTGGCAAATTTTCAAATGGAAAAAGAATAAGCTAGAAACGCGAATCGCACGAGCAGCCAGTACAGGACATGATCATAACCAAGGAGAGCTAGGTCAAAGCAAAAGGACCTCTCCTCTTCACATGTAAGCGAAATTGATCGCCCTGGCCCCTCATGGAAATTCCCATGCACAGGGCAATGCAAGCCGAGACAAAGAGAGGGGCAGCACAAGCTTAATGTGAGGAAACACACACAGAAAAAGCAAAGCAAAAACCGGGGAATTGACTCCCCCCAGATAACATGACTGCTGCTGCATTCTCAAAAGTCAGAAGCCGCCCATGGCTGCATAATCGTTGGGGGCTGTGCTCCGTCACCCGGGGAGTATCCGACAGGATGTGAATGACTAGATGACGGAGAGGGAGGGCAAAGAGCAGCAGCGACTGGTCGGGAGCCTGAAAGATTGCAAACAGCTGGGGGAACCAGAGCTGAATGGGGATGTCTCATCTCGCTTCATCTCCCTCCCCCCATCGACATTCTCACTGAGAGCACGGACCAGAGAAAAGACCCTGCAGTGCTGGGAAGAAAAGCTTGGCTATGATAGCGTCATAACTTGACCGAAACATGGAGGACAGGCTTTTTTTGTGGGGGGGGGGCTGTGAAGAGGAATCATAACTACAAGATAGCGGGGCTCAAGAACCTGTAAGCAGAAATGCCTCATTCATTTTTCTTACTGGCGCCTGTATTTTAGGGTTTAGCCTTGTACTTTAGCTGCACGGCTAACGCCGGAAGGAACCGTGACTGTCGATGCGCTAAGAGAGCAGTCTCCTGACGAGGAGGGGTATTTTGTTTTCAGGGTCCCACAACGAGAGGCAGAATTAATGACGAGACGAAATCTCCCGCAAATCTAGTGGGACATGTAAAATTTTGATCTGCTAGTTTCAGAGGTTTGGCGGAAAGATATTCCGGCATGATATCTACGATGCTAGAATTGTATGACGAAAGAATGCGCATTCTGCGCTGATAAGAAACTGATTGACTCTTCTCCATGGCCACCGGAAATAAATAGTCTAAACAAGCATGTGTTCGCCAGTCTTGTATATAATGCCATGTAACGCCAACTCACATGAGCTGGACAATGTATATATCCACACAGCTAAACTACAAGTCGTTTATGTTTCCATAAATCATCTTCTTCAACGACCCTCGGTGGCTTGATAACAACGCGACCGGACCAGTGAGGTATCAAGTCAGAAATAAGACCAGAGGCTTTACCTGAAGTGCCGTCTTTGCGATGACGAGCAGCAAGCTCCGCCTCTGACCGGGTAAAACTGCGATGCGCCCATAAGGCATGGATGAGATCTTGCATATCGTGCCGCTTTGCCCACCGGGCAGCTTCTTTAAATGCTTTATCAATTGCGGGATCATTTTCCAGTGACCGGTCTCGTAGCCGTGTATAAGATTCCCACATCCAGTCGTCGGAACCAATGGCTTCAAGGAACTCCTCGCTCACCCAGCTCGGGTCGTACATGTCATCCAATGTATCGTCGTCTTCCTCAATGTCACTCTCATCATCATCGTGGAGCGAAATGTGGAGTCTGAGCTCTTTAAGAGACGAGCCAAATGCTCTTCCACCTCTCTTTTTTGCCCATTCTCGGAACTGTTGATCAGTGGGGTAATCGTCAGACTCGCTGACGCTGACCCAACTTCCAGCAGAGTTTCTCCTTTGGCGTTTGCTCGACGGGTTGTCTGGATCCGAACCTTCTTTTCCACTATAATCCTCGTTGCTGAAAAACTCATCTAGCAATTCGTCTTCCCATTCATCGCGACCGTGTTTCTCAGCCTGTGCCAGGTCTCGGAGAAATTGCAGCAAAGCCTTCGTCATATAGCCTCTGCGGCTAAAACTCGGGATCCACTCTAATGTGAGCACTTCAAGATTCTCTAGCTCGTCCCATCTGGCCCGAGGTCGGATAATTGGAATCTTCTTGGACGCTGACCACTCTGGCCACCATGAAAGCCCGCCAAAATCACGGAAGCGTTGCGGTTTGGGTGCGTCGTCAAGCAGTTCGCTGTCGCCAGTAATGTATGCATGATGCAATTTCAGATATCGCAAGTTCCCCCATAGGTTACCATTGAGGGACATGCAGGATCTATAGAGATCTTCCATTGCCATTGCCTCTTCATTACCGAGACTTCCTGGTCGTTTGCCATGTTGTGGCAGCTTTAGTCTCCCGCACTGAAGCATTCGCAGTCGAGTTTCGCCGAGAATGGCATTCATTCCTTCGACGGTGATGTTGTTACTTCCAACAAAGAGACAACGAAGGCCCCCCTTATATGACTTGTCTAGACTTGTTGTTCCGGAGTCAAAATACTTTACCCAGTCAGAGATCGTTTCCGGTATTGGAAGGCTAGAAAATTCATCATCATCCGCAGCAACTCGTGACAGCTCAGGATCTCCTTTTGTTTCAGACTTGGTCTCGACCCCGGCTCCGTCCACCTCAATCCTTCTAGCCGGTGGAATACGATTATTACCTCGGTGGAAGAACCGGCTAAGTAGCAATGGGACAATGCCATCGGTTAGTGCATTCCCAGAAACATCTAGGCTATATAGCCTTGTACGTAAGCCTTCAGCTAGGATACAAAATCCCCGGTCGGTCAGCCGGTTATGTGCAAATCTCAGAACTCGTAGGCATGGAAAAGTCTGTGGAGCGCTCAGGTTTGTTAAAAATTCTCGATTTTTGGCGGCAGACCCATTCAGTATAAAAGATATGTCGAGAACCCGCAAATTACGGTAAAGCCCAATCATCGTGTTAAGCTTATGTCCATCTAGAGCCTCGCAACGCTGCAGTTCAAGAGCCAGGAGAGATTGCCTTGGAGAGCCGAACCAAATTTCTTTGCACAGATTTTGCATGGCATGCTTCGATTGTTGCTGATATGGCGGGGCTGAAATGAAGCTAATTTGCTTTATTTCTGGTAATTGTGTCATAAGTTTGGTGTTCCAGTTCTTTGGAAGACTTGGTATCTCTTCTTTCATGTGGATATCTTCTGTGAGAGATGAAAGGTTCAATATCCGAGTCTTTTCTCGCGTCTCCCGCCGGACATGCCGCAGAGTCTGCAAAAAAGCAACAAATTTGCCTACCAAAAACCAAAGTTAGCATCAATTCGAAAGAGCCGCGCTCGCAAACAGAAATATGCAAGAAGCGTAAAAAGAATGAAGTAAAAGCAGAACTGGATGTGGTGTAAACGGACCGTGACTTCTAATACCGGTCCCAAAGTGGACCGATGGCTCCTCCCATAGGCATTTGGAGGCATACTCATGTGCTGACTTGCAGCTAAGACAAAGTGCCAATATATCTTGTGTGGAGAGATACGGACAAACAAAGTTCCATATGCTTTCCGGCACTTGTGTGGCTTTAGGTTTACCCGTATCACTCTCCATCGCGTCCATGCGCGTCTTTGCCAGATTGATGTGGGGGCGAGTTAGAATGACAATTTAAAGGAAGATTGAGTTTTAATATATAGCTGCAAAGATATGAGTTGATGTTCGTGGTATTTGATTATGTTTTTGATATTTGCCGTTCAAATCATGTGCTGAGGCGCGTTAGAAGGGCTTCCTCAAGCATTGACGCGTCAGGGGGAGGGAGCAGACCTACTCCGTGGGCAAAAAAGCGCGTGATGCAATCATGCATGAGACTGCATATGGCGACAAGGAAATTTCAGAACAATTAAATTTTTGAAAAGCTAATCTGCAATCTTATCGGAACCCGAGCATCTTTTTCCAGGTTGTGTAAGGCATTACCTAAGTTTCTTCAAAAGATGTTGGACAGCAACGCGGTATGCTCTCATGGTTTCTGTGCAAAAAGTGTTTTGATTGGTATATATAATGAATTATACATCCACTCTCAACAAGCGAAATGAGTGTTCGCAGCTCCAGCGTTGATGGTTTAGTGGTAAAATTCGTCGTTGCCATCGACGAGCCCCGGGTTCGATTCCCGGTCGACGCATCTTTTTTCACATTTTTTTCCTCTTTTGGTCTTCCAGTATCCTTATTTCTTTGTTATAAAAAGCGTATTTCTCTGTCGACCTCTTCAATTGTTGGAACAAATTCGTTTGGGCTATGTAGCGGACAGAACAATTCCGATGCAATAACAAAGATTATCTTAGTGCAATAATTAAACAAGGGTACCGTTCCTAATTGAGTAAAGTGTACAGATTGATACACTACTTACCAAGTAATATTTGTCTACTGCCTTACAACGTGATACTCTCTACCCTGAGGTGTAATGCATCTAAAAGTACCTCTGTCTCCTTTACTTCATTTAATACTTCTGAAGCCCACTGAAAATAACCATGTGCTGGCTGAATTGTTACTGGTCCAGAAGGTACCTTACTTTCAGCTATAGATTGTACATGAGAAGAAGTATCAGCTGGTTAAAAGACTGTCCTCTCAGGCTCTGGTCTCCTTGGCAAGTAAGACAAGGAGACCTATGTGTGATGAAAACCCAAATTATGCTAAAGGATTAAATGAGATCATATACAATTAATTGAGTGTCATTTGATACCATCATCAGAATGGCAGCAATGATGAACATCAAGCTGAATCAAAGATTTTATAAGTCTTGTTCTACTATCCAGTTTGAGTCGTTTTTACAGTATGCCCCAAGAGACAAACCAGCTCAATATAAGACAGATCAGCATAAGCTCTGCCAGTGGGGCGTGGACAGCATGGTTGCTTGAACATGTAGATCCCCAATTGGCCACAATATATTTCCCCGAGTGGCAAAGCCAAGTCAGAAAACTATCGCGAGCTGGTACATGACAGCAGTGCTCCAAACTTTAATGCTTGTGGGATCATCAATGGTCAACATGCTGGACAAAAATCTACTAGGTTTCTTTCAGTAATGAGACACGATGAGTACTTTCGACTAGGGCAAATAATGAGCAGGCATGTGATAAGTAAACCTTTGGTATTCTGTTGAGCCATTACATCTCAGTTTGTGAACCACAGTCTCATATTATTCCATTGCATTTGATAATTTTTGGTTGCATCCCCAAGATTCAAAACACTTCCGTTTGCGACCTTGTTGACTGGCCGTTCGTCGTTGCGCGACTTACTGATTAACTTGCACGTTACACAAAGCAGTGACATTTCAGCTGCTCATGATGCTTACTTCTGTGGCAACGCGTGCCTTGCCCCTTTCCTCGACTCTGCCTTATCGTCCTTCTCCTGCCAACTTCCTCTCCCCCATTGCCTACGAATTTTAACCACAAATTTCTTGGTTTTTTTTTTCTTTTGAAAATCTATAGCTGGTTTAGTCCAGCTATTTTGTATCTTTTGGCACAATATATGATTGAGCAACCTGTTTAAGTTGAGGGAACTTGTGGTCCGTTGAAGTCATGGCTAGAGCAGGGAACCGAGAGACGCTTGAATGCCTCATCAATCATGTTTTCCTTCCCCCAAAACTCCCAGGTGGTGAAGATCAGCTTGGGTGGGAGGCTACGTTGACTGAGCTTCTGGCTGCATCCTTAGGGGAATTTCGAGATCTTGTCTCAGGGGATGACAGCACATGCCTCAATTTGGCGACCCACGCTATCGAGCGCTTCATTATGTTGACAGACCCAAGCGGTCACATACGCGAAGACGTACTCAAGGACAACTTCAGCCAAACCACAATGAAAGGTCAACCACGAGCACCGTCTCCCTGGTCAGACAGTCAGCTAATAATTTATTAGAGATGGTGATCCCACTGCATGTTAGAGCGCAGAATGCAGGCATAATTATCCGGAGCGAAGCCAAAACGATCTACGTTGAATCTTTTGAGCTTTCTGCTCTTAATGTGGATGTTATGACGACCAAAGGTCGACTCCGGCGCTACTTTCCGGAGACGGCTGTGTCTATTCCGCAAAACACTTTCGCTGTAGACGATTTTCAGACAGCTCTCGCTGCAATGATCTCAAAAATGAGCCACCAAGCTGTGGTGGAGTCGAAGCCAAGAGTTAGAAAGGCAAGACAATCTCATGCAGAAGACCGCGACACGACCAATCCGTGCCTTGTGACCCAACTCCTTAGCGCTATTTTGCGACCCCATGGTGACCTCGCGCAGGTGTCCGGGCTTTGGAAGAATACTCGCGACGAAGTCGTGTATAGTGCGGGAAATCGGCTACCGTGGCGGAGGTCTCCGACCTGGCTGCTTCTTCGAATCGTTCTACAGCTGACACTGGCTCGGGCATGCCAAGGCACTATAGGCGATGGGCTCTACAAGAGATTCATGGTCTTCTTCATATCCATTATCATCAAGCATGCCTTATCTCGTGAGCTTGATACCGAAACTATCTTCATCATGAACGCTAAGCTGGCCCGCCGTATCCGGAAGCTGGATATCGAAGAAACCGAGCCTTGGATGGTGGTCGTTCATGAAACTATACGGCAAGCTACTTCGCGTCTTAATGAACGGTGGACGACAGTCATCGAGTCCCAGGAGCAAAAATTGGACATGTCGGTTATCGTATCACCAGATATAGAAAAGAATCTAGATATCAGCCTGCCGAAGCTCGATGTTTTCATTGGCGAAGTCTCTTCGCGGACTCCTCTCTTATCTGGCAGATGTTTTATCCCTACCTCTCAGATCCTCCGATTCCCGCCTGATAATCTTCCGTGTCCCAGGCAAATTCCTACTACCGGTTGTTATCAACTACTCAATATTGCCGCATTTGAGCACTGGGTAGCTAAAAATCTCGAAACTTGGATCAGTACTCATCTCAATGACTCAGACACGTGCTCCCTGATCAAGGGTACCTTGGAGGCATACCACGCGGTGGCTATTCAGTTGTATGGAGATATGCCTGAAGGGTTGTCGGTGATGATACTCACAATCCTTGAGCTTTGGGTTGCCTGCGATAAGTCGGCTGTTGCAACTTATCCTATGTTGGCTGAGTACGATCCTGAAGTATCTAGCGAAGTTTGTGGATCTTTACTGCTTCGATTTCATAAGGATATGAAAAGACTTTCAACTGTTGAGCAATACATTCTGCTGCGTGGCAGAAGCGCGTTCCGTAAGCAGATATTCACCAGTTTTGGCACGCAATCAGCATTCTCTGTCCGGTACTTTGGCTCTTCTCGTGCACATCAGGAACGCATGTCTGCTATTGAGAAGCAAGCACTTGAAGATCGGCAAAGAAAGTGCAAAGAACTCGAGCGGCTTAAAGAGAGATACACAAAGTTGATGGCGGAGTCTGTTTCCAAGCCACATGACTATATTGACCAGGTGGACAATTTTGGGGATCATATAACCGAGCATAGTCCATTCTGTTCCAAGTGCTCTCTTATAAGAAAGGCAGATCGGCTGACTATTGATGTTCACGAATGGCCCTTACCGATGTGCCACTTGGAGGCGCAGTCTACAGTGTTCGAGATGGATGTACCTATTGCCTTTAGTTCCTGGAGAGATTTAACTATCTTTTTGAGAGACAATGTCTTGGCCTATCAGAACATGACAGATAACAACCTTTTTTATTGTGACTTGGATTCTTACCGAGGACTATTTTCTTCCTCTAGAACCTCTTTGCAACGAATTGTCCTTGCGTCCAAGACTAAACCGCATACGGCCACTCATCGATGTTCAAAGTCAATCGCTGTCACCGAAGAAGCTGACGTTTTTTTACAAAACGGATTACAATGGAGTTATTTTGACAAATGTAAGAATGGGTTCCTTGCAGAAGCAACGTTAAGTGAGCAAGTCTCTGAAAACTGCACTTTCTCTATCACGCCTATCCTTCGAAGCTTCCTGAGGCGACCTTGGGGAAAGCCGGACGGACCACAGCCAAACTGTGTGGTGGCCAAGCAGGCTGATTGTCCTGATAATCTATCTGTTGATGAATTCAAAGCCTTGTGCTTACTCCCTTTGGGCCACAAGATCCAGTGGGAGAACCTTCTGATTCAATTAGCTATGCCTTCAGTTGACTGGCGAAAGTTGGAAACCGTCATCTTTGCCTGGCAGATCTCTCATCAAACCGGGCCTCCATCTAACTCTGTACACAGAGCTTCCCATAAGGTTCTTGAGGACGATAAGTTTGTATTCAAGTTTTGTACATATCTAGCACAGTCCTTTACTAGGCTCAAGGAGAACTGGGAATCTTCAGGAGCGGTCGGGGCTTTTGTTATCTTGGCAACCCGACTTTTATCACTTGGGTCTCGCGAGAATTCGCACCGATACCTCAGCCTTCTCGGAGACTTTCGCCAAGCTTGTTCTAAATGGTTAATACCTCTGCGTCATGGCATGCTGACCACTAGAAGCGATGAGGAGAGATCAGAGTTCTGTCAGAGAACTCTTCAGACCGCTTTAATAGGTATTCAAACTTTCGATGTGGATGATATTTTCCTTTCGCAGCTACTTCAAAAACCTGGTCACGCTGCCGTTTTTATTGAATTCAGTATTGCTATCCGAGACACTGCACGCTGTGTCGAAGGGTCAGAACGAGCAAAAAGAACTGCCATTGACCTTGTATTTCTTGACGCTTTACTCCTGAGACATCGGCGCCTCGTTCTCCGTGCACGGACAGACTTGATCAACAATATCACATTAGGAGGAAGCCTTTGTCTGAATGACGCTATCCAAAAGCACTGGCAATCATACAGACCAAGAGATCAATGGGCAGTTGAAAGAGACTGCTGGCTCAGCATCAGCTCCTATAGCCAAGACAACGAATCGGCTCTTATGGTTCACTTTAACGTTGTCACAGCTGAGCTGCTTGTCAACGGTCTCCCTCTATCCCGACTTCCTCTGGAATACGAAAATCATGAAACTTACCGTATACTCCTTGGACAAAGCCCAATTGAAGTCGTACCCAGCGCGGAGCCAGGGATGAGATTTTCATCCAACCACATTCTGCATGAGCACCAACTCCATTTCTTTCTGAAAAAGGATCTTCTTGTTCGTGCCTCAAAGCATGGACATTTTTGGGATTACGTTCCTCCACGAGTCTTCGGGTCGAGCTTGCCGATGAAATTTACCGAGGATTATGTCCACTGGTACGATGTTAGGAATGATGTCGTCGAATTCCGGCCCAAGGCTAGCCCTTGGTTATCACCACAATCCACTTGGCGACTATCAAGGATTGGATCTGAATGGCGCCTACAACTTGACAATGTTCACTTACTCAATCCCTCGAAGTCTGTTGCTGTTTGGTTGTTGAGAGTTTTTCAACCCCTCGAAAACATATCCGGCTTACATTTTTGCTACAATAAACAGACTCGTTTCCTCGAGATTGATATTCCCCGCCTTCAGCTTCAATTCGATGTCTCACCGGGCTCCCACTCCATCAAGTCACGCCAGTACAGAGACATGTGTGTGGACACCAGACAAGGTAGTGACACACTCATTGGATTGAAAAATAAGTTGTTCCTCCATAAAATTGGTGACCGTTGCACGCGGATGATTCTTATCCCTCATTGTATACCCCGTTGGCAGCGAATGATAATCTCGTCTTCTGTTCACCATGTCGCTGTGACGCTAGGATGCGATGCCAAACGGGTTCAGCCATACCATTTCGATAACCATCTTGGCCGCTTGGTGGGAAATGGGAGTTTACAAAGCAAGCTTTTCCTCGCAGAGCTGCACGCTCTGACTTCCAGTTGCCTGCCTGACCCCTTCACACGTAACACTGGTACTGAAGAGGCATTAACGATACTCCAGTCAGCTGGTGTGTGGTCATTCGATCGCTTTTCCGAGGAGAATCTTGATCTCCTTTGCCGACTTGCAAACCTCGCTCCCGGCCGAACTTACTATCCCCCACATCTTAAAGTTATGCAAGTGGTCGACTGGGATCCGAAGTTGAGCTATTTATCTCAGCATGGCTACTTTTTCAACGAAGTAAGCAAACTTTTTAGACAAGCTAAACAGACTGCGTTTCTCTTTTTGGACTCCATTGTACCTCCGGACTTGAATAAGGCCGATAGTCATCTTCTGGGACGTGACAACATCAGGTCGTCGACCTTTCGACTTGCGGGCTTCGGCGCTGAATCTTTCACGACAGAATTTGACAAGCAATATGTAGGATCAAGAGATGGCAATCAAGACTCTCTGCGCGCTATGCGTGCATCAGTGGTTGCTGCGAGCTTCATCAGCTCTAAAATGGATCTCCCTTTCACGCTGCCCAAGGATAGCGCTGCTTACCTCTACACGGTGCTTTCGACACAGAATTCGTCTTTTGGCGGCGAGACTAACATAGAAATGTCGAAACTCCAATACGACTCCTATTGGCTTAACGATCCGAAGCCAATGCTGCAAGAATTATGGCTTAGTATCCACCAAACGCTCAGTCAACACTTGGCATCTTCGAACCCGTATCGTTTGATGACATGGATGGCTACTATGGCCTTTTCCAAACATTCAGATGAGACGGTTCTAGCGGTGTTGGTGGGACTCACCCGCCTCGAGGCTCCGCGAAGGATCACGGTCCCGAAAGTAGAGCAATTGCACCTCACGGAAGGATTAAGTCCTAGCAGGGATAAAATTCGTTCTTTGGTCAACATTGAGGCAGTTTCTTTTGATCACACGAGCCAGGTCAACGGACCTCGCCTTCGCAGCGAAACAAACCGACAAGCATACTACCGGCGGCGAAAAGAATTCCTTTCAAGCCAGCAAAGTGTGCTTTCGAAAGCGGTTGATCTCATTTGCTCCCAATGGCCATCTTTGCAGCTTGATCAGTCTTTCGACGATTACTTCCGGAAATCAGCGGCTATCGCGCGCGTAGCAAATCAATTCCGGATTTGGAACCGCAACAAGGCTTTTCACGAGTACCTCGAGCGGATATGCTGTGCACTTTCCGGTGCCAGTGTCAAGTGCTTCACATTTGAACCTCCTAATTTTGCCAGAAGTCAATACCAAACGAGAAAGGTAGCTCGCTACATCACTTTTAACGATGTGCTCATGAGAGCTCCACTGCAAAGTATATCAGATGCCAGCGACCCTATCCCGCCACCAGACTTATTCAAAGCCACAGCCGCGCCAGAAAGCAATCGCATATCAGAATTATTGAAGATGCTGGATAGAACTGCTGAGTCACAGCAGGAGGTAAACTATGTCAAACAGCTTAAAGAAAGCGCGGACCACCTCCATGGACACTCCCAGCAGTATACCCCAAGCACTGCTACAGAACAGCGACAAAAGGAACTGGAAGCCTACTACAATTCGGCAAAAGCGCACTATAGCCGTACGTTGAACTTACTTTCTGGAGTACTGGGTGGGTATCAGGGTTCGTCAGAGTTCTCCAACCTCTCAACATCCTTTTCGATGATTGCAGACACATATCTCTGGCCACGGGTCTCTGCAAGATTAATCGTCTCACAGCTGAATCGACAAAACTGGAGGCACCTTACAGACATATTGAAGGAGACTGTTGTCGCTTTCGGCACTCACTTAACACAACTTCAGGCATCTGAGCGACTTGTACAACTCCAAAATCAGGAAGCAGATCTTCACAAGGAGATTTGCAGCCTCCAGCCTCGGACCTGGAATCCTCTTAAATATCCAGACACTTTATTGCTAGAAATTGAAGGCAATCTCAGAATGAGGGAGGCCCAGGAGGAGATTGCTTCGATGATGGGACATCCTCCTGGGAACAAGAACACAGTGATGCAGCTAAATATGGGCGAAGGAAAGTCTTCAGTCATTGTACCGGTCGTCGCAGCTTCACTTGCGGATACTTCCTGCCTTGTTCGAGTGATTGTCGCCAGGCCACAATCACGACAAATGTTTGAAATGCTTGTCGCTAAGCTTGGGGGACTAATCGGGAGACGCATTTACCACATGCCCTTCTCGAGATCTTTGAGACTGGGTGTAACTCAAGCAGACTTCCTCGGTACCTATTACGAGAAATGCAGACGTGATGGGGGTGTCTTGCTTTTGCAGCCAGAAAATATCCTTTCTTTCCAACTGATGGTTATTGAGACTACTATCAAGGGCGAGAGCACTCTAGCACAGAGCCTATTGAAGACCCAGCTCGCCTTCGACCAGTTCTCTCGCGACATCGTCGACGAGAGTGATGAAAACTTCTCTACCAAATTTGAACTTATCTACACTATGGGTCAGCAACGCCCAATAGACTTTGCTCCAGAGCGATGGATAATTATCCAGCATATACTTCGACTGGTTGCAAAAACCGCACTCCGGGTCAAGACAGAGTTGCCCGAATCACTAGAGATTGAAGATGCCGTCGATGGGCGCTACCCACGGATACGCTTTCTCGATGAGAAAGGTGCAACGATAGTACTAGGGCAGACAGTTACTCATCTGTGCGATGACGGGCCTGTGCCAGGATTTCCGATTGCTCAGCAATCGAAAGAGTCAAGGACCGCGCTGCAAGATTATATTTCCCAGCCGTCTCCAGCCGCCGAGATAGTCGCGAGGGTGGAGGAAGGAGAATTCTGGGCATTGGCAAGAGACAGTCTGCTACTCATCCGCGGTCTATTTTCTTCCGGTTTGCTCGCCTTTATTTTCGGCAAAAAACGATGGCGAGTGAATTATGGGTTGGACTCCACGCGGCGGCCGAGAACAAGGCTTGCAGTCCCATACCAAGCGAAAGATAAACCTTCTCTGCGGTCAGAGTTCAGTCATCCTGATGTTGTTATTTCCCTGACCTCTCTCGCATATTACTATAGGGGTTTGGACGACGAGGAGCTGCTTATCGCCTTTGACAAACTGTCCAGGTCTGATCAGGCTGATATGGAATACCAACTTTGGGTTGCTTCTGCACCAGGCCTTCCCCCTTCATTTCGCCACCTCCAAGGAATCAATCTTCGCGATACAGAGCAGTGCCGCAATGAGGTTTTTCCCAGTTTAAAATTTTCGAAAGGAGCCATCGACTACTTTCTTTCTCGAATTGTGTTCGTCAAAGAAATGAAGGAGTTCCCTGAGAAGCTATCCGCTTCCGGGTGGGATATCGGGCGGGTCAAGTGTCATCCTACAACAGGCTTCAGCGGTACGAATGACTCGCGGAATGTTCTGCCACTGGATGTCAAGCAACTTGATCTTGATAGCCAAAAGCATACCAATGCATTGGTTCTCGAGTATCTCTTGTGCATCGAAAACTCCGTCGAGCTCCTGAGCAAGGCGGGACATCATGGCACCGGTAGGGCCGAGAAGATGCTCGAATCGATAGTTCAGATGCCACACGAAGTAAGGGTCATTCTCGATGTGGGGGCTCAAATAGTTGAGATGACAAATGAAGAAGTGGCAAGGGCCTGGCTCAGCTTGGTACATGACCCCAGCAAGGCCCAGGCAGTGATTTTCTGCGATGATTCAGATAATCTTTGCGTATTAGACCGGAATGGACATGTAGAGCGTCTGCAAACATCACCTTTTGCAAAGCATCTTGGCGAATGCTTAGTCTACCTTGATGAAGCCCACACACGGGGCATAGACCTTCGGCTGCCGCAGGAATACCGCGCAGTGGTAACTCTTGGAACAAACGTGGTCAAGGACAGACTCGTTCAGGGTGAGTCACTTCGTCTAGTGTACAGATATTCTTTTGTTGACAAGATTCAGCATGCATGCGGATGAGAAAACTTGGATTTGGCCAATCAGTGGTATTCTTCGTCCCTAACGAGATAGAGACCAAAATTCGCAAATCCAAAGCTTCCAATGATGAACCTATTATGGTTGCCGATATCCTTGTATGGTCTATGCACGAAACCTGGGCGGATATCCTACACTCTATTCCTATCTGGGCAACTCAAGGGTGTACATTCATCAAACAGCAGGCTCTCTGGGCGCAAGCACTTGCGTCAGACCCTTTTGTTGCTCTGAACGATGGGTTAGCGAAAGAGTTTCTTGCTGATGAGGCACAGAGTCTGGAAAAAAGATACCGCCCTTGCAACCAAATCCCGTTTATAAAAAGCATAATATCCTCCCAAGATGACACACTACGTGGAATCATCCAGCGGTGTGGCGATTTTGAGAACTTGGATGTGAATGCGAGTTCTCTGCAGGAAGAACAAGAGCGGGAGTTGAGCCCAGAGATTGAGCACGAACGGCAAAAGGAGCTCGCACCCCCGGCTCAACCGTTAAAACATTATGTCCATCCGGCGGTCCGTCGTTTTGCGAAGACTGGGAAAATGGGCCATTGCAATAGCGCATTTATGTGGGCTTTCGAGGTTTTTGCTGACACTACCGCGGCGGCCCATTTTGATGTTCGTCGATGGCCTCGTGGTCTTCTAATCACGCGGGACTTTGCTCGCACGGTCGAAAAAACTAAATCTGAGAAGAGCTGTATGGATGATTACCAGCGAAATATTCAATGGGTTCTTACCAACACGACTTCGGACGACGGTAGTAATCACATGGTTGTGTTGAGTCCTTTCGAGGCTAATGCCTTACGAGATGAGATTGCCTCCTCCAGAAGTACAGTACTTCACATATACGCTCCCAGGCAAAATTTAGGGTTTCCTCCAATTGACGACTTGGATCTATATGCCATTCCGTCTTCATCCAGAAAGGACATTCCTCGTCGTCTTGTGATCGAGCTCAACCTTTTTGCTGGGCAATTGTATTTCAACTCGTTCAAGGAATACACAGAAGTGTGTGAATATCTTGGCCTGGCTTGGAAACCAGCAACACACGGGATGGTTGTAAAGAGTGACGGCTTCATTGTGCAGAATCATTACGGTATTCCTGGACATGCTGCTTGCTTTGAAGAGAGTCCAATTCCTTTTTTGAAGGCAGTTCTGATCAAGATTCGCCACAACACTGAGGGGATTGAGAACACACATCTAGGGAAAATTTTATACAGTGCCTTACTAACAGAGGATGAGTTTGAAAAATGAGAAATTAGTAGTTACCTTGGATTAAGAACCATGATGCCTGAAAACAATACTATGTATCTTTCTATATGTATCTACATGTCAGGATGCCTTGACATAGATCACTACAATCTCGAGAAGTGACATGCAGATATTCGCCCCACTAGTGACTTGGCCGAACACTTGAGGTACTTTCCATTTTGCCTTTAGGTACAAATAGGGTATTTTGTAGAAAAATAAAAGTTAAAAGTTTGTATATTCAATTAAGGATTCAAGTCTATAGAAGCATTGATGGTTCTAGTAGTAAAATTCATCGTTGCGATCGATGAGCCTCAGGATTAATTCCCAGTCGACGCATCTTTTTGGACTATTTTTTTTCTCTACTAATTTTTCCTAGTTTCCCGCGCCTTTGTGTCATTTCTTTGTTATATTAAAGATTGGATCTGTCTGTTTCCCTCTTGAATTTTTGTTTAAATCATAATTGGTCAGATTTCTTTCTTCGTAGAAGGACGAGAAAGGACGATATCGTCTTGGGCTGCATGCGATAATGTCACCACGGGTAAGCCAGTCCCATTGTAACGTTTTTATTATTGTATAGATTGGTTTAATTATTTTAAAAGTTTATATAATGCTTATCCTAGCATAATGCTTTTGCTACATTTCACCTTGAAAAGCTAATTCTTAGCCCTTTTTGTCTATGTAAAATTTCTTATTCAGATCCGTCGCAATGCAACCTGAATATTTATATCACATACTTCAAGAGTACAATTAGCCAGGCTTCTTCAACTTGTAAGAGAGATCTGTGCACTTACCGGTATAAAGAGGTATGGAACCTGCTTCTCATACTCCTTCCAGGCATCGCCGTACTTTCTCCTGCATTTGGTAATGTCTCTCATCGCACGATGACCGATCATAACGCAGAAGAAGACAGGATAAAACCAGGGAAATGGACTGTCGAACCCAGTTATCAAGGCCCAGGAGAGCGCAAAGAACATGTCACAACTGTAGTGGATTTTGCGCGCAAGACCATACCATCCGTCTGCCAAGATCCGATCATCGGTGTCTGTCTGGATAGCCTTGGGATTGTAAAGCTCTTGCCAAGGGAGTTGTGGAAATGTCTTGCGCTTGACAAAAGTTCCGCGCTCCATCATCCGGAACGAGTTCTTCTGCCCATTGGCAGTGTCCCAGACCCAGTAAACAAAAAGATAGGCAAAAAAGAATGCGGTAAGGGCATATTTATTCCATGCATATGTAGATGGGTCGCGATTGGCGAGATAGAGTGTGCAATGACAGTACGACATAGGCACACCAGCCATGTTCCAGAAAATCAACAGGAAACCCAGTTTTTCCTGGTACATATCCCAGGTGGTCGTGATGAGATGCTCACCCTTGGCGCAGGCATTGGCGTAAAGATAATGGGCCATAACAAGGAAAAGCACTTCGCCAGAAATGTAGCCGTACCGTTCATACTGACGTGCGGCGGCTGCGGAGCTCAAGCCAAAAAGGATGAACCACGGGATGCGGACTTCGTAGAACATTTTGAAGTCAAGAATGCCAAATAGACGGGGATTCAGCTCAGCTCCCATGAAGAAATCATAGATCGGATAACCAGTTATGCGGTGCTGAGTTCCACGGGCAAAAGCGGAGAAGTAGGCGTAGAAACTCACGAGGAATCCGGATATTATAGCGACAGACATAATGGGACCGAACTCGTCCAGAAAAGTGTAGATGGGAAACAAGCCAGTACCATGCAGAACAGCCATAACGAATATTGTCAAGTAGAAGCTGGAAAAAGCCGAGCAGTAATATTTCAGCTGTTTACCGCCCTCGTGAGCTAACGGCTTGCCGTAGCAAGTAAAGCCAGGCATATAGAGATAACACGCAGCCTCAAAAATGTAATAAATCCAATAGATGCGCCACGCCCGTAAGTGGGGGAAGGCGCCCGTGTACACAAGGTGCAGCATGTGGGATCCAAAATCCGACCATGACTGGTCTTGTCGTGGGAGAGGCAGCTTTCCGTCGTAATAAGTGGCCCCAATCCACATATAGTACATCAGCAAAGGGAAACCGGTCATGAGAGCCAAGTTGCCAAGTGAGCCGCCAAACTCAAAGTGTCCAGAGTAGTCGACTTTGGGGTCCATTCCTGGACGCCAGCCGCCACTGATGTGTTCCTTTGCAAAATCATCAATTGATCCATCTTTGATATCGGCGGGCACAGTTTTGTCGTTCTCATCGCTGCCATTGAGAGCAGGAAAGTGAACCTGACGTCGCGATGAACGGTGGGCTGACATCGGAATTGGCCGTCCAAAAATTCCTCTCTTCTCTTTGTAAAAAATAGAATCATCAGCTCCGGCTTCTGGAAAATGCGATGTACTGTTATACTGCAACAGACTTACATGTTATCGTTTGTGTTTCTTCGTCCAACTGCTACAAGTTGACTTACGGGAGGTGTACAGCATACCTACCTACGGGAGGTAGACAGAAAGTGAGATACCTTAATAAGTAAGCAAGCCCCTGAGTTTGTGCGATTTCGCCTAAAGATACAGTTACGGACTTTCGGTACAATAATTATACCGTAATCACTCCAATTTACAGTGACAGAGACTTTTATATTAAGATTATGTTTGGGGGCCGGTCTTGGCTCGGTAAGTCCGCTACGGGGGGCTGGCGAACCCTTCCGCCCTACGGCCCGCGCCACTTAAGTAGACTTTAGCGCGTTGTCACCTACACGTGGCTATAGAGTACCATAAGGTAGTCGACGTGATAAGGGACACCTGACAGCGACCTCACGTTTCTCGATTCGGATAGCTCCATGCTGCACCAGGGCGTTACTTCTGGATTCGGAGAACTCTGGGCCAAGGATAGTTTGCCTTTACCGGCAGAGAACGGGACGGTGCAGGACTATATGCCTGCAGTCATGGTCATGCGCATCCTTGCTAATAAAACAACCATATTCCGTCAACCAGTCTGGTCACTCAGTAAAGACTCAGCCCAGATCAAGTATTAAAGACGAGTTAAGCTTATCTAAGCTCTCACGAGCATAAAAGCTCCAAATTAGAAATTCGAGCGTGGGTCGGATGCTGTCTCGGTAATACGCTATAATTTGGCAAGCCTGGACCATCTTTCAGCGTGTTGGCTGTGAGACTAACATTTCGTATAGATTGTAAAAGGTGCTGTCTTCAATACAAAAATATCGGGCTTGGCCTTGGCAGTCATCAGTCATTCGTCATGAATTCTTCAGGGCTTGCTCGGCAGCTTCTCTTTCGCTGCAACGCTTTGATGTTTGAAACATGACACGTGAAACGGATGACCACCTTGAAAATTTGCACCAATTAAGCTGTTGGTTTACCCAGGTCCAGCGATGAAAAAAGGGTCACTCAGAAAAGTTTCGCAAAACATCTCAGCCCTCCAAGGCCCTTCAAGGAAATGCCTCAGTTCGAGACCCGGCCAGGGCCATGAGGTCTAAGCTTTACAGCTCCCAGTTGGCATATTCGATCCAACTCTATACTTCCAAAAATGTAATTTCAGATACACACCACCAACATTTGATGATGACTCTGACGGGTCTTCTCAGCTTCTACAGAACAGACAGGAAGCGCTATAAAAGACCGAGCTGCTGGCGTAGCTCGAGACGACCAGAATGGTGACCATCAGCTTGTGCATGCCTAATTCCCTACATCCTGATTTGGCATATTCAGAAATCTTCCGGGAACAGTATTCGAATGCGCTGCAACGTTGGTCATGATGGAAATCTGGATTTGGCTTCTCGTCGCCCTCTCGATAGCGTTGTGCCCTATCATATACAACGTCTTCTTCCATCCACTACGAAGATTTCCGGGGCCACGTATGGCCGGTGCCACATCTTGGTGGAAAGCATACAAGGAAGTATTTCAACAAGAGACTTTGGCTCAGTTATTATTCGATCTTCATAGAAAACATGGTGAGATTTGCCACAAATAATGTCAAAGGGACGTTATACTGATTATGCAGGCGACATTGTTCGAATAGGTCCGAATGAGGTGAGCGTTTTGAATATTAATCTGGTATCCTCGATATCTAATTGGTAAAGCTCCATTTTGGCAAGCCTTCTGCATTCCACGATATCTACCATGGCACGAACAGATGGGACAAGGACGAAGGCCTGTACCGGACCCCTGGGGTACGCTCAGGCTCGTTTGTCTTCCTCAAGTATAAAGACGCAAAGGAACGAAGGGAAGTACTTCAACCGATGTTCTCTAAGAGATCCATTCAAAACGTTGAAGGGCTAGTATGGCGGAATGTAAGCAAATATACTTGTGAACTAGACATGATACAGACGCTAAACAAAGACATCAGGCAAATCGACTGGCGACAGCGGTAACCAAAGCCAACGCGGAAAATTGCTCGATTGACTTGCTATATGCGTTCCGCTCCTTTACACTTGACACGATCATGTATTTCACTTTTGGAAACTGTGTGGACGCCTTAGACGCGCAGGCATTTTCAGATCCCTTGATAGTCGCAATGGACGCAAGTCTGCGAGCCCTCCCAATACTGAAGAATTTCCCACTTATACGGAAGGTCGCATATTCTCTGCCACCGTCATTAATCATGAAGACGTTGCCGGATGCAGAGAGACTCGCTCCAAGAATTTACCGTGTACGGGCGATTATCGAAGAGCAGCTACAAAAGGTACTGGATAACCCTGAAAAGCTTGATGAAGCATTGCACCAGACAATCTTTCACCGAATGTTAGACCCGAACGCCCACAGGAGCAAAGTCGTTCCTGACTCTGTAAAACTCCATGACGAAGGCTTAACGCTGGTTTTTGCCGGCGCCAACACAGTCGCTGATACATTATTAATGGGCCATTGGAATTTACTCAACCAACCTGACTTAGTGGCTCGACTAAAGGCCGAGGTGTTTTCTGTGTGGCCAGATCTCGAAGCTCAACCCAACCTTAAAGATCTTGAAGCACTGCCGCTTTTGACAGCAACTATAAAAGAGTCTCTGCGACACATCCCGTCGGGAGTGTCCCTGACACGTGTGGTCCCACCGACAGGGGCTGTTATATCTGGACAAACCATTCCTGGAGGTACCACGGTCGGCATGGCAATACTCCACGTTCATCAATCCGAGGAAATTTTCGAAGACGCACTTAGTTTCAAACCGGAACGCTGGCTTGGAGAAGATGCGAAGCAGCTGGAACAGTGGCTGGTGCCTTTTAGTCGCGGACCGAGAATGTGCTTTGGTGTCAACTTGGCCTGGTGCGAATTATACATTGCCTTTGCGACACTGATTCGCCGGTTTGATATGGCTCTAGACGGGACCACAGCTGCTGACATGGAGTGGAGAGAGTGCATTGCTGCATATTATCCAAACAGGCATTTGCATGCATGGTGCCAGCCAGTTGAATGCTGAGGCACTCTTGTTCTTTACTTCTAGTCTTGTATCTAACGAATCGCAATTATGCTTATGTCGACTACATACGGCCACGTTCCAATTTTCTTTGAGCCTCGTTCTACCTGAAGCAAGAAACATGTATTGTAACACGTCCTATTGTAGGTTCCTGACCTATCATTCTGGATCAGCCTTAGCGATCCACTAGTTAGTGCGCATCCTCAGTGCTTTTTGGCTCTTGATTCAAGCACTAAAATAGAACATATTTCATGTAGCAGCCCTCTCTCGGCCTTATTTCCCATGCATGCACTTCATAGGATCGTTTCTTGTGAGTTGAGCCAAAGATATGGATTCCAAACAGTCGTCGAATCGTGTACTGTTGTAACGACATCAAATCTTCAACAAGCGTTGGTGGTTTAGTGGTAAAATTCGTCGTTGCCATCGACGAGCCCCGGGTTCGATTCCCGGTCGACGCATTGATTCATTTCTTTTTTGTTTTTCGTATCAATTGCTTTACTTTTTTTTCCCCCCTTGCGTTCTTTGATTTTTTATTCTTGATATTTTCTCTCATTCGTTTTTTCTCCGTAAGTCAGGTCTGATCTCATTGGTCATGTGTCGGGTGAAGCATGGACCTTTGTTGGAAGATGAGAGACGTCTAGACGAGTTTGTCGTCGGTGATCTAATGGGGCTGTACCCACTTGGTAATATCATTCATTTTGATGACCAGATGAGAGGCCCTTCAAGGCGATGTACAATGTGTACTCTTCTTTTTTCTTTTTTCTTATTCTTTTTTTTTGAAATTACATTGCCTCGAAATTCACGTGGAGCTCTAGAGGATTTAGGCGGGCACGGTAAGGCCGAGTTCTTTATTTTCGAACCCTTTATGCTTGAACAACCGAGAGGTAGTTTATGGTAGGGTATTTGGCCCTTTAGGTAAAGCGCTGGAATACTTCGCGCTAATTTCCATTGTAGGACGGTTTTGCCTGCTGGAGGATAGCTGAACGTCAATACATTTAGCGAGGAAACGGGTGAAAGCGGCGTCACTGCGCGGGTGACTTTGACGCTAATTAGTGGGCTTGTAAGTATTGATTTTCACTAGCCGCTTTCGTTATTTTTTGTTTGGTCGTATATCAACAAAGAAACACGAATTCAGAACTCAAAATTGTGAGGGAAAGGGGTGAGGATTCCATTTTGCAGTGGACTAAAAATGCTAGTATGGATGAGTATCTTACCATCTAAATGCTTACCATATCTCGCTAATTATATAGAATTCTGGAAAGTTTCACAATGTCTTTCGAGCAGAAATCTGGCATAGTGGGCAACCAAGATTCACGTCCTTTTTTATGAAATCGGAGTCTGTGTCTGCTTCCTGTCAGACAACCACCCCATACTAATTTGTTGTTTTCTTTGTTACTCCGTTTTTGGTGGCTCTTATGTACTTTCTATGCCACTTCGAAGCTGTTCCATCACCATCACTTCTTTCATGACATGAATTTTAGAGAGAGTCTTTCTTTTCCGCTTCAACTTGATTCCCTATCAAAGACTAAGCATCATCTCCATCAGGAAAATCCCAGTATCCAAAGTTAAAATTTTGTCATGATTCCTCCAGAATATAGAATCTCACCTGTGTCTCAATGTCTCTTTGGCGACTCGAAAATCTCAACCACGATTGACTACGACGAACGCCGATGGTACACCATCACCGGCCCACTCAGCTATTTCGGCGAGGACGGAGAAAAGGAAATTGGAGTACTTAAACGTTATATTGACCAACTTAGCCCCAACGTTTGTGTAATTAGAGTGGACGAAAATGGCTTGCTAGTCACAGTGTCGTCAGACCCCAGAGATGATCCTACTTTCACGCCGGAATACCCACGTTACTTAACAGCAGCATCCTTACAGAATTACTCTACTGTCAAATTATCACAGCTCTCTGAACTGGATCGTATAGGGCCGTCGGTTGACTTGACGAGCTACCTCGACGAGAAGGGCGTTACAAAAAAGGTAGTATTCAAATACGCCATGACACCGCACGGTTTGGCACGTATTTGGAGAGAAATGCACCTGTTCAAGAGCCTTCCAACGCACCCAAACATCATCGCTTTCGATCGTATCGTTGTCGATGATATTGAATCGCGGATCCTAGGCTTCGCCACCATCTACGTGCCCGGAGGAACTCTCGACGATAACAGAAGTCGAGTTTTCCGACTAGAGTGGCTGCAGCAACTCACGGACACGGTGGACTACCTGAATCTGGAACTGGGCATCTTCCATGGAGATATTGCTCCGTGGAATCTTGTCATCCACCCGGAAACCGGCAAGATCCAACTCTTGGATTTTGAGCGTGGAGGCTGGCTTGCGCACAACGTCGGCCATGACGAGACCGATATCACTTGCCTGATATTTACTGTTTACGCCATCATCACTGAAGATTACCATTTCCGTGATATCCAGACCCACAACCGCGACCCGGAGACGGTGCAGTCCCTCGAAGAATGGCCGGTGATATGTGAACTCGATAGCGACGTTGGCTTGTTTCGGAAACATTTGGTTGATTGGGCTCAACGGCGGAAGACCGCGAATGTTCAGAGAAACAAATGGCCCAGACCCCTCATGGGGTTCCCAGAGACATTTAGGGGTCCAGGCCGGTCGTCACGCGCTTCAAGCGTTGTTGATACGCGCGAACTGCCTTGTGTATGTGGGGAAGACCCTTTTAAGAAAATGACCAAGGAACTGGAGCCCAAGGAACAATTTATCTCTTGGAGGCGTCCTCGGCAACAGCGTATGACTGAGACGCCCCCAAGAGGCATCAAGCGTAAAGCCGCTTGCCAGGATTTCTTGAACAGCCCCTCTTAGAGCTTGAACTGTGGACCGCATTGCACTTCAAAGATATCGGAACGATTCCAGTGCAGCAATTTTTCTTCATTATTCTTCATTATTTTGCATTTACGCCCGCAGGTTGAAACCTGGAATCCTATTCATTTTTGATAATTCACTTGTATAACCTACTCAGCAACAAAAAGCACCACTGTTATGACTTTGTCATTTATGCAATATTGTTAGATCTAGAAGATACACTATTCCAGTAAGAGGCAAGCATTGGATAAAACTCCTATTACTTAATTATGCTGCTCAGCCTGCTATGCACTCTACTCCAACGCATATTTATTTCTTCTCTTCCTGTGCGTTCTGCTGCTGAACCGTGTGAGGTTCAGCGCCCTGCTCCTTAGAACCACCTCGATTGATTGGCTTGAAACCTTGTTGCTCTGGTGTCGAAGCGTTCCACTTTTCGGAATCTTCCACAACATACGTCAGCATTATGAACGACTAAGGGATCCCTGGAGGCAAGTATCAAGGTAATGCTGGTTAGATAATGCGAATCAGCTCACCAAAGGGCTCAAACTTTGCCAACTCATCCCATCGTTTATTCTGAAGGTGATCCAGAGCGGCATGCGCAGTTCCTACAGGGAGATAGATGTCATGGTAGACGCCATTATCATCCGTGAATTCCATAGAATTTGGCGGTCTACTCCACAAGGGAAGGGGAATGTCCAGAGGTGATTTTTGAAGTTTGTTTTTGTCGTCCATGGTCCCAATACTTTGATGCCTCCAAATCTTGTTCGCACAGGTGAGAGCTGATATCGGAGCTTTGACTGTCAGAAAGGACTCGAAAGTAAAAATGTTGGTGCTGAAGCTCTTACAAAGCAGCTTTGTTCGCGAAGTAGAGTGGCTTGTTGTATAGTTAAGCTTGTGACCTCGACCCGCAAGTTAGCTAGTCTGCGGGGCGCATGCCGCCTCTGATTTATATCTAAACTTAGTCACATTATCGCTCTGGGTGCAAGGGTGCCCTGGGGGCAATTGGGCACCTACGCGGGCCCTGTCATTAATGAATGCCCTGGAGGCTGGACCTAGCTAGGTAGGTATAGTAGTCCACAATGCAAACATACCACATATTGATATAGAATAGGATAGATACGAGGTCAGCTGGGCGCTTCTCAGGAGATTCGCCCCCCATCGTCCCGCATCCGACAAACGCTTGGGCACGGCTTAAATGGGCGCTTAACCAGACGACATCCGCTCACCGGATAACTCAGGGGCATCATTTTAAATGCTTCTATTGATTTTTGGAACCACCGTTGAAAGATTTGGTCATATTTGAAGAGTACATATTTTAAAGAGATTTTTGTTATATATACGAGGCCGGGTTTCGAAACTGTGACAAAAAAAAAAAAAAATAAGATGATGGATGTATTAGCTGGCAGCTATCTAAAAGAGGAGGCGGAGAAATGCAGTGGAAAGACAATCACGAAGCTATGATTTAGCAGACCGCACACATTGAGTCAAAATGAGAGTGATAGCCAATTCCGTTCTGCTTTACGGAGCTTGCAATATCCTTGGCGCAGTGATAAGGTTGATAACAGCACTTGCTGCTCTGAATTCCATCAACGTATAGTGTTTATTTGAAGGGTGATACCCTGGTGCCTTACATTGACTATACGACTCCAGGTTGCTTTAGGGAAATTGAGGCGGGGTGGGCCCACGACGCCGGTGGGCCCACTTGGTGGCAAACTCCTCATCATTCAACCCCAGCACGTCGGCAACTATCGCCTCCATCTCTGGCCCGATAATGTCGTAGTCATTTCCACCGACCTCAGCAACCCTTGACACTGCCGGTTGAAGTTCAGTCGTAGAGGAACTTGGGCCACACTCTCCATCTGCTGTGGGGTCAGTTCAGACCAACATGTCAACGGGACCAGTGCTCTATGCTTTCACCGATGGAGAGATGCTCCATGATGGAGATACACCACAGCACTGGTATGAGTGACGATTCTTACCTTTTACTCCATCCACTATGCACTTTGAATCAGATGCATATTCATTTGTCCACAGGTTAGCCACTGCGAGTCCGGCGGCAGAAAATATAAGAAAAAGACGGAGGCTGAACTGCATATTGAATATGAGCGGTAGGGCAATTAGCAAGACAATAAGTGTGAAGGTGATGATTATATTAGGAAAATCGGATCTGCTACTTCAGCGAATCTGCGATCTTGGTGAGAACCTGATGGGAAATGAGAACCTTTTTTTTGCCTCGAGCGGCTGAGGCATTATATAGTAAATCCAATACGAAGGCACATCGGCAGAACCGCTCTTTCGGAGCATGTTGATGCAGCATTACGCCATACAGTCGGTTCAGTTTGCGGCACGGTCAGCGTTGGGCCCTGCAGTATCTTGGCACGTGGTGCTGGAACGGCAGCATTATGCAGCATGGGTTCAAGACAGAAGCAGGGCTGGCCCGGTCCAGAACTCATTCGTCTGATTTATACTGCAAGGTAAAGGTAGTCGAGAATTACATGTCATGTCAGCACGGGACCAAAAAAATCTATACTTGAGTACAACTAGGAAAATACATTTTTGGGTTTACATTCAAGATGTCAACGGAGGAACGTTCCTTTTAATGTATTTTGGGAAACTTCACTGCCTTTGTCGAAATTTTTGTAACTAGTAATCATTATGTGTTCCAGAGAGATATTGGACAGCCAAGGCCCAGAGCAGATGGAACGTGGGAAGACCTTTGTTAGTACGACAGCTTACCTGTAAGACAAAAGCTGGCTTGTATCCAACCCTAAACAACCTTTCCATTTTCGGGAGCGAAAATAAAAAAGAAAAGGAAGAAAAAAGAAAAAGTATTCTGGCTCCTGCATCGATTTCCCCTACCTGCACGTCGATTGCATCCTTATTTTCAGCCACTCAAACCAAGCAATTGCGTAGTCCTCAAACCCGATCTTTCCCAGCGATTGCTGAACCATGCTCCTCCACTCCGATGGATCTTCCACATCCCCGGATAGATCCATTCCCATGCAGAGCCGAAATTTAGTCCTAACCCAACCCTTTGGAAAGAAACCCGCGTTCTCCCAGTCAATGATACCAATGGTTCCATGCTGTGGTTTTGTTTCCACAATAATGTTGGTTGGACCGAGGTCGGCGTGATAGAACACGAATTCAGAACAGTTCATGCCCATGCCTTGGCATGTCTTTGACAACTTTTCGGGATCAAAATCCTCTGGTTGCTCCCCATTGGCAAGAAAGTATTCCGGAAGACGTTTGCCATCCACACCAACTAGTCTGTCGTGTTTGAGAGTAGCAAGGTAATTGCAGATACCTGCTATCGCATCAACATATTTCTGTCGCCAGTAGCTATCAAGAGTAGGCCAAGCTTCTGCCAGAGTCCGCCCAGGAAGTCTTCGAATAATGCAAATGCTCCGGTCTTCAATTTGTACAGAATATATGACTTTTGGGGCGGTGAATTTCCTGTCAACAATCTTGTCCACGAAATCAAGTGTCTGTCGTTCAGAAGTGACGCCTTCAACAAGTCGTTTTACCTTGCAGAACGTGTTACTACCAATGGTCCAGACTGCAGAAGCATTTGCGACATCGTGACATAGTACAATGTGAGGGTCGTCCGGAGCGAGCTCCGTGACTTTCGTTGTCAATGAAGGGTCTGGATTTAGTGTAAAGCGGTAGGACGAGCCTTCAAGATCATCATCCCAACAGCCGCCCGTTGGGTATGGAAGACGTTCGCAAAGCAGTTAACCACCGATGAGCCAGCTATTAGCATTCACGCTCTGAATGGATTGGTTGATGGGCTTGGCCATGGCGAAAGGAACGGCTTGGTCGGAACAGAAAAGAGTCAAAATCGACAACTATGAGAGATCAATACAGACTTGTTCACTGGTTGGGGATATTTCGTAAATCAGAGATTGAGGGTCGTATCTTGCACATAAAAATACTCCAAACGGAATCATAGAGGACCGGTGACGAGCAAAAGGTAAATTAATCTGCAAGGTTGGTAAGTAGACAGTTATAGGTTAGATATCTTATAGAGGGAAAGTCGCTAAATGAGCGGCAGGATACGAAACCATCGATCGACAAACACTGTTTTATTGCTCTGGTATAGGCAGGCCACCATGGAAGCAGGTTCCCTTGGGTCCCTGCATTTCGGTCTCTTATTGTCCGACCCCATCCGTTTTTACTGAAGCCAAGTGGTTCAATGAGTTCCATTGGGCTACGGGGTAGAATAAAATAGAATGGAATATATATAGGAATAATCTGACAATTGTCATACCAGGCGTTGATGGTTTAGTGGTAAAATTCGTCGTTGCCATCGACGAGCCCCGGGTTCGATTCCCGGTCGACGCATTATCTTTTTGCTCCTTTTCACTTTGCGAACCCTCCCAGATAGATATATATTTTTTAATTTTCTTTCCTAATTATTTTTTCCTTTGTAAAGTTAGCATGCAAGAGCTACAACACTCCATTTACACCAACATGATAAATTGCTCTGGCGTGTTCTTTGGGGTTTACTGTAGCGAGCGGGGAGGGACAGTTATAGTTCCCACTGATCGTACGTACTGTTCAGCGATGAATCAGCCAAGCATTGCTAAGCTCTCGGCAGTCCGCCCAGTAACATTCCAATGATTTCTCACTGGAAAGCCAGGTTCCCGGCTGTTCTCAAATATATCTCCAAAACTACACACCAATACAGACTTACCAAAATTTATCCATTGAGGTATGGTACGCTATACAACAACAAGATATAGCACGGTTCAAGCTATTTTAGGTAAATTGTTTATTCGAACCTTGTAGATACAATTTTGTGACATTGAATCTAAAATTCTGCATCAATCTCCCGTGTCTGAAATTATGGGTCAATTGTTTACCGGATAGTTAATTGCGAGTTGGGCGGAAAATAGCTGCCGATTCAACTGAAGAGTACCGAGCTCAGGCCCATCATGGTTATTCAGTATCGGAAACCCGCCGAGACCGACGAAATGTTCGCTTGAAATCCACTAAAATATACCTACACACCAGCCTGGCCCTATCTTTGCTTGTAGCCAAATCGTTCACCATTTCTTGCGCATATTGTATTGCATTCAGAACACATTTTAATATCTTGTTCATCGCCTTTTGCCGATTCTTCAAACTGCACAGAGTCAGGACATTTGCTTTTGTTTTGTCCGTTCAATCTGCAACACTTTGGTTGCTACTCGTCTTGTACGTCTTACCCACTCTTTCCATTGTAAATGAGTAAATCCAGCTGGATTGGTTGCGGGATCTTCCAGTTTCTGTTGAACAAATGCTGTGAGGTATGATTTCATTTCTTTCTTTGTTATTCCTAGATCAGCCTGACGGAGTGTTGGATTTGTACCCGTATCTTGCATTTGTCCTTCTTTCTTGAAACTTCCATCAAGAGCAATCGTAGTAACTGGTTTGCAAAATGCTCCTTCTCGGTAGTGCTTCTCAAAAGTAATTGAGGTGCATGATCCATGATTTCTCGGGCAACATTAGGCCCAGATCATCTGCAATTAGTGACCCTTGCTTCCTACGCCAAGCATACATGGAGCATCCATGGCCATATCCTGCTACTGTGGCATAGCTGGTGAAATAAGCAGGAAATGCTTTTGAACAAGCGGGTCGATCTGTTATTCCCAAACCATGAAACATGTTCTCCAATCAAAAGTTTGCCTTGCAATATGCAATTGGTCGGTTGTTGAGGATCTCCCATGGTTTTTCAAAGACAGCATTGGTGGCCATGCTACCAATGAGCGTGAATGATCTCTTTTGGCGTCCAGTAACAAGTCAGAGCCAGCCTTTATCCAGAAACCTTGCTCCTTTGGCTTAGAAAACCTTTAGGTGTCTTAACTGTTGCATTTCTAACCTTTGAAAGCGGGCAGAATCCCAGAACTAACTCTCCAGGAACTTCCCAAAACATATATAAGAATTGCTCCTCGTAAAGACGTGTCTCCTTCTGGCACCAGTAACTTTCCCCAAGCTTCCTACAAATCTGTTAGACATCTCTACCACGGTTGAGAGAAGAGACAGAACCTTACGAGAAACTTTATTGTTGACATGAAGTCGTGCATGAGGTGAATGACTTAAAGGCGATGTGGAACGGACAAGATCACGTTATCTGTGTTTTGTGGTGGAACGAATCGGGTTTCCAAGGTCCCACGTTGGTGACATTTGACGGTCTTCCGTTTGAGAAACTCAGATATGATATTGGCATAGAAATGGCCCTTTTCTGGTAAACACGTTTCCAGCGGAGAGAATTCTGTTAGTAGTGTTTCGAACGGGCTGAACATCCCAGTCTTACTGCGGAGATACAACAAATGTACCAAGAAAGGAGAGGTACCTCTGCTAGAGGAATGTTGAGTTGGTAGGTCGGACTCTAATTCTGTTCATGGCTCTTGCAACGATGCCAAAAGCTGCGGCGTGTTAGGTCTTGCCATGGCGGACTGCAACTCAACCGGGCCGTATCTCCTGCACACAATTTCTTTATGGATGATGATGAACCTCTGACATTTCCACGCCAGATTGAAAAGAAACTGGTTCGCTTCAGCGGCCGTATAACCACCAATCAATAGATATGATCGAGTTATTATAGCTGACAATATCAATCATACACCCTGGACATACACTCTTCAGCTATTGAGGCAAACCGACCTTGCAGCCAGTCCTTTCCTCAATGTCCTTGACCAGATGTTTTATGTCCATAACGTATGTGACTCCTGGGTTATAAAACATGCTATTGCCAAGGAAGACCATTCCAACCAGACTACAAGTCATGTCATATACAAGAGCACCGGAGTCCCCTTCTTGCGCAAAAAGGCCGCCGCGTCCGGTGAAACAATATTCGATAGAATGAACAGTTTCGCCTTTGAGTAAACAGTCTGACCGCATCTCAGAAAATTCACCAATGCTAGCTTTGGATACGTTGCCCACTTGAAACACATATTCGGATGACTGAGAGCGGTTTCCAATCTTCGTTAATTTGTCTAGATGAATTGGCACAATCATTCGAGAATTGCACGGAAGATTGTCCCATGTCTCTCTGGATGGTAGCTGTTCTCAATTAGCATGATCTTCGGATTTGCAATTTAGAATTTGTCTATTATGTCTATACCTTGTTTGTACCAATTCGTTCTTGATCCACCTTGATCAACGCCCAGTCAAGTCTATGGCTTTCACCATTCCTTTTGTGACCAGAGCCACAGAACAGGTGTCCAAGTTTCCCATGCTCGTCCCACGCTTGAAGGCTTGCATCTTTCTCAAGAGTAAGTCGAATGGCGGTCTCCGACGCCTTCGGTGTGTTCCTCCTGCGCTCAATAGCGTAATCAATTTGTTTCAAATAGGAAAGATGTTCGTTTTTTCCCGGACACAATAGACCCACCTTCTTTCCATTTGCGTCTCCAGGATTCATGCCGTTGTCGTTATAACCTGTCATGCAGACGTCATTAACATATTTCGACCAGGAAATTATGTGAGTGATAAAGTAATATCTTAAAGAGAAGAAAGCACCCAGGATGACTTACGCTTTCTCACTTCACCGTCTGGAATTACATCTTCAACGACGTGCCAGCATGTGAGGCCGTAAATTCCGTAGGATTTCCTTTTCTTCTGATCGTCTTCCTTGAACAATTCAATATAACCACCCATTGTCCCATTTCCAGGAGACCCTGGTATATTGACACTGATACCTCGACCTAAGTTCACCGTTTTATCGTACATTGAGGAAGCATTCCCTTCAGAACGGCCGGAACTGTTTCCAGAGCAATCTCCCAGCCGCCACAGTGTCGCTCGTCTAAATTCAACCACAACGTATGGGAGTTCGTTCCGTCGACGTCGTTGGTACGTAATTATCCAGTGGAAGTGTTACAACTATAGTTGTCGAGTAAGTAGATGCTGGAGTAGAAGCAGGTCCCTTTCTGACTATATCTATGCAAGTCCATCCCGACCCCCGAAGGATTTCATGAACATCTTGCCGGATGGTGGGCCATATCCTATGAATTGCATCAGTGTCTGGGACAGGAGCAAGGTCAATTTCTTCAAGTGCCCGAGGGTCTATAATCTCCACAGTAACGTGTGGCAGATTCATATTGCATAAGAGCACGCGCATGTCATCCATGGCATGAAACCACTTGTTGTTATGTTCTCTTTCTGCAATCACACAGATTGTCGCGTGATTCTGGCGAATCTTTTCATATTTTGCGTTATAAAAGGGACGCCTGTCCAGGGAAGTAAAATGATGAACGTTCAGTTGATGGCTCAATAGTATGTCGTTTATCTTAGGCCGGATAGTAGACCACACCTCCCTTAGAGGCTCGTCCGGTTTCAGCGGACAGTCCATCAACGGGAGCCACGGAAGTGGACCGGGTGCGCCCTCTCTCAAAGGTTCCCAATGGACGACATCTCCGGTTGATAATTTAGCTTGGTATTCTCCAGGGTCTGACAGCTGGTTTGGAATTGTTTCTAGTGTAACCGAAAGCAGGTCCATTCTAGGAATTTGGAAAAGAAATTGGGCGAATAGTCAACTGATATCAGGGGCAATTCAAAGTTTTGAGTATAAAAGCATGAGTTCTAGTCTTTTTGTTAGAAAGGAGACAAATTGGTAGATGAAAAATTGAGATGTTCTAGATGACGGAGCAAAAAGAGACAAGCGGAGTATTTATGCTCTGAGTGTAGCTTCACATGTGTTGATTAACAAAAGGACAGATTTCATCCGCGTCGAATTCATTAGCCTTCATTTGAAAAGGGGCCGGGCTAAATGCATTCATCCTGATATGTACAATATGGTGAAGACCGTGAAACTTTTCCCTTCACTCCATGGATAGAATAAGAATGAATGACTACATGAGTATTGCGAAGGACGTTAGTGTTTGACAGGAATTAAACGCGAAATGCAGCTCCCAACTCTTTACTTGGCGCTGTAGGCGCCGTAGCCCCAAGCTTCTATCTGTTCTGCTCTATCTTGCTTCTTGCGCTGCCCCATCGCAGCATAGACGACATGCGTCCTTTGGGCGTCTACAGATTTTTTTGGTTCACTAATTATGTTAACAGTACCCTTTTCTTAGTATTAAGATCGGCTGCCAATTCGGGCCATCCACCCTCTTTATTATCGTAAAGATCTCTCCGCCTAAACCAAGGCTCTCGAGCCTTGCAGCGAACAGTATTTACGGCCCAATTTGTAAATGCGAGCAGCCGAAACAACAACCTTCCAGAATTCATCTCTGTCATATCACATACGATGAGTCCCATTGCGCTGAAGAATCGACTTTCCTCTCACTGTACGCTATCTTCACTGTCTCAGAACATGCTATATCAATTACGAAGCAATCACTCGTGTACAGACCTTGACCACGGTCCATATGCTTACTGACACCAGTTGGTAGTTGAGCTTAGCATATCTCAGAAACCGCAAAAGACAAAGATGACAGCGCCTCATGATAGTTTCGAGTTATCAGCCACTGTTACCAATCACATGGCGATTAATTCCCAGTCAGAGCATTTCCCTTCTTATGATCGAGCCTCTGACAACTCGAGCAATCAGTCGTCTAAAAATATGACCAAGCTGAGACACATCTGACACAACACAGAAAACCGGGGCAACATAGCCCGATTACTTCCACACTGAGAGAACCCTAACTATCTGGGCTCTTTCTCCTGAGACAACAACACATGATTGGAATGCTCTCACAGTTTTCCTTCTCGCCAAAGTTAATCCTTTTGGCTATTCCTCCCCACGGAAGTCCTGCTATCACTTACTCAATTCATTTTCGCTCTATTCGAGGAAAAGTTGATATATACTAATTCACATCCCGCATTATCCGTGATATCATCACATGGAAGAAACCATATTCATTGGAGCCACATCACTGTCTCACCGCTGTCACCTGTTCTGGAGGGTAGATGACCGTCGTCATAAGTCTGTCTCTCGAACCAGCACCTGATTCTAACTTTTTTTCTCACCCGAATTTGAGTACGCAATTTTCTTATTTATTTTCTACTCCAAAGAAGAAACGTGACAGATATCAAAGCCGTAAAGTTAGAGTAGATAACCGGCAGTAGTACAAGACGTTGAAATGTAACGTTGAACCGTTGAATTCGAGAGTCACACAAACTCAACGCGCTGATCTACAATAGCACATGCTTCAACCAGTTACGACTTATTCTACAATATACTTTGGTACAATCCTCTGACCTCAACGTCTACATCTCATAAATTGAAGCAACTTTACACGAGCATCAAACCCAACAGGACCCAGGTAAGAAAATTAAGAAGGCGGAAAGAGAGAATCTGGACTGGAATGCAAAATAAACTCTCCGAGTCTCCGCTCCCCTAGATATGAACAATAGTGACAAAGACATTATCCAAGCGGTCCACGGATTGCTGTACCGCTATAAGCCTATACCGCTTTACTCAAGAGAAAGACCCCAACAATGGCGGCCGACTTACCCCCGGGCGATTTAATACTCTAATGTTTCTAAGCAAGAAAGTGCCACTGTACTGCCTCTTACCGAACCTTTCTGGAACCACGCCAATCTATAGAGTTGTGGAATACGTAATATAGTCCATTTCAGCAGTCACATATATCGTGGGAAAATTAGAGTTTTTGTGCCCAGATTTTCTGCGAAGAATGCTAGACGCTAGACGGGCCTGAGCACGCAAAAATGGGGAAGGCGGAAAGCAGGGTTTCGCAGGGGTCAATGCAAAGACGCACTGACGAAAATACCAAAAACGCAAGAAAAGCAATCAGGCAGGCAAGAGAGCAAGCAAGGGATGAAAGCAGGCTGGAAAGATATGATACCATACTATACTATCCTATATTAATATTATACTATACTATACTCTACAATGTACAATACTATACTGTGTTGGTACGGGTACGTGTACGTAAGATGTACAAAAATGAGTTGTAAGATGAATCATGCAAGTAAGAAGAGCAGAACTTAGAAGCGTAGGGCCCATTTGCTTAGATCGATGAAGAAGGAGGGGGGGGACGGACAGATGAATATGGATGAATATGGTAAAAAAGGAAAATAAATAAAAATTTGACCCTCGCAAGGCAAAAGAAATACTCAGAGAATGATTAAAATGACAATTGGTCGCAACATAAGGTTGCAAAGTCTTGATTAAAACTGTACTAGCTACTTCTACTGTAAAGATTCCAAGCTATAATAGGTAAATGGAAAATACTATAACAACAAAGGGGGGAATAATAAGTGCTTGGGTTCCAACACACTAAAAAAAAGAAACCGGACAGTGGACGAATGTTTAACACTTGAAATGAAAAAGACAATGTGTATAGTATAGCGAGTGACTGCGGTTTTGAGAAAACAAAACATTACAATCGCCCAATACTAGAGGAAGAAGAAAAGAAAAAACCGGTTTTATGCCCTCTAGGATGAGGAAAGACAGTGAGAGAAAGAGAAAAGAGAACAAGAAGATTCAATCCCGCAGATTTCTTGCCTGCCCCTCGACAGTTCTTGTTGACATGTCGGGAGTCTCCCCCTTTTTTGTTTTAAATCGTCTCCAGTATCTGAATATTGTCCCTTTGCCCATGAAAGATGAATGTGATCCGCTAAGGCTGTAGGTGGAGATAATGTTGTTGCCGTTTATTGAGATTTTTTTTTTAATGCCGTGCTGCGCCGTTGCCACCGCCGTGCCCAAACCGTGCCGAACCGTGTGTGTGTGCGAGATGGTGCCGAGCCCATGATAGTACAATAGTATATGAAGATCCGATCCAGATCTAGATCCCATGGACGCCTTGACTGGGGGTATTTAGTTGAGGTAATAGCCGACCGAAAAGAAAAAGGAAAAGAGAAAAAGACACCAAGGAGATTATTATGATGGAAGAATAAAAAGAATATTGCCAACAATTGAATTTTCATGAAGACACGGAGAAATTCCGCTCATGTCTGCAGGTAAGACTCAAAGTTGGGAACCTTGATGTTTCTGCCACCTGGCTTTGAAGGATCATGAGTCTTGTTGTGCGACTTGAGGTTGTCAGACCGTGAAAAGTCTTTGGGGCAACCGGGGACCATGCACTTGAAGGGCTTCTTGCCATCGTGAGTCTTCTCGTGTCGCTTGAGATGCTCCTGGCGCTGAAAGGCTTTATCGCACAGGGCTCCATCGGGCTTTACCCAACGGCACTTGTGGATCTTGTTGGTGCCTACGACGGTAGCTTCGATCCCACGGATGTTGCAGGTACGTGTCTTGTTGTTCTTTTTACTTGACTTTGTTACACGCATCGGAGAAGCGAGGTGATAGATACCGCCAGCGGTGGCGGGGCTGACGGTTGGGCGCCCATTGCGGATTGATCGGGTGCTGTTTTGTCGACTCGGGGTATGACAGGGAGACGAGGCCAAGCTGTATCCAGTCATTGAGTCTGGGGATTCGGAAATGACGACGCGGTCGTAAAATGGCTGGTACTCTGAGTTAGGTAGGGGAGTCTGGATCGCAGAGTCGGCGCATGTCTGAGACGGAATGACCGTTCTCGCATGTCTCTCGTTGGTAGATGGCGTGTAGGAGTTGCCGATCGGAGATGAAAACTCCGGGGACGGTTGCGCAAGGTCGAAACGAAGAAGAGAAGGATCATAAGGGGTAGCCGAAGTAGCATATCGTGGAACCTCTGGCATATACGGATTCGACATGTGCCCGAATGAAGGCAATTCATAGTCGCCATAATCAAAGTCGAGAATTCCCTTTGGAACCACGACAGGCGCAACGTCCTGGAAACCGGACTGCGAGCCGATAACTTCGGTAAAATCCGGCTCCATCATGTGGTTGTGAATGACCGTCGGGTTGCTATAATTGAAATTTTCAGGAGCAAAAAGGTCGACGGTCGATAGCTCTTCCTCTCGCTTGGGCGTTGAAGGCCCTACTGAATGAGGGGAAATGGCAGAAGAGTGCCCTGAGAGACCAGGCTCCCAGGATGCGCTCGACGCAACAGAATGACGCCGATAGAAGAAATTCGGAGATGGGGTGGATGGGTGAATGCTAGAAAAGCTAGAACTCGAAGATGGACAGTGTCCTTGCGTATCGATCCTAGGAGGATTCCTCATAACTCTAGGCATGGCCGAGACGTCGTCCACAAGAAAACCGTCCACAGGTTCTTGAGCTGATGATTGATCTGAATTTTTACCTGGGTCAGCCGGCTGATTATGATAAATATCATACGTGCAGAAGAGTCAAGTCGAAAGAGGTGTATTGTCAGATGATGCGTAGACATGATCGACTTGAAACTTACTAGAAAAGAGGCGTGGACAGGTAATGTGATTGACAAGCAAAACAATGGAAGAGATGTGGTGGGGATGAGGGGACTTGGTGGTATGTGTATTTCAAAAACAAGACGACAAACCAGATGGAAGAGTTGGACTTTTGAATAAGAACATCCATCCGATTACGCAACAGAAATTCACATATGATTGATGGACGGAAAGAGACTAGAGGCAGAAGAGCTTGGACTTACCCTTGTGGAACATTTTATGTGCTAAAATGCCCCAGGCACGACGCGTCGGTGGTCGCGAGCAAAGCAAGGCAAGGTTTTGGAATGTGCCCAGCGGGTGTGGCAACGGCGAGCTTTTGTAGAGCTCTCTCTTTGCCCGTCAGAGCGTGTAGGTTGACCAACTTTAACCGACTAGCCGTTCCGGAACGGACAGAATCTCAAATCCTTCTTGGCGTCCGAAAGAAGCAGACAGAGATAAGTGAAGAGAGTGGCGTGTTTCCCTTTGGTCCCTTTTGACGGTTTGAATCTCGAGATGGCCGGCCTAATCGGACCACTGTAAGGGACGAGGGCGGGGTAAGCCTATCTGAACGAGGCACCAGGAACCGTGAAGCCGCTCGAGCGTTGCTTCTGTATCTGCTTTGCTCTCTTCTGAAAGCGTCAGAAAGAAAAAGAGTTGTAAAGGGCTCTTCTTTCACAACGACGAAAGAAAAGGCCTTGCAGATGGTGGTCTCAGAGATCATCCAAAACGGGCCAGCACACCTTCTTTTAAGGAATAAACTTAGTGGATCCCTCACTTGGTTGGCTCTTTTGGGGGAGGTCTGTATTGTAGCAATGAACCGCTGGTAAAATATGAGTAGGGCTGGTCACTTTTTGTCTGGAGGAAAAGAATCCCGGGCCCAACCGATTGAAACAGACGCCTTGTTGGAACGTTCATCCACAAATCAATGGCGTAGTCAACAAGAGGCAAGCCCAAACTATTTTGTGAGCAGGGACGGCTAAACAATTTCGTCACAGACTAGTCCCACCTGGCAGGGAGGTTGAGCGAGGCCGGGAGCGCTGCGCGTGACGGTCGAGAGAATGAAAAACACCAGTGATGGGAGAAAATAGAAATGAACGGTACTGAGAGGCTGGTTTGGACTTTGTGTATGAATAGCTCGCATTTGAGTTGACGAGTTGTCCAAGTGGGTATTGGAACTTTCCTCGCCGAGCATATTTACTAGACGAGACGGCTAGAGGAAGAGGATAAACATGGAACCGGCTGAGTTCAGGGTCCTGGGGAAGGCAGAGAGGCTACTTGCTCGACTCAGGATCGGGACCTGCATGAATGATGATGCACCCAATTGCGCAAGTGCACCGTACCAGCATTCCCCAAGCATCGTAAGTTGGCCGGGGCGCGCAGTATCTCCAACGGGACATATTTTTGGTAAGCAGACCAGGCGGGGGCGAGGCGTTTCATTAATCCAAGGTTGATCAATTCTAGCCGTTCGTAGCAATGAAGTTTCGTCCTCGGGACCCTTGGCTGAACCCTATTGCCCGCCATACCCTCCCATACCTTGGTTAGCACCAGAATAGCCAGGTCCAGCTTGTCCGATAAGATTCCCGCCCGCAGGTGCCACTAGACGCGCTCCCTCATCCATGGCCTTTCACTCTGGATTTGCGTCAAATTGATGGAAACGAGACGACTAGTTGGGCTTGTCCTCCTGCATCACACTAAAACGCAGGGAAACCTGCGAGATACGAAGCAAAACAGGAAGGGTCGGCTGAAGAAGCTTTGACATACGCCTCTAAGCCATCTATTCTTCCATCGTATGGCTTACTCGGTTGTCAGCTTTGTTCACTTGCAGCGAAATAGCATCAGATGCTCGGTCTGTCCACTGACGACGTGCAACATTACTTGCGATCAGCGTTTCCGTCAGACAAATAACGCGATAGATCGGCCGACCGAGCTTGGCTGAACTTATTTCTCAACAATGGCAGGCAGTGCCGGCTGCTGGGGAATGTGTCTGTTGCTCAATTTGGGGGGAGGGCAACTGCCAGGAATGAGTTCGCACAGACCCCACCGTAGCCATTGCAATTGGGACTGCCGCAGTCAGCGGCCGCCTCCTGGTTCTCGGGTAAAGTAAACATCTGCGACATAGCCAAGGGCTGCCCTTTGACTACAGTGGCTCTACTTCGACCGTTTGACCAGCATCGAGGCCTGCAGTGTGCAGCTGCATCATGCACAATTCGGCTGCGTTTGTCCAAAGAAAGGAGAAGGGGTTGCCGGGACCTGGAGGGATTGTCTGCCGCTCTGGCATCGCTTCTGGCCTCGGATCGCACCGTCGAGCGATCAACGGATGATCTGTGCGGGCGCCACTGGCTGCGCATCATAACGCTGTGCATTAGCTTGATTTGCATGGGGCATCATTTCACGGAATGAAAAGCCGGTAGCTATACCAGGCTTTCTGCGCCCGGACTGGACTAGGAGGGATGCCTGTGCTTTCAGGAAAGGTATCGGCCGCGTCGCGTCAGACATCTTTAGGAATGTCTCTGATGCCCTCATGCTGTAATGTACAGGCCGAAAAGCTCGGTTGATCGTGGCTGTCAATGCTCACCTAACCACCACTAAGAATGACGCCTCCTCTCTTGATGCTCCCTTTTCCCTGGACCGGAGCTTTATAATATCAACAGCAAGGCGGACAACTGCAGATCCCACGTTGACAGAAGCAGGTACGCGCCTGTCTTCTACTGCGCAGACGGGCAGCGACATGAACTTGACGTTCATTGACGTCGTCAAGCCTTGGTTGAAAGAAACGAATTCAAGCAACATAGGTCCTGAAACCTCAATTCCATGTTTCGCATGTATTGAAGAAAAAGTTAAATCATCAGATTGAAAATCGCATGATGTTGAGAAAATTAGCCTGCTTTCATTTTGCTGTTTGATCTTCCAGTGCTACCCAACTGGGATTAGTTGCTTGTCGAGCTGACGCGCCGGGTACTTGCGAGATTCATGCTGCCCCCCCCCCCATGGGGAGGAAATCATCGCGTATTGTATTTCCAATGCCGTCTAAAGTTGCTATCATGAACGATGACAGATTTTGCAGCTGTGGACGGTAACATAATAACAGACAAGGGGGCAGGCAATATCTCCGGAGTGTAAGAGAGATCAATGAGCTAACACGAGAGCCAACACTGAAGTGTGTAAGAGAATTCGGCTTAGTTTGAACAAGGGAAAAAGGGCAGCCTTGCAGCATCCACAGGAGAACAGGGGGTTGAGCCGAGAACATCGCGGCCACCAGGAGTGTGATCCGTCACTTTTAACTGATCCTCGTCCGAAAAGAGAGAAGAGAACCTCTTTCACGTCGCACCGATCGGTGCAGCTCAGAAGACCTTCCCTACTAAGAGCAACGAAACCAACGCGACATTGGCAAGGACAATGACAGATTCTCAGTGTAATTGACCCTGTCGCTGGAATTGTCCGAATCTGCTATGTCCCCCAGTCCAGACCCAAAGGATTTTTCTAACGGCAAGCGAAAGCCGTTAGAGATCTTGATCCAGACGCGCCCGAGGGCATTGGCGAATCCTCGGGGTGAAAATCTATTGAATCTTGTCAAACTCTCAGAGAGGATATATCGAATCGTAATACGAACTCTCTAACAAGCTTCGAACCTTCACGTTATCCCGCTGGATAGAGCAGTTTATTCACATCGTAAACGGTATCATATTACTTCCGATTAGCTTTCATTCCATTGCCGTAGTGTCCGAAAATAGCGTCCGTTCATCCCCAGGTCCAGATACGACCTGTCTCCTGATATTTTGGCAGTCAGTGCTGAACAATGGAGTCAATGCGGACGAGCGTCGGCATATGCGAATGCGATCTCCTATGCACTTTTCCCAGTTGATGATGACATTGACGCTGGTAGTCACAATTATGACTTATTACTCCGTAGCTGGCTCCTAAGCCGACCTTGGTCGCTTGCCATCCTTCTCAGAGACAGCCACCATGTGCCTCCACAGCTCCCTCCCAGCTCATAGCACTACGTATGCGAACCAGACGCCACCTCGCCCGTTCCTAGGTGCATCTCTCAAGGAACGCCAGACAGCGAGTCCAACCGACCAATGATAGCCACGATCAGTGAAGTCAAAATGTTGGTTTAGTTGTCATTGCTGTTGCACTGACAATGTCCTGTCATCATCTGCGATCGCTCCAACCCCTCAATCTGTCGATCGTGCGTTTTAACTTTTCAGGCACCAAACCATCCTCTAATGTAGATTTGGAATTCTCTCTTTTCATCAGGAGTCGGCATTACGCAATAAGGTTTTCGTTTTCGTCACTTGCTGTAGTCTGCCCTCCTTTCTCCGCTGTAATAATCCTCGCTCGTATTTGATACTCATCTCAAAGCCATCTCATGCTTCAAATCCATCAGCTTGGTGTGGCCTGTTTACCTTGCAAAGCCAGTTGGCGGCCCCCACAGATATCCTGAGAGACGGTGCTGCGCTTGGCTTCGGAGGCGACCGTACGAGACCACCCAAGGCACTAGCTAAAATCTTCCACAGGCAGTGCATACCTGTCTCAAACAGTATGGAAACTTCATCCACGCGTTTATTCAATTTGATTTGATTCATTTCATGCCACATCCATGGATCCATATCTAGCCAATCTTCGGTCGCGCCTGTTGTTACATCCGTGCCGGCTTTTCAAGTTCGAGCTTGCTGCCGCAGAGCTTCAGGCACCCATCTTGGCGAGATGCATGCTGTTCTGCTGCGATACTGCTCTCGTCTCAAAGAAGCAGTGGTTTGTTGTCTGTTAATCATTTCTGAATTCCGGCAACGCCGATATCACCCTTCGTGGTATATACTGACTGCCCGCTTTTTGCATTCGTCGCATAAAAAATAGGTCGAAAGAAACCAGTACTCGTTGATCATAGACACGCTTAAATGAGATTATCTTTATGACCGAGATGTCGATCCTTGCCTTGTGCCGTGATTCATGCAGGCATGCTTGACATCGAAGACGTCTGCTGCTTGATTAGACTGCGTAAGCGTGTGCTCGATTGTCCGCTTTGAGAAGCGTGTCGGAGCTATTCTTCATCTCATGTGTTTATGTTTCAAAACTTTTCCAGTTGGCCAGAGCCTTGAGACGGCTAAATCGTCCCGGACGTCATGGAAATTGGAGAAAAAAGAAACTCTGGAAACATGTTCATCATTGAGTGCAGCTTCAAGAGAAACAATGCGTCAACCTGAAAAGATTCGACGGCAATAGCATGAAGTATTGCCCAGAAGTCATCCTGCGATGATTAAACAATTCTTACCTCTTCCTCTTTGTCTCTGATAATCTAAGACTCGGGCACCTTAGAGCTTTAGCCAGGTGTACACATTAACTTAGGTGGTCTGATGTGCTAACAAGGTCTTTAGAGTTGTTAAGAGGTTCTTCGTTCAAGCGATGGAGATTGCCGGCATGAAGTTTATACGAGTGCGGTGTTTGGCGTTGAATTTTGTCGCCCTCAAAAATGTTTTGCAACTACGATTCGTCTGGTCCAGTGCGTCCTTGTTGGAAGCTGAGAAGTCCCACCATCAAAACTTTTGCTCATTTGATGTTAGTTACTCATGTAGCCCGTCAAGGAAAAGGCATCTTGTATCAGCTTGTGTCATTAGCTGCAGGCAGATTCGAAAAACTTTTGGAGCCTCAACTTGGAGATGTTGGCCAGCAAGTTATCCACATTTCTTTACCCACCGTGTCGAAAACAAAGAGGTTAAACAATTGAGGATAATGGAAATATTCTGAGGTTTGAGCCGGAGATTACAGCAACCGTTCGCCAATTGATATTGAGAAAAGAAGGGGCAGTAAATTGCTAGTAGTACAGTAAAGCAAAACTCGATTATCCTGCCCATCAACTGTTTTGCACACAATAATTACCACACTATGTCCTGCTCTTCCAGAGAGCACGGTTAGGGCTGAGTAAGACTGAGGTATGAAAAGCTCGATGCCTTCATTGCATAGACTGCCGAGACTCAGCGGAGGCTATGTTTTAAGGAAGTCGGAGGCGAACTCCATGGCTCTCTCCATCCAACACTAGGAAAGGTCATCGCTCCGATCCTCCGGAAATTCCTCGTCAGAAGAATTTAGGATTTTATTGACCCCACGGAGGAAGATAGTGCTGAGCCGTTTCGCGATTGTCGAAACCGTGTGCCCCATCTTTGCTGCCATGCTGTCCATCGAATGCATGCGAGAAAGAGGTTCGAATTCTTCCTCCAAACGGGAATTGTGAGGGCTCATAACTTGCTCGTTGGCTTCACTCGACGGGAATTCTAGAGAGAGATCCGGTGCATCCGTTCCAAAGATAGGGGCAATGGCAACCACGGACGCCCCAAGAGCTTCGGGATCCTCGGCCAGTGCAAAAATATTTGATGATCTCTCCTTGCGAAAGACGGCAGAGTGCCTGGGAAGCTGAACACGCGTGGATACTTTTCTCAAGAGCGCGGAAAGCCGCTCCCTACGACTGGGGTTCCGCTGGATGCATGTCTGATTCATATCGCGAAAGGTGGAGCCGAGCGACTGCAAATCATCCCGAGACTCTCCAGCTTGTGCCCGAGTCGACCCAACGGATTCACCCGAACGTTCCTGATGGTGAGATTGTGGCATTTTTCTGGGTAGTTGTGAGCCTAGTTGTTCTTCCAGTCAAGTAGCGGCGAAAATACTCACGAATGATCGATAATAAATCTTGGAACAAAAACTGCTTGCTTGTATCCCTTGCTGTAAAGACTCGCAGCAGACTTAGATCTGTAGATTAAGGGTGTGGACTTTCTCGAAGTTGGTGTGGTCGAGTTTGAGCGAACGAGACTGTCGAATGATTTCGAGCTCGGCTTACGCTGAGGAGATGCACCGGGACTCAAAAATGAGGGAGGGAAAATAAGCTGGATATCGTTTCTCTTGTGAATGTCAAGAAAAAGGGGCTCCTCGTTTTGTGACAAGATGTCTTTCAGATCCTTGATGCTGCTAATTGAAAGCGATCGAGACGTAGACGGACGACGAGCGAGCTTGGAAAACGTGAGAGACGAAGAGCGTTTTGGGGGAGTAGGGACAGAGAGTCTTGTTGGTCGTAAGCCCGGGGAGCCTACTGAGAAACTCCTGCTGAGGGGTACAAGAAATTGCTTGGGCGAGGCTGGTACGTGGAGCCTATTCTCCTTGGAGAGTTCCTCGTGAAATGTGGCAGGCCTCAGGTACGATTTTGCAAAGAAAGGTTCCAAGAGTTTTTGGTCGTTTGCCTGCACGGATAAGGCTCGGAACCGAAGGAACTGCATATTCTCCGGCGCGCTTCTACAGTTGCCTGGTGAAGCCATTTCCCACAGTTCGCTTGAGCCATCAAGACCCCGACCCGTTGTTTCCAGCTCATCAACCACGTCTTTCAACTTTCTGGGGAGCCGGTCAACGACTGAAATGGGAGGCGATGGCGGAAAAGATGGCCCATGGTCGAAAAACGCATCCTCAGCAGCGGGCATGAAGCCCCTTGGATCGTTTTCGAGATGCTCGTAGAAAGCTGACCGCATGATATAGGGTAGTACTTCGCCAATGACATCCAATCCAAAGGAGCTTTTCCTGGGAGACAACACCGATGTCGACCCTTTGATAAAACCAGTATATGCGTCCTCATACTGATTTTGCAACAGAAAGAAAACGAACTCGCAAACATCAAGCAATCAAAAAGGGCTCGCAAATGCTTCATAACAACCGAAAATAGAAAGAGCTTATATCGCTCCTTCCAAATTGCAACAGATCAGACAAAAGCACAAAAGTCAATCAGATTGCACCTCAAAGCGCAGAAGATCCCCCCTCCAGTGGAGAAGGGGCCAAAGAGGGGATACATGTTTGAAAAGATGATAGCAAAAATCGACAAACTTCTGGTATTTTATAACCATTTCCATATTCAGAGGCTCAAATGAATTGCACCAAACACAACCACGATTGTCAACAAAACAGAATGTGTGTGAGAAAAAGAAGCATTCGCTTGCGGTGACAACAATCAACTGCCCCTCGCCAGTCCCGTGATGTTCTCGCTTATGGACAGGGGACCTTTTCCCTATTGCAGAGCCCTTGTAGACGTCAAATTCTCACTTTGCTGACGTTGATCAATTGCTAGGAAACATCTGTCATCTCAGAATCTAATATTTATGCGATTCAGTCATACAGCACAGTGATGCATTTTATACAGACAATGAAAAAGCTCGCAGAAGTACGTGCATCGCACTTTTGGCAGCGATTATCTGGTGTATGCTGAAAATGCGGAGAAATAGCGTGGAGGGAGAGCTTAAGCTAAGGACGGATCAGCACCTCACTAAACCTTCGTTAGAAGGATTAGCCCAAGGGACTCTTTGTATAGATTTCAAATTCACATATCTTCGGCTTTACAAAACGAATTTGCAGCATGGATCTCAAGCTTGCGAAACCAAAGATTCTCTTGGGATTGTTAGGCACGTTGGCATTCGAGAGACGTTATTTCTATTTCAAAAATGGCGGTGGCGCCGTATAGCAGCTGGATGACTTGAGCCGATTCAGCGTTCTGTGGGCTGGACACTACAGCCGGGCACACTACATCCAAGCAATGACCATCTCCTTTCTGTGATATTCCCGATGCGCTTATGGAGACATTCCGCGACAATCTGCACCGTTAACCGACATTACTATGGTAGAAAAGCCGGGTTTAGTGGTTTTGGGCAGGGGCCCTTGACTAGCTCTTCGGCGACTTCGCAGAGGGGCCGAGTTTTCGTTCACACGGCAGAGAAACCAGCGGTCGACTCTGCTGCATTGGATCACGACCCGCCTTTCTAGGGACGGTTTTATTTGTATGAATCATTCTCTTGATGCGAACCAATATTGAACTGCCGCCCATGGCTAAACACTGTCCAATCAAAACCTCGTGGCCGGGGCTAGGTATGACTAATCCCTTGATAGCGACTGCCTAGACGGCGGCTTTAAAGCGGTAACTACTCTCTGGAAGCCGGGCACTACTCTGTACACAGGTCTAAGGCGGCTTATTCTAGCAACAGGGCTCCACTGGCCGCCGACATTGTTGTTTAACAACCCCAATTGAGCAGTTCCTCTGTGGTTATTAGCCGTTTACAGCGCGGCCCTTCGGAGTAGGAAATCCGTGCCGCGTACAATGATGGTTATCGACAAATCTTGTACAAAATGTAAAGGAAATTGGGCTGGGGATGATAGACGTGGATTACGGGATACCAGGCACAGTGTGACTCCTTGTATCAATATCACTGGGGTCACCCGACTTGCAATGTTCGAGGAGAATCGAGCAGCCAAAGAACTCGCGGTAGCAGATGTGCCTATATATTTGGCAGGGTCAACCTCTTCTTGAAATCTTCAAGTTCTTCACATCATTGTCCGCGTTCCAATTTTCGGTCAAAGTCAAGAAGGAAGCGAATGAGAATGGCCATCCAAGAACGAGACATCGCCCGGGCGGCTCAGCATCCAAAGACGGAGATGGAAGAAAAAGGAGAAAATGTCAATGCTGCAATTCCGACGCCAGGATCGACAGACGAGGGCTTTCCTCCGCCTGACGTCGGTGTTCCGGCTATGCTACAGCTATTTGGACTCTCTGTTGTCGAGATCACGGCCTGGGGGTAAGTATATTTTTTATTTCGAGAGAAGGAGCTGTATCTAACATGCCTTAAACAGGCTTGGCTACTCGTATGGTGCTCTGGCAGACTATTTCTACAATAACCCTCCTTTCAAGGGTGTCGGTTATGTGTCTGCGGCCGGTATGGTTTCGAATGTAAGCAGATACCGAGCTTGATATGAGGTCAAGAGACTAATTCGCAAACTTCAAGGGTGTGCTTCAAATCGCTCTGCCCTTCATTATCTACTATCTCAATTTCTTCCAAACACACCGAATAGCCACAATGTGGCTAGGGTGTCTCATTTGTACCGCGTCTCCCATTGGAGCTGCATTTTGCAAGACTGTACGCAGAAACCAGCACTCCCTTCTGCTTCGCGCTTTGGATGTGAAACTTATTTTTCGCTAATTTAGGCACCTGGCTTGCTGATTTGTTTGGGTCCTCTCAATGGCCTAGGCTCTTCAATGCTGTTTGCTCCTTCTATTGCTTATGTCGCAGACTGGTTTGTTAAAAGGAAGAGTGGGGCTTACGGAGTCATGTATGCATAAATCTGGTTCATCAGCATCCACACAAACTAATTCAATTCAATAGTTGCGGTGCCGGTGGGCTTTCAGGTGCAGTATTGCCGCCAATCTTCTCGATCTCTCTGGAACGATACGGACCCAAGGCAACTTTGATCGGTTGGGGGATAGCCTCATTCATATTGACTGCCTCCGCTTTGTTCTGCATCAAAGGACGCACGCCTCCTCCGCCAAGGTCCAAACCTTCACTTTCAGATTTCGACTTCATCACCAAGAACCCCTGGATGCTTCTTGCTTTTGTGACGGCGCAGTGGGTGCAAGCGATTGCACACTATTTGCCATCTACATATCTGCCGCAAATCGCAACAGATTACGGCATCCATCCGACCAAAGCGGCCACCCTGACCAGTCTCATCAACGCAGCAACTGCAATTGGACAACCGCTACAGGGCATGCTTGCAGACTACAATGGATTCTACGTTCCCATGCTAATCTCGACTGTTGGTTCGGGTGTCGAGACACTTGCGATATTTGCCAATGCCCACGTATACGGCGTGCTGATTGTCTACGCGCTCCTCTACGGAGCTACGGCAGGCGGCTTCTCGGTTCTTCGGCCCCGATTTGCCGCGGCGATTCTGGGCCCTGACGAAAGCTCGAGTAAGGAAAAGGCTTTGCTCATTTTCGGGATCCTCACTTGTTTCCGCGGCATTGCTATCCTCGTTTCTGGCTTCGTTGCCGACGCATTGATCGATCCCAAGAAGAGCGTCAACAAGACTTATGGCAGTGGAGGAAAGTGGCGACCCCTCATCATCTTCACCGCAGTCGCCATGCTGGTGGCTAGCTTGGCGGCTCTGGCCAAGTTCGTCGATCCTTTTCGCAAGCAGAAGAAGGCTGCCAAGGATGCAGAGATGAGTCGCCACCACAGCGAAGACGCTCTGCAGGCATAATTCTGCAACGCAGTATATGATATTCGTCGCAGTCATATGCTACGTCTATTGTTTCGACAGATACGAGGGAGCACTTCTCTTCAATTGTACCTTTCCGCACTGGTCACTTATTTTACGGCACTTGAAATTGGCCCAAAAGCACCGGTCACCTCTTCCAGCAGTGACTCGCTGGCCGCATTTCTCATCTCATTTGACCAATCTGACAGTCCGGTCTGACGGTCTGCGAATTGAGACAGCCAGTCTCTCTTCACCAGCTACTCGACCCCCCAAGCTTCATGCTGAAAGACACGAAGCAACGAGATCAGTGTCTAAATACACGCTGATATCGACCTTTGCGCTTACACTTTCGCCCACGTCGAATCAATCAAATATTTTTGACTGTGGGCTAGACTTTGGGTTACATTAATCCGTTTTGGAATTACATGAGACCTGTGGTTTCCTTTGTCTGCTCCTTTGTGGGCACGGCGGATAGGTCCAACCCGCCTCTAGCATCAAAAGATTTCGGTTTAGAAAATCGAAAATCTGGGATATCACGATGTTTGTTACACGTGCTGCCGTATCTGTTCATGCTTTATACATAGTAGTGTAGAGCGACAGGCAAACATAGCCAGCTGAATAGGAGGTATATATGATATCATATTATCACAATTTTCTTCTTCTCTCTAATTGCAGCGCTACATCGGTTTTATTCGAAGACTCACGTTTAATTAATGTGCCCTTATGATGTCCGTAAAGCGGAAAAGTGAGTTTGCTGGTCTGAAGCATATCAAGGCCATGCTTTTATGGACACCAAAAAAAAAGGAAAGAGAAGATAAAAAAAATTAACGAATGAAAAAATGGTAAAGCAAGGTAGAAAAGGCATGGAATGGAGGATGGGTATATCAGCGGGTGTTCAGCAACTTTAGAAAAAAAAATTAACAGAAATATGAAAAAGAAAAAGAAAAGAAGAGAAGATCAGAAAAGGAAGGTGAGATGCAGAATGATGCAACCAAGAAAGAGAAGCTACTTCCTCCGGGCAGCACGCAATTCATCTTCCTTTTTCGCATCAACGCGTCCCAGAAATTCCATGCGGCCGAGATATCCCTCCTTGGCACGAGAATGTTCATCGAGTTCCTCTGCGATGCCTTCCTTGTCGACGAATCCTGCCCAGTCGAGTTTAGATTTTTCGACCGTGTTTAGTTTTGGTCCTGCGGCGGTTTTGTGTGGTACTCCGCGAGCTCCTGCTCCTGCTCCCGCTCCCGCTCCCGGTGCGACACCAGCATTGGTTCCGCCATTTATAGTAGTCGGTGCGGTCGTGCCGGGATCGAACAACGAAGTACGTTTCTTGGGCCGACGGAGTGGCGGGGGACGATTTTGTTGTTGCTGTTGTTGTTGTGAAGTGGCCGGGGATGAAGAAGAGGAGGATGATTCGAGGGATTGTAAATAGAGACGGGCTTCGGCGGAGGATTTGGGCACGCGTTTTTCCTCGGTGATGATTTCGCCGGCGAATTTGTAGGTGCGTTTTATGAGTATGGTTTCTTCATCAGGTGCTTTTGTGGTGGTGGTGGCTGTTGTTGTTGTTTTTGTACTTGGTGTGGTTGTGGTGGAGTGGCCGTTTGTTAATGATTTGGTGGTATCAGCGAAGGATGCTTGGTCTTGTTGCGCAGGGGTTTGTTCTGGTTTAGACTGTGCTTCAGGGTCGGGTTTATTGGTCGGAGGCCCGGAGATCATGCTTTTCCAGAGAGCGTCGACGTCGACTGTTGCGCCGTCGGTGCTTGCGAGTGGACCCTTTTCTTGTTTTCTGTTTTGGTTACGTTTGGTCAATTAAATGCTTCTGTATGAAATAGGTGACTAGTAAAACAAGGGGATTTATGACGGATAATGCAAGTGGGAATGGAAAGTTGTTAGGAGGATTCGGACATACTCTGCTGCTCGCTGCGCTCGTGTCTTGATTAACCCTCCTTCTCCGCCTTCGTCGTCTTCCTCGTCATCCTGATCTTTGCCGCCCGCCTTCCTTTGCTTTCTCCGCTTCGCGCCTTTTCGAATCGTAGCTTCGTCGCCCGAATCGAGCTCCTCTGCTTGCTCGTCATTCTCGGTCGGACCGGACTTGCGTTTCTTTGGTCTTGATGGTTTCTTGCCGGCGCCAGGAGCTTGCTCGTCTTCAGAGGAGCTTTCAGACTCCTCGCCGCCGTCTGCTTCGCCATTGACGGCCTCGGGATTGTAGTCCTCATCTTCGGAAGAAATGTATTCCTCTTCGTTGCCGACAGGGATCTCGGTCCGTGCTGTTGCGTCTTCGGTCGCGGCCATGATGGAGCTGGTAAGTCAGAGACTAACTGGTCTCTGAATCCCTTGTACGCAATTATTGGTAGAAAGCTGAGATGCGGATAAGTGACGTGTGTTCAGAGATCGATATGAGTCTTGGATGAATAATTGCGGGAACTTTTTGTGTGGCGCGAATAATCACGTCCTTTGCACTGGTCAACGCGTTGTAGGGAAAGTGGAATGCCCCAATTGAATAGCTGACTAAGGTATAGCGCGAGTCGGACAGAGGAAGTAGATTGTTCCGGAGTTTCGAACATTCCGATACCGGAGCTAGTGAATCATCAGATTGATAAGATTAATGGAGCCAAAACGTCATCGTCCGAGTCGCTGACTCCCAAGAGTTCTAGAACGGCGAGATTGCTCAGACTCTGCTTGGCCCATGTCAGTTGGTTCATCATCATGATAGTAAAATTATTAATTTGGCTTTGGCCACATTGAACTTATAAATGGCGGCCATTCCGTATGTTGCAAAATTGATTCCAGGAAAAATAAATCATCCACTATCAATTATATCGGTACCTCATCTGCAAGATATCGCATCTCGCTGCGTCGCATAAGCCAATCTACTTCTTAGCGCGCTTGAAACCCCGCAATATCGACTATTATAAACGCCGACAAGACAAAACAATCCTCTGAAACCTATAGAACCTCTTGTTTTTATTAATAAATCATCATCATCATGTCTATTCAATCCGCCCATGTGGGAATCACTTGGATTCCTCTCAAGGACATCTTGAGACCGATCCAACCTGTCCTCGACGAATCCAAAGTCGAGTCGATGGTTTGCACTCTTGCGAACCCCGCGGAGAAGTACACCTACCGACCTGACGCCGACGAGTCCGAGACGCCTTTGCCCGCTGTCGATGTGTTGCAGTATCGTCGACCCGAGGCCGAAGGCAGACCGGAGCGCATTTTCAACTTCGCCATGGGTTCTTGTCACAGACTCTCGGCTTATACGCGCTCAGAAACGGAAAAGGTCCCAGCAAAGGTGCACAAGGTCACCTTGTCCCAGCTGAAAATGTACCTGGGCGCAAGCGTTGAGCGCATCGTCAGCGAGTAGGTGAATCATTGTCATATTCACGTACCTGCGCAACTGGGGGAGAGAAGAGCCGGGAGGGTTCAAGCAATGCGGGGAAGTCAATGGTCGAGAGCAGCGAAATGGAGTTGACGATTGCATTTCTCTACAGCCGCGTGAGGGAACGGTGTACCTGCCATCCACTTCGAGAGACAAAGTCACCCCGCTCTGCTGGTAACCCGTGGAGGATCCGTCTATGCATGCGCGGCAGAGTTAATAAGCCGTCCTCTGTCCTACGTCGTCGACAGTAATCCGTCGGGCACGAGCGTTCGATTATCAGACCTGTTTATTGCGACAATGGCCTGTAATTGTGCGTTTCTTTAAGTGCATCTGTTCGACACAGCATAACTATTGTACGAATCCACATTTGTTAATAGAGACATACTTGTTTATAGAGACATATAGACCTTTAGAGAGCGAATTCAAGATACCCTTTTCCAATATTTCAGGAATCTTTCTCATTCGTCCAAAGTTTTTTTTTTTTTTTTTTTTTCACATTCTTGCAAATAGTGAGGCCTAATCCAGT